CTGGGTGACGAAAGGGGCTAGGATTGATTACGATGGGGACCCGGGCCTAGAGGGCTCAGACCACAGAGCGCAAGTAATCAGGGTAATATCTAACGAGGAGGCAGCGAATGAAGGCCGCCATAACACCGAGGGGTGGAATTGGACGATGGCAGATAAGTGGCTAATCGTAGCCGAGTCGGGCCAGAGATTCATGAACTATTTGCCGGTTGAGATGAGAACAGAGCTAGACCAGGCGGTCGATTGGGTCATCCAAAACCTCCAAGAGATCGCCGACGTAGCGGCCCCTAGGCGTACTGTTGGTAGAGGCGCCGGGACCCCGTGGTGGTGCCCCCAGGTCAGCAAGGCTTGCGCTGAGACGAAGAGGCGACGACGAGATTACCTCCACGCGAGGTCGCAGACTAACTGGGACGAATACTTAAGAGCTAACCAAAAACAACGGCTCGAAATCAGCGAGGCACAGGCGCGGAGCTGGCATGAAAAACTCGAGAGGACGGCGAAGGATCATAAAAGCCTTTGGGCACTACAGAGATGGGCTAGGCTGCGGAGCTGGACACCCCCTGACACCCATGGGATGCCGGATCTTCGACGGAACGCAAGCGATGCACCCACAGCGCGCACTCACGACGAGAAGTCAAAGCTACTAGCTGAGAGGTTCTTCCCAGACCCGGATATAGACCTGTCGGATCTCGATCACAACCCGCCACGGACGAGACCAGACCTGGACGTCCCTAAGGAGGTAAACGCGAAGGACATCGAGGCTGTTATCAAGAAGACAGCGGCTTGGAAGGCCCCCAGCGATGACCAGATCCCTACGGGCCTGCTGAAAATCTGTGGTAAACCCCTATGGGAGATCCTAGCGGATATAGCGACCGTAAGCTTTAAGCTAGGATACTACCCGGAGCGCCTCCGCTCGGCAAAGGTAGTCGTTATCCCTAAGCCGAACAAAACGACAGCCCAAAAGCAGACCCCTAGCGGCTGGCGACCGATAGCGCTGCTTAGTACGATAGGGAAGGTGATAGAGGCGGTGATATGCCAGCGTATCACTACCGTCGCGGAGACGGCCGGTCTGCTACCAAACGGCCAAATGGGTAACCGAAAGGGGCGGTCCACCGAATTAGCGATACGTATAGTCGAGGACGTAGCCTATACAGCTTGGAGGCGCGGAGGGATCGCCACACTACTACAACTTGATATTAAGGGGGCGTTCGACACAGTTAACCACAGGCGTTTGATTTCTATACTAGCCCGGAAGGGCTACCCGGAGTGGGTTCAGGAATGGGTACACAGCTTCGTAGAGGATAGGACAGTACGCCTCCGGTTCGACGGTAAGGAGTCAGAGCTGATCCCTCTACGAGCTGGCGTCCCCCAGGGGTCGCCACTCTCCCCGATACTATTTATCCTATATATCTCGACGCTATATGAGGAACTAGCGGAGAAACACCCCCTACTCTTAGTCGTAGGGTTCGCGGACGATACGAACCTACTCAGCGTGAGCACAGACACGGGCACGACCTGCCGCCGACTAGAGGACGCTTGGGCTACGTGCCAACGGTGGGCCGCCAGGCACGGGATGGAGTTCGCTCCGGACAAGAGTGAGCTGATGCACTTCACTAGAACCCGAGACCCCTCCCCGCAGAGTATCCGTCTTGGAAACGCTACAGCAACGCCGAAGGTCTCGGCAAGGTTCCTAGGGGTCTGGTTTGACCGCAAATTAACGTGGCACGCCCATACCGAACGGGTTAGTCAAAAATGGCGACTCAGAAGCTAGCCCTAACAAAGCTAGTGAACATGGCGTGGGGCTGCGATCTCATACGGGCGAGACTACTGTACACGTCGGTTATTCGCAGCGCGATCGCCTTCGGGGCGGCTGCGTGGCACACTATAAGCGAGGAACCAGCGGGACCGGCTAAGAGCCTAGTCGGGATACAGAATGAGTGCCTCTGAATAGTCTGTGGTGCCTATAAAGTGACACCGGTCTGATATCTAGAAATAGAGGTAGCTATCTTGCTACTAGACCTATATCTCAGTGCCCGGGCGGCGAAATTTGAAGAACGGCTACGGAATAACGGCAAAAGGAGCCTGCTTCGGAGCGCGAGCGCGAGAGCGTCACACATACTCCGACAGGACACGCCGGCGAGACGGAAGCGGACGTCACAATCGCTCAGACCAGCGGAGTACACGATAGAGAAGGAGGCTAGGGGCTCCGAGTGGATAGGCAAGGCGAAGGAAGTCCCGGCCGCCCTCCTAGACCACTGGGAGAAGAGATGGCTCTCCGGGGCAGCACAACACGACCGCCAGCGACGCGCTATCGCCGAGGAGCCGGAGGGCCCCTCGATGCGAATGCCGAAACAGGGCAAGTACTCAGACCTAAACCGACCGGAGGCGTCTACCCTATGCCAGATCAGGACCGGAAAAATAGGACTATCAGCTTTCTTATTTAAGATAGGAGCCTTCGGTGTGTACTCGCCGTTATGCCGCTGTGGAGAGGCCCCCGAGACGGCAGAGCACGTAATCCTCTTTTGCGGCCTGCTGGAAGAACCGAGAGAGCGCCTACGGGACACTATCGCACCATGGCCGCCGCATACACGTAGAGACCTGGCAACGGCGACGGGGAAACCAGTAGTCAGCGGGACTATCACAAGGTGGCTACTCAGGACTGGCCGGATAGCGCTTAGGCCCGGATAATATCGATCTTCTCAGGGGGACTTTGTTAGTAGGGTGAGAACTAACATAGTATTGTGGTGGACGTAACGCAGTCGCTACTAGAGCGAACCTACGTAGCAGCGTATGTATTTAGTCCAGCCATTAGGGCACGGTTTGACATACGGGAGCACTTGTAGAGGTACCGGGGGCTTCGAGCCTACGGCGTATTTAATAATAATAGGTAATAGATAATTTTATTATTCAGCACCGTCCCGATTTAGCTAGAACTGATCAGTGTCGAATATCACGTGTGTCCAATCGAGTAGTCAGAAGTGCGTAAGATTGTATATGAATGAGGTGTGTTGTTCTCTGTGTTCTCTGTTCTCGCAAACTCCCGTTGCTCTGTCTTTTATAGATTATTTAGAACATGTCAGAGGTACATTGTTCAGGTGTCTGACCCCTAAGTGGACAGTAACTTTGGTGTTACTTTTGGGAAAGGGGTTCCTTTCGCCTTCTGAACTTTAAGTGACAATAGTCTTCTTCAGTGCCATATCATTTCTGAACCTAGGAACCAGGTGCCCTATCTGACAATCAGCTGGTCTAGGCCTATTAGAGAATCAAATCATCAATTTGTGCCTACGAAAACTAGTTTAGAACTCCTAATTTCATAATTCAACAAGTTAAGGTTCTTTTGTCCGGGTAAAAATGATGGAGACGTTGAATTATATATTAGGTTAAAAGGAAGCACTAGGTAGAACTAAAAGTTCCTTGCAATATCAACCTTAACATCTCATGGCACTTAGGTCTTCAGATCAATAAAATCGACGTTAAGAAACGGTATTGAAAATTACCAGAATTCTTCTACCTATTCACAAATGCCTCTCTGCAGCAACCACGCTCAAGGCTATCGGCATAGGCCAGTCCTCGTAGAAACGCCCGAAGGCCTACGGGCTTCCTGTATCAACTTTTTAATTAGTTACACACTTTTGTGTGCCACACTTATATCTAGAAGTGTCAATGCATTTGTGGGAATCATGTAATAAGGATTATGGTTCGATTAAGGGGACTAGAAATTGAGTTATCAGTTTGAACGATCAGATTTGGGTTAATCCATATACAAGACCAATAGCACATGAAGTTGAAATGGTTTGATTATAATCCCATACACTGCTTTTGTGTGTGTAATGGCATTAGGGAAAAACTTGTAAAGACGCACCTGTAACTTCCGTTGCTACGAGAAACGAACGTATAATAATCTAGTATTCAACCTGGGTTACAGAATGTGCATCTCCCACACCAAATACAAAACATATTGTTAACGTGCTATCGCTGAGGAACCGGAGGGCCCTTCGATGCAGATACCGAAAGGGGGCAGGTATTTCGGCCTGAACCGACTGGAGGCGTCTACGCTGTGCCAGATCAGGACGGAAAAAATAGGACTAGCAGCCTTCTTATTCAAGACAGGGGCTTTTGGCGTGTACTCGCCGCTATGCCGCTGTGGCGACGCCCCTGAGACGGCAGAGCACGTAATCCTCTTTTGCGGGCTGTTGGAAGGACCGAGGGAACGATTACGGGCCGCCATCGCACCACGGCCACTATACTCTCGCAGAGACCTCGCAACGGCAACAGGAGAACCAGTAGTTAGTGGGACTATTGTAAGGTGGCTGCTAGGGACGGGTCGGACAGCTTCAAGGCCCAGATAGCATCGATCTTCTCAGGGGGGACTTTGTTGGTAGGTTGAGAACCAACGTAGTATGGTAGTGGACGCAACGCAGTCGCCAATAGGGCGAACCGACGACGCAGCGTATGTATTTAGTCCAGCCATTAGGGCACGGTTTGACATACGGGAGTACTAGCAGAGGTACCGGGGGCTTCGAGCCTACGGCGTATTTAATAATAATAATAATAATGTTAACGTGCACAAATCCTGCTACTACGAAAATATATTCAATAGATTATATGCCACAAAAGCTTTTTGGAAGCAGCTATTTACCAGGCGGCTAAAACGTAACAGTTAAGCACTATACCTCTCGATATACTCAATATTAGAATAGGCTGAGAATACAATATTTTCAACAAAGTATTTCCTATTAGTATCAATTGTCAAAACAACCTGTATCTGTCCCGGCCATCAGGGTGTTAACTGCATGAGAAACACAACGTGCAATATCTAACGCATATATACATCCCGATCAAAATTGAGATAGACAAGTTGTGTTAATGAGAAAACTAATATTTCTTCAGTGTTGAGATATTCACTTAAAGGCAGGCTAGCTTACACTAAATGTAGTATTATTATTAAGCTGAAGGGTTTGACGAGAACGTAGAGTCAAAAGCCAATTATCGCTTTTTTCAGACTACATTTCATCGATGCGCATGGCCTCCCGCGGCTTCTCGAGTATCCAACCCTTGTAATGCCTTGAACGACTCCTGAACCAATTTGATCTATCCAATGATTAGCCACAGTTCATACCCAGAGGAGTTTGATGATGAAAAATACTCACGGTCTTTCAATAAATCGATTTCGAAATCGGTGATACCTAGATGATGCACCTTGTGGCTTGGATTCCCTCGGTTTTGCAAAGGCGACCACTGCCTGAAAGTCCCACATTGACCGACTTTCAATATCGTCCCACCCAATCTGCCGTCGCCACTGCAGTCCTGTAGTAGCGTCCTGTAGTTGAATATCGAAGCGAAGCTCGAGCAAGACCTGGCGCAATATTGGCATAGTTTCGTCATTATCCATGTTGAACGCATCGCGGACGTCGCAGTAGTATCCCAAGTAAGCGCCGTTGGCATGGACGTTTCGAAAAGGCTGGGTTACAGAGCTGTGTTCACAGTACAGCTCTTCAATACCCAGTCTCAGCGCCTGGTATAAGGCATACCTGACGTCCTTGGTATAATCCGGTACCACCCTTTCCCTACTGCGTTCGTTTAGAATTCCAAGGAATCCATACAATTTGTCCCTGGGATCGGAGCATTCTAGCTTGCCGAACTTGCGAATGACATGGTACAAAAGATCAGGAGTCCTTGCCTGATAGGTTTCGACGGCCATCGTAGGTTTTATCAGGTTTGCCGTCATTTCTTCTAAAGTTCCTACACAGGTCCCCTCAGCCAGCGGGTCTCTGATAGGCCGTAGGACTTGACGGAGTCTGTCATTGACGATGGTCTCTGCCGGGCTGATCAAGCGCGAAGTAACATTCGCAGTCGTTGCTGTTATCCCACAAGAGTTAAATGTTGTCTTGAGATTTTGCGAACTTGATGACCCTGCGAAAAGGCTCAGAGGAAATGTGAACGCGCCACACCAAACGGTCATCTTCTTTGCAAGCAGAACCTCTTGCACTATCCACACCCGAGTCCAAAAAGCGTGGTAGCTAATATATCGGAAGCCCCTCCATTGTCTAGGCGTCCAAAGGGTGCATTCTCTGTCTTTGGTGTGGCTCAGAGCTTGCACGTTCTCGAGCTGAGCCTCATCTAGGAATCCGAGCCATGCTATTACCTCATGGGCGTTACAGAAGATGCGGGCCATGTGTTCTACTTGACGGTTTCGCTCTTCGTCGTCGACCTGGCAAATGCAGATGGCGTCAATGAAGATGAGCCCTTGATGACCTCTCTTCGCAGCCGCAGTCAAGAATTCGCAAAGATTTCGGCGCACAAAAAATGACTGGCCGTCGATCCAAATCTCTCGGACATCATCTAGGATGTGCGCGCAGCCCCAGGTATATGAGAGCGCTTTGTATTGTATGCGAGACAAGTCCGCGATGGGGAACGCCTCCAAACCATAGCTGATTGTGTTCCGCACCTTGTCGTACTGGATGCGCAGTAATCGAATTTGGTTTGTTGCATCAATGTGACAATGCTGGAAATTTCCGGCTCCGTTCAGCGTCTTGTCAATTTCTTCGTCCATGATAGCGGTCTCATCTTCCAAGTAGTTTCCAAGTCGTCTGCGAGGCTGTTCGCACAATGCAGAACGAAGCTTCTACCAACGGGAGATTGCCTTTAAGTTGTAATTATAACGGTCATTTGCATTCAATTGCACTGCAGAATCGATGGGGATTTGCTGCTGAGGTAGACATCCATTAGCCTGAAGGATTCTAACCAAAACCCTTTCTTCTGACTTCTCCGTGCGGTTAGTCGCATTACGTAGATTATACTACGAGTTTAACTCTCCCATTTTCTATCAGATGCAATGATATGACGAGTCACGAATAAAATTTTAGCGGGCATCAAATGGACTTTTGCCACTTCCAACAGGATGCAGCCTACACCCAAATTACTAGGTGCAGTATCGGTAGGAGAGAACTTACATCTTGTCAGAATAGTTTATATACTTTCGACCCTAACATAATCTTATGGGGTACTCGTCAAGCCTTAAACCGCGGTAAAGCCCATTAATTGACCCGCTGCATGCAGCGGGTCAATTAATATGTTAAGTGTAACGAAACCTCTAATAGTCTAGCTGCGTAAACCACTAAAGAGTCTGTAAGGGTTTGTGCTAGTAAGTAAGTCCTGCTGCGGAGTCCTTTAGCAATAATATCGGGGTCTGACGTATGAAGTATAGTGCTTTGGGGTAACTGAAGTATTCAAGTAGGGTAACTGGGAATAGAGTCGTCAAGGCAGTTTGCCTCACCAATGGGTTAGATTGATGCTTAGATTGATCACTGAAGTAGAGACTGTCTATCTATGAAATGCCTGGGAGTCCTGTCCCTTATATATCCATTCCCTCCTTCACTGATAACTGGGGCCATTAGATCCTTCATGGATACTATTGGTCCTAACTGGATATGTTGGATCATTCCATATCCAAATGATCCACCCTTGTAAGTCACGTGACTTGTGGTCCTTGCACTAGCTGGCTCCTCCTGCAGCTAGCCACTCCTGTGTGACTTTTGTCGAATATCACGTGTGTCCAATCGAGTAGTCAGCAGTGCGTAAGATTGTATATAAATGAGGTGTGTTCTTGTCTGTCTGTCTTCTTGTCAGGGTTAGGGTTAGGTCCAATTGAACACTTCTTAAGACCTCGTACAATAAGACATAAGTTAATTCAACTATAACATAAAAAAATAATTAAAACTACTCGGAACTATCTTCTTCAGATATCTCTTTACTATTCTGACAAGTACGCATATTATGACCGGGCTCTCCGCACGTCCTACAGCGTTGCTGAAGTATCTCTGGCCTCCTCGTACGACTACGACTCCAGCGCGATTTATTATCTAACTCTCCGTTAACTAGCTTCTGAGACTGTAAATCTTCTCCAGATACGAAGTGATCCTCCATACTGTAAACGTTTTTTTCTCGTATAACGCCGCCGGCTAAGTGTCTCATTTGCCTTTCGAAGCGCGGCGTTCTCACCCTCTAAAAGAGCAAGCCGGTGCATAACCTGCGTCGTACCCTTCGCAAACTGGTCAAGTGCAGTAAGTGTAGCTGTCGGAGAGCTATTTTGATGCCGTATAACTCGGTTTTTCACGTATTCGGTCTGGGATTGTGCCTCAATTGGGTTATTTGGGGTCTTCGACTCCCAGATAATAGGAAGGCCAGACGAGGTACCCGGAGGTGTTGGAGTATGTAACTTCACATCTAACTGTGAAATCACATATTCCGGATCGTACGGTACGAGTCCTGCCCCTCGGAAACCTCCTTGGATATTTGATATCGTAAAAGTTGCCTGGAACGCTTTTAAGAACGCGGAGAGGAAGTCCTCCTTCGAGATATGGGTAATATGTGCTCGCATAAGATCCTCAATTTCTTTACCGTACGCTCTTTTCAGTGCACGAAAACAGCCGATATCGAGAGGTTGGAGCTTATGCGACGAATGAGCAGGCATACAGAGTGTGATAATAGAGTTCTCTTTACAGTAGAGCTCGAAAGCGGTCGAGTGGTGGCTCTCGTGGCCGTCGAGAATTAAGAGGCGATAAACACCTTTCGTACGAAGCTTTGTATGTTGATCGAAATGTCGAATCCAGTCCTCGCCTCTTTCATTTGTAGTCCAGCCATTTTTCGTAACCGCGATAACCCAATCCTTTGGTAGTAGGCTATTTTCGTACCACGAAGATAGGTGAGTTTTACCAGCAAAGATGATATACGGAGGGATAGTATAGCCGTCCGATCCGACGCCCTGGATAACTGTAACCCATTCCCTATTCCCTTGCTGTACTGCTCTAGGTCTTCCACGTCGATCAGAGGTCGTTACAACTATCTCGGATGGGATTTGACCCATAAGAAACCCAGTCTCGTCAAAATTATAGATATCCTCCTCTTGAATTCCATACTTATTAATTGTATTCCATACGAGATAAAACCACGCGCGGTACGCGTCGGGATCTTCGCAGAGGACTCTCTGGTAGTCGATTCTTCGATTAAAACGCGTCCGGAGGTCTGGTTGTCGTCGTACGAAGCTCGAAGCCCAGTTAATACCGACGCGTCCTGCGTCGCGTTGGTGGAGTAGTCGATTTGCCATATCTTCAACACCACTTATTCGAGGAGGAAATGATCGTGAATCTAGGTCAACTATGTAGCGTACGATCGGGTCTTCTTCGGAATAGGTAAGCTTTTGCGTTGGTGATCGTATATCCTGTCGTGAAGTACCGCCGCGATATCGGTGACGTAAGGTTGTATGAGGGATATTATAGATCCGTGCTACGGATCGTACGCTTAGTTTGGGGTTATTTTGAAGCGCTTGAAGCGCTAATTGAATATCGCTTTCTTCCCAATTACGTGCCATTGTAGAAGGTGGAAAATAAGGGATAAAACCTAGGTTGTACGGAAATGCGCGAAAGTGTTCAATTGGACCGTGGGGTACGTTAGCCCTTTTGCGATAACTGCAACCTCCCTGCGGTTGAGAAGTGCCTTATCGCCGAAGGCGCTGCGTACCCACCGGCTATCCGTGGTCGCCGCCGAGGCCGCCGAGGCCGCCGAGGCCGATTGTTTGAACGTTACCACGGTGTCGCCACTGTGTAGCCTGCGGGCCGCTACGGCGTCGGTGCTACCGCGTGCCTTATTCACTGCTTTGACGACTTCAGCCGCCGTCCTGTTCTTCATACTGGGGTCTTCCGTCCCTCGGATCACTATTTCTCTTTCCCTTCGCTGGGGTACAACGACCCGTTGCTGCCACACCGGAGCTCCGACGGGTTCCCTCCCTTGGGCCGTTCCCGAGGCGACTGAGGCCCAGGACCTGGTCGTAGGCATAGCTACGCTTTTCACGGTGTCTTATATCGTCTTTTGTACTGTAGTTGTAATCCCCTCGGTAAGTGCTCGGATCGCTGCTAGTACGTCGGCTGGTGTAGCGGATCGGTCTTCGCCCTGTTCCAGCGCCTTGCCGGCTAGCTTTAGCTCATGCCAGCGTTCCATTAAGCCTCCCATAACCTCGATCTTCTCGGGAGGTACTAAGTCGGTAATCTTCTGTTCGACGCTCGCCCATTCGCTGTCGATTTGCTTCTTCGTTGCGTTTTCGCCACCACTACGCTCCACGCTCGGCGCGTGGGCGCTTTCGTTCGCTTGGGGGTGGTGAAAACTTTATTGAAGTCCCGCCCGTCCCCCGTCAATTACCATCGGCGTCTCCATGGCTTTGCGCCCTCGATTCGCAAGCGATGCGAGGTCACTGTCCGATGTAAGCGCCTATGAAGAATCGATTGCCGTAATCTGTTTGATGATTTAACGCTGTTCGATGAAGTTATCGATGAATCTCAAAAACCTCCTTCCTGCAACCAAACAATAATAAAATACAATATCTCCTTTGCTTGAGCCTATCAATTTATCATGATGCTCAAATGGCGCTGAACTTGCTCATGGCGTCATTTAGGCTGGCACCCTTCCCATTATATACAAACACGTCATGAAATAAATGTCCTTACCTCTTCACTTCATTAAACCACCTCCGGTCTCATCTCATCTAGAAAAGAGAACCATCTCTTATCATCATTTAACATGTCGCTTGCAGCATTCAGGAAAACACCCGAGCACGAGGACTTCGCCAAGTTGGCAGACGATCACATCAAGCACGACCTGAACGATTCGGACCGCGACGTTCTCCAGGAGGCCGCATCCAAGGCCTCTCTCCTGGCCATCCTTGGTACTGTCGTTGGTCTGGGTCTCGGTGCCTATGCCGCTTTCAGACTACGTAAGATGCGCACAGGCATGTTCCAGGCGTTTCGCGCGACTGAGAAACCCATACGCGTAGTCTTCTCTGGCGGCAGGACTGGTAAGTATCCCTGTTATTCTCATTTCCTTGTACTAGTATGCTGATAAAACTACAGAGTCTATCCCTGATATCACCCCATACCTGCGACCTTCTCGCTTTGGTGATATCGCCACGTACTTCTTCTTCAGTCTAGGCGGAATCGTTCTTGGGGGTGAGCTTGGTTTCTGGCTGGGTACTTGGTCAGCTGCGAGGGCCATTGCGAAGGACCCACAGAGGAAGAAGCGTATCGAAACGGCCTACCGGAAGTTTAAGGCCGATTATCTTCGTTATGAAGCCCAGCGACTTGATCAAGGTGGTCCTGTGTTTTAAGGGGTTCCAGAGCCAAGAATACGGCAGGTTTCAAACGATTGTTACAGCTATATCTTTTGAGACGACTCGATTTCACCCATACAAGATAATAAATGTGTCTAGGTGCCGGTGTGTAGTCCGAGATCTGACAAATATGACTAAGGCAATTTGAGCCCAACCTGGTAGAGGATGTTGAAAAACAGTACGCCGGGTAGCAAATCTTACGAGCCTTTCTTCATGTACCTAAGTATATTGCAAACAGTGCATTGATGTTATATCTCTATATCATGATGGGTCGACAGTGTTTGTGTTGGTTGTGAATTGATTACGAAATACTGCGGTCCGGCAACTGCCAGTATCACACTATAGGTCATCTCGATAATTGTCGAGCCGCACCCAAATTTACATGAATTACATAGATGTTTGAATGGCCTTTGAAGCCTTCCACGAGCGAAGCGCCTGGTCGAGCATCTACTCTTCCGTTTTCGGAATGATAAGTAGCTGTTGGTTGCTTCACGTCCCGTGCTGCAAGACCTTCATGCGGTTGGTTCCCAACGCTGCCAATACCAAAATACAAGATCGGAGCATTGGTCATTTCCGCATAAATTGATAATAAGGTTGGCTATAGGAAATTGCTCTAATACATCACAAATACCTAGGGAGGACTCAAAAGTGTATGAGGCTGGTTCGCCTCGTAAAACCTACCGTCTGAAATAGGTCAGCACCTAGGTAGGCAAGGCCATTTGGGTTTGTGGATTAAACAATATTATAACAGCTCTCGAAAACTGTCACATAATTAAAACCAGAGCTCGGGTCATAGATACCATGGAATCTAGCGCGTGCGATTGAGCTGCCCTTTTCCCGTATGTCTTGTCCTCAACCTAGCGACGCTCTTTGTTTTGAAATTGCCAAATAGCATCAGAAGATACAAGATGGTCGGGGGATTCCACGTTGGCGTCAACAGATAATTTTTATCAGGTCCAGTTGGAGTCCCTGGGTCGTTAGTTGAGTTACCAGTGTGCCAATGTCCGCTTCGCTAATGGTCACCATGGAGCATCCATCCGTGCGCCGCCAACTCTTGACGGACCTTAGAAGTCTTTGTTACGGAATCACGGAAGAGTCCGCAACGACGACAATCTAGGTATTTACTGAAGCTCTCATCCACAGCTAGGGGATCCCATACCGTCTTTCTATCACTTCAACGATTTATTTTTAACCGAATATTGAAGAATATTCTATACTGGAAAATGTCCTTGGACCGCGTAACGAAGACGCAGGGCACATGCAGGGTATGCGCTCGTACTCAAGGCCCAGGAACACCAACGTGTCGCGCGCCGACATAGGAGCCTCGGGGGCTAACAGGGCACCTCAAGAAGCCAAAATTACTCAGCTATAATTCTCGGTAGACGAACCGGCTTCCAATGAAAATGGAAATAGTTCAAACTCGCACTTCATTGGAAACAAGTGTATGACGATCAGAGTCAAATAGATAAGGAAACATGCAAATTTACTTCGATCTGGTCAACATAAATCCGCAAGGGGAGACTCCAGGGATGAGACAAGATATGATGCCGACAGTTGCGAGTCAGAAGGAATGATGGCTAACAGAAGGAGACGAGTGAGATGACAGTCACATGTTGGGATAATGAGAGGTTTCTCTGTAGTCCGTGTCCGGGGAGCAGGGCGTAACGATGAGGAGCAATGATACCCGTTATTGAAGCTATGGAAATTTACCGCAAGGAAAGAATCTAGGGAAATGAAGCTCCTGAAAGGGGGAAAAAGAGAAAAAGACGAAAAGACGAAGGAGACATGTGCATTCAGAAATGGCTGCTTGTGTTTCAATGGAATGGAAGTCGCAGTCTTACTGGTCTTGTTGGCTGTTGACGCAAGAGTAAGCCCCTACGAGATCCAAGGATCATGTGATGTGCGAATCTCTGCTGTTGCCTGGGGGAGGGGGGTCGGAGTTGCTGCAAGAATCCAGGTAGTGTATTATTGTCCTTGAACCAAATATAGAGAAACACTTTTAACCCTGGATAAAGCACCGCAGAGCGTTCTAAACCCTAGAAGCCGTGTGTTATATTACTCGCAGGCAAGGGAGGCAGCCAAAGTTGTGGAACAGATGTCAAGCAAGTACACACTGCTAGCAACCATTCACCACTGAAGTGCTCATATATTTCAGCATGAGGTGGCCGAGAAAGACCAAAGGTTCTTCCCAATACCATAGATATAAAGTTCCATCTCGTAGATAACATGTGCATGCAATGTAAAATGACGAGATGATTCCGTCCGCAGCATACGGGGTACTCTTCGGTGAGTAGAAAGCTGGCCATTCAATCACTATGATCTGGGTTAGGATTCTGCTTGCAAATACTTCGAATTTGGAATTGAGTCAACTAATCACGAAGGCGGGGTTATCTTCATCAGAACTACCAATCCGTTGCTCGTTGAGGATGACGACTCTGAAAAAGGGTTTGCAGAAAGCTCAAACTAAGGCCGGCCATTACAGTGACAGCGACACAACGTTCGCGATCGCCTGTTTGATGTCACGGCAAATGATAAGTAAGAGCGGGTCACTGGGCAGCTTCGCTGAGCTTCGCTGAAGCCCGAACGTAAACATATTGATATTGTCGTTTCTCCCCGGCCACACTCTCGGTTGTCGGTTTTCAGGCGCCATCACTTGCTTTTGAGGATGCATGACTGGAGCCGGTTCTCGCAAAATGAACCAGCTACCAAGGTTGAAGGGTGCCTCTGAAGGATCTGATGTCCTTATCTCATCGGAGTTCCAAATTGGCAGCGTGGAATAATCTTGGTGACCACGGCCAAAGTTGCGGCCAAAGGTAAAGTCGAGAAAGTAAACATTTATTCCATGTGGAGTTTTGGAAACCAGAAAGCCACCAGGCCAAAAGCCACGAGGCTAGAGGCCAGTTTGACTACTTGGTGGCTCAAGCGTTTCTAGCGAGCCACCTCTTAACAGAGGTGGGGGAAATAATCTGGGACAGACGCGCTTGGACAATATGCGAAAATACGCGTTTTACCACCAAAATACCATATTTCCAAGTGCCTTCAACACCTGTATTTTTCCTACTAGTAAACCAATAACCTGAAATGTTTGCAGATGGGCAATTAACGCCCCCTAAGGGGCTTAATAGCGCCAGAATGCACTTGATTCGCGAGCAGCGAGTCGGTGCACTACGTAATAGTAGTACTACCACTACTACTGCCACCACAACTTCCAGTAATACTACTCCTACACCAATTAGCCATTCCGTACGCGCCCTCGCCGCCAGGGCAAAGGATGGCGCCAGCAAGTCATCTATCCATCGCCAACTTCAGGCCCTTCGCCATGGCCTTCCTTACTATGGCTTACAACGGGCGCGCGGCCGGCCCCGCGCCCTTACGGATGAAGAAGATCGCGCCCTCGTCGATTACTGCTTAATTCTTCAGCGTGGCGCCTTCCCTGCTATCAAGTCTATGGTTAAGGCCGCTGCCGATGAACTCCGATCGCATCGAACGCCGCCGATGCCGCCGCTATCACCGAAAACGATGGTCGCGTGGTGGAGGGATCACCCAGAGCTCACTTAACAAAACCGAGGCGAAGGACCTCAAGCGGCTAAATGCCGAAGAGCAGTATGAATACATTGAAGAGTTCTTCCATCTCCGGCAGCGTACTATGTTAGAGCATAAGATATCTCCATCAGATGACTGGAATGCTGACGAGACCGGTATCCGAATCGGCTGCGTTGCCGGCAATACGGAAGTAGTTGAAGTCAAGTACGTTGTTCAAGAGAGGCTGGTTATCGCTGACTTCGCCAACCGCGAATCTGGTACTGTTATTGGCGGCGGATCGGCCATGGGCGAGATTATTCCACCCTACTGCATCTTCAAGACTTGGCCACTTATGGACTGGGCCGCAGCACCTGGCGATGGCCACACTCGGTTCACAAGGTCAGAAAACGGCTTTTCTAGCAAAGAAATACAGCTTGACTACCTACGGCACTTCAATCAGCACTCGTTTCGCAGCTCCCCGACCTTCCAAGCCACCGGATTCACTCTACAGAAGTGGTTTGGCTGTAACGAGTGCGGCGAGACCCCCGATGGCAGATTTAGTGATCCCGAACGCGAAGGGGGCATGAGGACTATGGGAAACAACTTACGGAAGTATCGGCTACTCTCACTCGACGGCTTTACGGGCCATATCTCACTCGAGGCCGGTGCATATTGCCTACAATTCGACATCATTCTACTCTTCATGCCATCTCACTCGACTCACTTCCTACAGCCCTGCGATGTGGCCGTATTCAGCGTTATGAAGTGGAAGCACCAAGAAATTCTACAACAACACATCCGGCAAGGCGGTCTACGGTTCAACCGTACAGACTTCGTCTACAACCTTCATAAGATCTACTATGGCGCCTTTACGCGCCACAACATGATGAAGGGCTTCGAAAAGAGCGGGTGCTACCCTCACAATCCACATATTGTACTAGATGAACTCAAGAGACGCGCCCACCAAACGCGGCCAATTGCTTCATCCGTCGCTACTTCCGCCAGCCAACCGCTACAGCAGGGCCAAGGAAGCTTCTCAGTACTTGATGAACCGCCACATCAAGGTCCCTAACCTACTACTAAGCTCGCCCTCACGTGAAGCCATAAGACTGGTTGCCGATATGACTGATGAAGCCATGGTATTGAAAAGGGCTAACGATCAACAACAGAAGCGTCAACTCGATCAGAAAGAGCGATACAATAACCGTGGCAAGCGCGTATTCGTCAAGCCGGCCGGTCTCGTCTATACCAGTGTAACCCACGCCGAACTACAAGAATATGCTGACGAACTCACACGTACGGAAGCCAACAAGGTTGTACACAAAGAGAAGGCACAAATGCGGAAGATAATACGTGAAGAGGAAGCGCAGTTGAAGGCCAAATGGCGCGCAGAAGTAAAGGGCACCATGAAATGGAAGGACTGGCTACAGTACATCGGCCGCGCGGATGACTTGATCCCCTTCAGCAGCAGTCACCCACTATGTACCGAGCCCAAACAGCCCCCTACGGCTACCTTCACAGTTGACACATCACGGCAGAACATAGGCCCTTGGCTAAAGCGGCCGCTTCGAGATTACAGGCCCCTAGGCGGCAGCGACAGCGAGGTTGATGGCAATTCCAGTACAGAATCGTTGGACATTGTATGCGGTCGTACACCGGCCAGTCCACTACAGAAGAGGGGCAAGCGGAAGCGGCCGGTTAGCGATATAGGGGATGAGTTCGACTCTGACCCTAAAGAGGAGGATAACGAGGTATCAAACGGCAGTGACGACACTGAGGAGGTACCAAGCAGCCCTCCGTTGCCGAGTGCTGTAAGATTTATTAGCCAATATGGCGACCAGGCGGCCTTGACGCCTTGGAACCCACTGCCGAGGGGGTATGGTGGTGCGACAGCGAGCCAAGGAGGTAGTTAGCAAGGAGGTGAATATGTTGTATTTTTAGCTATAGCGGTCTCATCAAATACAGCAATTTGTAAACCTTAGCGATTTCGACCATTTTTGTCCAAAGTCCATACTTGATTGCGGGTATACAGTATAGTTGTAGCAAACGCCCTGAGGTTGACGGCTCATCTAGTCGTTGATTTACTGTAGAGAAATCAAGCCGCACGGACCCCTCTGTCCCAGATTATTTCCCCCACCTCTGTTAAGAGGTGGCTCGCTAGAAACGCTTGAGCCACCAAGTACCTCTTTTTATGATATTACATTATTGCATATCTGTGGAGTAGCTGTGGACCCTTGTCAAGATAAGGCGCCCCACGACCTCGGGATCCACTGGAGCCGAGGCCGATAGTCTTGGAATTTACTTGCACATAATTGGCACACGATAAATCGCGGAGAAGAACGACTGACCGTGTAGTAGTTGCAACCCCCAGTCAAGTCAGTGGTCAGGATGTTGGTGCGGTTGATCCCGCCTACTAGCGATTAATCTGAAGGTCATGCGCGACTCGTGTTCATCTTCCAACATCGCCATGAATCTTCATCAAATCGACGGAGTCCTTATTTCAGGCCCCTCCTAATCCCATGCTCTTGCTATGAAATACCTTACTTGAAGATATCTCACAAAACCAGTCATCATGGTTTTGATCGGTATCAGACGATCACTATTGTCCAAGACGTTGCCAATCATCATGGACGAGAAGATGGCGCCCCCGCAGCCAGCTGCCATCAGCAGCAGATATTCGCGCATTAGACCTTCCAAGATGACGACTGCCTTCTGCTTGGGGCTCTTGATGGTCGTTCTGCTGAGCTGTAAGAGCTTCATCAAACTGGAACGTCCTAGACTTCATGCACCGTTCAACGAAAAAGACGCTCATGAGACCCCCAAGAAGTGGACGTGGAGCGACGTCGAACCAAGCAGGCAGCTCAAATGGGAGCGTTGCTACGACGATGGGTTCGACTGCGCCCGACTCGATGTGCCCATGGACTGGCTCAACCCCTCCGACGATGAACGTGTGGTCCTGGCCATGATGCGCCTTCGCGCCACCGAGCAACACCACTACAAGGGTCCGGTCTTCTTCAACCCTGGCGGCCCAGGAGGAAGTGGCATCTATGCTCTGAAGGATCACGGGAAGCTCCTGCAGACAGTCGTTGGCTTGAACCACGACATCATCTCGTGGGATCCTCGCGGCATTGGGGCATCGGTGTCAAGAGTCGACTGTTGGGACTCCCCGGAAAAGGGGCGACTGTGGGCTTTGCAGGATGTTGGAGTCGTCGGTTCGCATCCTGGAGTTCTGTATGACGCATTCGCCAGGGCAACGGCTTTCTCGCAGGGTTGCGAGCGAACCATGAACGCTTCTAATTTGTTGTCGCACATCGGTACTCCTTCTCACGCACGCGACTTGCTCGAGATGGTTGATCAAACTGAGAACGATAAGTTGAAATTCTGGGGCTTCAGCTACGGCACTCTGTTAGGCGGCACATTTGCTGCCATGTATCCTAACAAGGTCGAGCGCCTTGTGAGTGATGGTAGGATTGCCCCACACGCCTTCCCCTCCCCCCTCCCCCGGGGGAAAAATAGCCATAGTACATTGTTACTCATAGGATTATCGCAGGCAATGTGGACTATCGAGAATGGTATCACCAAACCCACATTAACTTCCTACGCGATACCGACAAAGTCAGTATGTAACTTCGAGATCTGTTTATTCCCCTTTTTGGTCTATATCCAAAGCAAAATTTGTCCCATAGAGTTGTCTAAGATGCTTTTGCTCTTGTTATATGACTTAACAGTCCCGAATTACCGCTTGGATGCCCCTAAGTAAATACTGACTCACGTTGTTCTAGTGGAGGCTTTTTACCGCTTTTGCCACGCTGCTGGACCACTCAGCTGTGCCTTCTATGCTGAGACTCCCGCAGCCATTGAGAAACGCCTTCAGGACTTGCTGCAATCCATCCGCGAGCACCCGATCATCGTTTCCGTCTTCGATGGTGGCCCGGATATGCCCCAGCTAATCACCTGGTCTCACGTCAAGCGCTTGATTTCCGCGGCGCTTTATCGCCCTATCTTCATGTTCAAGAAGTTTGCCGAGGTTCTCAAGAGTCTAGAAGACCGCGATGGCGTTCCCTTTTATGCCCTGATGCACAGCGAAAGCTCGACGCCCCCTATCTGCTCCATCGAAGCTATCCCACCAAATGTGCCTGCCGTCGAGGAAGATACAGGCGACGCTTTCCCGGCCATCATGTGCGCTGACCTCCCCCTGATGAACCAGACGGTCGAGGAGTTTGGCGAGTTCGCCCGCTATCTCGAGGAGATCAGCTCAGCTGCTGGCGCCGTTAACACACTATTCCGACTCGCGTGTATTGGTCGCACTGTGCGACCCAACTGGAAGTTCGATGGTACATTTTGTTTGGCATTTGATCTAGATACTGTGCATGGCTGACTCGCCATAGGACCATTCGAGGGCAACACGAGTCATCCCATTCTCTACGTTGCCAACATTGCCGACAATGTTTCACCGCTTGTCAGTGCGAGGAACAACTCTCTAGGGTTTCCCGGATCGGTGGTGCTCGTCCAAAACTCATATGGAGTGAGTAGCCTTGTTTCCATGTCACGATTGTATATACTGATATGACCGCATTTTAAAGCACACTACACTGTCTGCCGCATCGAAATGCACGGCAGGCCACATCCGTGCGTATTTCCAAGAAGGTTTGATGCCAGATGTCGGAACTTTATGTGAGCCAGACTACTATCCGTTTCAGGAGGCCAAGCCGGATGCAGGGGACGAGCTGTCCATTGCTTTGCATGGGCTTTCGAAGGCGAATTGGGGATTCAGGAACGAATTTCACTTTTGAGCTTGTGGGTATTAGAATGATAGAATTATAAGTCATGAGTAAAAAGAACAGCAGTAGAAAATTATTCGTATCATCGCAGGACGGCCTTCATTTCTGTTGCGTGCCCCAGGTACACCGGTTAGGTGCTGAGTGCAACGCTTGGGCCAACTGCCCGTAGAAAGCACTTCCATAGTCTCATCATAATCATCAATACCATTACAAACACAGCTCTCTTTTTGTATTATCCATAACTTCCCACTCGACGCGAACATCACAACTGGATTCTGAAATAATTGCATCATGTCCGAAACGGTTTAAACCACCAACATCGACTCGCACACGCGTTCTACTCCTCAACCAAATTATTTTTCTCACTACACGATTGTTAGTTTTAATGCTCCACCGAACTGAAGGACAAGCTTACGGGAGCACAAAGTTGGGCAACAACAGGGCGAACCCGAGCCCAATCACGGACGCCCCGAGGGCAGCATAAGTCGTGTATCTCATGACATCAGAGAACTGCAAACCACGTTAGCGACGAATCAGACAGGATACCTCAAGCCAACTTACCGCCAAAGCAATGGCCGTCCTCTCAAATGTGCCCCAGTCAGGCACAACTCCTGTAATCGAGTTGGCCAGAGCATTGATAGCAGCTGCTTGAGTCCCGTCAGGCATGTATCGCCACAGTGCCGGGACGAGAGTGTTTGTGTAAATGCCACCAGCAATGCAAGCACCGATGCTGCCACCGACAAATGAGAAGCAGATGACCAAGGCGGTGACCTGGGGCATCTCGGCATGGATTACGACGATCTGTGCGGGTACCAAAAGACAAGTCTGGATCATTCCCGATCCAAGACCCTGAATCAGCTGAACCACGTAGATCTCACCGGTCGAGTTTTCAGCGCCGCGCAGACGTAACATGACGCCGTAGCCGACCAGCCGTACAACGCTACCGACGACGGCTATCCACTTGTATCGCCGCAGTTGGCCCATGAGCAAGCCGGCGAGGATTCCGGTAAGACACTGCATAACGCCGTTGGTATAAGTGAAGAAGGTGGCGTCGCGGGCGGCGAACCCCTTGGCGACGGTGACCCAGACATAGAGGTAGGTGTGCGTGCAGGCGAAGCCCAATGAGTCAACGGCGATGAGGATAAGGCAGCAAACAATGGTCCTGTTTAAGAAGTAACGCACAGGGACGATGGGGTGCTTGGCCATGAACTTCTCGTAGAAGGGCAAAGCGATCAGGAGCACACAGCCTATGCCGATCAAGGCATCTAGGTAGGGCGTTTTCCACCGAGCCGATGTCGTTGCAGCCAGGGTCAGGGGTACCAAAATCATAGCCAACCCTCCACTGAAGAGTATGATGCCACCCAGGTCGATCTGGGAGCAGAACTCGACGATGCCTATCTTGACGCGCGGGGCTAGGTCCTCCTTCTTGGCCTTGGCTTGATAGTAGAGCAGGGTGGTGATGATGAAGCTGGCGCAGAAGGGCATGAGTATGGCGAACATGCCGATACCCCATCTCCAACCGATGCCCGTAGGCGACACCACACTGGCCACTATGAAGCCGGCGATCCACGGCGTTACCAGGAACGGCGTGAAGGTGAGACCGATGGCGAAGGGACGCCACCGTGCTGTCGTGATATCCGAAATGACAATGTCGTTCATGATGTTGGTGCCGCTCTGACCCACAGAATAGAATATGGTACCCGCGGCATACGTATTAAATGTCGTTGCCGACGCCATCAAGATATACGCCAGGATGTAAAAAGAGATGGTGAGTAGATATGTCTGCCCTCGGCCGATGACATTGCTGACTTTCGCAATGGGCGGCTTGACAATGGCGAAAATGATGGAGCCCGCTGCACTGAGAGACGCCAACTTGGAAAGCGCTCCAAATGATGAAGTTGAGTAGTTGTTGTAGATGTACACGGTTGAGTTGTCGATTTCGTAGATGGTCATGACGAGCCCAAGACCGGCGATGATGAGCCACCGACCATGCCTGCCCCACAGTGCTTTAGCAGCTTCAATCGTCTGTACACCTGGATCTACGGGTGCAGACACCTGTCCCTTCTCATCATCATGGTCGTGGCCATGGTCCTCTGCCCGACTCTTAGGCCGTATGGCAGCCTCCTGGACCGCAGACACGGGTGCTGCTGAATGCAAACGTTTCTTCAAACGTTTCTTGAGGCTGTCGAGCACCGCCATGGTCGCTGTGTCTTTGTTGTCAAGTCCTGGGACAGTAGATGTTAAATGGACGATTGAGGGTGAGGTTACGCAGGGAATCGGCCGAACCTCCAACTGTCAACAACTAAAACTCAGAACGATTGACTCAAGACAGGAACCCCGACAACTCTGTCGTTAGTCCCGAGAGATTATCACAATCTCGCAGCTGAATTCGCCGTAGCAGTTGCTTCGCATTTGCTGCTCTCGGGGAGCGTGCTCTACCGTACGGCATCGAGTCCAATAAGCGACAAGCCCGGAAGTTCCGAGTCACTATCATCGTCCCAAACGGGAAAGTATAACAAGCTGCCCAATGGCGACACCCTTAATTCGCTGTATGTGGGCACGCGTCACTGGAAGGACCTTCGTAGGTTGTTCTTATCGTGAAATAATGAGGGGGAGACCTGGGGTGAATAAGTGGAGTTGGGTCAGTCTGGAGGGAAGACCCCTGAACCGGACTAGTCTTATCTTTCCGCGGATTCGGCACCACTTGTAGTTGTTGCGGGCCCATCCTATCACGACGTTGCATACCCTTCAAAGCGGAATATTAGTTTAAAGGCAATGTATCTACTCCTCGCTTGGGTTAAACGGAGTAGGCTATTCAAACCACGGGGCTGGCCAGTGAGACATACAGGTCAACCCTGATTGGCTGACCCTCTGATAACAGCTGCATGAACAAAGCCTTCCCAGGCTTCAATGGCTAGACTACCTCCATCAGGATGAGGGCCTACCTGCTCTAGGTTTCGATAATATGCTGATGGGTTGGTTTGGCCTGTCTGGACATGGTATTGAAACAGTACATGGACCTTTCCATCGCAATAGATGCATGGCGCTCCCTTTGGACATCAATATTATCTTTCTCATCTTCATCTTCAGCTTTCGCTGTAAGTATGGGCTTCCCAACCGCTGGCTCCTCTTTCGAAGAGTAGTCCCCAGCCAGTCATGCCTCGACAAGCTGCAACCCGTCGAAGAACCGTGATACCTCCTCAAGCTTAGGGCCCTTGGTCTCGGGGAAGCACAAATACATGATAATCCCGACGAGTACGTTCCACGAGGCGTTGATGAGATAATTTTTCAACCAGCATCCGTCATGGCGTAGTTCATGGCGAAAGAACAGAGAAAACTGTAGCCAGCGTTAGCATCAAGTTCACTAGGGAGACCCCCAATGCTTGAGAAAGTAAGAGAGAAAGTGTTGACCCGAATCCGTATTTGACGAAACGGAGAATAGCCATACCCGCAGTGCGCAATTTGTACTGCGAGATCTCGGTAGGGTACAAACTCGTCATCGGCGTGACGACGAAAGAGTAGAAGCCCTGGAAGAGAAAGATGAATGCTTAGTTCCGTAGATGCCAGATTGGTTGTCAATTGTGCCATACACTACTGACGGATTAGCAAAGTAGAAGAAGCCATGCTTTTGAAGATTCCACCTACCCTTGATGACCCCTCCAACCATACACAAACTCGCGTTCATAGCTCCAATGCTCAGCATGGTCTGCCATCGTCGACCAAGTACACCTAGCAGAAAGCTTCACATGAGAGTGACGACCAAATATAATTAGTTCAGCACCACATTGATATGAGTCTGGGTCTTGGTGTTGGAAATACCCGCCTGGTCGAGGATGTTGTTAAGGTAAAAAGACACTAGGAAGTTACCATAATTATGGATCGTGCAACTAAAGGCCACGATGACAAATAACCTCTTCCGGTTCCCAGGTGTGGAGACATACTCTAATAGTAATACATAATTACATGGATATTCCTCCCATTCGTCATAATTGTCGTGATCTAGTACGTTTCCTCGGCCGCCTTGTTGAAATTGTTGACCCCGGTTCCCTGCATGATCGCCAGGACCTCTTGGGCGTAAGCATCATGGCCCTTGGCGATCAGATCGGGTAGACTAGGGGACGAATGGAAGCAGCCAAATGGACAAGACGCTGGGCACAACTTGCATCAGCTCAGGGAGCCGCCAAACCCAAGTTGATGCGATATTCTGGCTTCCGTAGTCGACGATACTGGGGATCAGGCTGCCCACATAAAGGCAGGAAAAGAGCACGCCGAGAACCTGGCCACGGATTCTGGACGGTAGAGTCTCTCCGACCAACGTCGGGGCGGTAGGCAAGGATGGCTGCCGGAACAATAATGGCCCTTTTCCGACCCAATCCATCAGCGACAGCCTGCACAAAGAAAGAGCGGATCATCGCACCGATCCATGTACCAGCAGTGCTGAAACTCGTAGTCAGCCATGATTTAAAAGTATTCCGTGTATGACAGTACGATAAGACTGTTTAACACATATCGCGAAGGAGGATTTCTTTCCTATCTTCAAAGACGCCTTCTTTGCAGTTTTCGGCGAAAAAAACGTTCAAGCTGGCTTTCGAAGGGCAGGACTTGTTCCATTCAATCCAGAAAGTGTGATTTCAAAGCTGGACGTACGATTACGGACCCCGACGCCTGTTGGCTCCCCAGACATCGCAACCCGACCGTGGGTATCAAAGACGCCACAGAACCCGATAGAGGCTCATGCACAGTCTACTTTTTTGAAAAAGCGCATCTCAGAGCATCAGAATAGCTCTCCGACGAATATTTTCTCAGCTGTCGACCAGTTTGCGAAGGGAGCAAAAATGATAATGCACGAGCTCGCCCTCGTACGGGCCGAGTGCGCTGAGCTTCGAGAGGCAAATAAGATGCTAAGCCGGCGCCGGAGGACTAAAAAAATGCAATTACGGGAAGGAGAATCACTTATTTTCCAAGAAGGACAGGACCTACGGGACTCTAGGGAGTTGGCGACGCAGATACAGCAAGAAGAGCGCCGAAATGGTGGTCGCGCAAAGCGTGTTGAAACGCGCCCGAGGCGCTGTGGTATTTGCAACGGGACTGGGCATAATGCGCGAACTTGTAAGATCGCATTGCCATCTTCTGGAGAGGAAGATTCAGAGTAGTTTCAATTGATTTACGGCGTTGTGGTTTTACTATCGTAAAATTTCTATGCGAGGTTATGTAAGGGTGTCGTGGCCAGCTCGGTGTACATTCACGTTATCGCGATTAAAAAATACTTTAATTTTGTAAAGGTATGGTAGTTTAGAGATAAATTAGTCGAGAAATTAGCTAAATCGGTGTCCCGGCCAAATCGGTGTCTAGCATTAACTTATGTTAGTGAGCTCAAGCGAGTCCGAAATAAGTGGGGTGTGGCACGGGTAGCACTCACTTCTAGCAACCAACGCAGCACAACGCGTAGTGCAATTAATACAGGATCCACACGGAGTCATCAATAGAGGACTAAATCCCTCACTTGCAGTACAATTTCTTACATGAAACTTGTTATCTCACGGAGGTTATGAATACCCTTTAGTATTATTTGTGAAAGAGCTGAAATAACGCGAGAGCTAGGATAGTTTATCCGACCTAGGCCGAATTGCTGACAAGGGTCAGTGGTATTCATCGGATCTCATCGAAAACGTCTGCCACACTTTGAAACCAAGCGGTTAGGAGTAGTCTGCAGGATGGATCAGAACCTCATTTTCCACGGCACAGTGATTCACTCACGCAATCCTGCGGAAATCTCCATATTTAAGAACACACTGTTGATCATTTCTACAGATGGCAGAATCAGCACGTTGAGGAAGGACACCAATAAATCATTGGTCCCTACTATCTTGGCGGGTTTGAAGGCATCTGGCGAACCGACATATCTTGACCGCGGCCATTTCATCATACCAGGCTTCATCGATACGCACAACCATGCTCCGCAGTGGGCGCAGCGGGGTTTGGGGCAGAGCATGCATATCCTCGACTGGCTCGACGAAGTTACCTTCCCTAACGAGGCTCGGTTCCGTGATCCCGACTACGCAAGGCGCATCTACTCGAGCTGCATCGAAGGCTTCCTCAAGCAAGGGATCACCACTGCATCCTACTATGGATCTATGCACGCCGAGGCGACCAGAATCCTCGCTGACTTGTGTCTGGAAAAGGGCCAGCGTGCCTTCGTTGGAAAGTGCAACATGAGTCGCAATTCCCCCGACTACTACCGTGATGCGACGGTTCAGTCGTCCCTGCAGGATACAAGAGATTGTATTGATCACATTCGAAATATCGACCCTGAGAGCACTCTGTTGAAACACGTTTTGACTCCTCGGTTCGCTATTGCCTGCGAGGCAGAACTACTAAGGGGACTAGGGGACATTGCGAACGAAAATCCAGACCTGCCCATTCAAACGCACTTCAACGAAGCAGAGCAGGAGATTAACCTGACCAAGACGCTGTTCTCGCAATTCGAGAATGAGGCAGACTTGTACGAACACTATGGATTACTGACACGCCGCTCGATCCTAGCACACTGCTGCTTCATGACCGAGTATGAGATGGGCCGTCTCAAAGAGCTGGATTGTGGCGTTTCTCATTGTCCTATCTCCAATATGACCGTTGGAGGTGGGTTCATGGCATCCCCGATAAGAGACTTCCTTCGACGGGGTATCAAGGTTGGACTCGGGACCGACAGTGGTGGCGGCTTTTCGAGTAGCATCCTGGATGCAATGAGACAGGCACTTATTGCTTCGAATGCACGAGAGGTCATGAGTAAAGGCAAGGACAAAGGCTTGAGCATTGCAGAGGTCTTCTATCTTGCTACTCTTGGTGGTGCACGAGTGTGTTGTCTGGATGACAAGATTGGAAGTTTCGAAGAAGGGAAAGAGTTTGATGCCTTGGTCATCAACACTGCCTCGTCTGGCATCATGACCATGGTTGAGGATGATGATCCGATCAGGACTATCTTTGACAAGTTCATAATGACTGGTGATGATCGCAATATTGAGAAAGTCTACGTACGGGGACGGTCAGTCAAATCTTAGGGGAAATCAATCAATTATTTGTGTACCTCAACGCGTTGCCCTACCCGGATAGGCCATGCTAAACTTGTTTCCCAGTGTCTAAGACCGGCATTACTGAAGTATCGCCTGTGATCCTCAACGAACTGCAAGATGGCTCCCAGAGGCACTCCTCTACTCATGACGGCTTCTTCATGCCACGAACAGTGGAGTCTATCCAATTTTCCCGTCTTCAAGGTAAGTAATGGCGCCACTATGACCCTAGTACATCCAGCAGGACATTGCTCTCCCAAGTCGACGGTGCAGTGAGGGTTTGATTGCGTATGATGGAAAGTGGAGCTCATAGGCACACTATGCCCTTGAGTATCCCAATTCCAGAACGAACATCGTTATTTCATGAATCAACTGGCTGCGTGGGCGACTCTTGACGATCTCGACCTATTGTGGCTTGCTATCTACTTAGGCAAAATAATGGATTATTGAAAGCTACGCCCGAATATATATATATAATAAATAAGCTTAAGATTAACGAACTAACTAAAAAAACGAAGATTAAAAAGAAGATAATGATAATAAGGGATAATTAAGGAGAAAGTAGTCGTGAGTCCCTGTGTACATCTTGAAGCGAAGAATTGTCAGATAGGACACCTGGTTCCTAGGTTCAGAAATAATATGGCACTAGAGAAGACTAGTGTCACTTGAAGTTCAGACGGCGAAATGAACCCCTCTTCCCGAAAGTAACTCCGAAGTTCGGGGTCAGACACCTGAACAATGCACCTCCGACATTTCCGAAAGAATCTATAAAGGGCAGAGCAACGGGAGTTCGCGAGAATAGAACACAGACAAGAACACACCTCATTCATATACAATCTTATGCACTTCTGACTACTCGATTGGACACACGTGATATTCGACAAGAATAGGGAGTCCTCCCTGCCCCTGTTACCAATTTTCCCTAGTGTCCGGCCTAGCCCCAGTATTACTAGGTTAGGCAGTACTACCTACTATACTTCTACTTAGTATTTAGGGTATTATAGTATCGAGACGGTATTACCAAAAGGTCCGTAGGATACTTCACTTAAGTAAGAGTAATTAAAATATAACGAAACCTCTAACGTATCCCACAAGCAAGTTGGCCACTTTTTCTTGGCACCGTATGAATAACTTCAATAACTTAACTAAACTAAAAAATAATAATTCAAACTAATCGGAATCCTCTTCCTCGTATGTATCTTTATCATTCTCACAAGTATGAGCATTATGTCCGGGCTCTCCGCAGATCCTACAGCGCCGTCGGCGTGGTTCGGCCGGTCTCGTACGACGACGACTTACACGTATATCATCCTGTAGCTGCTGTTCAATATCCCGTTGAGACTGGAAGTCCTGAGCGTCTCGTAAACTAAGAGATCCTCCATCTTGTAGCTGTCGATTTTGAGTCCTTCGACGACGGCTTAGCTCTTGATTGGCCTTCCGAAGTGTAGTAACCTCATCCTCAAGTAAAACTAACCGATGCATAACAGCCGTCGCACCACGTGAAAATTGGTCAATAGCCGTAAGTATTGTCGTCGGGGAGCTATTCTGATGCTGTACGATTCTGTTTTTAACGTATTCAGACTGGGATTGCGCCTCGGTTGGGTTATTTGGAGTCTTTGATTCCCAGATTAAGGGGGCGCCAGACGAGCTCCCAGGAGGTGTAGGCGTATGTAGCTTAATATCCAGCTGTGAAATCACATATTCCGGGTCGTACGGAATAAGTCCTGTCCCCCTGAAACCTGCCTGGATATTCGACTTAGTTATAGTCGTACGATACTCCCTATAGAATGCCGAAAAGAAATCCTCCTTCGAGATATGGGTTATATGCGCCCGTATTAGGTCTTCAATTTCTTTGCCGTACGACCTTTTCAAAGCCCTAAAACAGCCTACATCGAGAGGCTGGAGCTTATGTGACGAATGAGCAGGCATACTAAGTGTAATAATAGTATGCTCTTTGCAATATAGCTCGAAGTCAGTCGAGTGGTGGCTCTCATGCCCGTCGAGGATAAGAAGACGATAAACACCCTTCGTACGATCCTTCGTATAGCGATCAAAGTGCTGAATCTAGTCTACGCCTCGCTCATTTGTTGTCCAACCTTTTTTGGTTACAGCGATTACCTAATCGGACGGGAATGGGCTATTCTCGTACCAGGATAAGAGGTGGTTTTGACCCGCGATAATAATATACGGCGGGATAGCCCAGCCGGACGAATTAATACCCTGGATTACTGTAGCCCATTCTCGATTGCCTTGTTGGACTGTACGAGGCCTTCCGCGTCGTTCGGCACTTGTAACTACCATCTCGGATGAGATTAAGCCTATCGCGAACCCTGTCTCGTTGAAGTTATAGATATCTGTCAGATATGACACCTGGTTCCTAGGTTCAGAAATAATATGGCACTAGAGAAGACTAGTGTCACTTGAAGTTCAGACGGCGAAATGAACCCCTCTTCCCGAAAGTAACTCCGAAGTTCGGGGTCAGACACCTGAACAATGCACCTCCGACATTTCCGAAAGAATCTATAAAGAGCAGAGCAACGGGAGTTCGCGAGAACAGAACACAGACAAGAACACACCTCATTCATAATACAATCTTATGCACTTCTGACTACTCGATTGGACACACGTGATATTCGACAATATCCGCCTCTTGGATACCATATTTCGCAATTGTATTTCGTACGAGCGTAAACCACGCGCGATACGCGTCAGGATCTTCGCAATAGGCCCGTTGGTAGTCGATTCTTCGATTAAAACGCGTCCGAAGGTCTGGTTGTGTTACGAACCGTTGGCCCTGAACCAACATTACAGGCCCGTCGGCAGGCCAGGTGGATACAGACGCTAGGATCACGGGACCCCGCATCGGAGGAAGGAAAGGACCGATAGGTCACGTGACCTACAGGGGTGGATATGTTGGACAACCAACATATCCAAGTGGGGATCAGTGAAGGAGAGATGGAGATATTATTATTATTATTAAATACGCCGTAGGCTCGAAGCCCCCGGTACCTCTACTAGTACTCCCGTATGTCAAACCGTGCCCTAATGGCTGGACTAAATACATACGCTGCGTCGTCGGTTCGCCCTATTGGCGACTGCGTTACGTCCACTACCATACTACGTTGGTTCTCAACCTACCAACAAAGTCCCCCCTGAGAAGATCGATGCTATCTGGGCCTTGAAGCTGTCCGACCCGTCCCTAGCAGCCACCTTACAATAGTCCCACTAACTACTGGTTCTCCTGTTGCCGTTGCGAGGTCTCTGCGAGAGTATAGTGGCCGTGGTGCGATGGCGGCCCGTAATCGTTCCCTCGGTCCTTCCAACAGCCCGCAAAAGAGGATTACGTGCTCTGCCGTCTCAGGGGCATCGCCACAGCGGCATAGCGGCGAGTACACGCCAAAAGCCCCTGTCTTGAATAAGAAGGCTGCTAGTCCTATTTTTTCCGTCCTGATCTGGCACAGCGTAGACGCCTCCAGTCGGTTCAGGCCGAAATACTTGCCCCCTTTCGGTATCTGCATCGAAGGGCCCTCCGGTTCCTCAGCGATAGCGCGTCGCTGGCGATCGTGATGCTCTGCTCCGGTGAGCCATCTCTTCCTCCAGTGGCCGAGGAGGGCAGCCGGGACCTCCTTTTCCTCACTCATCCACTCGGAGCCCCGGGCCTCCTTCTCCATAGTGTACCCTGCCGGTCGGAGTAGCTGCGACGCCTGCTTCCTCTTCGCCGGCCTATCCTGCCGGAGTATATGTGACGCTTTAGCGCTCGCGCTGCGAAGCAGATTTCTCTTCCCGCTAAGCCGTAGCCGTTCTTCAAACTTAGCAGCCCGGGCACTAAGATAGAGGTCTAGTGGCGGGATTGCTGCTTCTGCTTCCAGGTGGCGAACCGGCGTCGCTTTGTGGGCGCCACAGACTACCCGGAGGCACTCGTTCTGTATCCCCATCAGGCTCTTAGCTGGCCCTGTCGGTTCCTCACTTATAGTATGCCACGCAGTCGCCCCGAAGGCGCAGATGGATATATAAGGGACAGGACTCCCAGGCATTTCATAGATAGACAGTCTCTACTTCAGTGATCAATCTAAGCATCAATCTAACCCATTGGTGAGGCAAACTGCCTTGACGACTCTATTCCCAGTTGCCCTACTTGAATACTTCAGTTACCCAGAGCCCTATACTCCATACGTCAAACCCCGATATTATTGCTTGAGGACTCCGCAGCAGGACTTACTTACTAGCACAAACCCTTACAGACTCTTTAGTGGTTTACGCAGCTAGACTATTAGAGTTTCGTTACAGGTTGTCGTCGTACGAAGTTTGAGGCCCAGTTGACGCCGACGCCTCCAGCGCCACGGTCACGGAGCAGTCGGTTAGCCATAGCTTCAACACCATGGAGCCGGGGAGGAAATAATCGCGAATCTAGGTCAAGTATGTATTATACGACCGCTAACTCTTCTGATTCCGTAAGCTTATGACTAGATTGTCGAGTATTGTCGAATATCACGTGTGTCCAATCGAGTAGTCAGAAGTGCGTAAGATTGTATATGAATGAGGTGTGTTGTTCTCTGTGTTCTCTGAACTCTCGTTGCTCTGTCTTTTATAGATTCTTTAGAACATGTCGGAGGTACATTGTTCAGGTGTCTGACCCCTAAGTGGACAGTAACTTTGGTGTTACTTTTGGGAAAAGGGGTTCCTTTCGCCTTCTGAACTTTAAGTGACAATAGTCTTCTCTAGTGCCATATTATTTCTGAACCTAGGAACCAGGTGCCCTATCTGACATGAAGCGCCGTTACGAAGGCGTACAACCATTACACATTACTAACATGTCCAAACGGAAAATAACCGAAACCGAAGAGAATACGATTACCCGACGCGTAATTGAGCTAGATTCGCGAACTTTTCCTCACCGGCTTCGATACGTTGAAGAAATGGCGAATATCCTCCGACGCGACCGCGACGCGTCACCCGTCGGCAAGAACTGGGCCTCGAGCTTCGTACGGCGACAACCAGACCTCCGGACGCGTTTAAATCGTCGAATCGATTACCAGCGGGCGTTCTGCGAAGATCCTGTCGCGTATCGCGGTTATTTTAAGCGTGTTGTGGACACAATAGCGAAGCACGGCATCCAGCCGGAGGATATCTACAACTTTGACGAGACGGGCTTTTTAATGGGCATGATCTCAACCGGCATGGTCGTTACGAATACCGAAAGACGTGGAAGGCTTAGGCAAGCCCAGCAAGGCAATAGGGAATGGGTTACTGTCATTCAGGCGGCCAATTCCCAAGGCTGGGCGGTGCCGCCGTACATCATCTTCGCGGCCAAAGTTCACCTCGCTTCGTGGTATCGCGACACCACATTACCGGGCAATTGGGTCGTTGATCTATCCCACAACGGATGGACAACGAATGATATTGGTCTCATCTGGGCAGCTCACTTCGATCTGCACACACGCGATCGTACGAAGGGTGTCAAACGCCTCCTGATCTGACGGTCACGAAAACCATCACTCGATGGATTTCGAACAATACTGCAAGGACCATGGCATCATTACCCTTCCTATGCCTGCCCATTCGTCCCATAAGCTCCAGCCTCTCGACTTGGTGCCTTTTAGTGTTTTGAAACGGGCGTACGGTGTGTTTGTTGAGGGTTTGATGCGACGGCATCATACCCACGTTGCGAAGGAGGATTTCCTTGCCGGTTTTTTGGAGGGGTTTGGCGCTGCTTTTACTGAACAAAACATCAGATCTGGTTTCGAAGCAGCTGGAATTGGCCCTTTTGACCCCGACAGGGTTATATCTGCCCTGGATGTCGCAGAAGTCGCGCGTGGACCCTCTGCCGACCCAGAACTCCTACCCCCTATTTGGACTTCTAAGACACCTACCACCACCCTTGAAGCCGAATCGCAGTCAACGTTGATTAAGAATAGCGTTCAGAGGCATCAAGACAGCTCTCCGACGCATATTCTTCATTCAATTGACTCGATTGCAAAGGCTACGCATGCAATGATGCAAGAGAATGTTATCTTGCGTCGCGAGAACGAAGAGCTTCGTGAGACTAACCATGTGCTAAGCAAACGTCGCAGAACCAAAAACAAGCAAATCCAGTATGGTGGGCCACTTAATATAGAAGATGCACAAGTTCTACGGGCTATTAGGGGTGATACGGGTTTGGAAAGTGAGGAACAGGGTGAAAGTAGTCCTACAAGGAGGAGGGCAACGGGTGCTAGGCGCTGTGGCATTTGCGGAGGAACTGGACATAATGCGCGAACTTGTCAGGCAGATGTAGAAACAGATAATGAAAAGAATCCTGATTGATTTCTTGGATGAATACGGGTTGTTGTTGATCTATCTAAGATTAAAGGTTGGGAGGTCGTGAAAAGTTGGGCAAAGACCCGTGTGGGGCATTGACCTGTGGGTGACGTTACGTCTATCCTATTACTAGTTCCGTCCTAGCCATAATTATAAGACTCGTATAATACTATACGATTTAGCCGCTTTCATATTGAATTACCCGATTCTACTGCTTCCTTCGCCTTCTAGAGGTTATCTTCCCCTATCGCAATCTTCTACACGAAAAGCCAAAGCGTGGGTTGTGATTATTTTGATAGGTATTTGAAAGTAGGGCTGTCCCACTACCCCTGATATCTGACTTCCGCAGGAAACACTCTAGTATTTAGACGATAGCTATTAGTTAACTTGAGCTATACCGGAACGGCCAGAATGCTTACATGGACGGCGGTAGACTTTGAACATAGATCTGCCACCTCATAAAAACTAGCAATCTAGTTATGGACTCCCCGGGTAAATAAGGCCAAGGCCACACTTATCCTGTGAAGCCCTTGGACTCTCTTGACTGTAAAATTAACAAACAAGGAGCCAGCAACATCAGCAAGGCAATGAGTAAACTGGGAAACCCTTCTTGGAAATGGACCGCTGACTCAGGGTTGAGTAATTACTCATGGTATCATTACATTATAAAATCGTACACGCCCGCCGATCTATATATAGACCCGAGAACCAACCCTGACAATCGTACACGTCCTGAAACCCTTTTTTCTTTTCCAGATTCACTGCCTTCCGTTAAATGTTCCTAAATCGTCCCAGCTAACTGGAAAACCCTGTGACTGAGCTGTCATGGCCGGGTCGTCGATGACCGTGGTCGTAAAGCTCTGCCAATCGTCCATCATGTCGGGCGCCTTCAACATCTGGTCAGGATGTGGTTGTGGACTGTTATCATACATATTGAAATCCATGTCCATTGGCGATGGTAATAGCGGAGCAGGAGGAAGCTCCTTGTCCAAAGACAATCTCGGGACCTGCACTTGTTGTATTTGCATAGGCTCTGGTTGCATATGTTGCGACGGTACAGGTTGAGGAGGGAGAAAGCCCTGGTAGGGGTTGTTTTGTGGAATCGGAGACGTCACCGGCGTCACCTCGATGGAGGGTGTTTGCTCGAAAAAGTCATTCGATGACACTCGACGGCTGGGTTGCCTGCTAATCGGCATCAAAGAGGTCGAGGACGTCCTCCGCAGCCCTTGGCTTTGCGATGTGATGGAGACCTGGTGATGGTAGTCAGGATGCGGCGGAGCGGTGATGGTCTCCTGTGACGATGACGCTTCGCCCGCTGCCGATTTTGGTTTCAGGACAACGTGGCAGTAGCCCCACGCGCAGCGAGCTATCTTTTCGGCCGACTCCTTGGTTCCATCGAAGAATTCCAGAAAGTCCTGGAGTTGCCCTGGACTTTCATTCTCCACATATCCCTGAGCCCTCCCGGTATTGTCAGGGCTCCAGCTGAACATGGGCTGGTGTCCATTGAATTTGTGTTCTTTCCTCGAGACCAGATCCCTCCATGCTTCTAAAATGGAAGGCTGGTGCAGAAGGCCATATATCACGTTGGAATGCAGCCAGTCAGACTTGGCACAGCCTTGTTCAAAATGGGATGCGACATGCTCATAGTGTTTTTCCAACTTTCCGTGCATGGCGGCGCAAAACCCGCAACCCCATGCCTTCCTCTTTCTCATATACTTGACCACGTTATCGGAGTGCGGACACGTCCGGCAGCCGTGGGCGGATTTGTGGTGTTGGTTGAAAGTGTTTGGGCCCCAGAAGCTCTGGTTGCAATTCGGGCAGGGATATTTGCGCCATCGCTCGTGGAACTCTTCCTCGTGCCGCTTCCAGTCGAACTTGCGCTTGAACGTCTTGTCGCATGCCGTGCACCAGTACTTGGCCTCGGAAGTTGTTGACGTAGTTGATTTGCTGCCTGTGGTGCCTATCGTTCCCGCCGAGGAAGCCGAACTGCGCCCCGTTCCCGTGGATAGTATACTTTCTCGCCCTGAGCTGTTTGAGGCCGTCGAGGACACTGAGGACCGCGCTTGATGGGATGGATTGAAGCTGAAGCTGGGTACAGGCAGACCCAGAGCTGGAGGGTACTTAGCGATCCCTTTCGTAGAGGCTAGATGGTTTCCCCTACCTTCGATGCCACCGTGTGGATGTTGTGGATGTTGTGGATGTTGTGGTGGTTGGGCTTGCTGGCCCTGTTGTTGGGGATTTTGGTGTGGTATTTGTTGCTGCGACTGCTGCTGTTGCTGCTGTTGGTTGTCCTCCTCTAGCAGTGCCAGCAGCGTTTCGCGGGAAAGTCCTGACTGCTTGAGTGCCTCGAGGTGGCGCCGTGCCTGCTCCAGTATTCTCGAAGGGTCTTGTGCCGTATCCATATTTGCAGGCGACTTGGCTTATGTCTCTGGCTCGCTCGGAGCGAGGCCCAGAGTGAGGTGTGATCGGGGCAGGTGGCAGGTGAAGGGAAGAAACGGTGAGGCGGCCGGATCGAGGTCTTGTCGGGGTGTCGATGGATGGATGATCGTGGAGACGTGGGAGGAATCGATGGAGCAGCAGACTGACAGCAAACCATTTCCAGATTTTTCCGCGCGCGTAGCGATGGGCGTCTCGTCGATAATATTGCTGGCCGAGTGCCACCCCCGTCTGGCCGCATCGACCGCTGCACACGAGCAGCAAAGGTCAGAGTGCTGTTGTGCTGCCCCCCAAGGCCCCCAGTCCCGCCGTACCAATTTGCGAATAGGCGGCCCCTGGTCTGCCCTGGTGCAAATCGTGGATCAATTGGAATGTCGTCTGAAGTCTTGTACGCTTGTTCCCATACAGGGATGGAATGGCGGGCTTGGATGCTTGGTCCTTGACCAACCTGAAACGGTTGGGGCCTGGGCCTGAGTCTGCTTCGAGTGGCCTTTTGCTGTGCCATGAGCCGTTTCCAACGAAAAACCCGCCGTTCCTCCATGCTGGACAAGCGTTTCGAAACACGACACGGCGCCCGACTTGTGGGATGAAGCAGCCAATGGCGGCGTGTCGTTGTGGATGATCCCTGTCACCTAATCTGTTTCCTCGCCTGTGCTTGGTTCGTAGATTGAGCTGTTGCAGGAAACATGTTCTCCAGCGACTGGATCCTCGAGCGATCCGGGCACTGATCCTTGCCACATTGGTCGCTGCCAATGCAACGCGAGCCGATGTGATAAACTGTTTGTCTTGTTGGCTCCTGGCGGGTTTGTGGTTGGCTTGTTGGATCCTTCCTCCCCCTTCTGTCATCCTGCTGCGGGCTTGTTGGCTGACTCGAGCGACGTCGACACGCAATCCTGGCTGGTTTCAAGGCTCCCAAGGCCCCGGGGTACAGCTGTTTGATGTTTGGTGCCTTGTCCAATGTCCATCGGGGGTGCGACAATCTCATGGTCCAGTGGTCAGTGTCATCCGTTGTGAGCCAACGCGTCGGATGCTTTCCATGCCATCTAATGATCTATGAGCTCGCGACGCTACCAGGTGGACAACCGACTGAGCCCAAGGGCCGTGCTACGCCATGGTGAAGTTGTGGCGTCATCTTCGCTAGCTAGACGGCAGCCGCCTTTACTTGAAATGTTCAATTGAGTTCCAACGCTCAACGCCGGCCGCGTAACTAATTTTGTCCAGCTCGATCCTGCAATAGATCTTGGTTTCTGGGACGGGATTGATTAGTTATAACTTTCCCTTCTAGCTCTTTTCTGTCTCAACGGGTCGCGCCAGCTCGTGCTCCAGACTCCTGCTGCAGCGCGCTGTCGGCTTCTGAAGTTGGGGTCGTCTATTTTGCTCAACCCTTCCCCCTCCCCCTTGCCCCTCTTTCAAACCGAAATGCAAGTTTGATGAATGCCAAGCGACGCAGAGCACTTTCAAGTCCCTCGAGACCCTTAAATCAAATCACCTTGAGCGCACTCAAGGTTTCATTACAGCACGATCCTCTCCTGGTTGCGCACCCATCAACGTCAACACCATGTCGTTAAACCCGTCATGTGCTCCTTGAAGTGTCGCTGGCCTTACTAGCAGCCAGTGCTGTGTGTCATATAGAGTTTTTCTTGTCCTTCCCGAGGTTTCCTTTTGAGCTGCCATGCCTGTTCGTCTCCACCCCAGCACCCACGAACTCGGAACGACGCTTGGGATGATGCAAATCCCGACTCTATCCCGACTATCCGTTGCACCTTACTTGAATTCAGTCTCTGGGACAACAAGTTTAACGAAGTAGACGGTTGCCTAGATCTCGACAAGTAGTTTGTTTAATCACAACCTTATGAAGGCATAGGGGGCTGATAAAATATTCGATTACCATGGCTCAAGTCTCTTCTCCAGTTCAATAATCACGGCCTGCTGTCCCGCTCCTGCTATCTCAGCATCATAGTCCCTTCATTTGCGAGCTTAATCCGAATCTCAACTCTTGTCCTTTCGATTTGCCGATATCTCCGGCTAATGCATTCATTGGAACTTCTCCTGCCTTGCAACTTGCGAGCCAAGCCATGCCCGCTCGACTGACCTCGAACCGCCTACTCGGACGACTAATGCTTTGGAAATTCACAATTACACTTGTATGGGTCCCCCGGTAGAACCAGTCTTCACCCGAAACAACTTTGCGGAATACAGCTGTCCCTCATTTTCGGCTCACGCAGCTGGGATGCGCTGCGCGGCCTCGGCATATGGTAATGCACTATCTCCTCTATCTACAGGGGTCGAGGATGCTAGTGTCCTAAAGGCTTGAGGAACCACAAAACTGCGGCCGAGACACCGTGGCCAATCAACAACTGACCGGCAGCCCATTTTGGCCGTCAAGTGGATGATCCGGACACCGCTCCGAATCGCCACTACCGGTTCCATGCATCCATATTTCTCCGTCATTATTTCCATGTACCCCATTCCATCAACCTTATTCCAATGCGTGCAACAGTTAGTGGTGCTTTATCTAATGTCGTGACGTTCAGCATTCTGCGAGGACAGCTCTCTTCGTGCACCCCTCTTCGTGCACCCGAGGAAGCGTTCGTAAAGTCGGGGTTCCTGCCAAGAGAGAGTTATCGGTCCCAACGGAGGCTGTCAATCACTTGACATCTTCGTTGTGGGTGTTATGCTCAAACACTCTTCTAAGGTATCGATGTGGCCATACGAACGGGCATACGAAATACACATGAATTCGCAGACAGCTAAAGAGCCTGCAGCCTTTTTTCAAGGCGATGGCATAAGGGTACCCCGTGGAGCTGAGCTCCCGCTTCTTGCGATGTTGTTGTCTTTGTCGATTCCGATTTGCTTAAATCGCTGGCTCTGACAGCAACAAAGGTCCATGCACGTCATGACTGCGCCGACAACCTGGCTCCTGAGTGTCCTTTGTATTTTATCTGCACAACCTGAGCGGGTCGCAAAGCTGTTGGTCTATCTTGCATTTCTTTCAAGCCTGGCTACATATTCCTGCTTTCCCGTCATCACTTCTCAATAAATTGCGACGACGATCAGTCAAGTTCGGAACGAGCATCCGAACCTCGACTTTGCCGTGCACACTGACATTCACGATCCGAACCTGGGCTATGGAAGAAAATGCTGCTCATTGCAACGCAGAAGATCAGCATAGTTACCCACCAATCCGAGGCATCTACAGGGCTCACATATGTTAAGCAGGGATATGAATGGAACGGTGCCATTGGGAATTTGGAGTCCAACGGGTTAGTGGTCATTGAAGTTACGCCTTGGTATGCCCGTGAGACCCCTGCGTTTCCTATAATGCTGGCTCAGGTGAACACAAATGGGCATCGTGGGAATTGGACGGTATCTACAGGAAGGAAGCATCTCAATTTAGCACGAGGTATCGGCTTGTCCCTGGTATGACCCCCTTGCTTTATTGGAAGGCGTCGCTTTATTTCAAGAAGGTTATCAAAGTATCGTTGGGTTGGAGACTATTTTGCTCAATAAATCCATCGTTGTTGTTGTTAACGAAGCAGCACAGCCCGAACCTGTCGTTCCAGCCCAAGAATGCGATATTGGCTCAAGTGAATAATTACTTGATGGGTGGTGTGAAACTGGCAAATGGGTGCACTCATAGGAGTCGTCGCCCTTTGATCTCTGAATCGCATCGAATGAGCAAGTGTTGGCAGCGTGTACTTGCATCTATGATGGGTTCACCCCGGCATTGCGTGTGATGCGAACCAGCCAATATGTACACCTCTCATTGGGTACGAAGTAGCAATTCTACTTCTACGGTGGCGCTTTGGCCTGCGGGCTGGTTCACCCACTTGCGTTGCATCCCTGCGATGCTGGGTATTGTCATCACATTTGCACACTGACCTACTGTTCATTGCTAAAATTTCATTGTAGCGTAGTTATTGACCGGACCAGAGGGAGAGTGTCTCATAGAACGAAGACCCCTCCGACCTCTTCTCTTCGACCACATTGAAAGCCACTCTGTACTTATGTACTGTGAAAGAAGCAGCTCTCTGCGAACATGAACTACCTCAATAAAACTGACCACCCCTGACGCCTACGAGTAACATGACGATAGAACCAGCTGCCTCGCCATGCCCCGTCCAACTTCTGGTCCCCCTTACATATCAGTCAGTGTAGACAGAAGCGGGGTGGAAATACTATGGGCTTGTGAGTTCTGACCGGCTCATCTGCTCATTTGAAGTTGCAGCGCAAGTGGACCTATTAGATAATGTGATAGCCTTCAAGGCGTACGAGATGTCGCCAAATGTTTGGCCATCAAGATGCCGCAAGGGCTGGCCGTAGTGGAGTTCGAAAATAGCGGGTAGTACCCCTATTCGATGATTGGATGCTCTGCTCGACGTATCGGGCTGTAGATTGAGGAGAGCGAGCTATGGCATATACAACCCAGAAACAGGCTTGTTTCTCATTATGTACCTTTTTTATCTAGCAGTATGAGTCGAATTTCTTCAAATGCCTCAGCCAGGACTGAATGCAGCAATCTATGATGTACCCAAGCATTCAAGTATCAAATCTTTTCCCTCAGACCCTCAACATCAAGCCGGGGTGCTCAATTGGGCAGACCAACTTCAGCCTGGTTCTTGGCCTCCATCCTGGCAGGTTCAACCGTTGTATTGTGCTATTTGTGACACTCGCTAATTACACGTCTATGAGGATCTTGTAAATATATTTGCTCTACTCTTGTTCTATCCTGCAAACGTTTTGGTCTCTTGAGTAGCAGTCTTCACGGGCAGTTAATACTACAAACGGTATGGTGATTATTGCAGTCCTAATCAATAGATACCAAGCTCTATGGAATAAGTTTACAAGAGCGTATTATGATAGCTAAACTGAAAGTGGGCAAGTGGCAAGTGTAATAATAAGAACTGTGTAGACAGGGTACCTCGATATTATCAAGGAAGACAACTATCCTGAAGAGTCTGATTTATAGAAGCGAAATTTAGGCAAGTAGGCGACAGAATAAACGGCTCTACTAGTGGAATAGTCGACGTACTAGCAGCGATCCGAGCACTTACCGAGGGGATTACGACTACAGTACAAAAGACGATACAAGACACCGTGAAAAGCACAGCTATGCCTACGATCAGGTCCTGGGCCTCAGTCGCCTCGGGAACGGCCCAAGGGAGGGAACCCGTCGGAGCTCCGGTGCGGCAGCAACGGGTCGTTGTACCCCAGCGAAGGGAAAGAGAAATAGTGATCCGAGGGACGGAAGACCCCAGTATGAAGAACAGGACGGCGGCTGAAGTCGTCAAAGCAGTGAATAAGGCACGCGGTAGCACCGACGCCGTAGCGGCCCGCAGGCTACGTAGTGGCGATACCGTGGTAACGTTTAATGTAACGAGGATACCACACGTCTCACAATATAATAGTCAGGTAGTGCAAAGGGTAGCTAAAAGTAGGCCAGTGTATGGGTGCGTATATTGCAAGACTGATTCTTGAAGAATCTAAACTAGGTGCGAGCGTCTCGAGTTCTCCTCTTAAGCTGGGCGGTCCCGGGGTTTTACCGGATCGGGGCGAATCCCTCCCGACTCAGCTTGTCAGCTGAGACCGGCCCGCCACAACGGCTCTTTCCTTACAGAGAATGTGGTAGAGTTTGCGCAACGGTGGCAATTAGAACTGGCGTACGCATTTTATTTTTTAAATTTTCTCTTTATAACTATATATTTTACCGTTGTGAGAGTTTCCTTTTTCAATTAAACTTTTTGCCACACCAGTAAGGGAAATTACACGGCAAAGGCACAGACAAAGGGACTCAACTATTGACCTTGCATGGGCGACGAAGGGGACCGTAATAGACTACGAAGGGGACCCGGGCCTAGAAGGATCGGACCATAGGGCGCAAGTAATCAGGGTAATATCTAACGAGGAGGCAGCGAATGAAGGCCGCCGTAACACCGAGGGGTGGAATTGGACGATGGCAGATAAGTGGCTAATCGTAGCCGAGTCGGGCCAGAGATTCATGAACTATTTACCGGTTGAGACGAGAACAGAGCTAGACCAGGCGATCGATTGGGTCATCCAAAACCTCCAAGAGATCGCCGACGTAGCGGCCCCTAGGCGTACTGTTGGTAGAGGCGCCGGGACCCCGTGGTGATGCCCCCAGGTCAGCAAGGCTTGCGCTGAGACGAAGAGGCGACGACGAGATTACCTCCACGCGAGGTCGCAGACTAACTGGGACGAATACTTAAGAGCTAACCAAAAACAACGGCTCGAAATCAGCGAGGCACAGGCGCGGAGCTAGCATGAGAAGCTCGAGAGGACGGCGAAGGATCATAAAAGCCTTTGGGCACTACAGAGGTGGGATAGGCTGCGGAGCTGGACACCCCCTGACACCCATGGAATGCCGGATCTTCGACGGAACGCAAGCGGTGCACCCACGGCGCGCACCCACGATGAGAAGTCAAAGCTACTAGCTGAGAGGTTCTTCCCAGACCCGGATATAGACCTGTCGGACCTCGATCACAACCCGCCACGGACGAAATCAGACCTGGACGTCCCTAAGGAGGTAAACGCGGAGGACATCGAGGCTATTATCAAGAAGACAGCGGCTTGGAAGGCCCCCGGCGATGACCAGATCCCTACGGGCCTGCTGAAAATCTGTGGTGGACCCCTATGGGAGATTCTAGCGGATATAGCGACCGCAAGCTTTAGGCTAGGATACTACCCGGAGCGCCTCCGCTCGGCAAAGGTAGTCGTTATCCCTAAGCCGAACAAAACGACAGCCCAAAAGCAGACCCCTAGCGGTTGGCGACCGATAGCGCTGCTTAGTACGATAGGGAAGGTGATAGAGGCGGTGATGTGCCAGCGCATCACTACCGTCGCGGAGACGGCCGGTCTGCTACCAAACGGTCAAATGGGTAACCGAAAAGGGCGGTCCACCGAATTAGCGATACGCATAGTTGAGGACGTAACCCATACAGCGTGGAGGCGCGGAGGGATCGCCTCACTACTACAACTTGATATTAAGGGGGCGTTCGACACAGTCAACTACAGGCGTTTGATTTCCATACTAGCCCGGAAGGGCTACCCGGAGTGGGTTCAGGAATGGGTACACAGCTTCGTAGAGGATAGGACAGTACGCCTCCGGTTCGACGGTAAGGAGTCAGAGCTAATCCCTCTACGAGCTGGCGTCCCCCAGGGGTCGCCACTCTCCCCGATACTATTTATCCTATATATCTCGACGCTATATGAGGAACTAGCGGAGAAACACCCCCTACTCTTAGTCGTGGGGTTCGCGGACGATACGAACCTACTTAGCGTTAGCACAGACACGGGCACGACCTGCCGCCGACTAGAGGACGCTTGGGCTACGTGCCAACGGTGGGCCGCCAGGCACGGGATGGAGTTCGCTCCGGATAAGAGTGAGCTGATGCACTTCACTAGAACCCGAGACCCCTCCCCGCAGAGTATTGAAACGGGGTCAGGCGGTCGGTAGGATGTACCTATCACCTAACACACTGAACAGACGGCTCCAGTACCAATAGATCACATCTGTTGGTCTGATCAGACGAAGATCATGGTGCTGGCCGTAAGAGCGAAGCTCTTATAAGTCGTGTGCGCAAGTTGGTCGGATGTGCCTCTGAGACTCGTGTCGGGATAATTCTCAGAATAGGACGTCTGGCTCCTAGGAGTCGAATTGAAGCTGTCTCTAGTACTGGATTGCTCTGATCAGAGCAAGACACAATGTCTCATAGTTGTCAAGGCTAAAATGGAAAGGATAGATGGATTCTTAGAAGCTATCCCCTGAACGTGTAAGTGAATCATGAACTGAAGCTTCTGAATTGCATGCATTGAAAAGAGTGCGATAATGGCCAACCATTGCTTGTCGAATCGAAAAGATGAAGAAGTCATTAAAAAGGGTCCGTCCTCGAAAAGAAAGTTGCAGCCACAAGCCTCCTTCATCAAAGCAAAAGATCCTCCCCATTCCGTCACCTATTTTCCCTGGCGTCCGGCCTTACCCCGCTACATTCCTCCCCAGGTTCGTCTCTCTGTCCTCAAAGACAATCGAACCTGTATGACTACAAAAATTCCCCTTCTCCCAGCGATCGCAGTGTTGGACTTCGTACTCTCTTTACTGCTGTCACTGCTCGTTTGTCCACCTGGGATTGTGATGCCCCCTTTGCAGCTCGCTCGTTGTCAGTCAACTGGGCCTCATACGCGTCCCAGCCTTGCCATTGGTTCGGGAAGCAAGGCAAAGGCCTGCCCCCAACTGTGACAGCGGTGTCGTCCTTCCACCGTACATACGTATTCCACCGCCCTGCAATCAAGCTGTCCTTGCGCTGCGTCCCCACAGGCGGCCTTGCAATGTCACTCGTATCGAGGACAGCCGGTTCTCTTCGTTGGCCGACGAGCTCTTTGATTTTCCAGAAGGCATCTTGCTTGAAGTTGTCGTGTTGTTCGATGGAGTTGTAGAATAGGTCTGTTGGAAGTAGAAGCAGAAAATCTTCTCTGGTCGCTTCTGCCTGTGTAGTCGCTCCTTCCATTTCCGATCGTAACGTCGATAACCGCTTTGCTGCCTAAAATGGTCTTGCCAACTGACAACAAGAAGTCTTCGTAAGTGAAGTCATTCCCATCTTTTTCTTGACCAATCGTCAACTATTATTGGTATTTTCTTCCCACCATCACTTCCAACCATTCATAGACTTCAGAACCAGTCTGATCAGATCAATATCATCATTATAATCATGCCGAAAACACCATCCAAGCAGCGCAGAGGTTCGTTGCGTCCATGTGGGCATCCGGAATGCAGTCACTTTGTCTGTCTGCGCACGCCGTCCACAAGAGGGAACGTGGGCTCCTCCCCAGTAACTCCTGGTGGTCGTTTCATTACGAGCCCCAAAAGCTCACCTCCTCCCTTCTCATCCACTTCCTCTTTGGGCCATACAGGCCGAGTAACTCGCAGCATGTCTGGTCGACAGCAGTTGCTTCTTCCTCCTCCACCAGTGGTCACTGATACCAACGAAGAAGACACCACTGTACTCCCAGATCTTCCTTCCGACGGGTTGACCAATGAAAGGCGATCTCAGATTCCGGTCTTCCCTTCGTCCCTGAAGGATGTGAAGCGTCTCTGGGTTCGCCAGAATGCTCTGGCAACCAACCCCTGGTGAGAAGCTCAAGAAGGTCCGTATTCGTCTGATCAGAAAGATCTCTTTTGATTAACTTTGTCGCACAGGTCCTCACACTCTTAACCATCCATATTGTCACGGGTGCGGCCAAGGATTGCTATGTCCGTTGGGAGATCACAGACCAAAAATTCTGGTCAGTCCTCCAGCTGCAAGACCCTGCTACCTCTGCCTTGGCGTCCGCTCTGGCAAAGAGGATCAAGGACGTGTTCGTGGAAATCACCTGCGGAGGTCCCTTCGACACCTTCTTGGTCCGGCTGTCAAACGATCGCAGGCGAGCCACCGGACTCTTCGTCCAGCTCTACGGCGACGAGAACGAGGTTCCTTGCCGGTCTTGTTCCAAACGTCTGATCAGTTCAGAAACTGGCGATCATCGTGGCATGTGGCCCATGTTTGGCTGCCGATCGATTCCCGGGGCCTTCGGCCATGCCTGTGGTAACTGTCTCGCCATGGTGGAGGGCGAAAAATGCACCTTTCGCGATGACAAGTACGATCACCTTCGTGCTTCATCAAAGAGGGATCCTCCCCTTGTGAGTGACCTCTCTTCATCAAACTCTCCCGCGGCCATCAGCTTTGGCCTGAACGCACTTAGGCGCCTCTATGCCCAATACAAGGAACACAGCTCCCAGGCTGTCAGAAGCAACGAGGGGGCTCAGGGAGCCAAAGGAAGTCCCAGTGGTCAAGGCAAGGGATTCTGGGGCTGAAATGAAGCAATAGCCAACCGTTGTGCACTTGCAGTACTGAATCAATCACGCATATCAACATATCTCCTCCCCATTACCCACATAATTGCAGAAGCACAAAAACTCCGTAACTGTTAAAGAGGTGGTTTTAACCCGCGACAATAATATACAGCGGGATAGCCCAGCCGGACGAATTAATACCCTGGATTACTGTAACCCATTCTCGATTACCTTGTTGGACTGTACGAGGCCTTCGGCGTCGTTCAGCACTTGTAACTACCATCTCGGATAAGATTAAGCCCATCGCGAACCCTATCTCGTCGAAGTTATAGATATCCGCCTCTTGGATACCATATTTCGCAACAACTCCAATGTTTGTGTCGGCTGGTGTAGTTGGTCACTTCGCTGGTAGATAAGTCCCGATTTGAGCCTCGCCCACTTGGGTTGGTGACGAGTCGCGGGTTCGAATCCCGCAGCTGACACACAAGGGGGTTTAGCAACCCTTACGGCGCGCTGCCCACCTTGTTGACTTCGCCTACCTAGCGATAATAGGGAGATTGGTGCAGTTTAGGATTACGAGCATCCTAGCCAGTCGACCGTCAAGCACTACGTCGGCGGAATATAACTCGACAGCCGGTCCAGAATTCGAATCGTTAATCCGGCCCCTTATCGGACCTCGCCTATCCGATAACGCTCGTCGGCGAACCCGTCCCCTCACGATAGAAGGCGCGCAGCACGCCCTCTCGCCGCGATTCTTGCGAGCGTCTAGACCACGTTACGGTCTATCCACTTGAGCGTATGGTTGAGATGTATACGCTCGACGAGAACCCCAATTAGCAGATACTACGACTTGTCGCGACAAAAAAAATAGTCGAGCATCTTCTGCACATCAGCAGCATCCCACCCCTGAGGACGAATTTAAGTGCCACATTACCACACTTATCGGTAGTTCAGGCAGGGGTTGTAGCACAGACTTAGGGAGGGACAGGAGGTTTAGTAGTCGTTTGGCTACAAGTTTACCTGTATAACCACCCGCCGCGGCTTAAGGGCCCGCTATATCATCTATAGCCCCTTAAGGGAGTACTTGTAGAGGTACCGAGGGTTAACACCTACGGCGTATTTAATATTATTATTAAAATAGAGTCATTTCGAAGCTTATAACCCGTAGGTTAATATTTTGTATACCAGCCGCGGGATTTAATAATAGCGCGGAGCCTATGCTCTAGAGTGTCGTATAGCTTCTTAATCAGCGCTGCCGGTACTGCCTTCCACGCTAACTGCAGCGCAGCTTTAAATTTCTCAATATCCAGCTAGTTTTTTTAGGATAAAGAGTTCAGGGCATTCCCTAGATAGATACCTCTTTAACCAGGCCTATACTGTAACGGGATAAGACCGGACATCAGGGAAATAGGTTACGGGGCTAGGAGAAAGTTTATTTTCTCTTCTCTAAGAGGCACAGAGGCAGAGTAGGACACGAGTCCCTCATCTTCACGCATCATCATCCTCATCTTCATATCATCATCTCCTTCTTATCTATATCTTCACCTTCGCTTTTCAGTCAGTTATTTAGTTATTTTAGTTATTCAGCTTATCTTTACGTTCGAATCCTATTATCACGATACGAGTCTCAGAGGCACATCCGACCAACTCGCGCACCAGACGTGTAAGAGCTTCACTCTTATAACCAGTACCACGATCTTCGTCTGATAAGATCAACAGATGGGATCTGTTGGTACTGGAGCCGTCTGTTCAGTGTGTTAGGTGGTAGGTATATCCTACTGACCGCCTGACCCCGTTTCAATACGTGCTCTATAGGGTTGAGATCTGGGGAATGCGCTGGCCAGTCTATTAGAGAAATAGCGTGCCGGCCGAACCACTCCATAGCTTGCGCCGAGAGGTGTATCTTCGCATTATCTTGCTGAAAATGCTGCCAATCCTTATAAAATGGGAGTAAGCCCTCCCTCAAGGCCTTAAGATAACTCCAGGTATTGTAGTCCTTCTGTCTCTTACCCTCCTCCTGGGGGGGGGGTCGCTCCATCACGATCAGGTCGCTCTTCTTCCCTACTCCTCCCTCGACGTAGATCCCACCCCAGACCATAACCGAAATATTCGCTTTTACGTGTGCCTTAAGATTCACGAAGTCCTTATTATACTTCTCGCTCGGAAATCGGAAGACCCAGGCGGTCGGGGATGACGTAGAATTCTGTATAGAGGACTCGTCGGAGAAGATTACCTGTGGACTGTGAAGGTCAACCCTCGCAGACTCACTACAACCAGGTGACTTACAGCTGGAACACCTGCCGTGGCAGTGTCAGATGGGAAGCCAATCATAACCCTTGTAGGAGCCCCGCCAAGCGTGGATAACTTAGTCGCGCTCCCTCAAACCTAAGTTGTCATCTTCTTTCCTTCGCTCCTTAGAGTAGAATCTTGGTCGATAGCACCTAATCGAGGTCTCTACCAATGCGATGCAACCCAGGTCGTGACATGGACTAGATTAGCGGGGGAACCCTCGATACGCCGGAGGCTGTACCGTCATCAATTCCTCCAGATTTTCGAGCCAATAAGTTGCAAATGCAAGGCGATCGGCTGCTAATTCTTTGGTGAGTGGTATGCGCTTAAGCGCGCGCCATTTCTTCATATTAACGGCGCGTAGGTACCTCCGAAGGGTACTCTTCGAAACCTTGCCACTCATAGATTGCATAAGCTCCTTATAAGTCCAATTTCGATTACGCTTGCATAATTGAACGAGGAAACGCTTACCCCGACGTGAAAATCTAGGGCGACAACCGCTTCGAGCTAGCGAATCGAAGTTATAGCGAGATTTCCAGGACACCAGGGATTTCGTGACGGTCGATCGGTGTACGTTAAAGAGGCTAGCCACGGTAGTCTGCGGGATACCGCACATAACTGCCGTTACCATGGCCGCCCGTTGGACTTGAGTATACTCACAGCCAGGCCGATGATCAGCCATTACTTGCTGCGCAAATTCGGTGAGATTCGGCCTCATTTTGATATAATTGTGGTGGTTAAAATGTTAGAGGGTGTAGGTGCGAAGTGCGCGAATTTTCGCGTTGGCGTAAAGTGTCCCCAGAGTTGTGGAGCCTGACTGTAGTTCAGAGGTCAAAGCTCAAACATACATTGGATTACAGGCTCCCTTCCTTGTTTGGTCAACTTCAGAAGCGAAGCATGTAACGCAGGAGCGGATATGGCACTAAACTGTTACGGATAGGTTTGCGATTTTTTTTTGGATGGCAAACATTGTTTGCATTGCTGCATGGAGAGAGTTACTGACTGTTGAGTGGCTTGGACGAGGATTCATCAAGCTTAGAGTGGTGGGTGGTTAATGTGATACTTACGACTTAAGCAGGTCAGAGGGATTAGCTCCCCATTATGCAAGGTCCCGCGAAGCATTGGTACATAACTTAGTTGCTGTCCTTGTCATAATCCGGTCTAATTGAGTAGACGGTCTCTAACTTTGGGATGAAATAGTTCCCAAGATTGACGAGGTCGACCTGTCACATTGTGGGGTATTCGAGAAAAGAACATCCTTGCCCAGTCTGCTGAATTTATCACGCTAAACCATCGCGCTAGGGATATGCCAGGATCGAATGCCACCTCCAATTTAGATCTAATATCGCCCGAGAAATGATGCAACCTTCATAAAGAATTCCAATGTATTCACGACCCGCTGGATTCTTTCAACGACATTCCTCTAATGTCTGTAAAGCTCGCCCGCGGTTCGCCGCGATCAATTAGGTATGGACTTGCGTCTAAATAGCGAGCCTGGGAATGCAATGTTGTGCTGCAACGTCATATCAAGAAACAGCGTTAACTTCTCAATTGGATGTATTGTTCTGTATGCCTGAGTACATTTGACAAGTCCTATGGTTTTGAAGATGAGCAGCAAACATCGTTCTCATGTTCCTAACCCTTGAAACTGGCATTAGTGGAACGACAAGGGGCCGGCTCCCAGGGCCTGGAGCCGGAGTTCCATCCGTACTTGTCTTCGCTATTCGCTGGATTCTCCCCGCTGAAATCGTTGCAGCCAGGATGAAATATGCAGGGGGGAGCATGAGATAACAACCTCGATTCCCTCTATTGTGCCAGTATGCTTGTAAGATCTGGCGTAGCCCGCGGAGAGATCCAACACGACAATCATCGCAGCGCATGCTCACAAGGGAACCCGAACAGTTTTCCTCATTAGACAGACGCCATGTCTGACAAGTCTAATCTCCTCGCTCTCCTGGGATCCTACGATAATCTCAACGAGACTGAACCCCCATGGAATCGTGGCTCGACCGTCGTCCCAGTCTCCATCATATTTTTGGTACGAATGTCCGTCTGCAGCCAACCTGCCGACCTCAGCTGACTGGCTAACCTAGGTAATACTCTGGATATGTGTCATCTTTCGGATATACACTCGGTTGATCATCGTTCGTTCGCCTGGGTGGGATGATGTCTTTGTGGTCCTTGTCACGGTTTGTCGTCTCGACTTGATGCAGTGATGAGACCCCTACTAAAATTTTCGTCTTGCAGCTGTCTTCCACCTGCGGCTCAATATGTATTTGCCTAGGTAAGAGTGATGATATGAATTTTCATGCACAGTCGAACTATTAGCTAACCGTTATCCAGCTGTGACTCACGGATTGGGCAAGCATTTCATCCTGCTGCCATATTCAGAAACAATGGCATACCTCGAGGTATTTGGCATTACTAACAAGGGGTGAGAATGAAGGCTAAACTGCATCATACAGCTCTTCTACATCGCCAATGGTACATATTCCATGTCGACAGCGTTTGTCAAACTGTCTTTGCTACTCCAATACATGCGCATCTTCCAGGAGGAGAGGAGCATGCGTCTTATCTGCATTATAGTTCTCGTGTTTACAGGTCTTTGGGGTTGCGCTTATTCGATTATGGCGTGGTTCCCATGTTTTCCTGTTCATGGGTATTGGACGTGGACGGTTCCATCGACTTGCTATGGCTTTGGTTCCCTGGATTCAGCGACCTTCTTCGGCACATATGCTAGCTCGTCTGGAATTAATATGGTGCTCGATATCATCGTTCTCATCATACCCTTTCCACTGTACTTCCGGAAGAACACACCGAACCGGACGAAGATGGGCCTTCTTGCATTGCTGTTCCTGGGTGGATGGTAAGCCGACCTTTTCAGTCTTTTCCAGAGGCAGCGATCAGAGGCAGCGGGAATTCCTCAGCTAACAAAGGCAGCATCAACTTTTTATCAATATGGAGACTAGCGACCATCGTTGAACACAAGGCTGGGACGAAGCCCACCTTCGACCCTACCTTTTACGGACCGATAAGCATCCTGCTCGCAGTGCTTGAAACGGATGTGGCAGGCATTTGCGCGTCGATCCCGGTGTTCTGGCCTGTCCTCACAGCCGAACTCGATCGCATCTTCGTGACGCAAGAAATCAAGATCGAAAGAGCGCACCGCTTCTCGAATATGGGGGATGCCGAAGAGTACGAACTGCAACGAGGAACCACAGCGGAGTTGCAGCACACAGAGCGCAGTCTGCACAGCAGGACTACAAGCGAGGAGAGTCTCAATCAGAACCCAGACTCGAAACAGGCCCGAGTGAAGGAGTCGCATTACATGGACGAATATGTTGCTGCCCAAGTCGACCCGTTGAATGTGACGCATGGGGTCGAATCGCACATCACTTCTCAGGGGATGGTCAAGAAGAAGTGGAAGGTTGCTTTCTGATTGTACAGAGTACATTCAATCGCGTTGGGTTGGAAACCTTCAAGTCGGCTCGTACTTGTGAAATAATGCTTTTATCTGAGCGATGCATACAATTCGCTGTGAGATTCGATGTTATTTATCAACTTTGTGAAGCTTTTGGCAGGTTTGAGCCAATATGGTACTGAAGTTCGCTGGAGGCTTTCGGGTTATCATAGCTGGGATGGCATACCAAATTCCCGCATCTGACCCGATTGAATAACGTACGCCACAAGCAAGTTGGCCACTTTTTCTTGGCACCGTACGAACAACCTTTTAATTAACATCTTTACACATACCAAGATAGTATCGAATTGGAAAGAAAGCGACATGATTCTAGCGTGTCAGGCGCTTTAATCGAAACCCGAATTAAGCATCCGACGCGCTGCCCAACTCTACAATGTCCCTCGTACAACTCTAGCTAACCGAAAACGCGGACTACTATCTCGACGCGATACTCGACAATCTAGTCATAAGCTTACGGAATCAGAAGAGTTAGCGGTCGTACAATACATACTTGACCTAGATTCGCGATCATTTCTTCCCCGGCTCCATGGTGTTGAAGCTATGGCTAACCGACTGCTCCGTGACCGTGGCGCTGGACGCGTCGGCGTCAACTGGGCCTCGAACTTCGTACGACGACAACCAGACCTTCGGACGCGTTTTAATCGAAGAATCGACTACCAACGAGCCTATTGCGAAGATCCTGACGCGTATCGCGCGTGGTTTACGCTCGTACGAAATACAATTGCGAAATATGGTATCCAAGAGGCGGATATCTATAACTTCGACGAGATAGGGTTCGCGATGGGCTTAATCTTATCCGAGATGGTAGTTACAAGTTGATGCGTGCACCTAGGGGGGAGGATGCTATAATGCAGCAGTGCGCAACGTTATAGTATCTAATTGAATGGGATTCACCTAACCAGTGGGTCCCCTTACCTTTTCGTATCACAAGTGCTGAACGACGCGGAAGGCCTCGTACAGTCCAACAAGATAATCGAGAATGGGCTACAGTAATCCAGGGTATTAATTCGTCCGGCTGGGCTATCCCGCCGTATATTATTGTCGCGGGTCAAAACCACCTCTTATCCTGGTACGAGAATAGCCTATTCCCGTCCGATTGGGTAATCGCTGTAACCAAAAAAGGTTGGACAACAAATGAGCGAGGCGTAGACTAGATTCAGCACTTTGATCGCTATACGAAGGATCGTACGAAGGGTGTTTATCGTCTTCTTATCCTCGACGGGCATGAGAGCCACCACTCGACTGACTTCGAGCTATATTGCAAAGAGCATACTATTATTACACTTAGTATGCCTGCTCATTCGTCACATAAGCTCCAGCCTCTCGATGTAGGCTGTTTTAGGGCTTTGAAAAGGTCGTACGGCAAAGAAATTGAAGACCTAATACGGGCGCATATAACCCATATCTCGAAGGAGGATTTCTTTTCGGCATTCTATAGGGAGTATCGTACGACTATAACTAAGTCGAATATCCAGGCAGGTTTCAGGGGGACAGGACTTATTCCGTACGACCCGGAATATGTGATTTCACAGCTGGATATTAAGCTACATACGCCTACACCTCCTGGGAGCTCGTCTGGCGCCCCCTTAATCTGGGAATCAAAGACTCCAAATAACCCAACCGAGGCGCAATCCCAGTCTGAATACGTTAAAAACAGAATCGTACAGCATCAGAATAGCTCCCCGACGACAATACTTACGGCTATTGACCAATTTTCACGTGGTGCGACGGCTGTTATGCATCGGTTAGTTTTACTTGAGGATGAGGTTACTACACTTCGGAAGGCCAATCAAGAGCTAAGCCGTCGTCGAAGGACTCAAAATCGACAGCTACAAGATGGAGGATCTCTTAGTTTACGAGACGCTCAGGACTTCCAGTCTCAACGGGATATTGAACAGCAGCTACAGGATGATATACGTGTAAGTCGTCGTCGTACGAGACCGGCCGAACCACGCCGACGGCGCTGTAGGATCTGCGGAGAGCCCGGACATAATGCTCATACTTGTGAGAATGATAAAGATACATACGAGGAAGAGGATTCCGATTAGTTTGAATTATTATTTTTTAGTTTAGTTAAGTTATTGAAGTTATTCATACGGTGCCAAGAAAAAGTGGCCAACTTGCTTGTGGGGTACGTTACACTACTTGCAGATTAATGGAAGAGTAAAATTTGTCTTGTCATTGGGGGAAAGTCTGTCGTGTCAACATTGAATTAGTTCCCTCATTTCCGAAACCCTTGCGAGCTGCTCTTTATTTCCAGTTTGGAAATGTGTCGCCAAGGCGCTCAAGTTGTGTTCCGTACTAACCATAGGTTCCTGATCCCTGCTTGAGGAACTTGCAATGAGGTATTGCTCTGGGGCTTTGCTCCTCATCAACCTAGCGCTCCAGCCGAGCTCCAGTAGCTGACGAAACGCTTTTTTGTGCACCTGACCAAGCCGACAAGCCGGACAGACCATAAAGCTGCCCAAAGCACGAGCGCGTACAGGACGGAGAGCAGCTCCTACCCTGGAATGTTCCGTAAGTGACTTTTAGCTTCAGGCTGGAAGTGCGCAAAGCAGGCTCACTCAGCTGGAAAGGAGGCACGTGCGCCCAAATGTCAAATGTCGTCACAGTACTTCGTACGCTGTCAAGTACTGTTGTAGACTTTGAGTGATCTAGATCAAATGTCTTTGCCTACTGGCTCCTAAAGGCGACTTCTGAACAAAGTGCTCCCTTTGTTACATTTCCTGAAAAGGGCTTCGTCCCACAACTTGCGAACAGGCCCCGCAGCCACATCTTCAACGCGCTGGACATTTTCCATTTCCCTTCTCCCCTACAATGATCTTCTCCTGGCAATAGCTTCACCTTCGAGACACACAGACGAGCATGGTGTCCTTCTGGCCATGGGGGGTAAGATGCTCTCTCCCCGCGCACTTGCCTCACGTCACTTTGACTCACTGACAACCGCCCACAGAGCAACGACTCCTCCCCGGCCTCATTCGAGAAGACTCTCTCCACTCTATCCAAGAAAATCGCAGCGACCCAACTGCAGCTCGATAAAGTGCGCTCCAACTCGCGCCGCGTTAAAGTCTTGTGGACACTCTACCTTTCCTTTGTTTACCTGGTTTACGCCATCGTGTTGATGCTTGTCGTCGGATGGCAAAATCTGGGACCATGGGAGTGGACTGGAACCGCAGGTGGCCCTGTCCTCATCTACCTGATTCGCACTATTACCGCCACTTACTTCACCACACGAATTGACAGCCTTGAGAGCCGTCTCAAGGACCAACATTCCGAACGCGCCGCTACCATCCAGAAGCTCAAAGATGCTACAAGATACGACTCTACACAGGAACTTCTCGAGAAGTACGGCGGCGAGAAGCCCAAAGGCAAGAAGAAAATGTCACATGACGATGACGATAGCTCCCACGAGAACAAGGACAGAAAAGGCAGCCAACAGAACGCGGGGCCTGGCGCTAGTCCAGGCGGTCGTACGAACCTTCCTCCTCCACCGACGGCAAACATCCAACGCCCAGGCTCTGCTGCTGGCACGCCGCACAATCAACATCAGCAACAGCACCCGCATTATGGACCGTTCTCCCCACCGCCTCACAAAGCTCCCTCGCCCTCGCCCTCTCATCAGTATTCCACCGCCGAGTTCGCACCTAACGCCAGCAAAGAGCTGCCCGCGTCCTACGCGCAATTCGACTACACTCCTGGTCCGCCAAGGTGGTATGACCGCGTTCTCGACTTGATGCTGGGTGAAGACGAGACAGCACCCAAGAACCGTATTGTTCTCATCTGCGGTAAATGTCGCCTTGTAAACGGTCAAGCGCCACCGGGCACTAGATGTCTAGCGGATATGGGTCGATGGAAGTGCATGAGTTGTGGCGCTATGAACGGGGAGATGGACGAGGGGCAGAAGATTGTACGCGAGGTACTAGGTGATGCTAGATCCGATGGCGCGGGCGAGAGGAATAGCGAAGGCAGCAATTATGCTGTAAATGTCGAAAGACCTAGTAATGAGGATGAAGATGGCTTCGGAAGTGAAGATGAAGCTGTACCGGTGGTTGAGGAGTCGAAACTGAAGCAACAAGCGGGTAGGTTGGGGAGCAACAAGTCGCAAATGTTTTTTTGATCATGCGCATCAACATCACTTTGACCATCTTTAGTTTAGCCACTGGCAATTGTAGATGTATAGCAATATCATACCAAGTACGCTGCCATGGTCATATCTTTCCTACAGGTAAAGGAAGTTGTATTCTGCCGAATCCAGCGCTTCTTAAGTTTGCCCGATATTAGTCAAGTTTCCCCAAAGAGTCGAACTGTTCGCTCTCCTGGATTTAGGGTTATGTATGATGTTAGGTAGTCGTTCTTCGACGATCCAGTCCACCCCTCTCAAAGTTCCTTGAGCGTGACAGCCCACGAAGCTTGTAGCTGCATATGTGGGATTGAGATCCCAGCAAAGCAACATCTTTGGTATGAATACTAATTCATCGGCAGCATCATGAGTGTGAATGCCCCATATTCACCCTAGATAAATGGGTTGGTGTTCAATACTGACAGGAGATGGATATATTCGCCGGTGGCCTCCCTGCCGCTGGGGCTGTTAGATTCGAATCTTGTCAATATATACTGCCCGTCGAGTAGTCCTTTTTCAGTGGTCAAGATGGCAGCCAAGACCGATATACTGGAGTGTCGTTCTGGCTCGCCTTCCGAACATGATCGACTGGACAGCGTATCCAACTGATTACTATGCACGAGTCTTGCGATGCTACTCTGACGTTGCTGATGCTGCGCCAAGAGTTACCCCATAGGCGGTGCAATCATTGCAGAGGCCAACCTGCCCAGCCGGCGTGAGCCTTTCTATTGTATCCTTCTGCGAATGGTTGGGCCGTATAACGTACAACCCCACCTTTCCGGCCACATATTGCAATCCAATTGAAGGTATTCGAAACAGTGTATTCAACGTACTATTATAGCTATTCAGGTACAACCAGCTCTAATAGAAAGCTGTGCTCTAGGGCTTCCTGAGGTATAGATGTGATAGATTCTGACGCCTTAGCTAGGTCCAGTATTACCTGATTCCGACGTTGTACCTGGTCTCGTTGCCGTTCTACTCCAAGGGCTCGATCCATCGCTTCCTTAATCTGTACAATGTTACCAAATCGTTCATTAGGCCCTAATCGTACCTTCTTACGTGGTTTGGGGCGTAACGAATTTATCTCGGCTTCTAATGCGTGTACACGTTAGGTCAAAGTAGCGACCTCGACGCTCTGTACATCTAGCCGACGAGTCAGCTTCCGAAACAATAGCCGTTGCGACGATCGCAATGGCGTAATCGCTGCCAGACTCTCCCTAGCTACTAAGCTAATCACTGGCGCCGCTATTATTGTCGGATCAAGCCAATTGCCAGCTGTTGGTGGTGTAGTTGGTCGTTCTGATAGGGGGGCTATCGTCGGCTGAGGCCGCGATGGATCTAATGGGTATATTCCAGTTGCAGAGAAGCCTGATTGTATAGTACTGATCGTGAACAACTTCGTATATGCCTCGATGTATAGCGAGAGGAACGTCGACTTTTTAAATGGAATAGAACAGTACTCGATCGAGAGAGAGGTCGCTAACGAGCGATAGTACCACTTTAATGGAGCAAATACGGCGACGTCGAGAGGTTGGAGCCCGTGAGAACAGTGTGCTGGCAAAAATAGTAACGAGATCTTGTTACAATAGGCTAACCACATAAACTCGACGTTGTCGTGAGCAATATGACCATCTAATATCAAGAGCCGCTGCTCGTCGGGATCAACTAGTTGTGTACGAGGTATAAAGATATCACGAAGCCATCGAACGGCGATATCTGTACTGATCCAACCGTTAGACGAATAAGTATATTGCCAATCAGGTATATCGTCGCAATCGTTAAACCATTGGGCTTGGAGGCTCTTGCCAGTATATATTACTGCTGGGGTCAACGAGTTACCCATCGCCGATATAGCATGTAATATAGTGACCTATTCGCGGCTTTCGTCACTCCGAACGAATGTTGTATGTTTCTCTGACGATCCGTACACTATACCCTCGATCCCTTCGCCAATCGCGATGCCTGTTTCGTCCATATTCCAGACGTTATGTGGAAAGTAGTCGTGAGCTGATATCAAGGCTTCGTACGTCTCGAAGAAATCGTCGATATTCTGCGTCGATAGGCCATCAAATCGCTGATGGTCGAGGCGTCGAGATTGGATACTTCCGACCTCTGGATGGCGTTGAATAAAGCGATGAACCCAATGGCGACCGAGGCCCTCTGATCGACGATCCTGAGGTAACAGAATCAACGCCATCTTAGCGATGAATAGCGCCGACGGGCTACGACCCTCGCGATCCATTTCGAGGATCCATCCAATCAGCGCGTCTTCCTGATCCCTAGATAGCTTCATCGACGCGATTGACGGTCAGAATGGCTGAGGCCATCGCCGAGTCGTAATTGGAGGGTAGAGCATGGAACGCCCCATCGGAGGGAAGCCTGGCGCTGGGATATCCCTTGATTGATGTCGTTGAGAGCGCCTTGAATCGAATTTTTTGAATATCGAGGCATTGTATAATAATAGCCAATACCGACGATAATCTGTTGTGCCGAAGGTTGTTGTAGTTGGCAGATTAGGTGGCCGGAAAGGTGGGGTTGGACGTTAGCCTTTCTTAGTTAGGCCAAGAAATCGCCTCAGCCACAAGTGGGCCTCTCCGCATAGGAAAGCTGAGCTTAACTCCATGGACTTGAGTGTATCCTGTGTGTTTTATGCGCCTAATTTGGCCTATGCCCAAATGAGACTAATTTTGGCCCAGTTGATCTGGAATGTTGAAATGCGTATTGCCGATGATGGCAGGGGATGGATGAAGGGATAGCAGAACTTCATTCTCTGTTGTAAGTCACCCTTGAAAAACTACCTCACCCCGGTTTCAAGGTGAAGGAGGCCTATGTAGAGACAAAGGTCGTGATGCCCAGGCTACGTTGGCAATTGGCCCATTGGATTGTATTGAACCTAGGCTGCTCCCGAATTACAGACTCAGGGTCAGAGCAATGTTGGATGGTACAACAGCAATCACGAGGCATGGGCTAAGACATTAAGTCGGGGTGGAGCCCAGAGTGCAGATCATTAAATTGGACATGTAATATCGTGTTGTCAATGCATTGATGCTTGTTGGACGCGATTGGTCATTTGGTGGTTCCTTACTTTATTTAATGTCCAGCACGAGGACACGTACTTGCATAGTTCGGCCATGAAGTGAGCATCCCAACAAAACATCACATGGCCTTGTCGAACATCTTAATCTGTGACAGTGAAACTCCTATCTACCATGGTCATATGGTCGGGTATGTTTTCTTCTTGACAAGGGAACATGTAAGCCATCGTGACCTGATATATCCACCCCCAGAGAATGTCTGAGAAGCCAAAGGACGTCTCCCTCCTCTTTCTTTGTCAATGCTGGATGCCTTGTTTACAATTCCTCTATACCTTAGCCATGTACATCAGTCGGCCCATTGCTGTTTGGTATGCAATTTGCATAGTGTTCTTTGTTCCAAACGTAGCGAAAGTACCAAAACATATTTCCGACTAGAGTACACATAGCCATTAAAAATCAAACATGCATATACGAAGCCTTTGATTCCATATGTACAAGGTCCCGTCAACTATTCACTGACTCGTTGACCAACTCGATGGGATATCTGATTACACTACTCTCTGGCCCCATTGAACAAAACTCGAAAGTGCTCCTCCATCGCTCGTGTCCATGCCTGTCTAGATAGGTAATTGTCTATTCCAGTGCTGAATTAATGTCAATTCATCTATCTAACACCGGCATTTCTGTCTGGCCCAAAAGCCAGGTCATATTCCACCCGAGTCTCTGGCTTAAAGCTTTAAGTGTGCCTGGTTTTAAGCCATCACTTCGCCTTGACCAAATACCACCAGCTCACGGTGTTCAGCCACTGGCACCCACACACTTTGTGCAATCTTTAATTCCTAATCATCAAGTCTAGTTATATCAGCGCCGTCCTGGTGTGCTCTTTTCTCGTCTACTACAGTTCGCCCTAGTGTCGAATATATCACAAGACACTTCCCAAGTCCAAAGCCCTGGTGCACCAGACGCCTGAATGGCATAGGCCACCTTTCATTTGATAAACCCGATCATTCATTATGGTGCCAAATAATGAAACTAATGGCAGCTATCGCGGTGGTGGTGCAGGCACCGTCGAGATCTTTCCGGAAGTCACCGCCACAGTTGCCAAGGTCACCTGTTCAGCCCATCAGCGCAAGGTGTGTCACGATTGCCGGTTCAACATTGAAGCTGAAGACTTGGACAACAGTGTACTCGACATTAATTGTTTCCACGAGCAAGACGGCTTGCAATACGGGGTTTTTGATGAAAGAACCCTGACAGTCACCACAAATGGTATGAAATACTACATCAGACGTTCCGAAGTACCCGACGACACCCAGCCAATTGGAGGCGCATTCATCTTCCAGGAGCATATCCAGACGCGATTCCAGGAAAAGCTCCAGCAGAAGAAGCCTTGCCCCGATGGAGATGAGCAAGATGATGCAGGCTACCTGCAAGCTGAGACATATGAGATTGACTGGCAAGCCCTCGCAATAGAGAAGAAAATGGCCCTTCACAATCGCCTTATCCCGCAGTGGGACGAGCAAATCCACGGTACTGACGTGCAATACAACCTCAACGAGATGCCTCTCTACCAGGCCATCAATACTGAGTACTGCGAGGATTGCCAGCTCACTTGGCTTGTTGGTCGGGATACGCACGACATCGCCCCTCAACCTCACCCCTACCATAACACCCTCTTCCCCGTTCTGGCCATTAACCACTGCATTGACCAACGATCACTTGTCGTCCACATCGGTACGACTGTTGACAAGAAGTACAAGGGAAAGACAGATGGTAACAAGGCAACGGTTGTGGGCTTTGGAGTTTACTTTGGGGAGCGCTCCAAGTACAATCACGTGGATGTCGCCTACTTGGTCAATCAGGCCGATCACTCAGACATTGGCGAGCTCTATGCTGCCTCTGCAGCCTTGCGCCTTGTAAGAAAATCTATCCTTACGGACTGGAAGGCTCTCATCGAGAAAGACGGCACTGCTGTCAATGACGATGACCCTTCCTTCTGGGACATCATCAATCAGCCCGCAGCATCTGACGATAATCCTGCCTCGAAAGTCCCTTCTTCCATGGATTCAGGCGAGGAATTCATTCATACCCCTTCCAAGCTGAGTCCTTTGTCATCCGAGGATGAGCAAGGTGGCAAGGCGACTACGGTCAAGGTAACAGCTCCCGAGCCCACGATCAAGAAAAGCACAAAGAAGGAAAAGAAAAAGGGCGACAAAGGAAAAGAGAAGGCTAAGAAAAAGACCAAGAACAAGTCGGATAAGGAGTCAGTTGGTACAATGCCGACGACCAAGTCCGAGTATGGCAGCGACCTACGTCTTATAATAGCCACCGATTCAACCTCCCTCTATGACATTGTCACTGACCGCCTGGGCAAGTGGAAGTACGACGGGGCGACTCGTCAGTTCAAGACAACTAAATCTAGAAAGCCACCCAAGAACAACGACCTCATTGTCGATCTGAAGGACGAGCGCGACGCACTGATGACCCTGGAATATGACCAAGGCATTGAGGTTGCGTGGTACAAGATCCCCCAGAAGAAGAATACTGCTGCTCGGGCTCTTGCTCAGCTGGCAATCGATGCGTTCAAGGAGGGATAAGGGGCCTGATCGAATACGTTTACAGATCGTTTTTTATCGCAGGGCGTCTACAGTGGTGTCATGATGTCCTCTAGAGAGGTGGATTGATGTATTTAATAAACTGCTGAGGAACCGGCAGGGCCAGCTAAGAGCCTGATGGGGATACAGAACGAGTGCCTCCGGGTAGTCTGTGGCGCCCACAAAGCGACGCCGGTTCGCCACCTGGAAGCAGAAGCAGCAATCCCGCCACTAGACCTCTATCTTAGTGCCCGGGCTGCTAAGTTTGAAGAACGGCTACGGCTTAGCGGGAAGAGAAATCTGCTTCGCAGCGCGAGCGCTAAAGCGTCACATATACTCCGGCAGGATAGGCCGGCGAAGAGGAAGCAGGCGTCGCAGCTACTCCGACCGGCAGGGTACACTATGGAGAAGGAGGCCCGGGGCTCCGAGTGGATGAGTGAGGAAAAGGAGGTCCCGGCTGCCCTCCTCGGCCACTGGAGGAAGAGATGGCTCACCGGAGCAGAGCATCACGATCGCCAGCGACGCGCTATCCCTGAGGAACCGGAGGGCCCTTCGATGCAGATACCGAAAGGGGGCAGGTATTTCGGCCTGAACCGACTGGAGGCGTCTACGCTGTGCCAGATCAGGACGGAAAAAATAGGACTAGCAGCCTTCTTATTCAAGACAGGGGCTTTTGGCGTGTACTCGCCGCTATGCCGCTGTGGCGACGCCCCTGAGACGGCAGAGCACGTAATCCTCTTTTGCGGGCTGTTGGAAGGACCGAGGGAACGATTACGGGCCGCCATCGCACCACGGCCACTATACTCTCGCAGAGACCTCGCAACGGCAACAGGAGAACCAGTAGTTAGTGGGACTATTGTAAGGTGGCTGCTAGGGACGGGTCGGACAGCTTCAAGGCCCAGATAGCATCGATCTTCTCAGGGGGGACTTTGTTGGTAGGTTGAGAACCAACGTAGTATGGTAGTGGACGTAACGCAGTCGCCAATAGGGCGAACCGACGACGCAGCGTATGTATTTAGTCCAGCCATTAGGGCACGGTTTGACATACGGGAGTACTAGTAGAGGTACTGGGGGCTTCGAGCCTACGGCGTATTTAATAATAATAATAATAATAATAAACTGCTCGTCACGCCTAATGGAGCTTATGCAGGTAGGGTATGCTCATTTTTTCTTAAACTAATGCGTCGTATATTCCATATTGATTGCATCAGTTCAATTTCTTTTGCTTCCACTTGTGACTTTACGTCTTATGCATGGCATGCGGAGATTATAAATTTCAACTAGGGCATAACCGAGTGTGCTCGACCATCATACTACGAGATGTTCGTTTCTAGCTATACCAAAAGAAACATATATTGCATAGAACATTATTTCGTAGTGTGGCTATCCCAAACTAGCTAGTACACCAGTTTCCGATTCTCTGAATGCATCGCCTTTGTGGTTAATGAACAACTTGTAGTACCTATTCCAACCGTAGCGCATGCACTTTGCTGTGAATACTGGAGCATGGACATAGTCCAATACCGCACCATGGCCTCATAATATCGTTTCCCAACCTTGATAGTTCCGTTCCCACAAGCAACATCACAACAGAATATCAGATGTGACACTCCCAAATAACAATATTAACTTTCAGTATGAGACACCATTGCATAAGTGGTACATATCTCAACAGATTCACAGACTTATCCCACCAATACTACCAAGGCTGTAACATAGAACAAAGCACAAAATCCGTCCGTTGCTTAGTTATAAACCCAGTTTTGACCTCATGAAACCGACAGCAGTGTCAACGCTGCCAGTATAATCGAAATGAGCACTCGTGATGATCAATGTCCCCTCGCAGACCTGGTCACCCTCATTACACAAAATCAGAGTCTTGCTAGTGTCAAAGCTGAGGATACGGGCTCCATCCTGCTCCTTCTGTGTATCACCATACGTTACATCCGCATAAATCCGTGCCTTGACGGCTGTGCTGAGTTGCTCGACAGACCTGTGGACCATAGCAGCACCCTGGCTATATCCAGATACCACGATCTTAGCAGATGGGCATTGAGTCGCCGCCTGAGTAATTAGTGCTGCCATGTCTGCCGCATCATCTGGGTCACATCCTCCTGTTTTCAGGTTGGACAGGAGACCAGCTGGGTATGTAACGCCCTGCGCAGCAACGACCGACGATCCCAAGGCAGACTTGAGCGCGTTGGCTGTTTGCGGTCCTGGCTGTTCCCCCTGTAAAGTCATAGTGAGCCGAGGAATCCTAAGGGGAGTTACTGCGAGTATAAGCACGAACCATGTTGCCAGCCTGGGTGGACCCTCTTGCATAGATCAAGATGACACTGCGACAGCCACCGCTGGTGAACTCATCAGCACTCGGTCCAATCGTCTGACGAGGTTCGAGCGAAGCGACCTGGACTCCGCGAGCTTCGATCTTGGTTATATCATTTGCCGCAACGTCGAGAACGATCGGGCTGGCATTGGCGATAGCTAGCAGCAACGCGGTAAAGATGGGAAGCGACAGATGCATCTTGACAGCCTAGAGAGGAGTACTAATGAGGACGTATACGGCCAGCTATGAAATCTCGGTTCTGAAATTATAATTGCACATGCCACTCTCGAAATTGAGAAGCCCTGGGCTTTATATATCAACATTTCATTCAACCTCGAAGGCTGCCGAGGACAAAGCTTGAGTGGCTGCAGCGTAACCACTGCCCCCGAGTACGGAGTACTTCCCGTACCTGCAACATGCCACCAATTCTTGAGGCCAACTATCCACCAATTGCTGCTATGCCGGGGCTGGTGCAGCATCGTCGTGACATGCTTAGTAGCCGAAATCGACTTTCCTAGACAATACGTTTCTCCGTTAAGATAAGGTCCAGGCTTCGAGCTTATGGTGACATGGGATGTTTCCAACAAATATAACACACAGCCGAGTATCGATGGCTTCCCCAAGACTGCGGAGCTGCGGTCTCCTGCCCAAAGAAAGAAATTGAGCCGGGCCTATAAAACCGCCGATACCTTGGCGGCAGATCATGTGGTGCAACCGGGGAGTCAATACTTTTTTAAATGCCGTTGTATCATGCATCTCCAGCATCGATAGTCTCATCCCAGGAACGTACCATACCTACATCCAGCAAGACACGTGAAAGTTTGGGAGTTTCTGCAATCAGCCCGGCGGTCGTCCTTATAGTCGACTTGGCTGTTTGTTTTCCCCCTCACCTTATTCTTCCCAAAAGGGAAACTCGTCAGATCCTGGGCGTGCCTATGTCACCGACAACGGCATGGGTTACGTGTCGGACCGCGCCAGCCTTCGACCTCCAACGACTTGTTTTTTCCAGTTTTCAAGCCACTTGACTGATGATGGATGAACCCTGAACCCTAAACCCTTGGCAACAGCCAACTGTTAGAACGTCAGGAGCGAAACCTCTGATGTATCAAGCAACTGACTGAAGGATGTAGCCAAAAGGCACATATTTCTGTACTTAAGGCCACTGTGGCTACCATCACTCAATGCGGCATAGGGAGATCAAGGACATGTCAAATTCCATGCTTTGTTGTGACTTGAACAGGGAACCGACTGATCCACACTTGCGATAAGTCTGATAGTGTGTACGTATCTGCAAAATGGTCATTCATCCCTATGCCAAGCTATTGCGGAATGCGGGGATGAACAATAAAGTACCTCGGACGCTCCTACTTAACTTAGATTCCTTGAGACTTATTCTTATAGTATACGCACCTATAATATTAGCGTACTACTAGCTGCTCTTTACACTACCTAACTATTATCGTGAGAAGTGTGGTATCCTCGTTATAGTTCGCCTTTAAATCTACTACTTTCTAGTAGAGAATAGAGACTACTATTAAGTTATCGATTAGTATCTCTCTATCCGTATATTTCTAAGTGAGAACGCTACGTAATATAAAGCGCTCGGTCCGCGCCTACTCAACTTGCGATCCACGTAAGGAGCGGTCCGGGGTTACATAATGACGACGAGTACTAGGTTTTCGGTATATAGTCTTGGAATATATCTGCCTTCGCCCTGAGTCCCCCCTGTTAGAAAACACGGTGATGACTTCCATAGTGAATAGCTCCGGTAGGACGTTATTGCTATTTTTAAGAGAGAGTGCACGACGCAGTCGTGACGGGAAGACTTATCTGGAGTCTAACGTTAAGACTCTAACTTCACTTAAAATAAATCTTTAGTAGAACTCTTTTTAAACTTACTACTTATTTATATTAGCTTCTATTTAATTAGACTTCAGTGCTTTAATCGGCCCGGTATTACTTCTATGCTAGCTATACTACCCATATTTCTAATGTTTTATAAACCGGATAGCTCGATACCTTACGGTTTAACTATTCTCGCTAGGGCCATCTCGTTCTAACATTATAGCGATGTCTAGCTAGGAGGGAGAGAACGTAATGATTACTGGAATAGAACGGTGTAAGCGGCTACGTACGTACGCGTTCTATTACGAAGATAAGGCAAATACGTTTTAAGGACGCTATATAAGATCATGGTTTACTGTCAGTACATCGGGATATCATCCGGCTTCCTCTTCCGTATTGTACTCCTCTTCGTTCCCGGGGGAGAGGCCAACGCGGAGACCATCGAAACCAGCACGGTCGGGCCTCTACTCGAAATATTGTACCGGGCTACTTCCAGCCGAGTCGGCGCTATCTGCCTTTTGATGTTTCCCCTGCTGTGTTTCATGTTTGCATGCTGGGCGGCGTTGACAACCTCGTCGCGCATGACGTTCGCCTTCATACGCGATGGTGGCCTCCCCATTTCGAGAATCTTGTGGGAAAGCCATCCCGACCTCAGCGTGCCCTTCAACGCACTCTATCTCAATGTGGATATTGTGGGTATATTCGGATGCATTTCCTTGGGTCCAGCGCTGCTTTCAACGTGATCACGGCCTCATCGGTTGTTGCCTTGGGGTTAAGCTACGCCATATACGTGGCCGCCAACATAGTTCGGGGTAGACGTAAATTACCGGAACGTGCTTTCACTCTGCCAGGTTGGCTGGGGTGGACGGTCATCATAGGCCTGGTGTACACCACTATGACGACGGTTCTGGTTTTATTCCCACCGACACTACCCGTGGACGGAACAAGTATGAACTATTGTGTTGTGTTATTTGCTACAATCCTCCTCATATCCGTTATACGGTGGTTTGCGGACGATAGACACAATTTCAGAGATCCTAGGGTTACTATCAACGCCGAAACCCACACCAAACTCACACAGGAGCAGGATTATGTTTAGGGCGAGGGCTAGCCATGATGTGTTCTTGTTTATTTTCATCGATCTAATACCTTAGAGAGCTGCTGACAAGCCACCTAAGACAATAAACGGCTAGAAGTTCTGCGCTGGGCGTGATCTAGCTTGTCACCTTTGCTCAGCGCTGACTTGTATTGACCTGGACATGCAAGGCCATCTGCATGTCCAATGGGGCCTATTGTAATAGTGGATGAAAATAAATATGTGCATCTCTATATCAACAGCCCCTATCCCTTTATGGATGTACACGCCAACCTAACAAGCAGCATGACAAATTGGTTCAACCATGATGGATGTCCCCTCAACCAAGGCTGGAAAACAACTACATGTCACTTATGATGGCACTTGGGTCAACATTGACAACGGCCTCATCTACACTACCGGCAAGCTAGCCGTTCCCCCCAAGTGAACGAGAACCTGCCAAGTCCTGCTGCTGAGTCCTACTGTCGAGATCGAGCGACGGCGTGCCGCAGATTATCTACTACCAGCGTGGCCTCGGCAGTCAAAACAACTGGTACTCGTACCTCTTTGGTGACTACTTGAGTGATGGAATCAGCGATAATATCCGAGGAGCCTACGCCGTCCTCTGGGACGTGAGTGTCATGTTTCCCTCTCCCGCTGCTCATGACTTAACTTTTTTTGCTGACGATAACAGAACAACTATGAGTATGGCGAAAACATGTTCTTGATCGGTTTCTCGTTGGGCACCTTCGTTGCTAGAAGCATTGGCGGGCTAATTACAACCAGGAGTCTCGGGGGTTTCTACCCATCTTCAAGGACAGCAAGAACCAGCTTACAACAACCTACAAACCCTAGGACGACTCGGTTGTCTGGCCTAGAGAAGGCGGCCCTACGTTTTCCAGCAAGGACACGAGGTACCTAGACAAAATTGTTGCCGATGAACTGACACGACGCTCAATCCCTATGAAAGTTATTGGCGCCTGGGATGCTCTGGGCTCCCTGGTGGTTCCGACGCCGAAGATCTAATGTCTGGAATTGCTCTCCACACTCAGACAACCAAGGAGTGCTCCTTAACCAATACTGATGTTACACCCAAGGTCGCGTACGCATACCAAGCTCTTGCCCTGTAAGAGCGCCGGGCCCCGTTCGCACAATTGTGTGAGAGTCCTCAAGTCAGGGTTCAAAACAGCCCTCAAGAAGCTGAAGCAGAGGTGGTTCCCTGGTGTATACTTCGGTGTGTGATGGCCACGCTGAGACATACATTAGCGACAAAACGTCCCGCACGGCGAAAACAGCGACCTGACCTCCCAGAAATGGGCCCTGGGTCTGATCAAGCGATCCGATCTTGGTATCGCCGCTGCCACGATGGGACGCACCGATCGAACCCCAGGTGTCTATAACCGAGCGCAGGCCTCGACAGATTCGACATACGAGGGGCTTTTCCGGACTGGTGAGTTCATCCAGCCATCCGTCCTCTGAAGGTGATAAAATGCACATAGTGCAGGTCTCGCCGAAAACAAAATAGACCTCGTCAAAAAGGGCTTGTACCATCCTGCCGCCATGGAGAGTTCCAAGTTTTATAAGCCCAGTCGGGTGGATGAGATGGAATATGACAAGCAACCCGAGCTGTAAAAAGTGGCGAGACTAAGGCATTTGGATCAAACAGGGCGACGAGGGCAATTGAAATTTCATCGTGGAAAAGCACCTACGACATGGGTCAACCGAAGATCGAAGATAGGTTGCTGAATGCATGACCCGGCGTTAGGAGTCAGCTGGTCTAGGTAGTTGCGTTTGCCCAGCTCCATTGGATTTTAAAATCTAAACAATCAGTCATAGTGTTCCCATAGATAATACCTGTAATTTCCCAAGTGCATAATTAAGTAATCTTTGAAAGGTGGCAAGGTATCATACGACCAACGGAGGAAAGTCATGCAAATTTGACAAGTGCGACCAATGGGGCATTTTGCAGCCCGTTCGTGCAAGGGACAGATGATTCCTGCAAGAATCTGTGTGCTCATCAGGCAGGTCAACTAGAAAGAAGACTGGTGCCGAAATTGGTTAAGAAAACCCGACTCACGCATCTAGTCACCCCGGCTGACCTTTGCGCGCATCGGCTTGTGCTGATACGATTCGCCAACTTCTCAAGAGATCGGAATGCTGACTGTGACCGGTATGAGAAAGAGACCGATTTATCAAAATGGCGAGCTCACCTTGCTACTAGTCTAACACCTAATTGCCGGATCCGGGGGCTATGGATTTATCGATGCAGCCATCAGATCAAATGTGACATCACGTATATCCCGTCGCGCATGCAGCTTGGATGATGTCTGACTTTCTATAATCTGCGATCCATATATAAGGTAGCTAAGAAAGACGTAGCACTTTTGTGCAATTTCCATACCTGGTTGAGTAAATTGGCGTTACCTATATTCTATACTTTCTACATACTTTGTACTCGTTGCATACTCGTCCAGCCCCACCATGTCCATACTAATCGTCCGATAATAAGCTCCCGGCCTTGCATCCTGTCCATCCCCAACCCGTATCTTCCAAACATCAGACGTAAACATTCTGGAAGCCCTCCCGAAAAGCAATCATATACAAACCATCACATTTATCTGTACACCGGCCACATGTGGAACATAGCTATCTCTTCGACGATACATATTACCATGGCGAGCTCAGTGGGTGTTACCCGCACGACTTTTGATATCCATATCACATACTAACATTCTTTGTTGTCAGCAGCCGCAGCAACAGCAACAGCTACAACAACAACAACAACAACAACAATCTGGGCTTCCCTATAGTCTACCAATGGCCCAGATGGGAGGTCTCCCCCTCGTCGTCCCAGATATACCCATCTCGGCGACCCTCCTGTTCTTTTTTACCCTATTGGCCGCAACTCATATGGCCATCTTCCAGATCAACCGTAGGCGGGAACACAATTTTGTCTTCTCGGCCCTCCTGTTCGCCTTAAGCATGGCCCGTATTGCCACCCTTACCATGCGCATCGTATGGGCGACTCAACCAACAAACGTGCAAATCGCCATTTCCGCCGCCATTCTTACACAGGCCGGGGTCATCATCGTCTTCGTTGTCAATCTCTTCTTCACCGAAAGAATTATTCTTGCCTACCATTCCCGCCTCCGGCAGTACTTGTTCGTCAAGCTGGCCTTGCGCATCCTCGTTGCCCTAATTATCACTATGATCATCATGGCCATCATTGCCACCGTGCATTCCATGTACACCTTGAGCCAAACCGCAAAACGCAAAGATCGGGACGTCCAGCTTTTCGCCGCCACCTTCCTTGCCGTGCTCGCCTTTCTGCCTATTCCAATCCTCATAATCTCCGCGCTTGTCCCAAGTAGCAACGAAAAGGAGAAGTTCGGCACTGGCCAGCTACGGACTAAAGTTTTCTTGCTGCTATTTACCGCTTCCCTACTCACTCTGGGGGCTGGTTTTCGGATTGGGAGTAATTATGCTGCGCCCCTGATCAATGATCCGCAATGGTTTGACCACAAGGCGGTGTTTTACACTGTCACCTTCGGAATTGAGTTAATTATCAGCTTTACATATGCTGTGGCCAGATTTGACAAGCGCTTTCATGTCCCCGATAAGACGAAGGGAGCTAGTACCGGGCAAGAGACCACAGCGGACGAAATTGAGAGTGGTGCTTTCAATACAGTGGTACAGACTGAGACAGCTTCAGTTGGCCTGGGTCAGAGTGAACCTGACTCGGCCGTAAAAGTTGATAAGGAGAACAGCAGGGCTCTCGACGTGGAGAAGGGGCGCAGTGTCTAAAACCTCCCTAGCGCCTTCATATTGTAAGGATAATTCAGAAATGATTACTAGACCAGCTAGATACTACAGGCGATGAATATGGTGAGGATTACTTTGCTGGTGCTTGCCTATGACATATGCGAACCGTCCGGTTGAAATGTTTGAACAGTGCTGGGGTCCGGCCAGGTGGCGAATTAGGACTATCAATTCAACCAACTTAAGTACACATGTTATGACTCTTTAGACACTGTGAACTGTAATTGACATTCCCTCCCTCGGTGCGACTTATTGCGGCGACGTGAGTGGGGTAGATTCAGAGATAATACGGGATTTCTTGCCACTATACCTAACCACAAATACGACGTTTACGCTCTCTTTTATTGTGTGGTCATGTCTAAGATGCTCCATTAAGAACCAGCATGGGAGAAATGTTATCATAACGTACCCCACAAGCAAGTTGGCCACTTTTTCTTGGCACCGTATGAATAACTTCAATAACTTAACTAAACTAAAAAATAATAATTCAAACTAATCGGAATCCTCTTCCTCGTATGTATCTTTATCATTCTCACAAGTATGAGCATTATGTCCGGGCTCTCCGCAGATCCTACAGCGCCGTCGGCGTGGTTCGGCCGGTCTCGTACGACGACGACTTACACGTATATCATCCTGTAGCTGCTGTTCAATATCCCGTTGAGACTGGAAGTCCTGAGCGTCTCGTAAACTAAGAGATCCTCCATCTTGTAGCTGTCGATTTTGAGTCCTTCGACGACGGCTTAGCTCTTGATTGGCCTTCCGAAGTGTAGTAACCTCATCCTCAAGTAAAACTAACCGATGCATAACAGCCGTCGCACCACGTGAAAATTGGTCAATAGCCGTAAGTATTGTCGTCGGGGAGCTATTCTGATGCTGTACGATTCTGTTTTTAACGTATTCAGACTGGGATTGCGCCTCGGTTGGGTTATTTGGAGTCTTTGATTCCCAGATTAAGGGGGCGCCAGACGAGCTCCCAGGAGGTGTAGGCGTATGTAGCTTAATATCCAGCTGTGAAATCACATATTCCGGGTCGTACGGAATAAGTCCTGTCCCCCTGAAACCTGCCTGGATATTCGACTTAGTTATAGTCGTACGATACTCCCTATAGAATGCCGAAAAGAAATCCTCCTTCGAGATATGGGTTATATGCGCCCGTATTAGGTCTTCAATTTCTTTGCCGTACGACCTTTTCAAAGCCCTAAAACAGCCTACATCGAGAGGCTGGAGCTTATGTGACGAATGAGCAGGCATACTAAGTGTAATAATAGTATGCTCTTTGCAATATAGCTCGAAGTCAGTCGAGTGGTGGCTCTCATGCCCGTCGAGGATAAGAAGACGATAAACACCCTTCGTACGATCCTTCGTATAGCGATCAAAGTGCTGAATCTAGTCTACGCCTCGCTCATTTGTTGTCCAACCTTTTTTGGTTACAGCGATTACCCAATCGGACGGGAATAGGCTATTCTCGTACCAGGATAAGAGGTGGTTTTGACCCGCGACAATAATATACGGCGGGATAGCCCAGCCGGACGAATTAATACCCTGGATTACTGTAGCCCATTCTCGATTATCTTGTTGGACTGTACGAGGCCTTCCGCGTCGTTCAGCACTTGTGATACGAAAAGGTAAGGGGACCCACTGGTTAGGTGAATCCCATTCAATTAGATACTATAACGTTGCGCACTGCTGCATTATAGCATCCTCCCCCCTAGGTGCACGCATCAACTTGTAACTACCATCTCGGATAAGATTAAGCCCATCGCGAACCCTATCTCGTCGAAGTTATAGATATCCGCCTCTTGGATACCATATTTCGCAATTGTATTTCGTACGAGCGTAAACCACGCGCGATACGCGTCAGGATCTTCGCAATAGGCTCGTTGGTAGTCGATTCTTCGATTAAAACGCGTCCGAAGGTCTGGTTGTCGTCGTACGAAGTTCGAGGCCCAGTTGACGCCGACGCGTCCAGCGCCACGGTCACGGAGCAGTCGGTTAGCCATAGCTTCAACACCATGGAGCCGGGGAGGAAATGATCGCGAATCTAGGTCAAGTATGTATTGTACGACCGCTAACTCTTCTGATTCCGTAAGCTTATGACTAGATTGTCGAGTATCGCGTCGAGATAGTAGTCCGCGTTTTCGGTTAGCTAGAGTTGTACGAGGGACATTGTAGAGTTGGGCAGCGCGTCGGATGCTTAATTCGGGTTTCGATTAAAGCGCCTGACACGCTAGAATTATGTCGCTTTCTTTCCAATTCGATCCCATCTTGGTATGTGTAAAGATGTTAATTAAAAGGTTGTTCGTACGGTGCCAAGAAAAAGTGGCCAACTTGCTTGTGGGGTACGTTAGTCAGATCGTTTTAATGTGGAGTGCAGTGTTTCGTAAGGTAGCTGGCAACAGCTAGAGGAAACAACGATCCCGGAACTGTCGAACTGTCGTCTTGACAGCTGTTCTCTAATCCACCTCGTACATCTTTGCTGTGGTACGAAACATCATAGTCAAGTTGCTTTTGAACAGAGCGCTGCCATTGTGCGGTTATTGAGCTAGCAAGCACGGCACATGGCCACAATCAACTTTCTCCGGACCAGTGGGATTGCGCAGCTGCACATAGATACCATTACCCGAGCCTGGTAGCAAACCCCAGGTCGAAGCGCCATCATCACCCGCAACCATGTTTCAGCGATTCAAGAACGCCCTCGACCAGTCCATTGCGCAAGAGCAGGCTCGTCACAAGGCCCTATCCGAACAGCGGGCTTCCTCTCCTTCGGGCAGCTCCACTCCGAACCGTCGCTCCGGCTCTGTCTCGCGGACTAACAGCTCCAAGGACTCATCGGCGCGGCGCAAGACGAAGAAGTCCAGTCAGGATATCTCGAATGGCGACAATGGCCTCAACCCCGATCCCGCCGTTTTTGAGGCTGCATTCGCCATTGGTGACGACGAAACCGACACGCGCGCAAGTACACCGAAACCACCAGTCCCCGACAAAGATGTGACGGAAGACAAGGAGGCGTCAGCAGCTGCCGGCGACAGAAGTGAGGATACCAAGGAGGCTTTGGAAGGCGAGAACAAGGGATTCACCCCAACCGTGACCGTTACAGACTCAAATGGCAACGATGCAGCATCCGCACCCGCATCCACGCCTGCTGATCTGCCTCCTGAAGTCAAGGCGAAGCTGAGGAAGCTTGACAAGCTCGAGAAGACATATCCGGGTACGCTTCTTCGGACGCATGTCTGTTTTCTGGTTTCTTCGACGTGGACATACTAACCATCCCCGTGCGACAGAACTTCTTCGTTCATACCGCATAGCCCATGGTCGCGCCACCTCAATTGAGCCCTTCGAGAAAGCTCTTCGCGAGAGCACGCCCCTTACCTCCATCAAAGACCCAAATGCCCTGGTCGAGTACTTGAATCAGCTGAATCTAAAGGGCGACATGGTCATGGACGAGTTCAAGCGCGTGTCTGCCGAAAAAGATATATTGAAGAAAAAGTTTGAAGATACTGATAAGGAACTTGTCGCCCTGAGGGAGGAGGTTGCTGCCATGAAGGCCGCCAAGGCCCAAGGGACGCTGGCCGAAACTGGCGCAAAGACGGATGAAGATGCGGAAGGAAAGAAAGACAACGAGGAGCTCAAGCGCGCTGCCTCTCCTTCCACCAGCAAATCGCCCGTCTCGTCCATCTTGGGCGTCTTCTCCCCGAACCAGAAGCCACAATCTACCGACGAGAGTAAGGATGTTAGCGAGGACATGTTTTCGTATGACGAAGAGATACCTCAACTCCAAGCCGAAGTTGCATCTAAGTCGGAAGAGATAACCAAACTACGATCTGAAGTGGGCACACTGAAAGATGAACTGGTCGTCGTTAAGGAGTATAGTAAAGGCTTGCTTGAGAGCCTTGAAAAAGCAACGCGGGAAGTCAGCAAGTCGAGGGACGCAACTGCTGTGCAAGACTCGCTGCAGACACAATTGGACGCGCGCAATACCGAGATCAAATCGCTTACGGAGAAGCTCGAGAAGACCCAGACACAGCTACGGGACGTTGAAGCAAATTTGCAAAAGGAGAAAAGTGCTGCGGCTGCAGCTTCTAAAGAGCTGGAGACCAAATTGGATGATAGGGACAAAGATAATGTCCATCTAGGCTCCCAGTTGAAGAGCTCGGCTGAGGCTAAGTCTGCCTTGGAGAACAAGATCAAGAACTTGGCGGCTGAGATCGCTACATTGAAGAAGTATAAGGTGGAGACCGAGGAAAGGATAGAGAAGCTCAACAAGCAAATCCAAGACAACGCTCAACCTGCACCTACTGCCACACCGTCTGACAAGTCACTAGAAGTCCCCGCTGTTTCTTGCGCACCTGGGGGTTCTAAGAAGAGGAACAAGAAAAAGAAGAAGGGCGGCGCAACAACCGCGACTGTCGAACCGACGCCGAGTCAAAACTCTGAACAAACACCAACCTCGCCGGTGGTAGAGAGCGTTGACACGTTATGTCTCTATGAAGAGATAGGCAAGCTTAAAGACGAGATCGCCCACAAAGATACCCAGATCGAGAGGTTGTCAAAACAGCGCAAGACGGAGGAAGATCTTCACGAGGAGCTCGAAAACATGCAGGAGAACCTTTTATCGATTGGTCAAGATCACGTGGAAGCCAAGCAGAATATCAAGGAGCTCGAGGTTGACAAGAGCAACCTCCAATCACGCATTGCCGAGTTAGAGAAGGAGATTGCGTCCGATGCCTTGCAGGCCAAGTCGAACTCCGCCCTTCAGACCGAGTTGGATTTACTCAGGAATGAGTACGATGAATTAAAGATAAAGTCATCGATCCTGGCATCGGATCTTGGCGCAGCACAGCAGTTGGCGCAGAGCAGGTACAAGGATCTAACCGATCTGCGCGATGTACTATCCAAGGCACAACCGGAGCTGAAACTGTTACGCCAGGATGCGGCCACCCTTAAGACAACAAAGGATGAGCTAGCATCGAAACTAACCGAGCTCCGTGGTTTAGAGAAGCGAGAGAAGGATTTGAAGGTGGAGGTAGCCCGCGTGCAGCGCATCGCCACCGACCGTGAGGCTGAGATGCGCAATTTGAACGACCGATTGGCCGTCGAGGCCAAGATGCGTGCCCGGCTCGAGGACGAGAAACGAGTGGCAGGCCGCGACTATCGTCGCTCAGAAGCAGAAAGGGTGGAGCTGTCGGCCAAGGCCGAAAAAATAGCCCGAGAAATCGAGCCATTGCAGGCCGAACTGTCCTCCATCCGGCCCAAGATCAGCTCCCTCGAATCGCAGATCTCCAACTTGCAGAAAGAAAAAGATGCTCTAAAGGAAGATGCTGATCTCAAGGCGGCGCAGTACAACTCAGTGCAGGGTCTCTTGTCTTCAATGCGGGATCAAACTGCCGAGTTGTCGGTCCAACTCAAGGAGGCTCAGTCCCAGGCCGAATCGCTCGAGGAAGAACTCGCAGAGGCGCAAAAGCACCTACAAGAACGTACTCGCGAGGGAGAGACAATGCGTCGTATGATTGCTGAAGTGGACGAGAAAGCGGACCAGAAGGTGCGCGAGATGAGGTCAAGGTTGGAAGCGACCGTTGAAGAAAGAGACCGTATCGAAGATGAGTCATCCACCCTTGCGCGGCGGCGCGCTAGGGAATCTGAGGAGTTGCGACAGAAGGTGAGGGAGCTAGAAAGGGAAATGAAGACGCTCGCAGCCGAAAAAGACGATCTCGAGTTGAGAGAAAGAGAATGGAGGAAAAGGAGAGAAGAACTCGAGCGAACCGAGGAGAAGACGTCTGCCGAGGCCGAGGACATGCGGCAAGCCGTGGCCAATCTACGATCCGCCCTGGACAACTCGGAGAGCTCGGTTAGGGAGGCCGAAAAGCAGCGCGCCGACATGCGCAAAGTACTCGACGAGTCCCGAGCCAGGTACGAGAAACTCGCCAAAGAGCTCAAGATGGCTCAGGCGAGGATTGCGGGGGCGCCTGTCGCTAGCAGCGGGCGAAGTAGCATCGATAGCAACAGGAGCGGTACACCTAGTCACGGCGCAAGCACTGGCGGTGGGCAAGCAGTAGGAGTTGATACCTTGTACTTGAAGACCATCCTGCTGCAATTCCTCGAAGTCAAGGACGAGAAGGTGCGCGGCCAGTTAGTGCCTGTGCTGGGAAAACTGTTAAGGTTCGATAGGTGAGTTCTGTGACCAACCACTTTGCAATCGCACACGCTAATGATGGAATAGGAACGACGAGCAGAAGTGGTTGAATGCTGTGCAACATCTGTCGAAGTCAGGGCGGTAGTTAAAGTAGCTTTGTAGGCCACTTGGTCAATTAAAAGGACAGAGGTGCGTTCAAGAGCGGTCTGCGAGCATGGTTCTGCGCAACAGCAGTGTCTACTCAACCCATGGCTATTCTACAGACTACCTCAACAAGTAAGTTAACCACTGTGTAGTGCACGTCTGGGTCAATTGTCGAGATCGTCCGCATGAAGTTTTCCAACGGTTGCTTTTTGACCTGGCTGTCTAACGCTACACAACCCAAGTCCTCCCTCGCGACACCATGACGAAATCGAGTCGGGTTGGAGGTGACGGAGGAATAAGAGATGAATGAGAATAGCTCGCTTTCCTGACGGCATCGACCAAATTTCGGGTTTCATGATGAACATATGGCTCGACCGTGTTTGTCTACGTGCGAGGACAGCTGCGGAATGTAGTGTATGTTCTTGGTTTGTTTAGATCTGTGTGGACTTGCAGGGGTCAGGCCTATGGACAAGGGGGGCATGGACGCACCGATCCAGGCCCAAACATGTCAAAGGCATCGAATCAACAATTTTTCCTCTGTACCAAGACATTGTTTTTGAAGCTGTGATGTACTGAACTCAGGGTTTCCAATGTTCCGTTTGACAAGAATAACTATTCACCAATCCGCCATTATTTACGCTTAAGCTTGGACCGGATCGTTAGGGTGGGATGAGATCGAAGCCAATCTGGGTTCGTACGCATTGATTAACATTACTCTAGTGGTTGTCAGGTGCAAGTTGCTACGGATCGTTATACAATGGCTGCGTTTCATGCGCCTTGGCCCCGCGGCTACAATCTCTCCATACCCACCGTCTCCTGGCCGCCACAAAAGCCACAACCAGGGCACGTATTGACGATCTTCTGAATGCGCGAGCGACAGCCGGACGGAAATACAGGGCAAGGGCAATGGTGATGCCCAGTAAAATACCAATCTTTACAAAAGCATCGTGAAGCGCCGTTGACGGTGCGTTTCCCACGTCGCGATTCACAATTTCGGTGTGCCCGAGCGCGTGGCCGTCCTCGTCGACAGCAACAACGCGCAAATAGGTGTGCATCTGGTCGGTCATCTGAAAGGTTACTTCGAACCCGTCCTTTTCTTGCTCGTCGAGGTCGTTCCACTCGTCATCGTGTATGCCCTGCCACTCGGCACCCTGCAGAATCCATCGGTCGACCTCAGTGGCGCCATGCCAACTGGCATATAGCCTGGCCTCGGATGGGCGTAGGAAAATACTGGGGGGATAAATTGGTCTACCGACCCAGCTCGTGGTCTTGAAAGTGCGGTACGAAGTCACCATGCCGGCCTGGAAGACGAGCCTGGGCGCGATGCGTGCATGGCACAGGACGCGGCCATCGGGCGAAAACTCAGTAAATGTGGGCAGGAAGCCGTAGCTCACGAGCATGTTGCCTGTGTCTGGCATGACCTGAGCAGAGCCCTGTGATTGCGCGATGATGCCATCGTTGGCATATTCCTGGACCAGGCTGGCCGTCATGCGTTCCGTATCAAGTTGGATCAGCATGCCGCGGCTATAGCTCCCAACATAGCGATCGCCCGTCGTCTCGGACTTGGCGTTGTCAAAGATGCTGAGCGTGTTGTTGTCGTGCATGCGCGCGTGGTGCTGCCAGGTGAAGTCGGTCCCTCGGCCGTCGGATAAGTCTTGGAACATGTTGTCCTTGCCGCCTAGGATCCAGATGCTATCGCCTGTTGGGCGTATGCACATGACGGTATGTGTATGGCGGCCTGAGATAACAAAGTTGCCCTGTTGATCCTTGTCGACGCTGTTGATATGGAAATAATCAAATGCGGACTGAGGACTGCCACCGAGATCCCCACCGGCGAAGACTCGCATCGTCTCGTTGACGGAGACATGCTCGGATGCTCTCCACTCGAACAAGAGAGAGCCAGTTTCGATGTCGACCTCTTGGAAGATGCTGTCGAGGATCCAACCGTCTACAGGGCCACCGATAGACGACAAATCGGCCGGCACCGAGAAATAAACTGTCATCAAAGCTGTTCCCTCATCGGAGATCTTGAACTCATGGAGATCGCTTCTCAAGCCCTCACCGACAGGTTCAATGGTCTTGAAGACGGAGTAGGTCTCATCGAGCTGGGAAGTCATCAGTAAGTCACATCCAAAACGGCACGGCGGCTATCCTACCATGTAATGTGTGCCCATGCCATAGCGATGTGTCACACCCTCCGGACTAGACCAGAAGGTCAGATACTGCTTGCCATTGTACGTCTGGACCTTGACGTCCGTCGTCTCGCCGAATCGGTCGTCAGTCCACACCAGATTGCCTCGAGCATCGACGATGACCGGCCCAGGCTTGGACACAATGGTGCCGCGGGGCGAGAGGAGATAGAAGCCGCCATCATCGCACTGGTCATCCCACTGCAGGAAGTTGAGCAACGGCGCACCGCGGCTGTAGGTCTTGTACCATATTCGTGGGAATAGCCCATAGAATCCCCAGTCGTACAAGACCGGGGAGTTGAAAACGTTACTTGCCAGGCATGTCTTCGGGAGACCGACTAGCGCAACTGAAAAGATCAGTTTCAAGGCCAACAAGACGCGCAACATTACTAGAACGGACGGGACAGTAAACAACCGGCGTCGTGTGAGGTTTGCGGTCGTTCACCTTTGACGTTGAAGGGGGACCTTGCAGTGAAAAGGCATTCAACAAGCTCGCGTGCCAAGGATTGATTCATGAGTGCCAAGCCGCACTGTGGTGGATACAGCCCAGTATAAGACGGGACCCGACGCGCGTCTTTCTTTTCAGAATCCCGAGTGCTTGGTGCCAGTTGACAACCAGTATTCCTTATCTCGACACACATGCAAATATGGCCTGATGGTCGATGGGAATTGGTGAATCGTCAGAATTTTGCCAGCAGAGAACCCAAGTCTCTATGTCGAACTATGTAATGTGCCAAGCGAGCATTAAGCACCTCCTTAACGAGTCGGAGATCGAGCCCCAGCATATGTTCACCACTTCTCCATAGTGACGCAACAGTGTAAATTGCGATCGTCTCAGATTTAAGATAAACAGATTTCAAAGTTCATGCCCAATACCCGCCGAATCGTCGAATTTAGTAGACTACTCGACCTACTATGTAGTACTATGTAGTAGGAAGTAATAGACGAGATGCTTTATGCGCTAGATGGCACTTATACTCGTTCGTCAATATTGTAGGATAATTCACGAAATGCCGAGAGGAGGGTATGAAAAATGTAAAGCCAGAAAAGCGTCGCTATGCGCACCACTACCAAGGACCATTGTACCGGAAGTTTACAGCTTGAGAACCACCGGAAGCCCCAAAATTTGGAAGTCAATAGAGTCTTCCTCCTCGTTTGAGCAATTATTGGTAGGATCTATGTTGGTATGTCAAGCAAGTGGATGGTTTTCATGGTGTACCGGCTTGGGGGTTAGTGACAAGTCGCAGCTTGTTACTGTCAACTTGATAAGATAGGCCCGACGCAGATTATTTGCCTGAGCTCGTAGTGAAAAATCGCCATCACCAAGAGCATGGCATGAAGTCCTTGCTCACGGGAAATAATTCCCAGCTTGCTTATATTGCATCCGACTAGTGATCTCCTGTCACAAATACGAGCGATTCTCTTTATCTACCGGTAGGACGATAACGTTATAGCGTTCTGGCCTTAACGCTAACCTTTTAGGTATATACTAGATACTACGAAGTTAGTATAGGGCCAGCTTAGTAAGCCTAGGGGACCCTCTGTTAGGGGCTATAGCGGCTGAGACGGCTATGCAAATATACTAGCTAAGTGAACCGGATACGCCTGTAGAGGAGGCCTCTAATGAAGCTGCCGGCATGCTAGTAGGGTATAGCGCTGGCGAGTTTAACAATGAATTTATTTCCGGCTAGCTACAGTAAGTACCTCAGCAACCAGTTAACTTAACCTAATGTGGATAGCCGGTTAATCAACCTAACGAAAGGGGATGGTGAGGTTGATTAGGTTAACTCGAGGCTTGATTCCGTTGGATTGGACTGCAGCATTGGTGTGGACCAGCAAGTGAGTGTGGATGGGTACGGTCGTCGTAGTGGCCGGGAAGATGGTATCGAACTGCGCTACACTATCGTGGTCGGTGAGCTCGATGCCACGGAGGAAAGTGGTGTTCAGGCCTCCCTGGCCCGACTCAACACTCGAGTAGTATCCGGTGGCGTTGCAGTTCCAGATGTCGACGGCCACTAAGGGCAGGGCCTCGCACTTGTTGACGTCAATGTACTAGACCTCGGGGAAGACGTCGATGCCGTCACAGAAATGTGGCTCTTTGACGTTGCTGCGCAAGTACTCTCCCACAATGTAGAAGGGGCCGTCGTTGACGTAGGGTGCGAGGATGCAAGACGTCTCGGCGCTGACAACATCCTCGATGGCGGTTAACATGTCGTTGGACACGGCGCCCGTCATATTATGGTTGATGGCTTCCCAATGCCTGCAGATCCTCGAGCGTACGCTTGCCCTTCTTGGCGGCTGTGGGTACATGTCGGAATCGTTTTTGTTCTTGTTGAGGACTTGCTTGTGAGGTCAACTTACAAGCCTTGATACCACACTTCTCGCGGATCGATTTGACCGACTCGATACGGCGCTTGACAGAGCGGGCTTTGAGGGCCTGGGCGCTGGCCGAGTTGGAGCAACCGCCGATATAGCGGGCGCCGTTGGCGGCATGGTGATCGCGGACGACTAACTCTTTCTTCATGTAAGCGGAGCTCTTAGGGACGGGGTGAGCGGCAGCATAGCCGGCCAGAAGGGTGACGGCGCGCGTGAGCTTAGTGAATGCAACCATGTTGACGACCAAAAGCAAGAGCAAGAATGTGTATGATAATGAACGACTGAATAGACTGGACTGAACTGGACTAGACTAGAAGAACCGAGTCGTTGCTGGTTGGCAGTGAGGGACTAAGTGAATGACTGGATGAGTGAGTAGGATGATACAAGAACCTCGAAAGAATTCGAGGAAGCTGAGTGACATTGTAATAACCAGAACTTCGGGACTCGTCGTACACGTCTAAATGCTTGGTATCTTCAAGGCCTAGCCATTGCCCGAGTATGAAGGGGCTTCTCGTGATGTTCGCCGTCTTTGTCGCCCACTCTGATGCATAGTATAACCAAGCACTCCGCTGAAAAGTGGGTGCTCGCCATTGTGGGCTTCGTCTTGGACGGCTCGCAGTGACCGGACGGGGAAAGCAGTCAAAAGGGCCCAGGCCAAGGTGGGCGTGATGTCGAGAAAAAGCCGCCACTTAGATTGGAAAGCGGTGCTGCCAATAGACGACATGGCCGACGTGAACCAATACACGCCGAGTCATTTCAAAGTGTGTCGTCGATAGTGACACGGGATGTGGGCGGCCAGACTTGCCTAAAGGCAGTTCATCCCATGTTGCTTGCTAATAAGTGGGCAGCAGCAGCAAGCTTCATCTTGGGATCGTTGACGAGACCTATCCACAGCGGCCCAAGCTCAACCACTTCTAACAAGCGTGCTCTTGAGCCACCTGGGGCATTATTGCCAGTAAAAAAAGGAAAGGAAGGAACAAGTGGATCTCGAAAATTAACCTTCCCGTTGCCATGAACCATTATGTGGGCATTAATGAACACCATTCAACTCGCCAAGTCACTTGGAGGGAGGTGAATCGCATCTTGCAACTGTGCTAAGCGATGGGCGAATGGCATCGTCGCAATTCAACGGCTTGCGTTTGATTGACCGGGTATCATGACGTATCTTCAAATGACTTGTTTGAAAATCATGGACGTTGACATATCGAATGCCGTACAGCGGATGAGCGCGCCTTTGTAGAGCCATTATTATTGGGTTGCGTACTGCATAGCCGCCGCATTCAACGAAACTCACAACTCACCTCCACTGTGGAGACGGTGCTGCAGAGTTTTGAGTATCACCGCATCACCATGCGCTTACAATTGCACAGATATTTAGCATCTGCGCCAAGTAATTCGTTTGACCAGAGCACCTGAAATAAGGACCAAAGTAGGTGGTGTTGCTCTATGTTATTCGTTCTGTCTATTATCTAAACAAACCGGATTGCCTGGTGTCCTTCATCAATCCTCAATGCACCCTGTTGTATAGTGCACAAACAGACATCTCACAGTTTGGCCCCCATCTTCCTTTGCTGAAAATTTTCGTTCTCTTTTTGTAGCGATCTCGCTTCGTGTCCAATTTGGCCTGGACCGTGGTCTTGGGGCGCCTGGGCAACATCGCTCTTCTTCGGTGCGCTTCTGTATCCGCCCTCCGTGTTCTCATCGTTGACTACCTTGCCGCTGGCATCTCGCCTTATGCCAAGCTCCAGCAACTTGGCAAACACTCTCGAGAAGTGATCAAAAAACAAGTCCTTGTCTTCGGCGTATCTTTCTACCCAAATTTTGAATTTAGGGTCAGAGAGAAGAGAAATGTCTGTAGGGAGCATCATGAGCTCTTCGGGCTCTTCGTTGTCTTCCAGCTCAACCTCTTCGTCTACATAGACGAACTGCTCCAGGCCATTGTCGAGCTTCTTCTTCTTCCAGTCGTTGACGAGCAAGAGTTTGAAGTATTGATTGGAAAATCGAGTCGGCTGGTTCACCCATTTCCCCTATCCAAGCATTGAGAGTCAGCCTATTTGGTATTATCAAAGGATAACCGGAGACCGGCTGCTTACCTCAAAACCGGAATTCTCGCTGTGACATCGCCCCAGGTTGTGCGCTCCTGACAGAGCGACAATTTCCTGGTCGTTGAACCCCATGCGATAGAATATGAAGCGTAAATGGTCTGCACCCTGTGCTGCATCGGGAAGCCTTCCTCGCGGTGGTATCTTGCTTTCGTCTGTAAAGTCGGTCCGTCCCCCTGACCAGGTCACCTCTGGACCTCCCATCTCCTTGATTGCCACGGTGGCGGCCAAGGTCCAAAGATCGGCATATGTGATCCACGGAAACCTTTTCTTAATGGGCTCGAGGAAGGCTCTTGCATGCTGTAAGCCGGCGTTTGCTGGGTCGCCGCCTTCTTGTTCGTATCTCATGCCGGCTCCGTTAGATCCGCCCGTGTTCGTTGTCGCGCAGCTACAGAACAAAATTTAGCATGCGGTGACCAAGTCTGGACTGTCATGGACCACGTACTATGTGCCAGCCGAATGCCATGCCAGTCTGACGAGAATCGGGCCAGCAGACCCATCATCATAGTCGGGTTGGTGCAGAAGCGCGCGGACGGCTTCTTTCACTTGATCGAGTTGCGCATCGCTTGGCGCTGACGGTGGGTTTGGTACCATGTCGACGGCTGACTCGCACGATGAATGTTATGCTGTCGGGAACTGGTGGTATCTCCGGGGTTGACAATGGAATCCTTGGCGACAACGAGCTTTTCGGAACAGGTGCTCCTGTGACGCATGCAGCAAAAGACCACATGACAATAAGAATCAGAACGCGAAACGGCCCAGTTACGAAATGCGTAGATCAACCTCGGCCCGAGCCCTTTTACGAGCAATCATGTGTTTCTTATCGTCATCACGACCAGTTTAGAAGCGGGTCCGGGGAAGTTTTTGTGGCGGGTCCGTATGGGTCCGAACCCCCCCGGCCTTGTACCGGAAAGAGGGCCGTTGCAACCGCGGAGAAACCTGGTGCCTCTAGATGGTCAGTAACCAACGACTTGAGGGTGGATCGTAAATTTTCTCCAAGGGTAAGTCGATCAATCGTTTATTGCTGTTGGTATCTACCATAAACTGTTACTCATATACAGTAAGGCCAATCAGTGGACGGTCCTTGGAATCCTTAGTGTGTTGTTTCAGTGAAAAATCGCCATGTTGTCCAAGAATTTTTGAGAATTATAGGCTCATCTTCACTATTGCAGGGTAGTAAGTCTTTTATTATATTCTATCCCACATCCCTCTTACATACGGGCCATTAGGGAGACTCGTCCAACCGTTGCAATAGCTAGCGAATGCTCCTCAGGATACGGAGGCTCTAGAGCATTGTCGTGTTTCTTTATGCCATAACAACCTTTGGTCAAAGTCTCACATATATCGAGTGAGGCTATTATGTGTTATATAGTCATCTTACTCCATCTGAGCGAACAAAACAATTGCGCCATCTCCCTAGACGAAATGAGCCCGATGGTGAGTGAAAAACCTACTTAACCCAGAGAACCGAAATCGTCCATCCACTTGTGAAACCTGAAAGCGTGACGCTGATGAAAATATCAATCCCCACTCTGTATTACTCCGATCTGTTTCTGACTTAGTCGTTGTACATACATAAGTGGCTGGCGTGTATTAGTGCGTGGAATCGACAACCTATCCCCGACGAGAACGCGTGCATCGCGTTTCTTGTTGACATTCTGGAACTGAATAATGGTCTGAATAAGACACCACAGGGTGTTATAGATAATGAGGATTATCGGCGATTTTTATCACGGAGGTAACTCCGTTGAGCCTGTGGAGGTTCCAATGCGACACGGACAAGATGGGCAATACCAAGCATAACAAATGCCCCATGGGGCTCTCTGTCTCGCTTCTCAACACCAAAATAGTCGATTTTACAGTCTATTAACCTAGTTCTGCAAATTAATAGCCCTGATATAAAGTGTAGTCGCGGTTACTATAATCAAAATACTGCCCCCTTAATCCTCTACTGTAAACTAAATAGTCGGGCAAGAGATGTCCTTAGGGCAGATCTTAAGGCCCTACCACTCTCTTTATAAACTCTCTTTGATACTACGCTAGGTAGAAAAGGCTTCTTAACTACCTAGCTAGTACGACAATAGCTACACGAGGAATTGGTACTTGTACTAATGATGGCCAGACTGCGAGGGAAAGGCGTTTTATTTGCGGATGTAAAAGCAGGACAGAAGTAATAGGGGCATAAGCCCCTATTACCCTTTCACACACTACAGCTAGGCTACTTCAATGCCTTCATAAGCCGTAGGCTTCTACAATGCAGTATGATGAACGATATTAAAAGGAGGGGGGGGGGGGGGGGGGGTGGAATTGGTTCTGCAATTAGAACGGGAAATTTGCAGACTTCCAAAGCGTCCAGGCCAAGCTCAATGTAACGAAACCTCTAATAGTCTAGCTACGTAAACCACTAAAGAGTCTGTAAGGGTTTGTGCTAGTAAGTAAGTCCTGCTGCGGAGTTCTCAAGCAATAATGTCGGGGTCTGACGTATGGAGTATAGTGCTTTGGGTAAGTGAAGTATTCAAGTAGGGTAATCGGGAATAGAGTCGTCAAGGCAGTTTGCCTCACCAATGGGTTAGATTGATGCTTAGATTGATCACTGAAGTAGAGGCTGTCTATCTATGAAATGCCTGGGAGTCCTGTCCCTTATATATCCATCTCTCCTTCACTGATCTCGTTGGATCACTTGGATCACGTGACCTCTTCCTTGAGTCGGGGGCCTAGTTGTTCCTTTCCGTCCTTATGGGGCTTTGTTCCTGCGGGGTTCCGTCATGGCCTATTGTAGGGCCTGTCGGGTTGGTTTTGGCTAGGTTAGAACCAACGGTTCGTAACATTACCTCCCTTCCCCCTAATCTTTGTCCTCAAAGATTCTAGTGTATAAGTATCCTGGTCGTGTGGAGTTTTCCTAGGTAGGCTTCCTTCCTTTTTGTTTTTGTTTCCCTAATGGCTTCGCGATGTCGGGTCGTATAGAGAATTCGCGTGTTCGTAAAACCCGGGAACGTTCTTCTTTGGCTGATCTTATTGCGGATCAAGGCGCCGACGCGGATATGCCGTGTTCTTTTTGTTTCCAGCGAAAGCTGTCGTGTCGTATGATTGAGAAGTCGACTCGTTGTCAAAAGTGTGTTCGCCGTGGGCGTTCTTGTGATGGTGTCTTGGTAGCGTCTTCCTGTATATTTTGGTTTTCTTGGTTATGCTTTTTTTTAACTCCTTTTTAGTAGAGCGGATGCTTTCTCAGCAAAAGAAGTTGGACGACGAGGAGGAGGAGGCGAGCGAAAACTTGCTGGCCCTCCATTCTCGTCTTGCTGAGATTCAGTCCGAGTTAGCCCTTGCGGCTGGTCGTTTGTCTCGGATTCGGAAGATTCGGAAACGGGTGAAGAACAAGAGTTCTGAATTGTTTGAACGGGGTATTGCTGAGTTGGACAAGGAAGATGATATTCTTCCTGCTTTGGATAGCCATGAGAGATGTTAGGTTGAAGACATGAGGTCTATGGGTGTCCCTGAAGACGTGGACTGGTCCTCGTTTGGTTTGGGTGCAGATTTTTCTGATCTGGGTTCCTTGATTCCTCTGGATGCTGCCGGTGGTACTGCGCAAGCTTCTGGCGACAATGCGCCAAATGCGTCTTAGGTTCCCATGAGTTGTCTGATGGTGGGTAATCTTTCCATTTGACTAGGTATTCCTGTTGTCCTTGATTCTGACGTGTGTCTAGAATTTCCTCGACCTCGTATTCGTTTTGGTCGGTTTCTGCTTCGAGCTGTGTTTCGAGTGGGGCGTTCTTTGGGGCTGGTTCGAGTAAGGAAATATGAAATACGGGATGTATCTTCATAGTGTCTGGTAATGATAGTCGATAGTTGGTTTCTGAAATTGCTTCATCGATTTCGAATGGTCCAACCTTTTTGAAATCGAGTTTGTCGCTTGGTCGTTTTGTTTTTATGTTTCGTCGTATAAGGTAGACCTTGTCTCCCCTCCGTAAGATTGGTCCTCCAATCCTTTTCTTGTCGTAGTAGTGCTTCATTCTGTCTTGAATGATTACTAAATCTTGTCTGAGGCTTGCTTGTAGTCCTTTTAGCTTGTCGACCTGTGTGATAGCTCTAGGTGCTGTTCCTTGTTCTGAGCCTTCTCGGAGTATATCTGGGTTGAATCCGTAATTTGCATAGAATGGTGTCGTGTTGATTGCTTCGGTGTGTGAGCTGTTGTAGGCGAACTGTGCTACTGGTAGTAGTTGTACCCAATTGTTCTGCTCGTAGTTGACGTAACACCGTAAGTATTGTTCGAGAGTCTGGTTCATTCTTTCGGTCTGTCCATCCGTCTGAGGATGATAAGCTGTGGATAGCTTATGTTTTGTGCCGAGCTGCTTCATTAAAGACGTCCAAAACTTGGATGTGAAGAGCTTGTCTCGATCAGATACGATTGTCTCTGGTAACCCGTGCTGACTGGTGATAACTCGCAGGAATGTGTAGGCTAGGTCCTCTGCTGTGCTGGCTTCCTTATAGGGTAGGAAGTAGGCGTACTTCGTAAGTCGTTCGGTGATTACGAGGATGCTGTCATAGGTAGTCCTAGTTAAAGGCTCCTTAGATTTGGGTAGCTTGACTATAAAGTCCATAGCTATTGATTTCCATGCTCTGTCGGGTGGTGCGATATGTTGTAGTTGTCCATATGGTTTATGTCGAGAGGCTTTGCTCTTATGACATAAGTCGCATTCCTTGATAGTTTCTGTGACTATCTGTCGTAGTCCTGGGAAGTCGTAGGCTTCCTGTATTCGTTTTGTTGTTTTGTACGTTCCTTGATGTCCGTGTACTGGGTGCTCGTGATAGTCTTTGACTAATTCTTTTCGTAGTTTTTCTGGTACTTCGATTCTTCCGTTATATTCCTGGTTTTCTGGTTGTATTTCTTGTATCCGGGTTTTCCATTGCTGTAGTGGTTGTAAGGAAAATGTTGCGTTGAGCTGTCTTGAAGGTTCTAAATTTCCTTCTTCGTCGAGTTGTAGAATAGTTTGTGTATTCTTCGGGATTTCTTGTTCGTGGTCGGGTCTTCGGCTAAGAGCGTCTGCTCTTCCGTTTTCGCTGCCTTTGCAGTAGATTATTTTAAAGTTGAATTCCGTTAGGAATTCTGCCCATCTGATTTGTCGTTTATTCAGGTCTTTCGTAGTTGTGAATGCCGTAAGGTTCTTGTGATCGGTGTAGACTTGTACTTGGTAAGTCGTGCCACTGAGGCAGTGCTTCCATTCTTTGAATGCTTCGATAATAGCCATTAGTTCCTTGTCGTGGATCTGGTAGTTGAGTTCTGGTCCGTTGAGTTTCTTCGAGAAGAATGCTACAGGGTGTAGCTTGCCGTTTTCGTCTCGTTGTCCTAGTTGTCCGCCGATAGCGTAGTCTGAGGCGTCTGTTTCGATTTCGAACTGCTTGTCGGGGTCTGCCATAGGTAGTACCGGTTCTTGTATGATCCATTGCTTGATTTTATCAAAAGCTTCTTGCTCTCTGGGCGTCCATTGGAATGGTTTATCCTTCCGAGTCAGGTCCGTTAAAGGTCGGGTGTCGTTACCGTAACCTTTGAGGAACATGCGATAAAAATTCGCAAAGCCGAGGAATCCTCTGACTTCCTTAATACAGGTTGGTATTGGCCATTCTTTAACTGCTGATATCTTGGAGGCTTGCATTCGAATTTGCCCTGGGGATATCGTATATCCCACAAAGTCGACTTCCTTTTGGTGGAACTTGCTTTTCTCAGAGTTCACTACTAGCTTTGCTTGCTGTAGTTTCTGTAGAACTTGGTGGACGTGCTGGCGGTGTTCTTCGAGGGTCCTTGAGTAGATAAGGATGTCGTCCAGGTATACCACAACGAAGTGGTCGAGGTGTTCTCGTAAAACGTGGTTGATCATAGCTTGAAAGCTAGCGGGTGCGTTTGTAAGGCCGAAGGGCATTACTAAGTATTCGAAGTGTCCGTATCTGGTCCTGAAGGCGGTCTTCCATTCTTCGCCTTTCTTGATTCGAATCAGATCATAGCCATCCTTTAGATCTAAAATAGTGAACCACAAGGCTCCGTGGAGTCTGTCGCGTAGTTCCTTGATCAAGGGTAGGGGGTATCGATTCTTGATCGTGATGTCGTTCAGTTGTCTGTATTCCACACAGAATCGTAGTTCTCCGTTTTTCTTTGGTACGAACAGGATAGGGTATCCTGCTGGAGATGTCGAGGGTCGTATATAGCCTTTTGCTATGAGCGTCTAGACCACGTTACGGTCTATCCACTTGAGCGTATGGTTGAGATGTATACGCTCGACGAGAACCCCAATTAGCAGATACTACGACTTGTCGCGACAAAAAATAGTCGAGCATCTTCTGCACATCAGCAGTATCCCACCCCTGAGGATGAATCTAAGTGCCACATTACCACACTTATCGGTAGTTCAGGCAGGGGTTGTGGCACAGACTTAGGGAGGGACAGGAGGTTTAGTAGTCGTTTGGCTACAAGTTTACCTGTATAACCGCCCGCCGCGGCTTAAGTGCCCGCTATATCATCTATAGCCCCTTAAGGGAGTACTTGTAGAGGTACCGAGGGTTAACACCTACGGCGTATTTAATATTATTATTTTATTAAAATAAAATTTAATATAAACCGAAGAGAATACGATTACCCGATATATAAATAATAATATTAAATACGCCGTAGGTGTTAACCCTCGGTACCTCTACAAGTACTCCCTTAAGGGGCTATAGATGATATAGCGGGCCCTTAAGCCGCGTCGGGCGGTTATACAGGTAAACTTGTAGCCAAACGACTACTAAACCTCCTGTCCCTCCCTAAGTCTGTGCTACAACCCCTGCCTGAACTACCGATAAGTGTGGTAATGTGGCACTTAAATTCGTCCTCAGGGGTGGGATGCTGCTGATGTGCAGAAGATGCTCGACTATTTTTTTTGTCGCGACAAGTCGTAGTATCTGCTAATTGGGGTTCTCGTCGAGCGTATACATCTCAACCATACGCTCAAGTGGATAGACCGTAACGTGGTCTAGACGCTCGCAAGAATCGCGGCGAGAGGGCGTGCTGCGCGCCTTCTATCGTGAGGGGACGGGTTCGCCGACGAGCGTTATCGGATAGGCGAGGTCCGATAAGGGGCCGGATTAACGATTCGAATTCTGGACCGGCTGTCGAGTTATATTCCGCCGACGTAGTGCTTGACGGTCGACTGGCTAGGATGCTCGTAATCCTAAACTGCACCAATCTCCCTATTATCGCTAGGTAGGCGAAGTCAACAAGGTGGGCAGCGCGCCATAAGGGTTGACTAAACCCCCTTGTGTGTCAGCTGCAGGATTCGAACCCGCGACTCGTCACCGACCCAAGTGGGCGAGGCTGAAATCGGGACTTATCTACCAGCGAAGTGACCAACTACACCAGCCGACCCCGATATATAATTAAGCTAAATACGCGAGTACTTCCTCCTTAACTTCGATATATTAAAGAAATAGCGAATATCCTATAACGCGTAACGTACCCCACAAGCAAGTTAGCCACTTTTTCTTGGCACCGTATGAATAACTTCAATAACTTAACTAAACTAAAAAATAATAATTCAAACTAATCGGAATCCTCTTCCTCGTATGTATCTTTATCTGTCAGAGCCACAAGTGTCATCCGAGGCGGGCCGGCTTCCACCAGGTAGGAAGCCGTTTGTGGCGGCTAGAGAGCCGCTTGTGGCGAATGAGAGCCGTTGAAGCCGTTTGCAGCGGATAGGGAATCGCTTGGTTGCAGATAAGGAGCCGCTGTCCAAGATATTGGCCGAAGTCGGAGGAACACAGACATACGGAAGCAAACATCCAGAATCCAAGAGAGAACCTCGGCTGGCTATAAGTAAGGAGTCGAGACGGAGGAAGATAGAGAGGGCAGAGATCAATGCATCACCGTGGGCACCCCTACCTGAGACCGCCAGTGACCACCCGGTGCTACGTAGGAGGGACGCCCGTTACTCCCCATCACTCTGTACTATTGCCTTCGGCCTAGCCGTACCCTGACACCCTTAAGGGAGTACTTGTAGAGGTACCGAGGGTTAACACCTACGGCGTATTTAATATTATTTATTATTTTATTATTTCCTCTCAATTCCTTAGGGGAGGGGGGGTATCTCTGCGATATAGACCCTTATAATGATAGGCGACGGAAAAGGCAAAGTAGCTGGTAAGCATGATTTCTGGTATCGAGAAGCTCTCACGATCTGATTCCTGTAGTACTGCAGCGACGTGTGCGTTATAGCGGCTCTGTCGAGTGCGACGGCCCTCTCCAGGGAGGATTGATCCTGGATCCACGGCCGGTAGCCGGAGGGATACGTACATTGGCCTGAATGGTCGGCGGTTGAGGGGTCTGTTCTGGTGTAATTGGGCCCCACTGGACGTCTTTTCCAGAGAGACTGGGTGTTGATGCCGGCTGAGGTGGAATTTCGGCCTCTGGGGTCGTTGCCACGATAATTCCGTTCAGGATGACTTCATCCTCTTCTTCAGGCCCTTCTCTCACCCCCTCAGCGAAGCCGGTTACAGGCTCTGGAATCTATAGCCCTTGAATGAGCTGGCCCATGGATATAGCCTGTGTGATGGGTACTAGCGCATCATGTGGCTTGTAAAAGACGTCCTCATCGAATTTGACGTCTCTAGTCGTTATGACCTTGTCAAGGAAGGGTACCCACACCTTGTAGATTTTGGATATGACGTAGCCAACAAGGTAGCCAACTTATCGGTCCAGGGGTGCTGTTTCAGACGCCGAGTCCGTAGAGCAAGATAGTATGGTGGTTCAGACCGAGATGCTGGACCTAGTTTCTCGGTGCTTGCTGACGTGAAATATCGTGTAGATGCCACTGGAATGGCACAACTCAGGTAAATCGGACGACGACGACGCCGATGTATGCTAGATCGAACATCTGGGCTTTAGTACTGTTTCAGATCATGTCCAGACCCCTAGAGAGAGTGCACGTTAACTGTTCCTATAGTAAGACATTATATATAGAGAGATATATATGCATCCGTACGTCGTTATGGTAGATATGTGTAGTAGCGCACGATTTATTAGTTTGATTGGCGATGACTAAGTCGATCAGCCATGGTTCACCTTTTGCAACACGCCTTATGTAAAATCATGGTAGCACCCTACTTGAGTATCTACTTACAAACAACACTATGCTTAGACTAATATGTGGGGCTTCCATACCTCAACTTTGGCAGGGATTCAACGTCTTCATGGCAATCCACCCTCGTGCTTAAGCGAGCTGTGGCATGGTGCCATATTCGAAAAGTCGGTCAATAAGCCGACTTTCCTTTGAACATACTTCTCAACCCTTCATAATTTACCCCGGAAGTTCGCCATGGCTCCCAAGAAATCCGCCACTGAAGATGTCCAAAACAATGTTGTCGCTTTCGGAAGGGTTCGCAAGAATCTGAAGATGGGATGCGTCGGTCTGCCCAACGTGGGAAAGTCCAGCCTGTTCAACCTCTTGACGGAGCAGAGTGCCGCGGCGGAAAACTACCCCTTTTGTACTATCGAGCCCAACGAGGCGAGATGTGCTGTCCCCGACGCTCGATACGTAAGTCTCAAGGCAACTGCAAAATTTGCCGCTTGTTGGGTTGATGACAGAGACTGAGCTACAAACTTAGGATTTCTTGTGTGATCTATGGAAGCCGCCATCCATGTACCCAGCTTACCTGCAAGTAACGGACATTGCCGGGCTCATCAAGGGTGCTTCGCAAGGAGAAGGACTCGGAAATGCTTTCCTTTCCCACATTCAGGCTGTGGATGGCATGTTTCACATTGTCAGGTATGAGGCTCCTGGTAAAGAAAACCCCTGGATCTCTACGTCTGCTGACTCTACGGTAGAGCATTTGACAACGACGAGGTGTTGCACGTTGACGACTCGATCGATCCTGTTCGGGACCTGAGTTAGTTGGTCTCAGCCCTACGGCAATCACATAAATTAATAGGTGTCTCCCTATCAGATACCATTCAAAGCGAACTTTGCTTGAAGGATCTCGGTTAGTTTCTCTCCTGATTCCCTCTCCCTCTCCCGCTTCAACTTGCACTCACACAATTATAGACATTCTGCAGAAAACTATAGTTGCCGAGGAAGCAATTGTTAGGAAGGCCGGCGGAAAGTACAAGATGCTACCACTCTTCACCGAGACAACAAGCAAGATCAAGGCGGTGAGTTCCTAACGATTTCTCTTCCTAACGGTATAACCAAACTTACCCAGGGATGAAATAGATGCTGGAACAAGGCAAGCCAGTCCGAGATGGAAGCTGGACCTCGGCAGAGATTGCACTCATAAACGAAAAGATCCAGCTCATCACGACGAAGCCAACCATCTACCTTGTCAACTTAACTATGAAGGACTACCTCCGACAGAAAAGCAAGTATCTACCTGCCATCGCCAAGTGGGTGACGGAGCACGGTGGTCTTCCTCGGGACATCATTCCTTTCTCCGTTGAATTCGAAGAAAAGCTGCATAGTATGAAGGATGACCCAGCCAAGCAGGCTGAGTTTCTCAAAGAAAGCAAGGTCAAGTCCAAATTGGATAAGATCATTACCGAAGGCTTCACCAAACTCGGCTTGCAATACTATTTCACCGGTTTGCCGCCCACACCTTACAGCTATGGAATTTTGTGATTGCTGACTGGGGGTAGCTGGTGAGAAGGAAATTAGATGCTGGACTATCCAAAGAGGCTGCCTCGCACCGCAGGCTGCTGGAGCAATCCATGGTGACTTTGAGAAGGGTTTTATCAAGGCCGAAGTGGTGGCGTACCAAGACTTCCACGACCTTTGCGAAGGTGGCAAGTCCATGGGCCCAATCAAGGCTGCTGGAAAGTACCGTCAGGAAGGAAAGACTTATGTATGTTTTCGTTGTCCCTTGCGCATTTGTCCACCTCTCATTAGCTGACTTCCCATCCTCTCCAGGTTGTGCAAGATGGAGACATCATACACTTTCAGTTCAGTAAGTTGTCGATTTTTACCTATACCATAACTTGATGGTTACCCTTCTATGCCGGATCCAAGAACTAATGGCATGTCATTAGACGTTACGAACAAGAAATAGCCGGTCTGGAGAATCTATTGCCTTGAATGTATAATGTCATTTACCCCTGGCTACATGGTAAACCCAAACGGTTTCCTGTGAAATCGAGCGCTAAGCCGACTAATGACTACATGCCCCGAAGCAGAAGAACAGAAGCTCCTAGTGCCATTCGCAGCAGCCTGAAACTCGGGGGCGATTGCTATGAAAGTTATTACAACCATTCGGGAACGGCAGGAATAATGGAGGTTTTTGCAAGGCGTACGTAGGATTCATAACATGGTACTAAGTAACCTGAGCTGCTCAGTACTGATAACTATGTACTGGGGCATCGATGGTCTTATAAAGATGGTGGTGCAGTCTACACGCGCAGCATGTGCGTGTTGGAAATGGAGCGTATCTCGAACATATAAGGACAATGAAGACCGTGCGAAACGAAATGTGTTGCGCACCGAGTGATGGCTACTATGTTATTGACTCGGGTGAGGCCGCTCGCGAGGTTCACAATAGTAAGCAAGTACATTAAAGATCTGGGCGTTGAAGATATCGAAGCCCGGGATATTGGTATCAAGATAATTACCCAAAACGCGCTCTTTCCACTGTTGTACACATGGAAACCACCACACGGCATTAATATGCAAACCACATCACCAGGGGTATATTAAATGGTCCATCATTATGACTCCCTTATAAGAGTTGGGCTCTTGTCAGGGATAGAGTGTTGAAGCTACAAGTCGGTCGTTCGTCTACAGACCCGAGTCGATCTGATTGGGAGTGACGCGGTTGGTAAAGGCGTTCCAGTCAGTGCAGAGCGTTGGACCGAGTTAGGGATGTCGAAGCTGTCGATCTCGTCGGGGTTGAAGACCATCTGGCTGAAGAAGCGAACCGAGGCGTGCCAGGCCACGTGGCAGTGAAAGGGCCACACGCCTGTGTTCACCGTTTCCATCTGAACGACGATGTGGCCTTTGGGGATCACCATCTGCACGTCACGGCGCTTGGAATTCTCTGGATTGACGATGGTAGTGCCATCGTAATCGCCAGAACCCTGAGAGAGGATGTACATGTTGACACCAAGGGCGTGTATAGGGTGAGGACTGTGTGGGTCTGTATGGGGATTAATGGCAAGCCTTATGTGACATAGTGGAGATGAATGTGAATGAATGTAGACAGGCGCGGATGAATAAGACGACTGTAACTCACGCAAGGGTGGGGTTGCTGACAATAATGCGGACCGAAGAGTTGCCACCAAAACTGTGAACGTTCATAATGTCATCCCAAGTGAAATTGCCATCGTTGGCCTGGACGAGGGTAGGGTTGTTGTAACCGACACGGGCTGCAACACCGCTCAAAGTCCAAAGGATACTTGGGCACGGTGAGGCTGAGGTCGCCATTGGCGCAGGTTCCAGGGTCTGGTGCATTCCAGGCAGTGCTGGTGGGAATGGAGTTTTCATCAGCATTCTCGTAGAAGACTGTGGCCCGCGCAAAGGGCTGGATGGTACTGGAGCACGACGTCAGGTTAGTGCGAAGCCAGAAGGCGTCGTTGGGCTTGCCGGCATCCGCCGTGACGACGACATCGACACGCTGCCCTACACCGATGGTGACAACATTGTCTCGTACGGCTCGATCTCGACGAAGTCGTTGGCGATAATGGTCATATTGTGCCCATCAATTGATGTACGCTCAACACCCCCGGACCCCGAATTGTTCAATCGCAGCAGGTGCTTCTTGCCGGACTGGAACTGAAACTTGGCCAAACCGGTATTGTCGGTGCAAGGCGTCTCATCACCCTCTACCGTCGAGCAGTTGAGATTCATCTTTCCGTTGATCAAGTTGTTCGAAAAGATGCGACCAGTGAAACCACAGGAGCCATGATCTCCTCCATCACCTTGAAGTACTCCTCGTGTCACCAGTCTGCATCGTGTTAGTTTTCATCTCATCATTCTTATCCAACGACGAGTGAGCTCTTACTGTTGACCAAAATGGGACCAATATCAACGTCAAAGTCTTCATTGTTGGCACCGTGGACAACAATAGGACCGAAGAGACCACCAGAGTATTGCGCAGAGTAATGGCTGATACCAAGAAGTTCCGCACAGATAAGCCCGTATCTTGTAAGTAAAGCTCTTCTCCGGTGAAATAGGACACTGCGAGACACCCGGAACACCATCCACCCAAGGCGTGCCATTCTGAGTGAAGCCGTGCCAGTGAATGGCTGTTCCTTCATCGACTTCGTCGATCAGATTGGTCACCTTGACCACGATGTAGTCGCCCAGTTGGCCTCGACAAGGAGCCCGGGGAATTCGCCGTTGATCAAAATCACGTTCTTCGCGTATCCATCAGGTCCAATCGTCCCTCGTGTGATGTTCCAGTCGTATGTTCTGGTGATGCCCGTGCCGGGACAGTCAGTGTATGAATTATTTCCATCCGGTGTCGTGTCGCCCCAGGGGCAGCTGGCGTCGTCGCCATGGTTGATCCACAGCGGCAGACGAGGATAAGCAGTTGTGCCCAGGAGGGATTTTCTTTTCAAGCACTTTGTCAGTCCGCCTTCTGTTCCCCCCGAACAAGTGAGAGTAGAGAGCCCCTACCCGTTTGTAATTTCGAAGTCAACGCGCCAAGTAGGCCGTCGCAAGGATTGAAGAGACTCAGTGTTGAAGGAAAGAGTGGAACGGCTCTCAGGAGCCTAGGAATTAATATGAGAAAGAGAATGAACGAGCGAGTAGTATTCCAATAGCCCTACAGATAGAAATCGACAGGAGGGAGAACAAATGGAAAGGGGATTCTCTTATACTACATCCTCACCCTCACCATGACCCTACGATTGGCAGTGAGCTGAGCTGTCTAACGAACCGGGCGTCAGCCACTTGAGCGGGCCTACGTCGTCGAGGCAGTTGATGACGATGGACCAGGCGCTTCTGGAGATTGGCTAGGGGACAACTACCTTGTGAATCACAAGAAAATGCTTTGCACATGAAAACCATGTCTCGTTGCAACGTGCCCGATTCGATCTGCTTGTCAGAGTTGTCAGTGCGCTCCGGGAATGGTATACGTGACTATTTGGACGCCCCTGCCAGATGACGTCTGATAATACTGGAGTTGATATACCTATCACGACAATTGCCCCATCCGAGCATTTTTTCTGCCTTCATGAAGAGGATGCTTGAATCCAACCAAATATTTTGACCTCCACGCCCCAAAGCGCGACATTGGGCTCACCGGTGGAGAGGCATTCCTCCCAGGCTTAAACGCGCTGGATATGTACATTCAACCGAACGCTTATCGTACAAAACATGTCGGGTTGGTCCCTAGCCCTGGTGGCGTATCTTTGCTTCACTCCGGTGGTATCTCTCGACGCGTGTTCGGGATTCATTAGTTTAGCGGTAGATACGCTCGCTGGGCGGCCGTGATATATGGCTGTCTTTGCGCGCGTAGGAATGCCTCGTTGGCTATTGGCGATACGTCGGATCGGATTACGCTGCCAATTCCCATAAAGAAACTGCGACGAGGAAGGCTTGATTAGTGTCGGTTCCATGACGGACGAAATATAGACGCGCGTACCCGAATGTTGCGCCGGATCCAGCCATGTACTGGCCCAAAGTTCTCATAATACCATTTGCTCCGGCGCCGTATCGAAAAATGTTGACCGTTCCTAAAACTCGGGTCAGGTGCCAAGTTCGGACAGAAGAGAAAGAGAAGAGGGGGGCTGTAATGTGTAGCGCATACCAAAAATAAAGCCGATGATGACGCCCACAGCTATAAGCATGCTGGTTAGCAAATGCCCTATACCTCAAAGCGCATTTCCATGGCTCTTTGGGAACGTACTGCCTCCCATCATGGCGCCCATCTTGACTGTACACTGCGTTAGCGGATGGCATACAACTGGTAAAACTTGAAGGAGCCAAACGAACGCTTGTCCATATTAGACGGCCCGACAGGACCGCGGTTGACTGGTACAGGCATTCTGGGTAGGTGCTAATCCAGAGTTCCTTCTATTGGGTTGTATGTCGATCGAGAATATGGAGTGACGGTGTCTCGATGGTCTGTTCTACAATAGCCGTCGATCAACCTCGACAAAGCCTCAAACCAAAGCTCTCGAGCTCCGTAAATGTGGTGCGGCAGCTCGAGCGACTGCCTTACAGGTGCCGACTGTTGACAGCGGTTGCCAAAGCTCAAAGCACGAGTCATAATGCAAACCGTGCACACTTCTGGATCTGTTGCATTTACTTAACGAGTGATCCTCAGTCGCGCCTGCCGGCGAAAACTTCGGACTTGTTACTTATGGTAACCAGTCCCTTGAGCTGAATCAACCATTTCAAAACGCCTCGTCTGAACAGAGTCCGAGTCCATCACGTGAGCAGAGCATGTCGCTCATTTCCACAAGACCCTGCGTGGTCTTGACACGTGTGGAGAATTGGCAGATTGCTTTACTGTGGTTTCCTGGGTTGTAGAGAAAAGAAGGAGTAGAGGCAAGAAAAAACACAAATTTAAAACCATGTTCAGTATGTTTGAGCTGATTGAGTACCTGTATTAAAATACAAATGCATGCTACAAATATTCTTTTTACTGCAGCTCGTAGGTGGTCAACTGTTCTTGGTTGGTGTGATTGCTTGCCCGTTCACCCATCTCACTCTCTGGCGCTAAGCGCTTAGCGAGAACGGGGGCGACCCTTCGTTGCAGCAGCAGCCCAGAGCCAAACTCAACGTCCAGTGTCATCATCATACCCACGCAACAGCACGATACACTTATAACCGCCTTCGAGATACCCAGTGTCAATTGCATGGTGCGTCTTCCTGTCACCCGAAATTCATCACCGCCTGCCTTGCGGCGCCCTTGTCCCTATTGGCATCCCCCTTTCGTTGGCCACCACCCCGACCGGCCTCGAAAGACCCGACCCTTCCAACTGACAAAATTCAATCACTGCAGACGACGTCTGCAAAATCCACCGCTGAATTATATCCATATCCACATTCTCTGTTTCTGCAACCTCGCCAAACGCACAGTAGACATCGTTACGTCCTCATCGCGTTCATGGTGCAAGTGGATGACCGATAGACAAACCGTCCTTAGCCACGCTCCCATCATCATTGAGACACGTCGCCCGTATTAAACCACTTTTCCCCATCAACCACCGCACTCGCCCCTTCAACACCATAGGTATCCTTCCTCATGACCGCCGTAGCGAGCCCCCCTACCTTCCAGCAACACAACCGGCCGGCATGGGGCATTAACGGCAGTCACACTGGCCAGAGTTTGAACCCGATGAACCCTGAAGAACTGAACCGAATGTTCATGCCACGCAAGAGCCTGCAGCGCAACAACTCATCCTCTTCGATATCCTCGACTTCCTCGGCTTCGTCCACCGCCACCGTCGCTTCCTCCCCGAACCCGCATCCTCAGCCAAATGGCGTCCCCATGCCAGCAGGTGGCGATCTAAGCTCGTGGCAGAATGGTAACCGGAAACGACCCCAAGGCAAGGCTCCGTGGCCCTCCCCGAAACCAGACCAGCAGCCCGATTTCGGCAGGATGGCGGCTGGACGACCCCAGATGATCGGAGGGCTGAATGGATCCGGCGTCATACACCAAGGCCCCGCGCCCATACTGCAGTCTCAGGTACAAATAACGAGTCAGCAGGGCATGCCTCGCCCCATGCCCGAGTCCTTACCTCCGGGCGGCCAACCAGTTCTTTATCTGTTGTCCCTCAACAGCACCTTCGAGCGCAAGACGATATCTGTTCCCTTCTCTCCTGACACCCTTAGGATCGGTCGTCAGACGAATGCAAAAACAGTACCCACTCCCATCAATGGCTTCTTCGACTCCAAGGTCCTGTCGCGTCAACACGCCGAGATCTGGGCTGATAGGCAGGGCAAGATATGGATACGAGACGTCAAGTCCTCCAATGGAACCTTTGTTAACGGCACGCGCCTATCCCAGGAGAACCGCGAGTCGGAGCCTCACGAGTTGCAAACAGGCGACCATCTGGAGCTTGGCATTGACATTGTCAGCGAGGATCAGAAGACCGTAGTTCACCACAAGGTAGCAGCCAAGGTGGAACATGCCGGATTTCTCAATAACTCGGGAAACTTGCTCGACATGAACTTTGGTGATCTAGACCCGTCCAATGGGTCGATGATGATGCCACCGCCGGGAGGTATACCGTATAGAGGGCGAAATGGCAGCAACGCGTCCATGGCAAGCAATGGGGGACGAATGATGACTGGCGGCGGCATGATGGGTGCACAAGCAAACATCATGGTTCACCAAAGAGGATTCTTCTTCTCACCTATCAGCACTGAACAGATCGTGAAGAAACTTCAGGTAAGTGTTCGAGGACTGTTCAACGCATATATAAGAGCCCCCCTCTAACTGATTACCTCACTGTAGAGCGAGATGCGCACCGCCCATTTACAGTCGCAAGATCTCAGTCGGACTGGGCAATTCATTGGGGCCCTTTTGTCCAAGGATGACATCAAAGACATGGAAAAGCCTGAACCACTTGCCGAGCCACCGAAACCTCAGTTAGCGAATGGCAATGGAGTTTCTTTCAGAACGGACAGCAAGACACGATTCTCTGACCCTCCTGCACCTCCGCCCCAGCAACCTCTCCCTGAGAAGCCTGACGTCCCCTCTCTAAAGCGTGGGATAACAGAGCGACCCAAGTCGCACCCCCTGAATTTGAACGTGTCCCCGATTCGTCAGGACGGAAATGTCAGTCAAATATTGCAACTAACCGAGGCCCTGAACAGCGCGAAGAAGGAAATAGAGACACAGACATCTCGTATGCGAGATCTGGAAGATATGTTACAGAAGGAGCGCCATGCTAGAGAGCTTGCCGAGGAGCAAGCGAAAAGATTGGAGGATGCGGCTGCGTCACAGTTGAATGGTATCGCGGCCACATCGGAAGGAGAAGGCTTGGCCTTGGTGGAGGCTTTCAAGCCACCGACAGACAGCCCTACATCTCCTGAAGATGACACACCAACGAGTGATGTTGGCAAGGGCCCCCCACCTCCGTCACCGCCACCGCAATTCGAGAACATCGAAGCGTCAGCAACCACCTTGCACTCGCAACTGGAGTCGATGGTCCTGGAGATCAAGGATCTGAAACAACAGCTAGAAGGGTTCAAGCAACACGCACAAACTTTCCAGCAACGCGCAGAAACCGCAGAGGCCGAGAGAGATGCAGACCGCAAAACTTTGGCGGATATGGCGCTGCAAATTCGCAAGGATGCCGAGGCTAGAGATGCTCTTATAGCCGCAGCGCATGGGAAGTCAGGCTCCCGATCCAACTCTCTTGCATTTCGGACACTGGGTGATGCGAGCGAAACATCGGAAGAACCTGCGACATCTGTGGGAACTCCGTCCACGAGTTCCAGCGGCGGACGAGTGTCGCCGGGAGTGTCGAATGATGATGCGCCGACGCTGTCAAGGGCCAACACGATAACGCCGCAATCCGGTCCGTCGGCCATGACAGACAAGTTTGCACGGGACCAAGCCCTGGCTCATGGGGTACCATACGCTTCAATTCTTGGCGTGGTATTGATCGGCATGGGATTGATGGCGTACATCAATGGCTGGCAACCGCAACCTGCGCGCATGGATCTGTGAGCAACCGGCACAGCTGCCTGTGTCGGCCTCGGTGAGGTGTGCAACGGATAGTGTCAGCCATGAAAAGGAGGGAAACAGCTATCACTTTTTGCATGCTCTTTTCGCAAAATAGGTATGGAACAGTGACAGGTCTTCCCGTCCATTTCTGGAGCATGTATGTGTGAGAGGATGACGCTATACCTGGGTCTTTTTTACTCTTCTTCTATAATATTACGCATCAAGGTCGGTATTCCTCTGGATGGAAATCGAGTCGGATTCTTGGCCTTGTCTCCCAACGTCGGTTTCTTTTGTACTCACTTTATACGACACTATCCACCCGGATGGTATGACACTACATCCGATTGTATCATGAAACATCATTGATTTCGAGCAGGCGTTGGTTGCAGCAGGTGGGTTTTATGGTGGGAGACAGCGGCATGGGCTTGCGCAGAGGAATGGCGCACACCTCCATTAAAGAGCATTGGGGGGTACGGGGGGCCGCAGGCTGAGCCACTGACGGGGGTTTTATGGCATGATGTTGGTATTGAGAGAACAGGCCGTCAAAATAAAATGTCGTTTGGCTGCCTACGCTTCACCATATTGTATAGCGTACTTACGTGTGGTGTGGTGTGATGTTGTCCTGTAGGGTGAGTAACGATTAAAGTTCTAACATTAAAATGTTAATAGCTTAGATTGGCAACTGTACGTGACTAACAAGATCTTGGTAGACAAAGCGTGGCCGTCCCGTTGTCGGTCGGGGAGGATTCCTACAGATTTCATGTGAATAGAGTATGTATGTAGGTGGTTGCACAAAGAGAGCATGCGTGCACACCAGTTTGAGTGATGAGAAGTATTAGGCTTATAAGTTATAGCCTATGTGGTAGCATAGTCAGACAGTGAATGTCATTGAGGTGTAACAGGCAAGCATGTGGAACGTCGGGGTTGTACTGTGTGGTTATTGGGTCACCGCATTCAGCAAAACACTGCAACCTTGATCTATGAAGATGAACGCATCGCTGGTCCAAAGCTACTCTAATATGTACACCCAAGGTATATCGCAACGAGAGTGAGTGACAAACAGGTATTACATTAGATGTGCTTCCAAACAGGTACATTAGATACAGGGCTAGGCATATATATATCTCATGACCATCTCCATGTTTACAGGGCAAAGACGGCTGCGATGGCAGCCAAGGACATCCAGCCAACAACGGCCTTGCCGGCACCTGACGTGGCGTTAGTGCTGGTGCTGCTACTGCTACTGCCGGTGGCGGTGGAGGAACCAGTGGCAGCGTTGGAGCCGGTAGCGGTGCCGGTAGCAGTGCCGGTAGCGGTGGAATCGCTGGTGCCAGTGGCGGTGGAGTCGCTGGCGTCGGTGCCGGTTGCGGTAGCAGTGGCGGTGGTTACGCCAGTGGCCGTGCTCTTGGTGGTGGCGGCGGTGGTAGTGGTGGCATCAGAAGCTGAGGAGCTGGAGCTGCCCTCAGTGATGTTGAACTGAGAGGACTGGGCGTAGATCTGCTCCGTCTTGGTACCGTTGGTGAAGTTGATCTGCCAGCTGTTGCCGGTGATGAGCTTGCTGCCGTCAACCTCGAGGCTGCCATCGGACGACGAGATGTCAGAGGCAAGGAGGATGGTCTGGGTCGGGTAGCTGGCGAAGTTGGACAGGTAGACGTTAAAGCTATCCTGGTCCGACGAGACCGTGTCCCACTGGACGGTCTGCGACTCGCCCGCCTTCCAGACTGTGTCCTTGCTGGGCGAGGTAATTTGGAGCGCGAGCACCGACGAGAAGAGCGCCGAGGCGAATACCAGAGTGGACAGCATCTTGTATTATTGTTTGTTTACTTGTTTGTTGGACTGGGATGTTCGAAAGCGAGTGACGATGGTGACTTGAGTCTGGGGGTTTGGCAGCTTGATTTTTAACGAATGTGGGTGGGTTGCTAGTAAATGAGAGATGTCGACTGGGGAGGCAAAATAGGAGCCAAACAAATGGTTCACATCCTCCACGCCCGTCCATTAAGTAGGAAATCGACAGAGCCCATAACAGGGTTCATGGGCTAGCCCGTTGCAGCGAGTCATGCCGGAATGACGGGGTTTGGGACGGGTACCTGACAGAGTGACAGCCTAGCATGTTCATGCAATCTAATTTGTACGAGATCTCCATTCTTATTCCCTACCTTATTCGCGACTCGCGCCAGTGGCCTCTCAAGGTGCTGGGCTCCACGAATTGCTCATCTGATCAAGTTCACTCAAAATTCGACTGGACATTTGGGATTTGGGAGCAAAAGGACACATAGTTGTATTCGCATTTGACTTTTTTTTCCAACCCTTCAAGTCTGTCCTAAATACGACTGAAGAATTCAACAGAGCTGTCGCTGTTGTGTAACATGCTGTTCGCAACTTGTGCTAAAGACGGTTATGGTTACATACCCATGCTTGATGAAGGGGTAGGAGTTACAGACCTCGTATGCAGACTTTTTTTTAGCTTGACCCCTGCTCTAGAACTGAACCATTCTGGACCCCTTGTCCAAATCGCACATCGCGATAACAACACGAAATAACGATAGACCATAACGCTACTCCGTACATCATGCAACGCGACCAGCGTGACAGGCGCTTCTTTTCTTCAGTGGTTTTCTCCGATGCTAAATGCAGAGAATAGGGGTGCCCTGTTCGGCAAACATCGGAACTGTCAGTCAGCTTTCTACAACAGGAAATGGCCCCACTCCCCATTATTACTTCGTGTCTTTTGATCTCCAGAGAGTCGGAACATAGAGCCCATAGAACAAACGTTGATCGGGAGCCTCCCGATAGAAGCCCCGTCAAATAGTCGACAGTCCCGTCATGGGGAACCACGTGAGAGGATTTTGTTTTCTTGCCACGAGCTTTTTTGTCTTATCCACTCAAGGTGATCGTTGTTAAATGTTATATACGACTCATCAATTGGACATTCGTCCAGTCAGTGCGTGTCATGGTGTGTTTGTTCTTATATCATTGTCCTGCCCACCTGATCCAAGATCCGACATGATGCACTTTATCACTTTGTGTTTAGTCTATTAAAATCAATCAATGTACTGGGCCCATTCACTATGTGGCTAAATGACCACTTACTCCCTTTGGCGTTGGATCCTCAATTCGTGTTTCAACTCCACAAGTCAACAGCAGTCGCCTCTCTGGGACTCAGAACCTCGTATCCAAGTTCCTCTTGCAAATCTTTAAAAGCCACTACCATTTTAGGTCTATAGACACTAGCGGGTTGGCCCGCCAATCAAGGCCGACAATCGACCGTACGACCCTCCCCTGAGTGTCTTTCTTCGCCCAGATATATACGATATCCAATATGTCACTGGATTCATCTTTGAGGCTGGGCAATCCAGTACTAGAGACAGCTTCAATTCGACTCCTAGGAGCCAGACGTCCTATTCTGAGAATTATCCCGACACGAGTCTCAGAGGCACATCCGACCAACTTGCGCACAAGACTTATAAGAGCTTCGCTCTTACGGCCAGCACCATGATCTTCGTCTGATCAGACCAACAGATGTGATCTATTGGTACTGGAGCCGTCTGTTCAGTTTGTTAGGTGATAGGTACATCCTACCGACCGCCTGACCCCGTTTCAGTACCCACCGGCCATCCGTGGTCGCTGCGGAGGCCGATTGCTTAAACGTTACCACGGTATCGCCACTACGTAGCCTGCGGGCCGCTACGGCGTCGGTGCTACCGCGTGCCTTATTCACTGCTTTGACGACTTCAGCCGCCGTCCTGTTCTTCATACTGGGGTCTTCCGTCCCTCGGATCACTATTTCTCTTTCCCTTCGCTGGGGTACAACGACCCGTTGCTGCCACACCGGAGCTCCGACGGGTTCCCTCCCTTGGGCCGTTCCCGAGGCGACTGAGGCCCAGGACCTGGTCGTAGGCATAGCTACGCTTTTCACGGTGTCTCGTATCGTCTTTTGTACTGTAGTCGTAATCCCCTCGGTAAGTGCTCGGATCGCTGCTAGTACGTCGGCTGGTGTAGCGGATCGGTCTTCGCCCTGTTCCAGCGCCTTGCCGGCTAGCTTTAGCTCATGCCAGCGTTCCATTAAGCCTCCCATAACCTCGATCTTCTCGGGAGGTACTAAGTCGGTAACCTTCTGTTCGACGCTCGCCCGTTCGCTGTCGATTTGCTTCTTCGTTGCGTTTTCGCCGCCACTACGCTCCACGCTCGGCGCGTAGGCGCTTTCGTTCGCTTGGGGGTGGTGAAAACTTTGTTGAAGTCCCGCCCGTCCCCCGTCAATTACCATCGGCGTCTCCATGGCTTTGCGCCCTCGATTCGCAAGCGATGCGAGGTCACTGTCCGATGTAAGCGCCTATGAAGAATCGATTGCCGTAATCTGTTTGATGATTTAACGCTGTTCGATGGAGTTATCGATGAATCTTAAAAACCTCCCCTCTTCTGGCTTATTGGATTTATTATAGTCATCGACTTTCTTTGTGCATGCGGAATGGTGCTTGAGTTTCTCTGTTGTGGGTTATACGTATTTAGTCTGTACAATCCCTCGCTGCGGTCGACTGTTGGTCGCTCCCTGAGAGCATATCTTGACCAAAAAGTCCTCTGCCAAAAAGGACTCTAACGCTACATTCCAATAACTCCTCTGTTGGCCCTAACTCCAACTCCTATTGAATGAAATGGTCGATGAAACCGGCACCGACCCAGGCTTCCTCGTAATGCTGTCTCGGCAGCTTGCTGAAAACGTCCTCCACGACCGGGCTTTCCATCGGTGTTGATATAGACATAGGCCCCCTGTTACATGAAATAGGATGATCATCTCATCGACCCTGTTGGACATCTCAAACATGTGGATATCGCCACTGGACTCTTAGGACTAGCCCCGCTCCTCGGCGCGCCAGTCGTGCTTGAGATAACGTCATCGGCTCTTGAGGTCACGGCATGCACCGGGCCGGTATGTCGGTACCGCGAAAGAACACCAAACCCCGGACTCATAGGAGATTTTCAAAATTAGCCCTGTAGGGCTAACAAGATAAGGGGACGGAAGTCAATCGCCAGTGCCTCGGATACCCAGAGCAGCTCGTCGACGTACATGGCCGAAAAGAACGGCTTTGGCGCTGTGATAATGCCTGGCAGAGTGAGATCGCCCACCACGTTTGGTAGCGGGTCGCCTCTATAGGGAACAGCTTTGAATGACGGTTGATGTTTTGAAGATGCCTTGCCTAAAGCAGCCATGGTGGCAGGCTTGGTTCCAGTTGACGTTGGTTTGAAGCAGAGTCTTGCTGTTTTGAGGAGTGTTGAGAGGAGTTGGTGGCTTATCCGTGTGCTCCCCGTTGTAACGCGCGGCGTACTGTTGGGTTTGCCCCCAGCGGCCAGTAGTTGTTATTCTTGGCCGTCTGGACCATGCGTATAGTGGCTCTCCAGCTCCGAGTCTGGTGTCCCGAATATGCCAACATGGTTTCAAGTATCTTAGAGATAGATCAGCCGGTTCCCGGCTGCTTTGGTCATCGTGGATGGACTACACACTTACAACACTAAGAGGGTATGTGAGCAGATGCTAGTATTCGTCAACATCATTTCAGTTCATCCTCATAGCCGTATTCTTGGGTGTTGGTAATCAGATCCCGGTGGAAGCTAGACACCTTGTCGAACTCCCATGACGAACTCTAAAAGAAAACGTTAATAGGATTGGACCGCTTATCGCTCTTCACCCAAAGCCCTGATGGCTACCTTCATTTGTTGAACCTTGTAGAGGTCCTCAGAGACTACTTCAAATAGGTGGCTTTTTCTTTTGGTATAGTTGAAGTCCAATAAGTCTTCACTACCCCGCATGTATAGTCCTATAGGACCCTAGCCCTGCAAGGTCATTTCAGGTGTCGCGAATTGGTTATTTGAATAAGTCAGCATAGTCTAGCGTGTTTCTACTCGGTATAGTGTTGCCGCATTTGGTGCCGCTACATTGGGTAGTTGTTGGACCTTCAAGGCTACTACACTAAAACTGCCAGTCTTGGAAGGACATATGGCCACGCACCGTATGTTATAGGCCAATATGACCACTACCCATCGAACCACACAAGTTCTGCCTGTGGGACAGACATTATTGATTCCTGTCTATATAAGGCCCTTGTGGCCGCCGTTCACCTCATTCAGGACTCTCCGGAGATCATAACACTTTCAATACAAGACCATTTTCCCACAATCCAATAGTAGTTCCTACTTAGTATGTAGCCGGTGGTCCTTTAGCTCTCTCCATCTCATCGCGGGCGTCCGTTTCAGACTGAAATCATTGTATTCTGAATCCTTAATTATGTCCACTGTCTATGAACTCTTGTGGTAACTACTTTGAAAGTTGGTATCATCTGCAAGAGGCCGCCCTTGGAAGCTGAGTACGCCGGGACCAAACACATGCCGATGGAAGAAATCATCGAGGCGATGTTGACTATCTTACCAGAACTCCGGAGATGGAGAATCCGCGTGGCAAACTCTGGAGAGGCTGTGAAGCTTGCTCATAATTTTACCGCGAAGATCTTGACATTTCGGTGTAGATCAATCTCATCGCATACGAGTGAAAAATGGACATCACCTAACGCATCAATATCCTTATTTGTTAGCTGGTCAAACACTCTTCGCTTTTTGATACCGGCGATGTTGAGCAAGATATCAGGCGTAATTCCGGACGCCCATATATTATCGAAGCAGGTTTGAAGAGCTTTTGCGTCGGCAACATCGGAGTCGAAGCTCGAAAGTCGCGGTCGAGCTTCCGGTCTATGTTCTCGAGTTCAGGCACGGCAGCGTCTCCTGCGAGCCGTACTAATGCGATGGTTGCGCTGGCTTCTGCTAGCATTGTACACATTTCCTTGCCCAACCCCTCTATGATATCTGTACATATTGCCGTCATTCCTTCAATGGAGAACAGCCGACTTAATGGTACGTTGTCTGATGGATCATATTGTGCTCCAGAATCTGTCGGCGGTCGAAATATGTTTTATGCAAACGCCGCATTGATATGGGCTGGGCTGTGGATGGAACAGCCGGTGTGATATTAAACTAGTCCACGGATGTGGTCTATATAGACCCACAAGAGCCCACATGTAAGCTTCTGTTCTCATACTGTTGATTATGGGGGTTTTCGGGATGGCTGAGGAAAATATTGTATGAGAAATCTAGAAGAGTTATTTTTAAAGCTCATGTAGTCTTTCTCGACCAACAACGAAATTGAAAATCGATCCAAGTTCATGGAAGTTAAGATGTGGAGCTGTCCTGGCTTTGCACGTAGACGTTGTTCACCAGGTAGGGTATGCAAGGATTGGCGAATCGGATGTTCAACATGCCACAGTTTGAATCAGGTTTTATCACATGCTGTAAGAACACAGCTAGCTAAGCTTGGATAGGTCGATCTTGCCTCGGCGTGACGTTCGAGGAGTTCTCATCACTTTGCCCCTGAGCGTGCCTAAAATTACACGAGTTTTGAGGCACACGGCGGTCATTGCAGAATGAGATACAGTTTGGCGGAAAATATCTAAGACTACGCAAATTTGATTATAGACTGTAGTAAGTGAAATATCAACTTCATAGGTCGTAGCATGGAAGAAACAAATCGAATACAAGGGTCGGACCAACCTCACCATCCTCACTACCCCCCTCCCCCGGGCCAACATAGGGCGACGGGTACCCGTCGCTCTTCCTAAATAGGTAAAGCCCTTCCGCTATCGGAAACGCATCAACTTCGAGACATTCTCTGCGTTTCTATACTTGTAAATAACGTCTTTTGCTTTTTTAAGTAGTTATTCCAAGTTCAAACAAAAATATCTGCCATACTATATCGAAGAAGTCGGATACGTTAAGACAACTTGGCTCGATCTATATAAAGAGAAGCTTGTAAAGGCTTGGGTCGATCAACATCCTCATTTCGACAACGTTGTGACTTCACGAGTCGAAGGCATTCACGGGCTACTTAAAAGCCACCTTAAAAGATCTACGTTAGATCTATTCGAAGCCTGGAGAGCTATCAAACAAGCACTATTAAACCAACTTACAGAGTTAAAATCTAACCAAGCGAAACAACAAATTCGGATACCCATCAAACTCTCTGGAGTACTATACAGTATAGTACGTGGTTGGGTATCGCACGAAGCTTTAAGAAAGGTCGAAGAACAACGGAAGCTATTAACGAAAACTTGTTTACCTTATTCGCCAAACTGCACGGGCTCCTTTTCTCGGTCCCAAGGGCTACCGTGTATTCACAAACTCGAAGTTTTACTAGCAGAAGACCAGGCTCTACAACTTAAAGACTTCCACCCACATTGGCACCTAATCCGAAATGGTACTCCGCAGGTACTTCTAGAGCCTCGTCAGTGTATCGATCCGATAGTTACGACCTCATCTTTGCCACGGTCGAGTATCAGGCGAGAGCCAAGCGGGTTCGAAATAGTTGAAGCGGCAACAGTATTAAGAGCACCGCCAACATGCAGCAAATGCCATATGCCAGGTCATACAAGGAGCTCGAAAGACTGTCCTTTGAGATACTCGGAACTTAGAGCACGGCCAGCTACCGCTTTAGAACAGTTACAGGTACCATCAGCTATCACTTCAGATCCGGCCCCTCAAGCAGCCACAGACATAGAACCACCAATCCAGCCACCTATTCAGCCTCCTACCGAAGCTATTCCTTCGTCGCCTTTGCCAAATTCAAGTTCATCTCAGCCTGTAAAATACGATAGTCCAAGGGCGATATACCAGAGATATATCACAGCAAGAGAGTCTTGGTATAAAGCACAACCTCTTGGAACCTATGTGAACAATCAACGATACCGAAAAGCGATGGGTTTACCATTACGATATGACAAGACAAGCTACGAATGGTGTCTTAATTATAACCGAATGACCAAACGTTGTACTACTTCAACAGGCTCAAGAGACTGGACAAAAGAAGAAATGATGGCCTATTTGGACTGGGATAAGTCAGAAAATGATCGTATTGACGCTCAAGTATCTCGAGAATTCGGAAATGGTCTATCAAACAGGAGAGGTACAGGTGAAATTTGGAGAAGGATTGAGCAGGATATGGAAGAACAGGAAACTTTGTATTCAAAATAAGAAGAGGATTATACTGTAGTTGATTTATGTAACAACAGAATCACGATAGCAGTTGAGGCCAGGCACAGTCAGGTAATTAGAATGCTAGGGCAGATATGTGCAGAGAAGGAAACTTGGCCCCTCACCTGTCCTCTGAGCTTCAGCTCCCCTTGTAGGGCGGACAGATCTGAAACTAATGATACGTCATAGATTCGTTCGCTGCCCGCCGAGCGTGGCCAAGCTCCCCGAGTGTGACGGGCTCACTGTGAAACTATGCAGCTCAACATGGCCAAATACTGTTAATTATCTAACTGAGGAGGAAAATAAAATATGCGAGCTCTCCCGGGAACACGGACTATGTTTTGTATGCCCTCGATGGTTCCTTTGGTGGATCCGGACGCACGGTCCTTGCAGCTCCGGATCCCATATCAGGCACAGCCTGTCACACCGAGCCTAATTCTTGTGACAATTTATAGTATTATATTCTCCTAGTAAGGTAGCTAGTTATTCCCTAATTCATCCTATCTACGCCTGAAGAAAAAATAAAATAAAAACTCTCCAAGTCTCGAAGTTGATGCGTTTCCGATAGCGGAAGGGCTTTACCTATTTAGGAAGAGCGACGGGTACCCGTCGCCCTATGTGGCCCCCCGTCCCCCCCTTAGTTAGTTAGTAATCAAATTAGTAAGCAAAACGCTGGTGATTTTGACCAACCAGAGATCCTAGTAAATTTAGGTGAGGTTAGCAACTTTTTAGTTATATTTACTGTTAAGATATGAAGCTATCGCTAACCTCGCCGGCATCAAATACGCGTCAAAAGCACAGTTCGCACTTCGCATTGATTCACCCTTCTTAAACACAAGCGAAAGCTCTGTCTAGAACAGAGGGCAGAACGCGATATCGCCTAGAGTGACCAACCAGGAGTTCAGATCGGCCATCTGCCAACTCTTCCAGAAGATAGAGGAGGATGCAGACAGGGACAGCATGCCAAAGATCTTCAAAGCGATTGAGGCGTGGTTTATGTCGGCCATCGAATAACACATCCAGAGGGCAGAGCAACATGCCACCAAGAAGATTCCAACGACGACTGGACTCGAAATCCAGAGAGCCATCAAAGAAGCCATCAGCAAGGCGCAAGCGCGCAACGCCGCAAGGAAAGTGATAAGCGAGCCCGGTATAAACTTGGAAGCGTTCCTAGAGGCTATTGATCTGGCCAGCCGATAAACCGCAGAACTTGCTGCTAAAATTCGGACGACTTAGCGTCATCTAGGTGTAAGACGTCCTCAGTCGCAAACAGGAACCTAGGAAAGAAGGAGTGGTAGCGCAATCATGGGATTATGTATCATGTGGGTAAGAGGCAACTCGAAGCGAGGTAAGCATTAAACATGTATGTTAGCTATGAATAAAACCTGGCTAGTTCTCCACATGCAGTGCTTCATATTCATCCAATCAATAGGTCTGCCTGTGAATTCTAATGCGCAGATTAGTAGTGAAACCCAAACCACCGTGTCCCTCAGTCAGTGCCAATCTGACTCAGCTTGCGAGTCAGGCAATACAAATCACGGTTATCTGAGAACAACAGCCTGAATATTCTATAGTAAGATTCATCATCGTTATGATATTTGAACTGACACGCGTCAAGCTATGTATCCCGAGGCCTGCAATCTAATCTCACGGATGCTAACTTCATATCCACTTGTAGCGATGAGCAGTAGTCAAGAATATGCTCACGCTATTCTCGAAACTAAAAACCCTTCAATAGAAACAAATAAAACGGGTATAAGTAGACTCGGTACAAAATTCCAGCGCCAACCATATACGCACACAAACCTCAATCTAATAGTGTGTTAACAGCTCCGTGATATGCTAACCGTGATCATGTATCATCATTAGCATTAGCTCCGTTCATGAAGGCATAACTATATAAAATTCTTGAAGTCGCGACCCAAGACGGGCGGTTTCCGCAACGTGTAATCCACGGGCGGCCGGGGAAGCGGGACCAGAGGACTGCGTACAGGGTCCCGCGGGGTACTCATTGTGGTGATTTCCGTCGTTTTGACGGGTGTGCCTGGTCGGTTGGTTGGCGTCCACGGCCGACTGAAAGACGGTATGGAAAATGGTGACTCTGAGCGCTGTGCCGGCAGCCGTGGTGAATCCAGGGTGCCCAAGGGCTCAGGTGCAAATGGCGAAGGCGCCACTGGTAAAGGAAGAGGCCAGGCATAAGAGTCGAGTGGTGGTGATGGCTGGTTCAACATAACACTCGGCGGAGACGGAACATAGCCGTTCAATGCGGACCAGTCGGGGAAGCGAAATTTGGTATCAAGTTCCTTGGCGGGGGTTGAGAGTTTGTGCAATTCAGGTGGCGCAAGACGGGGACTAGAGAGCGGGCCGCTGATGGGCATGACAGGGCTGTCAAGGGGAGAATCGGAGCTGTAGATGGAAGCATCCGAGTCTCGTCTCACAAGCTCTCGGTAGTCTTCGGCCGTAGGTCTCGGGGCAGTGGCCATGGTCGTGTCTACTCGTGGTCTAATCGGGCGCCCGTGCGCCCCCACGGCCGCAGCTGGCGGCCCAGTCCGAACCGGTCTATTGTCAACTGCCGCATGTTGACATTGATTTGCAGCAAACGGACTCTGTCTACCGGGCCAAGGTGATGTCGATCCCGACGACGACGGGTTCAAAGGGGCCGGATACAGGGACGGTGAGGGTAATGGTTGCCGTTCTAGGCCGGCCGACGTCCTTGGACGCTGATGGCTACAAGCCGGTATTGACGGCTTTTCCCACGCTTTCACCCGTAGTTCGAGGCTCGACCTCTTGGTGGTGCTGGTGGGCGTAGCTTGGTGCATTGCTTGGACGTTCTGGATAACTGGCTGGCCCCACTGATTCACAGACGCACGATGACTTGTCTCGTCGCTTGCCCGGGGGATGGACAAGGGCGGCGAAGGCAAAGCCGTGATCAGCTGAGGAACGTCTGCCAGCCCAGATGGTGCGTTCCTGAGATTCCTACTTGACCAAGGCCGCGCGCTAGCATTGCCCGGAAACACGGGCTTGTCGAGGACTGGCCGGTGATCTGCCGAATCGGTCGTGTCGATGGATCGAGGAGGGGATGGAGGACACCTGAGGTCCATTGCTGGGGTCTGTTGTTGCTGCTGCTGCTGCTTACTCCGCAGTGGTGAAGGCGCTTGGCTGTTGGGCGAGACAGGCACGCTACCGCCGCACGTAGTCATGTCAGTCAGAGGCACTACAAGTGTCGGGGGCTTGTTGAAATGAATATCCAAGGGATTGACCCAGGGTTTCTGCTTGGTCGTGGCAGTAGCTGGGCGTGGTACCGGTGTTGGACCCAGGTTACTGGCTTGTTCCCGTAGATTGGGGTTTGATGAGGCCGGCTTCAAAGGCGGCATCTTGGACTCCTGACTGGGCTTCGGCACGGAAAGATCAAACATGCTAACGGCCGCTAAATTATGCGTATCGGATGCGTAGACGCCCTGCTTCTTACGAGAGCTTGAGGTGACTTTGTACGAGTGGGGCGAAGCCGGCCGTGATGTTGAGTATATGCTGGCTGTGTAACCATGTGTGCCTGGTTGTCTGCCAAAAAACTGGCCTTCCCCCAGCATATTCTGATCGATCCTCTTTCCAAGTTGCGAGCCCGACTTTCCAGGGGGCTGTTCGGGCTTTCTAGTGCAGTCAGACCAACCGTTACATCAGCAGGGAAGGGGGGCATTGTAATACTCACTTCTTCTTATCGCCCCCGAGCTTCAACCCAAAAAATGAGACCATGGTTGATGGACACGGTGCTTCTGGCAAGGGTAGACGTTGAGGCGCCGCACTTTTTTTTCCTTCTTGAAGAAAATCGATTTGGCGACAAAACAAACACACGTACTTCGTAGGTAGGTAGGACTCAACGCTGCTGCTACCACCACTGTCTGTACAATACCAAGGCTGGCTTCCCAATTAGACAAGCATTCGGCGATGTCGATGACGGGGGACGCACGGGGAAGAAGGTTGACAATACAGCCTCGAGAGCCCCCAACCAAGTGTGTGCTAGCAAATCTGTGCCGATGGTAATAGCAGCCCTAGCAGCCCAAGTCGTCCGAAAGCCCTCACACAAATGGGAAGATGGTTAGATGGAATGCTTTCAGGAAAGTCTGTTGACCTTCTGTTGACCAGCGATAAGATGAAAGCGCGGTTATTGTTGGATCAAGGATGGTACTGAGCGTCGTCCGGAAGTTGACCGTCTTCAAGTTGTGCTGAACAATACAAGATCTGTTTTTCATTCCTCCAAGCCCTCTATCCCAAAGTCCTCAGAGCGCCGGCAAGGAGACGTCTTGAAGGTTGCCTACTTCCAAAGCTGATTTATTGAAAGCCGCAACAATTCTGACATGCAACTATAGTAGAAAGAGCAGAGAAGCTGTGGAGAACAATATTGGAACATCCCCAACACATCATACCTAAAAACACGACGGCGAGGACAGGCATTAATAAAGTACATTAAAGTAGGCGCCGGGGGAGTGTAAAAGGAGATTACGCAATGCCCAATTTGGCGTCCTGGTCCAGGCAGGGGTCCGAACGACGAAGGGTTAAACCGGATGGACCCGAGAGAACAAGGCAAAGCGCTAATGCCTGTGGTTAAGGTAAACTTTCGAAAAGTATATGGAAGTATCGTAGATGAGCCAGTGGCACCATGGCAAGAAACTGAAGAAGTTCAATCGTGGAGGCTTTTAGCCGCATCCTTGAAAGTGGATGAGAGCACTTTGGCCGTGTCGCGCATAAAGAATCTGCGCGGCATTAGCGCATCATGGTTGGGCGAGACCAAGGTGTCAACATGCATCTAGTCCTCTGGAATCAATGGTGGAACTAGAATCTTCAGATACACAGAAAGGGGCTCGCACGCAGTGAGGCTTTGCGGCTGATCTGCTCTACATGTTACCATGAGGTATTGCGCCAATACTGGGTAGCCAGCCACTTGTGACTAGCGGATACCTCCCGAGTCAGCTAAGAACTTCAGAAGGGGTTTGTAAAGTATTCCTGGGACTGTACACATAAATGGGCCATAGGCAACCAGGTGTACGCTGGCTGCCGTTTGAATGGGAACTGGAGCCATTCAAAGAAGACGAAACTGATATGAGAGACGTCAGGAATAATTTGATGCTGATTCGATCCAGCGGGCTGGAGGTGTTTCGATAGCTTGCCAGTTCGGCTGATCACTAGCTTTGGACGAGCGAAGTAGCTAACTCTGAACCCTGTACGCTATCCCTGTAGCTTCTACCCCTGCTCCGCAGCTACCCTGCTGCCGCTTTCCGCTTGCAGCTTCCAGTTGCCGTTGCTGCATGAAACGCTCAGTCCATCGCAAATTTGCCCTCCACTCATGATCTCTGTCAGTGACTGACAACGACGAACAAAATGAGAGGTCAAATGTTCCTAAAGTTGCTGAAGTCGAAGCGAGTTTACACATACAAAGTGCCGAAAGTGAGCTATCAAGTGTCTCGGGTGGGTTGACAGCTCTGAGCCGACAACTCTGGGTCTTCATAAAACTGCTGTTTGAGTCGGCGTGTCCATGTCTCGACGCTCGGGCGGAGGCCCCACACACTATCGGCCGCGATCCGGCCGGCTACAAGCGAGATATTCCAAGCTCGGGTCCGTCTCGGCCTACTTGTTTTAGCGCGTCGCGCCGCCCAAGGCTTAAAGGTCACCATCGAAGGCTGCCCATGGGCTGTAAGTCTTGCTGCACATCTCGATGGTCCAGAATAACGCCTCTGCAGGCCGAGACGTCTGCGCTCACAGCCAAGGCCAATTGTGTATCTGATGGCACCCTTATTGGTCGGCACTTATATCTGCCAGCTTTGCCTGTGACACCGTTAGGATACATCTTACTCGCATCATACCAATTTTAGCATCTTCAGTTCCCCCGCTCGACAGGTAAATTCTGACACCATGGGACATATTGACTTTGCCTCGGGAATTAAGGAGGTATAAATTTTAGATAACGGTATTGAGATGTGCTGTAATTTCTTCGGATGCGTGACAGCTGCCACTGTAGTTGTGACAGATGCCTTGAAGGCTTCCCAACGGTGCGTAAGTTGTTCTGGGTAATGAACTGCGTCGGAACCACAATATCCATCTAATCCATTCTCAAAGCCTAGCAGAGTTCGTGAAGACTCAGGTCAAGGTATGGAAGCTCGCTCTACTAATTCTAGGGGCCTGGAACAGAAGTGAAGCTAGTAGGAGCATATTCGAATAATTGAGCATCCGGTGTTGCCTCAGTTGGCTCTATGGTAGGTCTGCAAGGGATCGCTGTCTTTGGTATTGTATAGAATAATGTTATTTCGTGTCCAGCATTGAAGTATTTCGCATGGCCCTGACTGCTAGTCCCTGAACGATTATATTTTATGGGGTGAAACCCGTCCCCGGTCCCCCTTTGTTCCCCTGTTGGGCGTGGATTCTCGGATTTCGTTGACTTCATGTATACTCCCATCTCCTATGACAATTTTAACATGAATTCAGCTCCGAGTTGTTGGTATCGGAAACACCTTCAATCCCAGTATTGTCTCTAACTCGGGGTCCAAAGATATACTCTGGGACTGGCGACCCGCTACACTACTGGTTTTGGACCTGGCCACATGCTCAAGGGCTTATTACCTAGCCGCATCAATATCCGCGGCGAAGCCGAGCTTTTCAGGCAGTGACCACCCCGTTCGCGCGTAGAGTTTCGTGTATATGTTTGCTGCCTTGAAGAACCTGCGAAAGTCAGCGACAGATTCTTCGGCAACTTCGGGGACTGGAGGGTCTTTCACGTTTGTGGAGGTTGGGACAACAAATAGCAGATGGCGATCAATAGCGTACCAAGGAAATACTAGTTATTGCAATTTGAGGACGTGCCTGTTGGTTAGGATTGCTTCTTTCCACCATGCGGCGTAGTCGGCACATAACTTGCCTGTGTAGTTCATGTTTGGGTTGGCAGATGCATGTGTGGAACCGTAGCAGAGGCGGCTTTTCATCCACAACCTGATTGTGATCTAGAAAACACCTCCTTGATAAGGTATATCAAGTGAACCTTTGATACTGGCCAGAATTGTGTCGAGTGAATTCCCGACAGGCTTTGCTGGTTGACGTGGGCGCTAAGCCTCTCCACAATAGCCAAGAAAACTTACAGTCGCCGTGTTTGAAGGCCTTCAAGACGTGACCAAATTCAATGTCTCTGCGCGAGGCCATTGGTCTCGCCCTTTTTGTGAACTCCGTATCAGCAGAGCGGTCATCCAGCGTTTGGTGCTGAGGCACGTCGTCAAGGTTATGGGCTGCTGTTTTCGTTTCGAGTTTTGTGCCCATTGTATCTACCCCCTCGTGACCTTATCACAAGTAAAGTTGCCCCTGAAGTCCACTTTTCGGGGGAGTCGGAGAGTTCGTCCTCGATATTGAAATCTCGGAGAAAAACTGTAGCTGCGCTGTAAGGGCTGTGTGCTAGGAAGTCTTACCCGGCAATGTAAACCGCAAACTTGCTGTGTCGGAGATGACTCTGGGTGCCTGATATTCTGATTCTGGCGCTGCATCCATGGTCTTCTGCAGCAGACGGGGACTCGGTAGTGGGGAGTGATTTGACCTCCTCCACCAGCATGCTGCACTGTCTATCGAACATAAAATAATATTAAATACGCCGTAGGTGTTAACCCTCGGTACCTCTACAAGTACTCCCTTAAGGGGCTATAGATGATATAGCGGGCCCTTAAGCCGCGTCGGGCGGTTATACAGGTAAACTTGTAGCCAAACGACTACTAAACCTCCTGTCCCTCCCTAAGTCTGTGCTACAACCCCTGCCTGAACTACCGATAAGTGTGGTAATGTGGCACTTAAATTCGTCCTCAGGGGTGGGATGCTGCTGATGTGCAGAAGATGCTCGATTATTTTTTTTGTCGCGACAAGCCGTAGTATCTGATAATTGGGGTTCTCGTCGAGCGTATACATCTCAACCATACGCTCAAGTGGATAGACCGTAACGTGGTCTAGACGCTCGCAAGAATCGCGGCGAGAGGGCGTGCTGCGCGCCTTCTATCGTGAGGGGACGGGTTCGCCGACGAGCGTTATCGGATAGGCGAGGTCCGATAAGGGGTCGGATTAACGATTCGAATTCTGGACCGGCTGTCGAGTTATATTCCGCCGACGTAGTGCTTGATGGTCGACTGGCTAGGATGCTCGTAATCCTAAACTGCACCAATCTCCCTATTATCGCTAGGTAGGCGAAGTCAACAAGGTGGGCAGCGCGCCGTAAGGGTTGACTAAACCCCCTTGTGTGTCAGCTGCGGGATTCGAACCCGCGACTCGTCACCGACCCAAGTGGGCGAGGCTCAAATCGGGACTTATCTACCAGCGAAGTGACCAACTACACCAGCCGACTCTATCGAACATACTTAAGGCGTTGGTCATGCTCTCAAGAGCGTCGATCAGCTGCAGGATTTTTTCGATCAAGTCTCGGAACTGAGCATAGTCGTTAAAATACCGGTGTATTACCTGCGAAACTGACTTCTTTTTTTTGTTCTGTTTTTTGCGACTCTTAAACCTCTTGACTTAAGACGAGATAGGCTCAGAGGAATCCAGTAGCGCGAAACGCTACGCGATTTTATCGGTCTTAGCTAGAAAACTGCATGGTCGATCTAGAGCGGATTCGACAGCTGTCCGCATGTCAGACCTGTCCACTATCCAGCTGTATGTGTTTCTCTCGCTGGACCCTGGAACTAAATGAAGGGCCTCTCCCCAAATCAGGAGGCGAATCCGCTCAAGGAAGAGTGCAAAGGGGACAAATGTTGAACCCGGCACAGCCAATATGGGGACCTTCACACTGTACCTGGCCAAAAGATGCTTCAATTCTCTGTCAAATGTTTGTGTTTCTTTCAGAAGACCTATGCAGTCCTTCTGATCAAGGTAAAGTCAAAGTCCCTATGGCCTAGCGCCATAGTGGCCGACAGGCAGTGGCTGTGTACATGATTAACTAGCTATTCCGGGGTATACAAATATAGCGCCCCCGCTAATTGTGCTCAGAGCTCAAGTGGTTGCTAAGACACATGAAAATTATTATAACCGTCATGGCCCTAGAACTGGCTTGTCGGATGATAGATTTGCCGACTCTTTAGGCCCTTATATACGGACATGTAAATAGCTGGAGAGTTAGATAGGACCTTTCACCCCCTTCTTTACGGTATTATATTGTGACAATAGTACTATTATTAAATACGCTGTAGTCTCGAAGCCCCCAGTACCTCTACTAGTAATCCCATATGTCAAACCGTGCCCTAATAGCTGGAATATATATATACGCTGCTTAGTCTATTCGCCCTATTGGCAGCTACGTTACGTTTGCTACTATACTGCGTTGGTTCTCAACCTACTAGCAAAGTCCTCCCTGAGAAGATCGATACTATCTGGGTCTTGAAGTCGTCCGACCCGTCCCTAGCAGCCACCTTACAATAGTACTACTGAAACGGGGTCAGACGTACCCACTACCTAACATATTGAATAGACGGCTCTAGTACTAACAGATGAGATCTGTTGGTCTGATCAGAGCAAGATGAAGGCTCCTGTAGTCGTTAAGGCTAAGATAAAAGCAGAATAATAGATTCGTAAAAACTAGTGTCTAAATACATATAAAGATAAACTGAATAACTAACTGACTACCTAGGAAAAACGAAGGTGAAGAAAATAATTAAGGATGATAAATAAGACAAAAATGAAAAAATATGAATAAGAAAGATGAAGATGAAGGATTCGTGTCCTGCTCTGCCTCTATACTTCTTAAAGAAGAGAAAATAAACTTCCTCCCCGCTCCGTAACCTATTTTCCTAATGTCCGGCCTTACCTGTAACGAAACCTCTAATAGTCTAGCTGCGTAAATTACTAAAGAGTCTGTAAGGGGTTTATACTAGTAAGTAAGTCCTGCTACGGAGTCCTTAAGTAATATTATAAGGGTCTAACGTATAGAGTATAACGTAGTCCACAAGCGAACGGGTCACCCAACCGAACGGGTCACGCCCATAGCAAAAGATAGAACTAAGCTTCCTAACTTTACCACGCAACTAATTCTCGATGGATTCTGCTCAAAAAGAATCTCAATTACTCCTTGCAACTCAGGTTATCAGAAATGACTCAACACTTAGTATCCGACGTGCTGCAACAATCTACAAAGTCTCGAATACTACTCTCTAGGCGCGTCTTCAAAAACGTCAATCACGTCGCAATATCGAAGCCAACGGTCGGGATTTAACAAAACTAGAAGAAAATACGATTATTCAAAGGATAATTGAGCTAGATTCGCAAGCAGTTCCTCCCCGGCTAAGTGCTGTTGAAGATATGGCAAACCGACTGCTACGCGACTCGCATATCACAAAGGAGGACTTTCTTCCGGCATTTTGCGACGCGTTCAAGAAGAGCCTGACCGAAAGCAATATTCGTGCAGGCTTTCAAGGGGCTGAGCTTGTGCCTTTAAGCCCAGATATTGTTATTGAGAAGCTGGATGTGAAATTACAGACTCCAACGTCCTCCCGGCCCCCTACGCGGGAAACCCTTCCTTGGGCTTCTCGGACGCCAAACAGCCCAACCGAGGCTACTTCGCAATCCGAATTTATTAAATCTCGAATTTCCAGGCATCAAAATAGCTCCCCGACGTCAATTTACGATGCTATCGATCAGTTTTAGAAAGGAGCGCGGAGTATTATGCATAAGATGGCTTTACTCCAAGCTGAGGTCGCCGAACTGCGAGAGGCAAATGCTCTAATTAGCAAGCGGCGCAGGGCCAAAAAACACGAGTACGGCTTGGAGGATCACTTAATTCACAAGACGTACAAAATCTTCAAGATCAAAAGGACGTTGCGCAGCCAGTACAGCAGGAAATGCGTGGAAATAGCGCTGGATCAAATCGTGGCCAGCCACGGCAACGGCGCTGTGGCGTATGCGGGAAGACCGGGCATAATGCGCGAACCTGTCAGGTAGAGATAGAATCATCTGGGCAAGAGTATTCTGAGTAGTTTTAATTGATTTACGTCGTTGTGGTTGCGAAATCGTGTTGAATTCCATGTTTTGCTAGTTGGCGTGACCCGTTCGGTTGGGTGACCCGTTCGCTTGTGGACTACGTTACTTGGTGAAGCGTTTTCCTACTTCTAACCATGCAGCTGTCTAAATCCATAACTTGTATACGACTTAAATTTTAACATGTTGCCCCTCTAGGAGCTTATCGTAATAAAACAACAGTTACTCACGCCGGTTATAAGACATAGGCGAGGATATCTTATGCAGAGCATACAGTACCGAAAGCATTCACGCTTGGGATGCTTAGGGGCTCGAGCTCGAGTAGTGCAACACAAGATCGTACTATTGCAAGCTGATCTCGTACCGTGAATGCGCATTTTCCGTCCCAATCCAGACCAGACCCTAGGTGCTGATGACGATCTGGCGTTCCTTGGCATCCAGCTTGACGGGTTTAGTGAAAACCAGGAGACTAGATTGGGCTCACATGTTCAGGCTGGTGACCATTCAGATTGGACCATGGAATAAGACTGGTCCATCCTTAAGAACTGCTTTTTCCGCGCTCTGTGCAATCATTCGCCAGCACGTGCTGACGACGGCCAATTTGCTGTTCGTAGTCGGACATGGGAATTGTTTTCAACATTTTGTCGTCGACCTGGTTGACAGGGATGGAAGCTGCAGAGTGCCCCGCGCTAGGCGGTGTGACAGTCCAATGGCGGCGGCCGAGTGTAGCAAACCCTTGCCAGCTACCGGCGATAACCAGGCAAATGCGGCAATTACGAGCCTAGCTTGTGGCCATTTTACTATCGTCCGAGCTCCACAGGCTGTTTGAACAAACGCTAGCTTCATTCGCCCCGCTTCGTAAGAAACCGCAAATTCAACGACAAGCGATCCAGACCGGTGGAATAGGCACTTTTTCTTTTTCGTTTCTGGTGTCGCCGCGTTTCCCCGCCCCGTTTGAAATGAGGTTACTCGAAGTACAAGAAGCGGCAGACCCCGTCATCCGACAACCAAGCATTCAGTCCGATAACATAGTTTCCGCTATTGTTTATCGTGACCGACGTCTCTCACCTCATGCGCGTCCTTCTCTCAATATCCTTCTCTTTAACTACTATTGGGCGCACCATTTGATGTGCCCTCGCGCACCGCGATAAACCATCAGCAAGCGACTTCCAAGTCTTTGCGCTTGCTTCAGGAGACGACAGAAAGACTTAACGACGATATAGCAAATATCGTGTTATACCCAATTGAGAGCGACTGACGACACCGCTCAGTCCCGCAATCCAGACGACTCAAGCGAGAATCTCAAGGTATGGCTCTTTTCTATTCCCTTTTGGATCGCCTTTACAGATTAACACTATTCTCAGTTTGATTACACAAGAAACCCCTACACCCGAGAACCCATTCAACTTGATCAGTCCTCCGTCGAAATGGACCAAATCGACAAATTGTACAACGGCCCCAATACGACCGTAGAGGTCACTGGCGGCAGCAGCCCCAGTTCGGCCGCTGAAAACAGCGCCACTAATGAAGTCATTGGAACTGGTCTGCACGATATCGAGGCCAAGAAGGTCCACTGGTACTCGTACCTGGCCACGCCTGACTTCTGGATCGTCCTGGCCCTGGGCCAGGTCCTCGCCCTCTGCATCACCGCCACCAACACCTTCTCGACTCTGCTTGTGAACGAGGGGACCTCGATCCCGGCTTTCCAGACCATCTTCAATTATGTCCTGCTGTCTCTGATCTACTTGACCTATACGCTGTATAAATATGGCCCCAAGAAGTACGGGAAGATCATCCTGAAGGACGGTTGGAAGTACTTCATCCTCAGCTTTATGGACGTCGAAGGCAATTACTTCACCGTGCTTGCGTATCGATACACGAACCTGCTATCAGCACAATTGCTCAACTTTTGGTCTATTGTTTGTGTTGTCATCGTGTCATTTTTGTTTCTGCACGTGCGCTACAAGTTGGCCCAGATTGCTGGTATCCTCATCTGCTGCGGCGGAATGGGTATCTTGCTGGCCAGCGATCATATCCAGGGTATCAACGGCGGTGTGGGCGAGAACATGGTCAAGGGCGACCTGTTTGGCTTGCTCGGCGCCACCCTTTACGGACTCAGCAACGTGTTCGAGGAGTGGTTCGTCAGCAAGCGTCCCATGTATGAGGTTCTGTCGTTCCTGGGGCTCTGGGGCACGATTATCAACGGTGTGCAGGCGGCCATCTTCGACCGCCAGAGCTTCCAGGGCGCCAACTGGAACGATGCCGTCGCCGGGTACATTGTGGGTTACACCCTGGCGCTCTGCATCTTCTACAGTCTTGCCCCGTTCATATTGCGTATGGGCTCGGCTGCTTTCTTCGACATTTCGCTGTTGACAGGCAATTTCTGGGGCACCTGCATTGGAATCACCGTTTTTGGGTACAGTATCTACTTCCTGTACCCCATTGCATTCGTTCTCATCATTGTCGGTCTGATCGTCTATTTCCTGGCTGGAAGTATGCTGGGAGATTCCAAGAAGCCCTGGCTTGGCGATAACCAAGAGAATGGTGTTGCAGGGCTTGGCACGGCGAAGCTCAAGGCGCTCAACGTCGCCAGGAGGAAAGGCCTAGCTGCGGCCGAAGGAGACCGAGTCTGAGCGTGATGATCAATTGCATCCGAGATCATGGGGAGTGCAAGGTTTCACGCGTCGGATCGAAGGAGTTCAAGAGACGTCGGAAACTTGGCTTGTCTCGGTTAGTTGAAAACATGATACCAGGCGTTGGAAAAATCTATAGTTGAAATCATGATGCAGTCTTTTCCTTTCACCGAAACCATCTCCCGTGTTGACCTCAGCAATGCACACCTCTTTTTCATATGAGCCACATGGAAGAAATTTAGGACTGCACCAACATAATATATGTATATACTGCAAGTTCATTAGCCGAGACTCACGGTATGACAGATAAAATGCGGACGTGGACATATTTGGCAACCCGCAACGTGGATCTATGATTAGGTTTCTACGAAAGATGCAGTGTCTGGGCTTGGTGTAGACTAATCACCAAATGAACGGACTGAGCACCCCAAAGCAAGGTTTCAGCGACACGGTGACAACATATTGAGCTGGTATGACGCGATTGACTTGCCTGCAGTCGATCTCGACAGTCTCCAGCTCCGGCAACTCAGAGATCGGGAGGAAGGGGGACAAGGGCGGTTTGACAACAAGACTACATCGAAGAACTCAAGACTGTTCAAATATGGCCTTTATACAGCCTACCCTGAATTCCAGTCGAACACCCTCTATACCCTTTCGAATAAACAAGTAGTTGAGGGGAGAAAAATCAGCCCGGCTACTAACTTGCAAAGACTTCCCAAATACGATGCCTCCAACAATTGGTTATATACCCACCACTTCTTTGGCCGTACGGCAACGGCCGCACAACAGAAGCCATGATTTGCCATGAACAGATATCAAAGTCCTAAATTTTCTACCTTCGACTCATCGGGCGGGAAACAGGTGCTGGCCGATGGTTGCGTGAAGCCGTATGTTCGCCGCGTCCGCAGCTGCGTATTCAACGTACTATGACAGGTTTACAAACCCGGCTTCTTTAGTATAACTGGTACAGGGTTCTCGGAAGCCGAAGTCCGGCGACAGTATGACATAGCGTACGGCTTCTTCCCCCTGCCGCTCAAGAAGAAAGGCGAGCTACAGTATAAGTGCAATTTTGCCAGTGGTAAATACTTTGGCTGCCGGGAGATATAGGAGAAGTCCATCATGGGGGTCGATATGAAGGACAACATGGAACTGTACAATCATGCCAAATTTACCCCTAACCATGAAGGAGAGGCACAATATCCGTTCTTCAGGGCGTATCAAGCGGAGATAGAGGATTCTCCAGGGTGAGTATATTCTTACTGGAAACTTAAGAAGTTATGGGCATAGGGGTAAAACAGCGATATATTGACGCCTCCCAAGAAAGCACTTGAGCTAGCGGCTAAACTCTTCACGCTCTTCGCTTTTGTTCTCGAGCTGCCGGAGGATTACTTCTCACCTAAGCATCGGTACGAGGACGCGAGTGGCAACGACGTGTGGTACATGAGCTGCCGTCCACGATCCGCAGCCGAGGGTGCCAAAGTGGCTGAAACTTGGCCGAGAGCGTACACTGACTTAGGCTCGCTAACGCTACTCTGGAGCCAGAACGCAGTGGTACGTGCCGCCCGTGGCCGATGGCATCATTTGTAAGGTTGGCGATACGCTCGACGTCTGGTCGGCGTCATACCTCAAATCCACGACGCACCGGGGCGTGCAGCCGCTGCCCGATCAGTTCGATGGCAACCGGCTCGACTTTCTCAACTTTGTGCGTCCAGAGAACATGTCTCCATCAAGCCGGCACCGTCGCGCTTGCTGATGCGGCTGGGTTTGGTGGATAAGAGATACGATGACGCCGAGCCGGTCAAGGGTTTGAAGTATGTGCACCAGAAGGCTAAGAACTATCACAATCATGTCGTCTTTCTGACCGCAAGGAACAGCTTTTAAGGGTAGGCAATCTGCGGATTGTCGACGAGGTGACGTAGGCCTGGTTGGCTCGTCTCATAGTTCCCTAATCCATACATGCATTGCATACCCGAATACCAACACCAAATAGATATAGAAAAGCCGCTGTGCAGGATCGGATGGGCCTCTCAAATCACATCGCTCAGCGCGAACCGGTCATGCAACTTGACTGCCGTAGCCCCGAGTAGACAATTTGAACTCGGGAATTCCATTACCGATGCAGCTTGTATGCGGCCGTCAACGCGTGCCCCCAAGATAGGTGGGTCACCGCGTTGGAGTGGGATGTCATGTATGCATGACTTTCAGCCCGTCCTCCCTTTCATATAGTTTGCCGTGTTGCAGGGCGTTAGCTAGATAGAAATCTCTACTAGATGAACAGGCAGGTTGATGATACAATGCCGTCACCTCTGCCATGACAAAGATAGGTCGAGGCATCAAATGGAAAGTCCGGTTGATTCAGTGCCACTCTCAACTCAACTCGAAAAATGGCTATTGTAGCAAAAAGTTGGCGAGAAATCCCCAATGGGGCATTTCCGGTCAAATTCTGACCTCTTCCACAAACAAGACCGGACCCCACCTAAGGCCCTGCCATGGCAGGGAAGCCCATTTGCTGGAATGGGTGACCGGCAGGAAGGGAAGCAAACCACATCATGTGGAGGGGGTATCATTTCTGATAATGGAGTGTCGTTGCAAGAAAAAAATACCAGCTGTGGAGGTGCGAAGTTGCTCGTGGGTGGACGGACGATGAGCCTTTAGGCGCTCCTGCACGTCAGATGCATGCGAGAACAATTGCAGTATGCAGGCAAGAAGCAACCATCCCTCTGCAGCTATGAATAGCGCAGATTCGATTTTGGGATGATGAGATGGCATGGGATGGGCCGGTGAGAGGTGACAAGGTAACGATACTTCCCAATGTCTTCGTCAGCATGCGAACGACAGGTTACCTCTCCTGGTCTCTTGGTCGCCCCCGAGTTTCCCGCTAAATGCGACTTGAAAGTCATTAGTCCAGTTCACGGGAGGCACAGCTGTCTGGCGGTATTCACCGTAATTGCGCATAGCTCATAGCTAATTGCATTGAAGTTCCAGTGTACTTACTTGACTAAGTGTCCAGCTGTACCCATTGATCGTGCAGGAAAAAAATTTAACAGAAAGAACATGAAAAACATACGTTAACGTCTCTGGTTCTTCGGCCTAGTCAAAATATGGGTAAAGTAGCCCTATGGCTATTGACAAGTCCCAGTACAAGCATTATGCTTCAAGATGCCGCCGGGTGACAAGCCCGAACCGGCTTGAGAAGTATCTGACGGGTCAAAGACATTGTGTAACGGCGACAAGAGACCGTCCAAAACAGCCATGCTAGATGTCCATCCGCTGCAGTGCTTCCGGGCCACCGATGCTGACTCTTGGAGGTATACCAAGGCGGTGAAGATGGACTGTAGATGGATTGTGAAAGTGCCGTTTCGAAATAGTGAAGCAGTGAAATAGTTCATTGCGATCCTCGCAAGCTTCTCAAGGAATCTGTATGTGGGTGACCTGACCAAATGGAAAGAACTTTCGCGGTCGGTATGATCTTCCAGACAACCATCCAATTAACAGCAGGGTGGGATCGATACTGAAGCAGGAGTAGGTTACCGCTTCAGGAAGGTTGGAGAGCGGTTCAACGGCGAGACCGTCAATGTTCCACCGAAGCCATTCCTTGGCCGCATCCTTTACCCGTTAAGCACCATTGACATCAGTGAGATTATCCAAGCTCCAAATGCCACTTTCCTCAGTGCTGGATGATAATTGACCATGATTCGGCATGGTCGAATGAAAAGCGAGCTGATGACATGTATCAAACACTCCACATTCCGCACACTAGTAAAATGCCGCCAAAAGCGCGAGTGAGCGGCAAACATTTCTATGATGTGACTAAAGCGTCGAGCTGGAGAGAAGACTTTGCGTCAGCTTGCACCCAGAATTCCAGTGCTGGCAGAATCCCGGAGATGTGGAAAGGTTATGCAATAATTAGCAATTCGATTTGCGTTTCTGAACAAGATAGCTTATTATTCGATGCCACTCAATCTTTCGGGATTGAAGCCGACAACTGTTCGGTTGCTTCTCTGCATACCATGGCAAATGCATGGTGGAGTTTCCTGGTGGAGTTGCAAAAACGTGTTGAAGTCTGAGCGAGAGAGCGACCACTGGAGAGAGAGACACTGGGGCCCGGCCACACACAGCAGAGAAGTTGGACCTAATGCTCTGCGTGGCTCGCTATGGCTCGCTATGGCGGGGCGAGACGACTGCACAATTATACCAAGGTCATGTTTGATGCTTTGGAAACAACGGAAGTGTTTTTTTTGTTTTTTTGTTTTTGATATTCCGGGTTGAAGTTGAAAGAAAGACGTACCTAGTCATCGTTACTTAGTTCCAAGCTGCCAAGCACGAGGATTGGACGTCTCTAACGCAGTGGCCTTACAGTAGTTTGTCTCTTTGAGACTCCACAATCTAGCAACCGTCCCCGACAGACTACCCTTGGGCCTCTGCTGGGATCCACCATGGGAGTTTTGTTCCAGCGCAGTTTCAAGCTGGCTGGAAATGATATGATGTCGTTTTTCTGGGCCCTGTCTCTTAGCCGAGCCGGTTGGCGGTAACCATCTTCGACCCGTTGTATCCGGTACATGCACTCTCAACGTACTACCCCCAAGGTAGTAGTTAGGTACATGGTATCATCGATGTTAGGGACAATGCTCGTGGGGAAGGGCAACGACGAGTCATCGATTCTGCTGTGGCTGCTACAGCTTAATGACAAGAACGAGGCTGAAGAAGGTATGTCCCGAGTGTGAGTGTAGGTCAGTTGATCTGGTTATATCCAACTCAAAATCTGTTGCCAAGATTGGTCAATCCCGTCGAGGCTAAATATCGACGATATCTTTGGTGCAGCTGGAGAGAAAGAACAACCCTTGCTGCGTTGGGCCCCCCACGATTCATGTGCGCATACATCATCAGTCGTGTGCAACATTGCATGTGTCGGCCTTATCTCGCCAAAAACTTCCGACTAATCTCGGAGTCTCATCAACGGGAAGTATATAAAGTTGATGATGGAACCGTATTACGTGCAGCTGTACCCACGTGTTGCACAGCGAGGCTAAGGGAATTGTGCTGCCGCACCGTGGACGCTGACATGTGGTTCTTGTGTCGAGTCGGGTACTTCGTGGTCGTGAGCGAGTTCAGCTCATGATGAGACATGGGGGGCGGGCCGGAGATAGCATGAGTAATGAATGCGAGAGCTGGCCTATTGAATGGCTCAGGCCCAACCTCGGCCAGGGCCCAGAGCAGCCGAGTTGTATTACTTCTGCAAGGGCTTCCCAGCGATGCTCGCATGCACATATGGGGTGGGAAAACGGCACTGACATATGCAGAACTACGGAAAATGTCCGTACCAAAAGGACTGGCTGTAATCAATTCGAATCCCTAAAAATAAATGACGAGGTTGAAACCTAGGCGTATTTTGAGTTCTGCCGCACAGCAAACTGCTGATTCGGATATGTCAAGGGATTCCGACGTTTGTGGAAAACGGTTGAGGTTGCAAATAAGTCGCCGCTAGAAGCTGCTGCGAAGAAGGGGTATGCCTACTATTACGCTAATGACAATATCGCGGCAAGGGCCCGAAGCACTTCTGCACTCTCCGGGGTATTTGGGTTTCTCCTCGTCGTCTTGTCGTAAGAGGCTGGATGAGCAGCACCACAAGGAGGCCGCCTTCGGGCCTGTGTATACTCGCCCTTCCACAGATTACTTACATTTTGCAGATGATGACGCTTGCAATCAGTTCAAGAACTTTGTCGAACAGCTCTGAAGTTGTTGCTGTCGAGCATGTTAACAAGGATACGGAGTACGAATAATCGGAGACCTGTCGCGCGACGTGGAGGTGGCCAAGACACGTTCAATCTCCAGGAAAACCGTGGTGCGCTACCATGGATGATGCTACGGATCACCGGTCCATTTCCGATCCCATCCCCAAAGGTGACTGGCAGGCTAATCACGCAGTCGCCGCTATTTCCGTTGATACGGTTGATACGGAGTAGATCGTAGAAACACGGAGAAAAAAATACGTCAGCTACTTAGGGGCCATGGTTAGCGCTCAAGTGACATGCACGAAAGAGCCCTCTACTTAACAAGGCACTGGACGATGCGATAACTCTCGTAGATTACATATCTGAAGAGACACAATGCCTTTTCTCATGTCGGACAATCACAAGATCTTTGATCGGTGGTAAGAATAACGGACTTGGTCAGAGCTCAAAAAGATGAGGTAAGGAAAAAAATACTCCATCGGCAAGTAAGTACTTGTAATCCTGGTTGGTACTTTGTGCACTAAAGCTTTTCAGGTAATAACTACTGCATCAAAGAAACGGCTGTAACAAAGAGGCTGCGGAGCCGCCCGCGCAGGCGGTCTTGCCAATTCATCAATGAGAAAGAAGCTCCGACCAAGTCTGGGGACTGTAGCCAGCCTTGTACGGAGTAGCGCAAGTAACCTCCGGAGATACTAATGTACACGGATTGGATGTGAAGCATCATCATCGTTACTGTCACTAGTGGGCAGACAGTGCACTTGCTGCAAACCACACCTCCAGGAAACGAGTATCTGATACCACGTGAGTGCCAGCTGCTGAATACCACCCTCTTTGACATCAGGGTCATTGATCCAAAAACTCCGGGGAATCAACCACACAGTACCTCGATTATTAGCAGTAAGGAGCCGTTACTTAAAGTCAATGCCGCCGGCGGCTAGTCTTCATTAGATTTTAAAATTATCCCCATTCAGATTATATTAACAGGTGCTGCCATGGATGGGCCATAGGTGTCTTCTCTCAGGACCAGTTGCAGTGCTAGTAATTGCATTCTAAGTACTGTCTACTTGACTTACTTCTCCACAAGTAACTCCCACCCACCTTCTCTTCCTCGTCAATGATCTCCACCTCGCGACCTCCTGCTGGGAAATTTCCCAATGAGAAAAAAAAACTGAGGGAGCTTTGTCATTTGATTGAAGGAGTCCACCACCATAATCACGACCAGCTACTTTTTTGTTGTTGTTCCCGCACAGCGTTGCGTCGCCGCCAGGGCCACCACTCCTCCCGTACGGATACTTCATACCCCATTTGGCCGGCTTGGTAGATCTACAAGGCCGCCGACTGCTGCTGCCACTCCGATAATTCCCTTTACTCGCAAATCTCAAATTTTTTACCCTCTCTCTTCCCTCCCGGTTTCCCCGTTGTCGCCTCCCTCCCCTCAAAAGGCTCACACACTTCCTCCCAAGTCACGGCCCGTCTTTTCCTGGCGCGTTGTGTGCTGCCGTCCCTTCTTTTCTTTTTTCCTGCCGTAGAAAGTGGGCTATTTTCCCGTCGCCAAACCCGTGTCTGAAACTATTTTGGTCTGAAGATTGTAATTCTTCTGGGCTTTGCTGGTAAGTCGCAACCGAGAGACAAAATTTCCAGTTTAAATTTTTTGCGTCTATTCCCCCAAAATCGCCTAGGCAAATCTGTATATCGCGCGTGCGCCCTTGACTCCAGAGAAAAGCGTGTGCGGGAGGACCGTTTTTTCTCGGCTTCTTGGATCTATCCAAGAAAACACAATTTCTGCAAAGCATAGAGAAGCACGCCTCGTACCAGCCAGTATTTGTGCCTTGACTCGCTTCTCCACTGATTTCCGTCCATCCGCCCAAATCGGCCATCCCGCATTTGCTGCACCTCAAGATCTTCCTCACATGTTCTTATCACCACATCCCGAGCACGGCTAACATTCCATTCGATGCAAAAGGGGTCCGAACTAGACGGCAAATAGGACTCCTCCACCACGCGGAGATCCTTCCTCACGATCACGTCCCAGTCGGCGGTACGCGTCGTGACTGCAACTTGAGCCACCCAAGTTCACCTCGCGTCGAACGATCAAGGACAGCAAATAGGACACGATGTCGCAATACTATGGAGAATCGCAATGGCCCGGCGCTGGTGCTGGTCAGCCCACCTGGGACCACCAAACTCCTCCACCTGCCCGGTCTGGTGAGTCGAGGAACTCTTGTTCGTGTAGTAGAGATGAAGAATCCATCAATTGACTTCAAGTGCGCAGGCGCCAGCTCGGCCATTCCTCGCGAGGAGCCGGCTGCTTTCACACAACAAATAGAGGGTACGTTCCCTCCCAGGGCCGTCTCGTGTGCACGAACTCGACCTGGGAAAGGATATTATGGGAACCAGTAGGCTAACACAAGACTTGCAGAGGTCGATCGCGCCATAGACAACCTGGTTAAGAGCGGCAAGATGTTTGGCATGTCCGGGCGCCGTGAGTTGCCCCCCTTCCAGCACCGACGGGCGACTCCTTCGATGGGACGACGAAACCACAATGGAGGAGGACGCGCGCGTCTGTATTAGGAGTGTAGTCATGGCTTGGCTAACGGGAAATGCAGACGGCCGAGCCCCTTCAGGACCGCCCGCCCCGCGATCTCACTCTGTGACCGAGTTCGGTGATGCGCGCGTTGGTCACCAAGGCGGACCTGGCCCTGGACCTGGACCTGCGTCTGGACCAGGTCTGCAGAACTTCTATGCGAACCAACGACACCAGACGTCGCGCGGATCCAACGAGGCGGAGCAGATGATGCAGGCGAAGCGGAGAATGGCAGCTCAGCGGGAGCGAGAGCTGCGAAACTACCATCAAGAGCAGCAATACAACCGAAGTAGGCCGCCCTCTTCTGTATAGCACCAGACTCCTATCACAAATGAAAAAATTGGAGCCAACATGTCCCATATCTGTCCACTCGGGCTCTACATGTCTGGCATTGCCTTTTCCGTTGAACTCGCGTAAACCACCTGGGGCCCATGCTACCTATCTTACCCATCTACCTAGCACACGAACACCCATGCACACATATACACAAACACGGCCACTTCCTATACTCTGGGCGAGTACAAACACCTGGCTAACATTGACTATAGCCGTCCTCGCTGAGATGTCCTACCCCGGTACAAAGCCCGACCGCGCTCTGAGTCCCGGCAGCATGTCTGAGGATGATCGCCGCGACCTGATTGCGCGTCAGCGCAGCGCATTGTACGGCGACACCTCTTCTGGGGAGAACGGCGGCTTCGGCGATGAAAACGGCGCTCCTCGCTCCGGTGCGCCCGGACTCTCCACGGGACCGTCCAGCCATCGAGGCCACTCACCTCTTGCGTACGACTACTCGCGAGGAGCACCGGAGGGTGTTGCGCCGGCTCGCGACGGCCAAGGATCACGTGCTGGCAGCAATGCGAGCCCCCAGTCTAACCCGTCCAACAGCAAAGGTCCCTTTGATAATACAATCCAGCAAGCTAGCTGCACCAGTAACTCGTCGCCTAGCGGCTCCCCTCCTCGACAGGGCAATGCTTCTAACCAGACAGGTAACAACACTGTTGCACCGATCGGTACTCGTCCTGCCGGCGCGGCCCAGCCTACAAATCCTGCTCTGAACAAACGATCGACTACGCCTCTGCCTTCTCCGCTGAGCCACGGCTACACTGCTTCGGGCAATGGTACCGGCAACGTAGAAGAGAACAACCCGGCTCCTGGCGCCCCGCCAAACCCGTCTAGTGCCACTCCCGACGGCTACAACGGTTGGGGTAACCGCCCTGGCGTGTGGGGCAAGCAGACGTCCGGATTGGGAGTCCAGGCCAGTGTTTGGGGTTAACATATTAACGAACACACCGGAAGTGAGCCCGCTTTTGAGTACGAAAGCCAAGAGAACATTGGGGAGATGAGGACCGCTTCAGATTAGATGTCAGCGGAAACAGAGGTTTATAGGTTGGTGGCCTCTAAGCGGCCAGGGAATGCGTATCCAGCATCAGCATGAGGTGTTTGGGGCCTTTTACGACACGGAAACACGGAAACACGGATTGGGCTAGGTTGGGTGAAATGTTCGTTGTTTTGGAGTTTTTGTTTTCAACCGATTGTGCACCTTCACGTCATCTCAATCTCGGTCACACTTCTCGCAAAATTGATATATAAGAGCTTGCAAGTTCGGAAAAAAACAAGACAAAGCAGGTAGGGATGATGAAAAAGGGCCAATACTTTCTCAGTTGGGTTCAGTACGGCAAGGGCATCAGGGAGGGTGTTTGCACCGTGGTTTGTCGGTTTGGTTGGGTATCGTGCGGAATGGAGTTGTGCATTATAATGCACTGCAAAAAAGGGAGTTTTGTTGTTAGTAATGCAATAGGGGGTTATGTGTGAGCACAGCATATGGTGTGGGGAGTATTCGCATTTGGAGTTGGTCAGTGGGCTTTTGACAAATTGGAAGTCTTCCTTTTCCCGATGTATTGGTGTGACTGTGTCAACGAAGATAAACGAGCTAGGCGCTGAGCAGGCAAGTTGTGACCGGGTCTCATTTATTCTCGGGATGTTTTGGGTTGTCGGTTTACCTGACGATGGACATTCGTCTTCCAGAAGATCCAGCAATCTGTTCAATACGCTACCTCGACGCTGAAGCCCAGTTGCCCTTTCTTACTTGCTCCAATACATATGCCTATATCTATGTGCATCGGTATGTTCCTGTTAGAACTAATGTATTAGTTAAATCTAGGCACCATGCGATGCCCCCAAGTGATTGGGGCTTGCCTAAATGCATCTATCATCATGCGAGACTACCATGATGATTTCTTTTAACCTTGCAAGTCATAAGAACTTATAAGTCGTTTGTTGCCTTAAATAAGCTTAGTTAGGAACCAGTGCGCACTGCGCTACCCGTTTCATGGGCCTCGACTATTTATTATGCTAGGCACCCAGAATCGTGAGTGATGACTCGGGCTGAATTATGCTAGATGGATAGCCAAGAATCAGTACTACATATACCCCGCGCAGATATTGATTGTCCTTAGTTAATACAAGTGGCAGTGACTCGCAGCTTGGCCCCTCTATTCACATTACTCTACGTCAGCTTTTTACATAAGTCCTTACTTGCGAATGCCTCCCCTCTGTGGCGAGCGAAGGCCGGGGCTAATCAACCATACGCTTCTGTTCCGTGACTTACTTGATACCGTCTTGTGATATACCTATGTATCTTCGTCCATAAAGAGCCAATCTACTTAGTACCTGCACAGGCCTACCAAGTTCTAGGACACCTGATGCATACCACAGAAATGCATCAATGGTCCATTTGCGAACTAGCGAGGTGTCTCCCATCCTGCTACCCGAATGACTTTTACGCCACTCTTCCGTTTGCCTGAGGACGTAATATCCGTATATAGTACGTTAGGAATACTTGCACATATATGCGCCAACCAAACTGTCCCAGCGGCTTCAAGTTTGGTGAGGAGACAACATCTAGTGAGCTTGTTGCCTTGTTGAATATACTAAATAATAAGTCCAAGCCATTTGGGTCTTCTGCACCGACGTTTGAGCTCCAGAAATCGAAGAGATACACAGAGATGAACAGTGTATTTGTATATCTAGCGCTCTCGAGTGATCAAACCATGTATAGGCAGTGCTCGAGAGCCTTTTTTCTAGCAATGGAGAGAGAAAGAGAAAAGACAAAAACCGGACACCAATACTTCGCACAAACGTATTTGCGTTCGTGTTCCAATATGATATTAGGTACCTCAGCTTTTCATTCCCGCTACGACAAGCTGGTTGAACAAACTGACTACCCTATGAACGAAACCGGAGAAAGACTCGGGTTGTCCCTTTCCAGACTCCAAGTAACATTTCCTGACATACGAGAGTTGCGGTAGAGGAGAACAGGGTTTAGGGGCATCTCATATAAGGCTGAGATGACTCTCGGGACTCAAGAAATTCCAACTGTTACCCGAGAAATAATATTTTACAGCACATAGTCATGAATGTCCGATGGCGGGATATTACTTATGTTACGTCTCCAATGTTACTCTTGCACTTCCCATCCTACGACCAGCTTCTGAGAGGTCTTCAAATATATGCCCAAAGGCTAGTGTGAAGCTGCGTGCTGCACAGAAGAGGGACGCTTCTGTTCGTCTTCAGTGGAATACCTCCTAGCATGGAATAGGCTGCATGTTTTGCCCCTTAGTAGCCCTAAACGATGCCTTGGTGGGCTAACTAGCTATATCGCCTCATTGAACGAGAAAATATGGAACAGCCACACCAGGCTAGAGATGAGACGGGAATACAATAAGTAATATGTTGCAAGAATCACTGGCTTCAAGCTTAGATATGGTGCTTAGTACTAACAATATCGGGTCGCAACACTACATAGAACAATGAAGCAGGGAACACAGTAAATACATCTAGCGTGTATTCAAATACTCATATATCCAGATGATGGACTCGGCATGAAGCCAAGTCAATCCTCACGCAAATATCAACGAGAAAACATTGCTAATCAACCAAAAATACCTCACATAAGTGCTAGAATGCTGTACAGTGCAGCCAATCATTATTTACCGGAGACCTAAGGCGGTAGCGGCAGCATCCAAATCCATGACATCGTCAGCCCGTAGTGCTTTGGTAGCCAACAAGACAGTTCCTCGTCCGTCAACGGCAAACAAACCAGCCTGCTGCCACTTATTCCCCATGACTGTACTAGGACCATCAGTTGACTCTGCCGGGCCAACGACGGCGCCCTTGCCAGCTTGCGAAGGTGGCACCACGGGACTGAAACTGCCGGTCCTCTGTATGGAATCAGCCACCTTTATGCCCAACCAACCCTTCTCCTTCCAACCCTGCACTTGAGTCGTAGGGTTGAACATGGACCAGACGGTACCGAGCCCCAGGCCCCAGGCAGCGTAGATAACGCGGTCTTCATCGATAACGACCTCGACGTTCCACGCACCCCCCAGCAGATCCATCCACTTGCGCGTCGCCTCCTTAGAAGAGTGGGATACAGCGATACACGTCACCTTTCCCTGATGACGGTTGGCGAGCGTTCGAAGGGCGAGAAAGGTCTTTTGGGCAACTAAGGGCTCACGACCGAGTCAGTGGAGATTTGGTAGAGCACAGCATAGGAGGGGAGAGCATAACTCACAAGCACAGCCGACGCAGCGGAGGAAAACCACAATGACAGGCTTTCCATTGCCGAATGACAGTTGCCGGTCCCGGTCGAGAGGTGCCAGATCCCCGACCTTGGGGCATTCGGCGATTGGTATCGGGGGTGGTGGTGGCGAAAGCCATGCTTGTGCCGTCAATGGTAGCTTCTTTGTGCTTATCCATGCGGGCCATCCCACTGAGGACTCCTGCTCATCAAGACCAGCTTTGGTGCCCTTGGGTGGCTTTGCCTCTGAAGAGAAGTCAAATGTGTCGCTCTTGATGCCAGCCTTCCGCAGTGCGAGCTTTGTTGTCAGACTCGAGAACATATTGGGTGTTTGCCTAACCTGGATACAATATCGCAACAAGTTGGCTAGCGAGCAGCAGGCTTTAGGTAGTAGATGGGCCTTTGAGCTGTCTAAAAGGAACGTCAATACACATGGGGAAAGACTAAGTCTCGAATTGCGGAACTGCCAAACACAAAAGTGAGCCGACGCAGAAGTACATACTGGAAACATAAGTCGATCATGATGGGAAACGCCGACAAACCCATGTAGCGCGAGGCTGCGGGAGCTCCTTGACACAGGGGTTGTCGCGAAGTACTCCGTTCTCCGTAGCTCGGATCCCGGGGCTCATTCCTGCGTGGGACCCCTGATGACAAGGGGTTCTAGACGGCGAGGCTGATGATGCCAAGCATGAACTACCTTCATAGAGCTAGCCTACCGATTGGCCAATAAAAACTAAGGGTCTTTTTGCGGGGTGGCCAATATTTCAGCCCCGCGTTGGGGACATGTATTTGATTCTGTTCCTTTGAAGACTAGACATGATCCATCTGCCTCCACGCTAAATGTCCTAATGACGATAGGCAAGAATCGCATCAGCTGGTTCCCCGCCCTTTCCCCAAGCATGTCGAATGACTTCTGCATGCACTAGAGGACAGTATGGCTTCCGGTCGAAAACCATTTCCTGTGAGACCAACAGCCCAGAAATGAGATGGAGCAGATGCTAACCTTGCCAACGTAAATGAGCCATTGGGCCTTAGGCAGTACCAATAATTCCCTCGAAGCAAGTTGAGAGAAGGTGAAGTAAATGGGAAGATCGGGCTTGGAGTCCAATTTCCGGCACTGTCTTCGATTAGGACGACGAGGAGGACGCATTTGTAGTACTCGATACTGTAACCAACGAGCTAACAAAGCCGCGGTCAACTGAGCTAGACCGAGCCGAAAGCTAGCAATCAACAAGCGCCGCAGAAGCCTTTCCATCGAGCAAGGATGCCCCAGGTGTTTAATATGGAGGCTCGGGAGCCGTCTTCTCGATTGGATGTTTGTCGGTATTGCCCAGAATGAACTGTACGAAGCTGGGCAACATGGGGAGACGCAACGTGTACATGCTAGTGGACGAAGACTTACTAGTGTGTAGGGGGCTTTGAGTGAATGGCCGGTGATGAGTATGCCAGTTAGTCATGCTTAACCGTTGGCAATATATCCTCTATGCCATAGTTTCGTCATGAATACCACTACCCGCCGCATCAATGACTTCTCACAGAGAATGCAGCGCAGCAGAATTAGGGCCACCTATGTTGACTTTGAACAACAGAAGTGGCGTGTTTATTACTGGTGCCTTCACTGAAACTGTTTTATTGTTGAACCATTCTACAGTCAGCCGGCTAATGCAGAAATCTTCCACAGCTACCCACCTGGTTTTTGGTCCATGTATTGTAACAATCTTCTTGAGGTATGGCTTAGCTTGAAGACTGCAGTATGACCCTGTGGTACGCGGCTCTGCAAGCATTCAAATTTGAATATATTTGCCAGTGCCCTGGGTCTGTTTTGGTAGTTTGCCTGCTTGGCAATCAGATGGTTGTGCAACATGGGATTGAGAAGAGCTGATCCAGAACGTTGACAGGAAACACGATCCATGCCCACGTTCGGTCTAGTATCAACCGCGGCTAGGTGGTTGTGCCCAGAGTCTTGCATAGCACTATCCATGACTTCGCCTCAACAAGGAGCAGAGTTGCTCTATTTCTTGGCCTCGAAGTCAGCCTGTTTTTGAGGGAGTCAAATCTTGCTGCTGACAATGTTCGCATTTGTCACTTGAGAGGGATTTTAACTGAATATGTCATGTCAAGGCTATGTCTTAGCGGACAAAGTAGCTGCCTTTGATCGCCAATAAGATTCGGCATCTCGGCCTCACGGTAGGCTACACGACGAGTGAAGGGTAGGGTGCAGCTGTCGTTTCGATACGACCCGCTAAGCTGGAAACTCTTCCAGTGGTGTAGGCGAAGAGACAACTTCTGTGGTAGCGTTAGATTGCTTAGGTGTGCTGAATCTTACTGTCTTACAGGACGTGGGGACGCATCAATTCGGACCTTGCTTATTCTCGATAGATCCAGGCAGCTGAAAAATCAATCGGCCAACAATATCAGTATTTCCGCAATCTCGCTCTCGAGTTTCTTGGAATCCTATTTATTGTTCGAAGCTAATACGAGTAAGTTGGTGAGACTGACTATGATGTGTCAAGGCTAGTAGACCAGGAGGATGTGTACCACAACGAAGCGGCATGGGGTGAATATCCTGGCCCTAAATAGAAGTCGGGATCTGCAGGTCATGCTCACATATCTGACGCGCCTTCAGCCTTGCCCAAACTTCGGAATGCAGATGAACGAGTGATATCAACATTGACCCATGATTCTATGATTAGTTGCGAGTGTTGGTTCGTCCAACGACTAATACTGGTATTTGAGGCTGGTTGGTTCGAAAGCCTATCGGTTCGGCGCCGCTATACAGATCTGTTGTCTGCAGGTTCAAATTTCGTACCATGGTGCATCAACAGGCAAGGCAGGCTATTTGACGGTGCCGGAAGTGGTCTGTCTCGTTACGGCTGCCCGCCGCGGTACCAAAGTCGCCCCAAACCCGCCCCAAACCAGCCAGGTAGACTCGATGCCATTGTGGCACTTCCAGTTGATCTGCGTCCGATCAAGGTTGGCTGCATTAAGGGCGGCCTCAGCATGATGAATCTAGACAGTACCTACCTGAGTAGGTAAAGAAAATGAGTGCAGTGCGTGTGTAATCAATATACGTCTTACACCTCGGGTACGTACCCGTTTGGTAGTGAACAGCAAGTACTCTAAGCATGTAGGCAAGCGAGTACTTTTAGAGCGAAGCGACTTAAACATTGGAGTGACAGAGAGACATCAACGAGTGAAGCATTCATATTGCGCTCAACCTCAAGCATCTAGATGAGGGCAACGTTGATTGAAACAAAACAGCCAACTGCCCTGGCAGCCTGGGGTACCTTGGCCTCCCGGCACTGTAGTGCGAACATTGGATGCCGCAAAGTCCAGGAACCTTTCGGGCAAGCGCGGGCTGGCCAATCGCTCCTCCTTTTCCATTTCCTTGTTGAAACATTACCGTCGGATTCTTTCAACATCTCGTGATGAGCTCATAGCATGGTGCCTCCTCTAATAAGCAGTTGGCAAGCCTGGAATTGTGCAGATTGGTTCTAGTCCCTGAAGCCGCCCTCAAGGGTGAGATGTCAGTTGAAACTAAGTTTCCGACCCTGTTTTGTGGCGTACTCGTAACTCCAGGGCTTCGGGAGACTGTGCTCAATAAGAAGGCACGAGCTACTTTGAGCGACAAAAAGGACGGGCAAGGACGGGGCAGACCATGGTGGTGGCAGCGAGGCGCTCTATGTCAATACTTGGAGAAATTTAGAATGCTTAAAAATCCTGCTCCTGTGAGACTCTGCATTGCAGTCGGAACCTCAGGCTTGCAAGTTGTGGTGTTGGAATCGCCATGTGTCCCTCAGGAAATAGTGCACAAACATACCTGAGTAGTATGGGTAATTAACAACTGTGGCCTAATTTGCATAACCTGCGGGTGAGGAGTACTGGTTACTGTTCAATCTACCAAGTAAAATGGGGTGGGGTCGCCCTTATACAGTGTACATGGAGTCGTTTCCAAATATCCTCATTGACTCAACAATGGGCTCCTTCACCTTTTTGGGTTTAGGTCCTTCATCTGTCACAGTGCCAAAGTCGTTCGATTTGCACGGGCTTAATGCGGGCTTGCAGTGCGAACACTACCCACTACTACCAGACACGCCTGTATGGGGTAGTCTGGCTGGCGGTTTGCCTTGAAAGCGAAGCAGGAGGGAAGTACGAGACGCTTGACCCTTCAATCACTTTTTGCCAATCTTTATCTAGAACTTGACTCGACCTCAGAACGCCGCACCTTCTCACTCAGCCGACGACTGCTGTCTCTTGCATTTCCATACCCAGCTCAGCTTCCTCAACTTGCGATACCCGGCTATATTCACACGTCGACCCGTGTGATTTTGTTCAATCGTTTCCCCTCTCTCTACTCTATTCGTTCCCTTTCTTCTTGTCTTTTGCCCAGCTGCAACACTAGCCTGTCCCTGATGCAGCTGGTTTGAGTCTGACGCTCTCTGTAGTTCGCCTCCCGTGACAGAGACATTCCATACCTTTCTATATCGATACACGCTGTGTTCGTGTGTGTGTATGTGTGTTTGCGCGAGCGCGAGAAAGAGACAAAGCTGCCCAGTTCAGTCGCGTCTAGTTAGAGTTGGTACCTCTGCGACTCCTCCACCGTGCCGATTTCTCTGACGATCACTAGCACTCCGGTTTCCATTGTCCACCCGCTCACTCGATTACCAACGACAGAAACCACGACTCCGCACAATTACCACCACTTTGCTGCCTCGGGCCCAACAACAGCACTTCGCCAGCCCCAACACACTCTTGTCCGCTTTGTTCAGAAGACACTGGGATCACGAGCTGACAATTGCTTGCTGATTGACCTTCGCGTATCTCCTTTTGTGGTCGGCCATATTTCATGGACGCCAGGCCAACTGCAGCCGACTCAAAACATCATTACCACCCACCACTCTGGAGCCGCTCGACATCAAGTCCAGCAGTTCCACGACTGAGCATCACTGCAGTGTCTGCCAAAGCCGAGCCCTCGCATTCGCCGTTTCCTACACGCATCGATCTAGTTCCTATACTGTTCCCACAGCAGTCCTCCCTGTACCAGGCTCAGCTCCTCCAGTACAACAAGCTCATTGCGCCGGGACGAGGACGCGGTGGGGTTTTGCAAACTACTCCATTGCCGCCGCTGTTGACAACCCCGAACGTCCACACTGGACTGCGATCCCGCTCGTCGCCAAAGGTGTCGAACAAGGACTCTTCACGTGCTAAGCCTGGCACTCAGAATTGCCATGGGAATAGAGGCACTCAGAACACCAACAAAGCCGATCGTGCGCTTATAACAGGAGCTGGAAAGGAACCCGCCTCCTCTTCTAAGATGCCGCCCAAGATGCCGATTTCGAAGAAGACAGCAATGGACCTCCCGCATCCGTTGCCCTCGAGACCAGCGGCAGTCACGATGTCACCTGCAAATCTCACGGCAATTCCTCCCCAAACCCATTCGAATTCTGTCCCTTCAACGCCACACCAACGCGCCAGGAAATTCTCTTTTGAATCGAGAGAGCCTTCGCCGAACGCGAACCAAAGCCACTCACCCCGGTCCGCATATTCCGAGACAAACAGCAACCTGCCGTCTTTGAGGCCACTCCCACCTAGGAATGGCGGTTGCCAATTTGAGACGGTGCCCGAGCGGTCGCGCCGCAGGATGCCGTACAGTTTGGGAAGCGACCGACTGGAGAAGTTAGATCTGACCAAGATAAAGAGCAAGCTGTCAGATGACGACGAGAGGAACCTCACTGCAGACATGCGCGAGCTGTATGATCGACTGAAGCCCACCAATGCGGTTGAAGCGAATCGCCAGAGGCTAGTCCAAAAGCTTGAGAAACTCCTGAACGATACTTGGCCGGGTCATGACATATGTGTTCACTTATTTGGGTCGTCGGGAAACCTACTCTGCTCAGACGACTCGGATGGTTCGTTGCTACCACCGGACGCTCTTAAAACCATATAGCTAACTACAAGCAGTTGATATATGTATCACAACTCCATGGAAGGAACTTGAGGGCGTCTGCATGCTCGCAGACCTCTTAGCCAAGCGTATGCCCACCCCACCACCAACGCCCCTCAACGCCCGTCGCTGATTCGATGTGCTGACACAATTTACTAGATGGCATGGAGAAGGTTGTATGCGTCTCATCCGCGAAAGTTCCCATTGTCAAGATATGGGATCCTGAGCTGGGCTTGGCATGCGACATGAATGTCAACAACACCCTGGCGTTGGAGAATACGCGTATGATACGGACATATGTGGAGATTGATGAGAGAGTAAGGCCGTTGGCAATGATCATCAAATACTGGACTCGGAGGCGAATTGTCAATGACGCGGGTAAGTTGCTTCTTAGATATCGATTTCGGGCAAGTCTAATATCCATCTCTAGCCTTCGGCGGTACTTTGAGCTCGTACACGTGGATCTGCATGATCATCGCATTTCTTCAGCTACGACAGCCCCCAATTGTGCCAGCTCTGCACCAACGACCTCATCAAAAGACGACCAAGAAGGACGAAGGTATCACTGCTTTTGCTGATGACATAACCAAACTAAGGGGATTTGGCGAGAAGAACACGTCTACACTGGGAGAATTGCTTTTCCAGTTCTTCCGCTTCTACGCACATGAGTTTGACTATGCCGAGGCCGCTTTGTCTATCCGTTTAGGCAAGCTCATGAAGAAGACGGAGAGGAGGCATTGGCACCTGGCTATTAACAACCAGCTCTGTGTTGAGGAGCCATTCAACACGATGCGAAATCTTGGAAACACAGTTGACGACACGTCTTTCCGGGGCATTCACCTGGAATTACGCCGTGCATTCGAGCTCATATCGGAAGGCAAACTTGCAGACTGCTGTGAGCAATACGTGTTTCCCAAGGAGGAAGAAAGGATATGGCAGAAACCAGCACAAGCACCTCGACCAGCCCTGATACGAAGCGCGTCGCAGCAACACAATCGTGGCGGTCGAGGTGCCAATCTTAGGGGAGGCAACCGGCAGCAGGGCCAGTATCGAAACAGCAATCACGGCAACAACCGGAGAGCATCATCTAGTACGAACTATGAGCCTAACCCAAGCTCAAACAACGCCATGTATTTCCAGGGATACCCATTCATGACATCGCAGGATGGTATTTACATGCAGCCGGAAGTGGTGGCACAGACACTATCTGCGCTACAGCTTCAAGAGAACAACCTAAGGTTTTTGCAGTACACGCAAAATCAAGCTCTCGCGCAACAACAAGCTCTCGCGCATGCGCAGAGGATGCAGGGGACCGCTTCTCAAGCGCACTCGTCAACCGAGCGCTCTAGGACAAACTCGTTCGACAACCCGCCTCTGACGGCACCTCTCCGGCCAGATATGTTCTACTACCCATTGCAGTATCACCAGAACCAGGCATATTATACTCATCCTGGGCTTACCACGTATCCCTCGTCGCCGTCAAGCCAACAAGCTGCGGATCAACGTCGCAGTTCCCATCGGTCTACAACCATCAGCGACGTCAGCGCTGTGCTGTCTGGAAGTTCCTTGAGGTCTCAGTCGCAACCTGCTTCTCGGCCCATCCCGGTAATGCAACCTAATGGCACTTTCTCCGAAGCGGACCATCGAATAAACGGCGTGGCAAACATCCCTGCGCGGCATGTCAATGGCATCCCAATCCCCAGTTTCATTCCTGATGAAGGCAACGACAGTGAGCATGAGCCAACCGCGACGCACACACCACCATCGGAGGAGAGGTATCCTGGCTCTTATCTGGATGCGTACAGCCCCGGACGACGTGCTCGCGCAGCGGTGAACGGACTACCTGCTTTTGGGGACATAGGGCCACAAGGTTCAGGTCAGGGCAGACGTCGCCTATCTTCGGATCAGTTTCCCCAGTCGGTGCTTGATAGAATCAAACGGACATCACGCTCTCCGTCTCCCTTGGGTCACAACAGGGCTTACTCGGTAGGCACCAATTCGGCACCCCTGGCATCAGCTCCCTTCCCTCCCGCGGGGGATCGGCCGGTGCAGGACATGAAGCCCCTTGTCGTGAATGGATCAGTCTCCAAGCCCTCCAATGCAAGCTCGGCCCGTCATTCCTTGGCAAGCGAAGAATCGGCAACAGAGGAATTAGTTTACGACAACCCGCTTCGTATCAGCCAGCGACCGAATGCCTACGGTTCTCGAGTCGATGCCCTGCCAACCTACTCCCCTGCGCCCGCGCAGCCGGAGTACAACATGAGCCCCGACCGGCCATTGGTCGTGAACGGTACCACAAGCACTCATGCCCATGCGCCATCTCAACCTGGCCCCCAATTCACGAATGACGTTATTACCATGACCCCCAATGGGAATCTCAGCGTCTCACATTTCTCACCGTTGACTCCTGAATCTGCCGCACAATTTTCACCGGCCATGTTCTCAGGATTCATTGCACGTCAATCGCAAAGCCCGCTGATCGCTCAACTCGACCTTGCCATGGGTGATCGGGTGCAAACCAATGATCTGCAACACCTGTCACCTGTATATGAGACACGAACACCTTCACCAACTGCGACACGAAAATTTGAGCTGCCCATGAATCAAAATCGGATGCAACCCAACGTGCCTGGACAAGGTAAAGATGCGAAGGAGAGTTCTCCGAAGACAAAACAAAAGTCACCGGTGGATACACCTTCTCCCAGGAATGAAGCCGCATCTCTACCTCTCAGCAATCCACGACTCAACGGACTTAGTCGAGAAAATGGCCACGTCAAGGGCACGAAGAACGAGAGCGAACATGCTAGTGGGTGGCAGAAGATACCCAAAGGTCGAAAGAAAGGGCCAGACGGGAAAGGGAAGAATGATGCGTATTCGCAAGGCGAGTCGATGCCAAAGAACGACCTCGAGAGGAAAGGAGGTTAGAGACCAAGCGATGGCGTCTTTCTTCTTCGACTACTTCGATCACGTTCAAGCGTGTCTGGCACCGTGTTTCCCGCCGAAGGACTCGAACATCGACCTAATTAACAAATATGGTTGCCGACAGCATCCAACATTCAACACAAGGGCGGGCTTTGATCCTTCGAGGGTCGCTTCCATTTCTTGGATATGACCCTACGGACAAGCTTGACAGTTCTCTCGGTTGAAATCTCGTATTGGGCATTTCCTTTGCAATATTGGACAATCGTTGGAAGGCCCTGGTTACTTTTGATGCAATGCACCACAATTGTTGAGAGGCGTGGGGCTGTGAAACACGCAAATGGATGGTTAAGTTTATCGAAAAAGGGGCCATTTTCGGACGAAAGTGAGCTACGGCAGTCAAGTACAATTCGGTGTCATCGCCAGCACATGCCCAGAAAAGATCTACGTGGTATAACTACGGCTCGGGATGTTGCTGCTGCATGTCTGCTATTCCCAAACCGAATCAGGGCGGCAATGGTGACCAGATATCCTATAAACGGGATACCATACTACAGTCGGGCGCAAGCTATGGCAAAAGGGTCGGATTGGCATTTATGGTTATGCACTGGGAAAAGGTTTCAACACTAATTGGCACGAGGCAGTCGTAACGAGTTTCGAATATGTATGAAAGATGGCGTGCTGAGTTCCGCTTAAGGTGTTGGTGCGTTGGGTTTGCCCAAAGGAGTTAAGAGAAGACAGCAAGGGGTCATGAATGAAGTTGCATGGCTTATATACATATATATATGTCATATCATGGAGTGTCTAGGTCCCCAAACCGCGGCATATCCACAGGGAAAAGATGGCGACGCAGGAAGGCAAAGTCATCCTTTTGTGGATAGATGGTCTCCAGTGATGAGTCCGTTGGAGATTTGGACGGCTACTAGAGAGTCCTGGGACGCTGGGAGGTACCTTAGATAACACAGGCATAGGCATGGGCATAGACAGGATCATGGAACGTAAAAAGAAGAAATAAAAGGCAAAAAAAATACCAAACTGGAGCCTCAACCTGACGGCTGTATCCGGTATCCGGGTTGTGGATGTGTGCGGGATACGAGATCCATATTTGAACGTGTGCCATCGTTGTGCTCCCAAGCTGACGTTTTGCACATTGTGCGGAACACGACGTTAGAGCTGATCCTCCGCCTTTGCTTAGCCCGGGTACTTGGTTGGTTAAAGCAACGATCTATGTCTGGTGCATCGCAACACGTGCTGGCAGACGCTACAAGGAGTATTCACGCTAGGTATGGGCTGTTTGGAACGACGGAGCAGATGACTTTGGAACGTTCTGTGGCAATCGCTCATGCCACAGACGACCCGTTTGGGACAGTACAAGCGCTGTTGGGGCACACAGATAGAAAGAAGTGTGTTGTATTCAGGTAAGCTAGGCTAGTGCTGGTGGGCTGGAACCAAGTAGTAGTGGTGGATACGCACGGATCACTTCTGACAAACGCTGAACGGGAGAGAAAGAAGCTGGTGAGAATCGTGCGGTAACATAAGTTCTTCTACGACTACAAACCACGTTGACAACGTAGTATCACCATGGGTGATAGGGCGGGCTGCTGGATACAACGAATCAAACGCTCTGCCATATAGTGCCTGTCAATTCTCAGAGGGGCGGTGCATCTCATGGTGATCTGGGGGTGAGACAAGGCGTCCTTGCTCGAACTTGTACACACATCAGCATTTCGAGTCGGCATCCCGACCAACATCTAGGCGACCAAAGCAGCCAATAGCGGCTGAAGTTGATCAAGGTCGGTATTCTCCACCACACTAGCTCGGCGGTGTCTTGGCATATAAGCTAGCCTATGATGGGCTTAGTCTAATCTGCCAAATTCCGGCTGGACCCGTACGACTCCGCTTTCCCGCCGTTGTGAGGACAAGCTCAGCCCGGTGGTGGTTTTAGCTGAGCGAGTTGGTGTGGCGCAAGGGGTGGGCGCCAGCCCTATGCAACTATATCCTGCGGAGTACGAAGAGCATTGGAACAGTCGCTAGAAGCAGGGCGAGCAAAACGCCCGGTCCTGGGTGTAAGTGAGAACTACGGAGGTACTATTTCTGGCCCCCAACTGATTCCTTATTTAAGGCAGCACCACATTTCTTTTGTTCCGTTCTTGTTTCCTATTTCCCCGCCTCGAATCCTCAACGACACTATCCGACAAAAGTCTTTACTCCAATACGAGGCAACCTTGCTGGAACAGATTACTGGGATCTACTCGACTGGGATAGATCGATGACCATGACAGGCTATAGTTTGGGTTACGATCGACCCTGCCGACGATAGTCATTATGTCGCTTTTACAGCAGAAGACCAATTCAAGCACCAGCACCTCTGGCACGGGAGAAACATCGGGCACCGGGGCACATCGATCGCCATCGGAAGGCAGTAATGCCTCTTCGCCTCGGAAATGGGCGTTTGGTGCTGGATGGAAATCATCAAGGCGCAGTCACGACAAAAACAGCTCTGTTCGTCCCTCATCCAGACTTGTATATTTTTCTTGCCCAACTTAGCGACGGCTAACCAACCACTGGCCCCGTCGTAGAAACAACCGAGCCTTACTCTCGAGCCGCGAGACTTTCCCGGTAGCCTGTCCTCGCCAGACCTCAATCCAGCCTCGTCGAGCGAGGCGAACTACCAGACCTTGCGCGAATGTGTGCAGAAGCTGAGGTCCGCGCCCGCGGGTGCTAGCCACGTCGACGCTGCATTCAAGGAATACTCCAAAATCAAGCACAGACCTACCGTCCTATGCAAGGCCTTGTTGCGCCCAAGATCGCGTGGCCGAGAATCTTCGGTTCTCTTGAGTCCTTTATCCAACCCGGACAGCGCACGGGAGTCTTCCTTCGACACTCCCAGCCTGAATGCCTGCGATACAAGGGCATCCTTCAGCTCGAGGAGCCTGACCGAACTGGGAGTTGTCTCGTCGCATGTCCCCGAACAATACCTGGCCGCCGTGAGGGACTGGAGGCACTGCCTCGAGTCCCTCCTCGAGTCCCTCAAAACGTCACTACTCGAGACTTACAAGGAATACGAGCCCAATCTCACTCCGACCATGATTGAGCAGCTCTTCAATGACAAATCTTTCCGAAAAGTCGCCATTCAGCAGATGCGAAATGCTAGCATATTCAAATTGCTGTCGGCACATCCCGACTTCTTTTTGAAGTATGATATCCGCTTCCGCAACTATGATAAGATCAAACTTGAATTGGTTGAGATTCGCCACCTGCTTCAGGCGGGAGAATCTGGCATTTCACCTGACAGGACCATTGAGGAAATCGCCATATCTCCCAGAGGCGATGTCATTCTGGAGTTTGCAAACTCTGTCTCCGAGAGCTACCCGGTCTTTCGTTTTCGCGTGTTATCTCATATGCTCGCAGAAACGGGTTCACCCTATTTCGTTCGAATGTTCAATGACTCAAGAAATCCTTCGACAGAAATTTTGCCAGGTGGTTTGCCCCCCCAGCCTTCTCGATACATATGCCGTGACGGTTCCGAGGTGAAGCTGTATCGGATGCCTCAGCTCGAACTGAACACCGAGAAGAGCATCGAAATCTTGATGCATGCTGCGCACAACCACCATCGACACGAGGAGGTCCCTCGGGAGATCGAGTTCAGCAAATTTGTGGCTATCGCCGAGGTCTGCATGCGTTATCAATGCACATCCCCCTTGGAATTGGTTGTGGAACACTGCTGGCTGCCGCAATGGATACACAAGGCATCTGACGGCATGCCGGACGGTCTACTCCTCATCAGCTACGCGTTTGGCCTACGGCGCCTCTTCACACGCTTGTCCAAGTCAGCCATCCTAAACATAGCCGATGAGAAAGACCTGCAATCCAAGTTATGGCCACAAAAAATCAAGGACACGATATGGGCGGTTCGGCAAGCCAAGATTGAACAAGTCACAGCCTGTTGTAGCAGTATGCTTCAAGAGTACCTACACCCGCCTTCGCCTACCACCACTCAGTCTACATCCGGCAGCGAGGCATCCTTCGTTGCCGGTGTCGTACCCACAGCTGCCCCTCGCTGCCCCAAGGGTAGCCATTTCTGCGACGCTGCCAGCCTAGGTTGGTTGATGATGGTGTTCGCCGAATTGCAGCTGCTCCCACACATTATGCACTCGGTGGCGACGTCGCATCTGCCACCTCTGCCACAGCGTAGCCTGAACCAGGTCGTCGACTGTCTGCGGGTTGTCGCATCCCCTCCGCATCCTCAAGCGCACCGAGGAGTTTGTGATTTTGCCCCCGCGTTTCGCGGCGCCATCAATGACATATACAACAGCGTAGTAGGCTTAACACTCTTCGACGTCTCTGGGAAGCACGGATGGGCCCTCAGCATGCACAAAATAGAGCTTCCACAGCCGGTCCCTAAGACCGATGCCCTGGTACCTGATCAGGGGGCGGCGAGACGGGGGAAAGAGGAAGTCGCGCTGCGAATTATGTGCGAACTAGACACTCTGGAAGATTTGCAAACAGCTTCGATGATAGACAAGTGCTTTCACGAGACATATCAGAGGAACCAGGTTGCTCTGATGAAGGCTTTGTTAAGGAGAACAAGCAACACGGAGCCGAGAGCTTGGGCGGCTGTTCGTGGGGACACGTACCGAACGGCTGCGGACGCCGAGCGCATCCTTTGGCCAGAGGGTGAGGCATCCTCGTCAACGCCGCCTGCCCATACAAGCACCTCTCCAAATGGCACAGCGGTGAATAGGGTGCCGACAGAAAAATTTCGTGCCACGGACGTGTCTTTGCAGAAGACAGTAGAAGACAAGAGTCTCCTCAGTGCAGAAAATAAGCACCTGAGGGAGACCTACGAGCGCAAGATTGGACACTTGGCGCAGCAAGATGAGCATGATCACCCATGACGCTTTGTTGTATCTCACCAAAAGCGTATACACGTCGATACGTCGCTTCTTATGCAGAATTAATCTATAGGATTGTAGGTGAGACTCGAACGTGGAAATCATATGGGTTATATACATATATATACGGTGAAGGAAACGGAGTTGGGACTGGGTGGAGCATTGGCGTATTATATATACCCTCGTGGTTTAATGTCTTGAAATGTCTTTTGGATCGTGAAGATCGTGTGTAGAGTGGATGAGCTGTGGAATTACTGACGTTCTCGATTTGGGTAAGCGATGTACAGTATGTGATCGTCACCCACCTCTTTTGAATCCTAGCTAATTCCAAATGATACAGACTCATATCGCGTATTACATGAAATGGGCAGTTACACTTGGTCAAATTCTTGAATCCCTGGAGTTTCATGTAGCATTAGATACACGCTCGTCTGCTTCTCGATGCTGTGATCGGAAGCCAGCACGGCAAGTGGTAGATTGAAGTCGGTCCGTGGCAAACGTGGGAAAATATTCAAATGCTATCGTCCGCATCACCGTATAGGTTATAGCAAACACCTAGATAGTTAACGATACCACTTAGGTATCGCCAACCAAGTATGCACGATTCCGACACCAACCATACAGCATATATGACGGCTATCACGGTAACTTCCAAGTTCTTGAGAAATTGTGATTATACTTCCACTTTTAGCATTGCTGCCGTCCCTTGCTTTTGAGGTATATCAGACGCCAGCATCTCGTTTTCACCTGCCTTCATCCGGCCTTATACTCTCACTCATCTTAGAAACTGCTGCAAGAGTTCCTACACCCACATCCACTCTAATCCAACCCAAGATTCTACTCTAAGAAAATTTTATAAAGCCACTGCCTTCGCCGAAGCCCACGCCAAGCTCTCTGGCTTGGAGGCAACATCACGGGGCTTTACATCTCAGCCGGCCTTCCCGCCTTCTAGGTAAACTTCTTCTTCCGTCTGCTTTCGAGTGAGGACTAGTTCGTTGGTGGGCACCCAGCGGCGGGTATAGATGGTAATTCAGAGATGTTGCATAGGGCCTTTGTCAGGTTTAGCATCGCCCACATTGCCATTCATAAGAGAAGGCAACGAGACTCAGATGCGGGCTATGTGTGGCCATATTGATGCGGTGATTTTTAGTTTTTCTTTTTTTCTTTCATGATAGCGAGAAGTTATAAACTAGATCACAAATCCAGGAGAGAGCTGATAAGTGGTCAAGTCCTGTAACCCCGTGTCGAGGCCAGGGGTACGATGGGGAGTATAACATCATCGAGCCGGATCCGATACTTTGGCGGGTTGATAGAATCAACTTGCCGCCTCATGGAAGCGAGGCAGAGAAACGGTGGATCGAGCAAGGGTTCCTATCCTACGCCCTAGGAATTGCATACATTGAGCCAACAGGTTGAGAACTAGGATATCATGACACGAATACGGGAATGCAATTGTTTAAAACAGACTCGCAATATCATGATGCTTGTGTTATTTTTCCAACAATGGTTGATCCATGATCGGGAACGATTTATAGCAATGGATAAACAAAGATGCATTATCATGATGGTATATTTATAGTTAAGGGAAGTTATCCTGATTGGTCATATGATAACACAATCTTAGGAGGGCAAATGACCTGTCGTGGATGTGATTGATGACCAATCGATCAGTCTGTTAACTATTAATTACTTCCATAAGAACGTGTAATGTATGCTCAACAGCTACAGGGGAAGCATGAGGAGATAGTCAGTCTGCTAGGATAGAAAGGTAGTTACGATTCTCAACCTTCAGGACTTAGGATCAATAGAGCCAGAAGCCGTTTAATTCGAGAATCACCGAAATCCTACTTCTCCTTCCGTCGTGAAAATTTCTGAAGGGTTCTTGGCAGTGACCAAGTACATATGTAATGCGAACATGGTAACTCCGCGTCGCTAAACTTGTGCACGGATTATTTCTTGATATAACGTGATCCACAAGTCATTTTCGCACACAAGTCACTTTCGCACTTTTTCAAATATTTCAACCTCTTAACTTAGCTTACGGTGGTTATCCGTAGCGCGATCGCCTTCGGGGCGACTGCGTGGCATACTATAAGTGAGGAACCGGCAGGGCCAGCTAAGAGCCTGATGGGGATACAGAACGAGTGCCTCCGGGTAGTCTGTGGCGCCCACAAAGCGACGCCGGTTCGCCACCTGGAAGCAGAAGCAGCAATCCCGCCACTAGACCTCTATCTTAGTGCCCGGGCTGCTAAGTTTGAAGAACGGCTACGGCTTAGCGGGAAGAGAAATCTGCTTCGCAGCGCGAGCGCTAAAGCGTCACATATACTCCGGCAGGATAGGCCGGCGAAGAGGAAGCAGGCGTCGCAGCTACTCCGACCGGCAGGATACACTATGGAGAAGGAGGCCCGGGGCTCCGAGTGGATGAGTGAGGAAAAGGAGGTCCCGGCTGCCCTCCTCGGCCACTGGACGAAGAGATGGCTCACCGGAGCAGAGCATCACGATCGCCAGCGACGCGCTATCGCTGAGGAACCGGAGGGCCCTTCGATGCAGATACCGAAAGGGGGCAAGTATTTCGGCCTGAACCGACTGGAGGCGTCTACGCTGTGCCAGATCAGGACGGAAAAATTAGGACTAGCAGCCTTCTTATTCAAGACAGGGGCTTTTGGCGTGTACTCGCCGCTATGCCGCTGTGGCGACGCCCCTGAGACGGCAGAGCACGTAATCCTCTTTTGCGGGCTGTTGGAAGGACCGAGGGAACTATTACGGGCCGCTATCGCACCACGGCCACTATACTCTCGCAGAGACCTCGCAACGGCAACAGGAGAACCAGTAGTTAGTGGGACTATTGTAAGGTGGCTGCTAGGGACGGGTCGGACAGCTTCAAGGCCCAGATAGCATCGATCTTCTCAGGGGGGACTTTGTTGGTAGATTGAGAACCAACGTAGTATGGTAGTGAACGCAACGCAGTCGCCAATAGGGCGAACCGACGACGCAGCGTATGTATTTAGTCCAGCCATTAGGGCACGGTTTGACATACGGGAGTACTGGTAGAGGTACCGGGGGCTTCGAGCCTACGGCGTATTTAATAATAATAACTTAGCTTGCACTTTTCTTCCCTCCCACAACATGCCTCGTAAATACAAAGAAGCCGATCTTCAGCTAGCTATCCAAGCTAAAAAGCCCAACCCTGAAATTTCATGGCGTAAGCTTGGCCGTATCTACAAGGTTTGCGACCGTACACTAAAGAATCGATTCGACGGCGACCAAACGCGACACGAAGCTAATATGTTAAAACGAAATCTAACTCAAACCGAAGAGGATACGATTGCCCGACGTATAATTGAGCTAGATGCGCGAGCATTTCCTCCTCGGCTTCGATACGTTGAAGAAATGGCGAATATCCTACGACGCGTACACGACGCGCCCCCCGTCGGCAAGAACTGGACCACGAACTTCGTTAACCGCCGACAAGACCTCCGAACGCGTTTAAATCGTCGAATTGATTACCAGAGGGTATTTAGCGAAGATACTATCGCGTATTACGCGTGGTTTGAGCTTGTTAGGGACACAATCGCTAAATACGGTATCCTACCGGAGGATATCTACAACTTTGACGAGACGGGCTTCCTAATGGGCATAATCACAACCGGTATGGTTGTAACGAGTGCAGAAAGACACGGACGGCCTAGACAGGCTACACAAGGAGGTCGGGAATGGGTTACGGTGATCCAGGCTATTAATTCGCAAGGTTGGGCGGTACCGCCGCACATCATCTTCGCGGGCAAGGTTCATCTTGCTTCGTGGTATCGCGGTAACGACCTACCGGCCAACTGGAAGGTCGACCTTTCCCATAACGGTTGGACTACTAATAATATTGGTGTGGAATGGGCAAAACACTTTGTTCAACATATTATTAGCCGTCGGAAGGGTGCGAAAAGTCTCTTAATATTGGATGGTCACGAGAGCCACCACTCGATGGATTTTGAGACTTACCTCGCGGCGCACGGCGTAATTACATTGTGTATGCCTTCCCACTCATCCCACAAGCTCCAGCCTTTGGATTTGGTACCTTTTAGTGTGTTGAAACGGCTGTACGGTGCGTTCGTGGAGGGTTTAATGCGAAGGCATCAAACCCATATTGAGAAGCAGAATTTCTTAGCTGGGTTTTTAGAAGCTTTCATTGGTGCTTTTCACGAAAAGAACATCAGATCAGGATTCGAAGCAGCTGGACTTGTTCCTTTTAACCCGGATAGGGTCATATCTACGTTGGATATCGGAAAAGTAGTACGAACACCGACACCCGACCCCCAATTGCCTCCCTCCGTCTGGGTTTCTAAGACGCCTACCAACACCCTCGAAGCCGAATCGCAGTCAACTTTGATTAAAAGTAGCGTCCAGAGGCATCAAGACAGCTCGCCGACGCATATTTTGAACTCAATTAACTCGATTACGAAGGCTACGCATGCAATGATGCATGAGAATGCATTATTACGTCGGGAGAACGAAGAGCTTCGTGAGACGAACCATATACTAAATAAGCGTCGTAGGACGACAAATAAGCAAATCCAATATAGAGGAGCACTTAGTATAGGTGATGCACAAGTTTTACGGGCCTTGAGGGGTGATATCAAGGTTATAGAGGAGGAAGAAGGGGAAAGCAGTCGTCCTGTAAAGCGCCGGCAGACCGGTATAAGGCGCTGTGGTATTTGCGGAGGGACTGGACATAATGCAAGGACTTGTTCAATAGAAGTAGAAACTGATAATAAAGAAGATTTTGAGTAATTTAAAGGATAAAATGCGGGTTAACGTGAATGTACACCGAGCTGGCCATGACACCGAGCTGGCCATGACACCGAGCTGGCCACCCTTACATAACCTCGCATAGAAATCTTACGATAGTAAAACCACAACGCCGTAAATCAATTGAAACTACTCTGAATCTTCCTCTCCAGAAGATGGCAATGCGATCTTACAAGTTCGCGCATTATGCCCAGTCCCGTTGCAAATACCACAGCGCCTCGGGCGCGTTTCAACACGCTTTGCGCGACCACCATTTCGGCGCTCTTCTTGCTGTATCTGCGTCGCCAACTCCCTAGAGTCCGTAGGTCCTGTCCTTCTTGGAAAATAAGTGATTCTCCTTCCCGTAATTGCATTTTTTTAGTCCTCCGGCGCCGGCTTAGCATCTTATTTGCCTCTCGAAGCTCAGCGCACTCGGCCCGTACGAGGGCGAGCCGCCGTTTTTATGCGTTTGGAGGGTGCTTCGGGGGACTTGGTACGTTTTTGCCGCTTGTCGGAGACTAAGTTTTTGGTCATTTTTGAGAGCTTGAAGGGCTAGCATTAAGCCTGCTTCGTTATATGACTTTGCCATAATTGGTTGTTGAGAAAATCAAAGATTAAGTTGGCCGGCCGCGTTGGCGCATGAAAGTGGCCAGCTCGGTGTACATTCACGTTATGCATAGGATATTACTGAATTACTTGAAGGTGCCAAGAAAAGTGCGAAAGTCACTTGTGTGCGAAAATGACTTGTGGATCACGTTAGATCATATCACGACCGAATACCCCAAGGTACCGCTGACAGCTGGAACGGGTCAAACTCAAGGACCCGGCTCTGCCTAGGAAGTTTTCCATGCAGAAGCAGGTTTTTCTGGAATGCATCGCCCACCGGTATAGCGTTCCCGCACCCCGTAACTTGGTTCATCTAATCTCAATGGGTCCACATGCTAGACCAGCTCCTCTTCTTATCGCCCAAACAACAGGTGTGGGATTGACAGGGACAATTGACTATAACTAGTTCAGCGAGATCTCCTTCGCTCAGATGGCTGATGGACTTGCTTCAGAAGCGCCTCTCAAACGCTCGACCATCGAAAACGTCACTCGAGTCAGTTACTACCAATTGTTCGGGCCATGCCCTCGTAACACATTCGTATGTAAGATTGCCCAAGACGCCCAGAAGCCCACAAATATTGGACTCTCGTTACACCTACCTGAACTGGAACCGAGTATGCCGCTTGCAGGTGCTTGCGGCGTTCTAACAGCGACGCCACAATGTGGATAACTTATATCATCAGCTGGTTCATGATGCTTGGCGGCGACGCGGTTTCTCGAAAAAGCATAGCATGATGCTGGTGAGGCTTGGAAAAAATCAGGCCAACGGACCGATCGGCCGGTCGATTTAATTATAGAGTGTCGGTGACGAGTCGCGGGTTCGAATCCCGCAGCTGACACACAAGGGGGTTTAGTCAACCCTTACGGCGCGCTGCCCACCTTGTTGACTTCGCCTACCTAGCGATAATAGGGAGATTGGTGCAGTTTAGGATTACGAGCATCCTAGCCAGTCGACCGTCAAGCACTACGTCGGCGGAATATAACTCGACAGCCGGTCCAGAATTCGAATCGTTAATCCGACCCCTTATCGGACCTCGCCTTTCCGATAACGCTCGTCGGCGAACCCGTCCCCTCACGATAGAAGGCGCGCAGCACGCCCTCTCGCCGCGATTCTTGCGAGCGTCTGACCACGTTACGGTCTATCCACTTGAGCGTATGGTTGAGATGTATACGCTCGACGAGAACCCCAATTAGCAGATACTACGACTTGTCGCGACAAAAAAAATAGTCGAGCATCTTCTGCACATCAGCAGCATCCCACCCCTGAGGACGAATTTAAGTGCCACATTACCACACTTATCGGTAGTTCAGGCAGGGGTTGTAGCACAGACTTAGGGAGGGACAGGAGGTTTAGTAGTCGTTTGGCTACAAGTTTACCTGTATAACCGCCCGACGCGGCTTAAGGGCCCGCTATATCATCTATAGCCCCTTAAGGGAGTACTTGTAGAGGTACCGAGGGTTAACACCTACGGCGTATTTAATATTTTTTTTTATTTCACAGCCATCAAGGTTATTGTAGGAACCTTTGTGGTTGCCGAGCCACATGTATGGGACGAGAGTCATGTGAAAGTCCCTCCGAAATGCCTCGCGCATGTTTCCTACCACCTGCCGGAGCAGCTTCCCTGCCCCGGAGTCCTACGAATATCTGCTGAACAGACAAGTTTGGGGATCCAAATTTGTCTCCTATACTAACCGTAAAGGCAAGGTCCCAAGGTCCACATAATACTATGTCTAAGTTCCGCACATTGGTTGATAATCCCTATTTCAGTTGCGCCGGCTCCCGGAGAAAAGGGGTCGCCCAGGTAGCTCCTGGATGTACCTTATCGAAGACTCCTCGTCTATGACAATATTTGAAACAGGAATATACTATGCTTACTGCTCTCAAATTCCAGCTCGTGCTTATGTCAGACCACTGCGTCAGGGCATCTACGGTGGACTAGACAAGAGATCAATCGCGGCATGAGCTTAAGGGAGGACTGCGATGTCAACTATTCGGAGGATGTAATGTGACTACAACGTCATTTGTTCAGGATTCACAAGAGGTATATGCATATGATTGACTAATCTCCTACTTCAATTATTCTACTTGCTCAGTGTTCCCAACAGCAGCTCCGGGAAAGTCCTTTCACCATCAACCTGAGAAATCAGCTTCCATTGCGAAACCCCAAGATCGTCGCCAATTGTGCAGTATCCGTCGTCTAAACTTATCTCTTCAAGGCGACTCCGTTTCAATGAAATAATTGGCACGAAGTCTGAAGTATCCAACAACAGCACCAGCAGCAAAAGTATCGAATCATCCTTCACTGACGGGAAGCTCTTGACGGAGAGTACTCGACCGATTATGATCATCTGATCAACATTCTTGCCCAATGCGTATTGCACCATATGATGGTGATGAAACTCACACGACCATTTTTCGAGGACTAAGAATAGCAGCATGTCGTCACTCTACAGCCAGCCTTGGGCCAGCATGTTCAGCGCCCCGCGACCAACACTGCAGACCACCATGGGACGACATGCAAGCCATCGCGGCAACAATCCTACCGACGGAATTGCAGCATGTAAGCGTATACTAAAGGAAAGCATACAGTCGAACAGTCGAACAGTAGACAGCCAATAGCGCGTGCCTGAACGTTCACAAGGATCATTGGTACGTCCAAGTCCAACGCACCACAATCTATGCATGTAGCACATGTGGACAGAAACCGCCGTAGAAGGGGTCATGGATACACCACAAAATGCAAGCAAATATCGCAAAGCAGGCATTCCTGACTAAGAATGTCGCTCGCTGTCTTCGCACCTCAGCATGTAAGCAGATGTCCAAAGAACCCTCTAGTCTAGCAATGTCGTTCGCTGTCTTCGTAATCCTGCGGCAGCCAAACGTTCAGCGAGTCCTCGCCCTCCACAACAGTAGCCGTTCACCACCACGAAGCATGAAATCCCAGAATATTTTGCTCGTCACACACGCATGCGCGCGCGTGAGGCACCAGGACGCAATAGCATAGTGGAAACTGTCGTAGCCAGAATGTAGGTATCTTATTTCGTTTACGTCGTTTCGAATATGTATCAAATAGACCTTCAGCCAGTCGCACCTCCGTCCCCAATTCACAGCCAGGCCCTAAACAGCTCGCTCGGCAGGTGTAAAAGGAAATTGCAGCCCGCAATGCTTCCTTCTATCCATCAAATGTCTCTCCCACTCGCTGGACCAAACTGGGTGATGAACAAGCAACACCATATTTGCGTCGCCCTTTGCTCATGGGAAGCCCGCAGCAAAACGTAGTTCTTCTAAGAGTAGAGGAATCCTCAAATGAAGATCGTGTCCAGCTATTGGGCGTAGATCCCCCATGTTCCAGGAATACGCGAAGCTTACCTCTACTCGCTAGCTATACCGCAGCCCTTTTTGAACTCAGATTCTCGTGTTCCGCGCGCCTGTCTATGGAAATTTGGTATATTGTGAAATTTTGCTCAAGGAGCGAAAGCATAGATAAGGTGGGAAAGCCATTTGGTATCTCTGTGCCCAGTTATAACTCGCCAAATTCAAATGGGGAAAAATTCCAAAAAGAAATAAATAAACTTCCAAAAAAAATCGCTATAAGTGTTAAGCAAGAGAGCTACATGTTCTCTACCCTCTCCTCTTGGATGGCAGTCATCTGTCCACTTTCTGCACCACCCTCCAACAACGGCTGGCTCAGCGGTGGGTTATTCGAATAGCCTTTGGAGCCAGTGGGCGTCGTTCCCGCGCTGGTCGTGGGAGCTACGCTGGAAGTCTGAGATCTGTTGGCAGAGGACATGGAGTCGGCCTCGGAGGCGTGTTGGCTGATCTTTCCATTGGGCATCTCCCTTTGCAGCGGTGAGGAATGCACAGGCGAGGTGGATTTCTTACTTGTCCCATCGCCATTGCCCCCTCGGGAAGAGTTTCGTGGAGAGACTCGGCCCGTCTGTACTTATAGTCAGCAAGCGAGTTCACTGCAAAGTAAGAGAAAATACTGACCTGCTTGGCCCACCTAAGGCCGCAGCTGTTACAAAGATCCCTATTACCACTTGGACCTCTCCGCCACTCGGGGGTGTTCCGAGTGTGGCAGTTGGCGCAATCGCGAACAACGTTGCCGACGCCCTTTCTGCGCTTGCGTTTCTTCTTATTTGAAAGCAAACCATGTAGCTCTTCGGCTAAAACTCGATTCACTTTTTCCATTTGCCGCAACTCATATTGCCAACTCGTACACCTCGTCGTCTTGAGTTCGTCAAATATGTTGTCGTCAGAAGCGAGAGCACGGTCTTGGTTCCCCACGCTGAGACCACCCCCAGCCGCAGCTGATACGATGCCGGAATCAGCAGGCTCTTGTTTACGGATCATGTTGATGCTTGCAATTGCTTTGGGATCGGGTGTACTAGCCATGGACCCATGTTTGGCAGATATGGGAGATGCCGCGGGAGCGATTGATCGAGAAGAGGCTTTCAATAGTTTCGTTTGCGCAAGGATGAATGTTGGCTTCTGGCCCTCTGAGGCGTCTCCAGGGTATAAGGTGGTATGGGCCTGCAAGACCTGGCCTCGCCGGTTCTGAACCTCGTGCTTACAAGAAACAATCTTCCCGCGTCTGACTTTCTCGATGGATCGGCCGAATTCAGGGCGTGATTCTTTCCGCATCAACTCTTGTATACTCGTCCCCACTAGACCGTCTGGCTGTAGATCCAGCAGCGACCGTACGTTGGAGGAGACGAAGAGGAACATGCCAGATGTAGAGAGTTTGGTCCACAATTCGCTGTCTCCGACCCCCCCACTGGCTTCGAGATCTCTCCGACTGAGCGCAAACACTGGACGCTTGCGACCGACGAGAATGATGCACTTACGACCCTTGCCTGCCTCAACAAAAAGCGACCCATGACTCTCGAACCAGGTGTATCCACTATGTTTCCGTCTGATACGGAACACGATGTTGACTGGACTACCAGTTGTTGTATCTTTCAGCTCGCGCGTCACGGGGACAATATCGGATGGATGGCAGATGGTCGATATAGAGTTTCCAACGAGTTCGGCGCCATCGTACTCAAGCACACGTTTGCAAGACGGTGACAGATAGAGGAATAGGCCCTTCAGTGAAAGAACGTGGACAACATCATCTGCATTCTCCAGTAGCATCTTATCCCAAGACTGCCGGTGCCAGTCGGAGACGGCGCCTTTGGGTGTGAACTGCTGCAGGAGTGTAGACACGTCGTCAACACCGAGCGTCTGGCCATTCTCAGGTTCCGTCTGAGTTGAAGATGGCGGCGTCCATATGTATTGGCCAATATCGCTGTGCTTGTAATCGACCTTTATGGTGCCTGGACCTTGGGCCGACCCTATCGCATCCGGGCACTCAACTAGGTCGATTTGGAACCCGATGAAGTATTTAATTTCGGGCGGGTTATCCCAAGGGATTGGTATCATAGTTAGAAGGTTCAAGAAGGGTTTGCCTCCTTTTCGGTAGTTGATGAGGCTTTGCTGGACTTCTTTTCCTTCTGCAATCTTCTGCTTGAGATTGAAAACCGCCCCATTGTCGACGAATTCTCGTTTCGTGCCAGCCTCAACTTTTCCGTCTGGTGCTTGAAGAAAGCGACAATTCTGTCCCACAATATCGTGTCGGCTGTAGCCCGTCAAATTCTGGAAGTTGTCGGAGACATAGATGATAGGGCAATCGTTCATGGAAACATCGCAAACAACAAAAGCGCATGACATATCCACGGCTCCTAGATTCACTTGGGGATTCTTCCGGGTTGCCACTTGCCATAGAGCCCTGAGCATATCAAATCCACTTTTGGAATAGATCGTCTTGCTATCCTTTGGAGGTGGTGAAGGCCCAACAACGGAACCTGTATTCGATCGTGGTTGAGTCAGACTGGTGTTGTCCGACATAATCCCAGTGGTAGCTAAAGGCGATGGGTATGCGCACACCGCCCTCAGGTTGTTCTGCGGAGGCATTTGAGCTTGCGGCTGCGGAGATATGCTCGGTTGGTAGTTGGACATGGCCGTATCTAGATTGAGATTTGACTGGGGCGGATTGGACTGGTTTGCCGATACGAAGCGCTGAGTAGTACTTATCATATCTGTGTCGCCCACATCCATGGCGGTAGCTGTTCCGGAATCACTGGGAGCGGTGCTCATGGGCGTGCTACCCATTTGGCTGCCGTTATTGGCCATCTCCATGGCGAAATCGGCGGACATGGAGTCTGTTGAATTCTGGGAAAATCCGGTAGGCATGCCTGATTGAAACATGCTCATTGTTGAAGGGTCACTGCCCATCTGGCCCATGTTCATGTTGGAAAAGGCAATCATGCTGCCCATCATCTCGGGAGATAAGGCTGAGAAGTCGGCTGAAAGCATGCCCTGAGGAGAAAAGCTGGCGGAAGTTCCGGGTATCGTCAAATTGTTCATGCTGTTCATGTTGGGATACCCGCCGCCCATGCCATCCGTCGGGGAGTTGGTCATGACGCCTCCAAATTGATAGTCTCTGAAGGCATCCAGGCCATTCCCACCGCTCCCGAAGTCCATCATGGACAACCGGCGGTCGTTTTCCATGTGTGACATTTGCCCGCCGTAGGCAGCCTGTTGAGGTAGACTCCGCCGCCTTTGGAGTTCCTGGTGGTTATTCCTGATGATGTCGTCCAGAGTTTCGGTACCAACCATGGAGGTATCCCGGTTCATGGACATCTGCTGTTGCTGTTGAGGCTGGTTCATCCCGGAGTTGGTGGATCGTCTCTGTGCCCGTTGTTGAGCATGGCGGCGCTGCAGCTCTTCCTGCGAGAGCTGTGTGCCGAAGAAGTTGTCCATCTCGGTAACATTGGTTTTGTGTAGAATTGATTGTTTCCGTGCGGTGCCGAGAGTTCCTCTTTCTTCAACCGATGTATGCTGATGACTCGACCGAGATAAGTTCAAGAATCGTCCACTCGACCAAGATGTGGTACGAAGTGTTACTCACGGCTTACTGGCGGGGCACAGCCTCGAGGATCGGGAGAAACAGGTATCGAGGAGTTCGGGTTCGGCGCAAGATGTCGGCGTGGGACTGCAAGGTACAGCGGGTCGTCGGGCAGCTCGTCGCATGGAGATCTCTCGCAGGGGTCGGCAAAGTCGCAAAGACCGCTCAGTTTGGAAAGGCAAGAAGCGTATCGTCTGGCTTGGCGGATGCGGCGAAAGCACCGGTGATGCTAGTATTATAGGTAGCGTTGTGGCGCAAAGGCAGCGAGCACTGGGGAATTTTTATCAGTGTGTCTCAGCCTTCTCTGAACACGCCAACGCGCGGTGGGACAGATTCGCAGAAGTCAGGTTCGTCGTATGAATCGGCCCAGGGGCGGCTGTCATAGCACGGAGAGTCGCATCCAACGTGGTGACTTGCCCCTCAGAATATAATGCCGACTGGGCAGCATTCGACTACCAGAGTGGACAATATGCTAGATGACAGGCACCAGCTGGGGTCGAGGACGACCTAGGCTGGGACAGACGCAACCGACAGGGCGATTGGATCTATTGTGCAAGTCAACGTGCAACCGGTCACCACGTCGTCGTTTGAAGTTGAAAAGATGATACCGGTTAGCAGGGAGTCGTTGACGATCATGACCAGACTGATTAGCGACCACCCGCAATCGCACGTTCCTCGAGTTAAACCTCGTTAATTACACATTTGGCTAGGAGCATTGGAGTTCTGCTGTTAGTGGCCTCAGTGGAGACTCTGCGTATTCTATAACAGGCGGGAGGCTCTATTTAGCATTGGTTTCAATTAGCCATAAAAAGCCTATGAGGAGCTCATCCCAGACCCAAAGGAAACAGCAGCGCAAGCAGGTACCTCCTGTCAGATTTGCCTTTACGTCATCGGCGCAGTCTACTCTGTTACAGTTGTCCTTGCTGTCGCAAAGGCTGGGAAGTTCGAGGAGAGAAGAAACTTGTCGCAATCCACAGAACCAGCATCGAGGATGCAAGGTTACACTCGCATCACTACACACAGTAGCCCGGCCCCCAAGTCGACCGTGGGGAAACGTGTCGCATGGAATTGTGGGAAATCGCATGTGTCGTTGTCCATTCGGATCGCGCTTTCTTGCCCTCCAACCAACGACAAGGACAGACTTCCGTCGCTTCCAGGCGTGCTGTCTCCCCGGTCAAAACCCGCTGCCAATTGCAATTGGGCAGCCCTGGGATTAGTTATCATGTTTCGCCAATTCTGCAGAGGCGCCTGTTGTGCATCTATCGTCATGTATTTCAATCTTTAGGCACGATTTATTGACTACTTCGTACTTCATCACGTAATTCATCCAAGTCCCGAGATTCCTTGGCTTTGATTAGGACCATGACTCCTGCACCTGTCTTGAATAAGGATCCGTACGATAGCGCTTGGCGTACTGTACTAATGGTGTCCTTTCGACCGAGCTTACAATTGGTCGTGGTGTTGACAGTACAGCAAAGTTGTGATACCGCTCCCCCCACGCTTCCAGACTTCCAAGAGCGGGATTCCGTCATCGCACTTCATGCCGCGAGGTTAAAGCCCGTTGTGTCGATACAAATTGGAACCCTCAACAGTGTATGTTCAATAGTCCATCGCATAGAGGGTCCACGTCGAACAGACAAAGAAAATGCCACGTACTATTCGGATTCGCATTTGGTGTCCAACATATGCCACAACGGGATCCGGCATGTCTAAAATGGTCTAGCTTGGGTTTACAACATGAGGGCTTCCGGGCATGTGGAAAAGCTCCCGCGAGAGTTTGATATTCATCTGAGCCCTTTATGGGTGGCGCCTAACCAAGGCATTTCAGGTATAACTGAGTCGTCACCCGACTTATTGATTGGCAAGAAGTCCTGACGGATCTGACACGCAGTACTCCGTTTAAAGACCACTTTGGTGTTCCCACCCCTGGGCCAACGGGGCTTCTCATTTCTCTGCTCCGCATGGCCAGTATCAACGTTGAACCTCGAAATTAGTCTCCAGAGGATAAGCGAGAATCGATAACCCACGTTCATCTGGGATTTGTATGCAAATCATATTGATGACGTTACTATGCTATGATAGACTAAGTACCGAAATGCGCATGTGGAGGATTCAATTCCGATTGATCTGCAACAGGCAATGCAAGAGTCTTTCGTCCATATTATTTATATACTGAACATACTTAATTTAAGTGTCCGAAGACTTAGATATATTCTTTCGAGCCCTCTTTTTAGGAGGGACCCTTCCTTCGAGAAAAGTATCAATTTCTAACTGCTTATCCGGTAAAATAGGCCGTATTCGCTTATTTCGCTCGTCCTGGGCTGTTCGGATCGCTGATAAGTTAACGAATACTTTATTCGGGTCTGGCTCGACGGGCTGGCGTATATCTGGAGCGTATTTATCGAGTTCTTTATATAGTTGCTCGTTTTCGATACGTAATTTGGCATTCTCGGCGGCCTGGAGTGTAAGGGCCTTGCCCGCCTTGCCTACTAGGGTACGAATCTTACGAGATACCCCGCCCTCGGCTTTCTCTATCGACTGTAGTTGGCTAGATAGTTGCTGCGCTTTCTGAGGAGTAAAAGCAACTAAAGGTGGTGATATATGAGGTGGAGGATCTGGTGTATGAGGCTCCGGAGGATCACAAGATACGTCGACTAGTCCTTCGGAGCCTAGGGGCCATATACCAGTCTTCCGCCAGCCAGAAAGTCTCGGATCTTGGTCGAATCGGACGCTCTAACTCGGCTAGCATCTACGACGCGCCCAATTTTGGTACGTATCTGTGGATGGCAGCTAACGAAGTGATCCACCCAGTGTTGGCCGAGTGTATTGTCATCCCCTTGAGCAAGGAGGATTTCGGCAGCGAAGTCGGCCACATAACGCTTGCTAGGAGCCCGTCCACACACTTCTTCGTGTAGGATCCAGTTCACGATAACCTCCTCTTGCTCTGGAGTCAACTTTCGTTGCCTAGAGGCGGCGTCGCGATGCGAATTACCGTGACGAATACGGTAGGACAGTGTAGTCCCCTTGATACCGTACCGATGAGCTGCTACAGCCTGGGAAGAGCCCTGACGGACAAGCTCCTTAGCGCGTTCGATTCGCTGCTCAAAATAGTCCAGACTATTCTCCACTGGATTAGCCATTTTGTACGTAGATAGGGAGCAATTGCGAGGTAAATTGAGAGATGTCGTGTTGTTGAGGCGTAGAAATTCCCTGCAAAATGGGGGTGCATGCAAAAAGGTGGTCAATGCGGTTAGAACACCACATGGCCCCGAGTGTCCAATATCCAGCGACTGGATTGATGAAACTAACACAGAATCACCCGGAGCACCTATACCTGCTGCACTAAGGGCCAAACCCCACGTGATTCGGAGCATAGCATTTATTTTGATCATTTGCACTCGAGCTCCAAGTTAATCCTTCAGCAACCGTCGATGCCGCGAAAGGTTCACTACAATTCAAATTCAGGTTGTGAGCAGGGCTGACTGACAGCTGGACAGTCGGTTGAATACAAGGAAGGGGAGGATCTAGACGAGGAATCTAACTCACGAGAAAACATTTCATAGTATCTATTACTATGAAAGAAAACTCAAAAACATACTCTAAAAAGAGAGTTGAATCCTTGGCCTTTAATTACTTACATTTGTAGGCTATTGTCTACCTCACACGGTGCGGTGTGCTTGTCTGTAAACCGGCTTCAACATGAGCAGCTTAGTATTTTAAGGCGGACTGAATTACCACAACCTCGCAAGTGTAACTCTAATGCAAAGGAAAAAGTATGATTCCGTGGGTAACCGTAGCTTCAAGGCATAGGGTCTGTATTGGGTGCGTATGAAGGTGCATGCCCTTTCACCAGATTGTCTGGGAAAATCTATGCCTAACAGACAGCCTGACAGACGACCTTTACACCCGAGACAATGTTTAGCTCCATATTCATCTAGAATATTAGTTGGAAGAATTTGCAGAAGGGCTGTTTTTCGTGCTCCACACCCCATTGCCTGGGTATCTTCAACAAACTCTTACGTATCGTAAATATCTATCCAGCACAAGGAACACAGGAAGACATAATAAACACGTGCCACTATTAACTTTCCCGTGTGGACTTTGTGCATGTTCCTCACCTCTGTAAGTGGCGACAATTTAGTAGAAAATACACCAATATTGATCGCAAATTAGGTGCGGTGTCAATGTCAACGTCTAATGCGGTACGGAGCGTCGCCTGCAGATCATGTCCGTCCCACACAGCTATGTATCCACAACTGCCTGCCCCAGAACGATGGTCACGACATTTACAGTCACAAAGCGCCCTCGAAATCCTGGTAGGTGTTGGCAAAAAAAAAGTCTATATGGCGTGACGATAGAGCCACCGCTCAGCCTCCTGTGGGCTGTCTCATGCGTCTGTCTACCTACACAAGTACTGTGTTCCCATCACTTCGGCGTCAACCATGCTCAACCACTGCCCCCCCCCCCCAAAGTGATGATCGTCGAGCCACGTCCCAACACTGCGGTGCACCATTTTCCGTCTGCTGATCCTGTGTTTGTCTCCCGTACTTCGCCGGCTCCAACCACAGAATCCGAAAGAATGTGAAGGTATTTATATTGTGTCGTGTCGGGGGCAGGGTGTGGTCATCGTGGTGGGAGGTGTCAAAGGTATCATCAAAAAATCCTTCAGCCTCATTTCTTCTCGTAATTACTTTCGTCCTCTATAGTGCGTATCCTGTGAGATTTCTCTGGCACGAGGGTAGTCCAGATGAGCTATTAGCAAGCACTAGGCTGTTCCCATCAACCTAACATGACCATCGTTTCTTCAGATTGTCTACCCGGACTGGCGGAACAACCTTACGACAGATGCCATCCCTGTTCGTCCCAGTGCAGCCTCAATGCTTAGCTTTTTAAGTGCTTACTGTCAGGACATGATATGGTCGCGGAAGTAAACTTTTCCGACCCCAGTCTATGCAAAGTATCTCATGATAACCTGTTGAGACTCAGGTGGGAACTGTTGCAGGAGTGTCGGCGCATTGACGCCAGTTGTTTGTAATAACGCCTTTGTAGCCTGAACAACCTTCTGCGCCACCTCACCACTGCCAAGCATCTCAGTCTCGAGAGCTTGTGCGACAAAGATGAAGATCTTGTCTGCCTGACCCATGACGGCGGGAATTTGTCTGGAAGATGTTGTGTTAGTGTGAAGATGAATGCTTCGCTAATGGGTCAGAGACTCACTGATTGATCAAAGTTGCGAGATAACCATACGCAAATGGGGCTGCTTCCTCATCGTTGGTGACAGGTAACGTGTTGATCCATTGTGCAACAACGTTCTGCGGGTCTTGCACACTGGCATTGTTGTAATGGAGAATTTTGGCAATAGCGGCACACGCATTCTCGGTTGCGTAGACAGCATCTTCGCCACGTGCGTCAGGGATCTGAGTGACCTGAAACAAGTAGGGTATTGAACCGCCGAGGAATTGTGACCACGCAGTACCTCCGCGATGGGCTGCAACACCGATTCCATATGCAGCTGCTTGGCGGATCGCTGCAGATGGGTCCTTGCACCCGTCGATCAGGGGCTTCTGAATGTAGTTGGCATAGTGAATGCTCTCCGGCCCACAGTATTCGAGAACGTCGTCCATGATGCATAGGCCCCACTGGCGCTGAGTTGGGTCTTCCGAAATGAGGAAGCTCTCGTAGGTGGGCATGAGGCGTTCCCAAGGCCGCAGAAATGCGGCACCGTGGTTCTTGAAGATGGCGTGGAACGCCTTGTTCATGTCCGAGAGCAAAGTCTGATCGTCCTCGATGGCCATGAGGAGATCCTCTGCCTCGTCTTCAGCATCCTCCGCTGTGACGCCCTCCTTGTCCTCCTCACGCTGGGCAACACGGTCTTTGTAATCCTCAATAGCGGAGTGAACACCGTCAATGAACTTGTCCATATGCTGCGGTGTCAGACACTCCTTGCCAATAACCTCGGCGGATTCGTAGAAACATTGGTACATCTCAGCAAGCGCATCTATGGCTGGCTCGGCCGTGAGAACTTCAAGTAGCTTATCGACAGTACCCGCCCAGAGCTCGCGTAGTTGGTTGGATTGAGGGCCAAACGCCTTCTTGTATGAACTAAGCAGCTGAGGAACCAACTTCGCAGAGATAAAACGGACAGGGTCGTGGAAGAAAAACGCAAGACCCGGTAGTGCAATCTTCTCCATGGTATCACGGACGTAAGGGGCGAAGGAAGCCTCGAGGGTCTGGGCATATACGACAAGCAGTTCGATGGCCATGTGCTTGTCGTCCATCGTGCTGGTTCGAATGCCGATCATTTTGCCCTTCAGAGGAACAAGTTCCCAACCCTCTTCTTGTTGAATTTGCTCGACCTGCTCGTCATCGTCCAGGAGTTGAATGTCCGCTTTGGCACTGGCCAACTCGACCAAGGGAGGCATGACGTTCGGCAGGAATGGCAGGAAGTCGCTGCCCATCACTCTGCACATACGGCCCCAGCAGTGCATGAGATACTGGGCTTGGGGGTCATCCGTATCTGTGATGCTGCCCTGGATGGTGGCCAAAAGTTCTACCAGAGTCATAGCATCGTTACCGAGACGTTCCTTGCCGACAGCAAGAGCAATCAGTGTGGCGCATTCCATGGCCTTGGCGCGGAGCAGACGAAACTCTTTCTCGTTTTCTCGTCGCAGAACATTGACCAGAAGGGGCATCAAAGTGTCATAATACTTGGAGAAAGCGGCCTCGGCGGCGTCGGCAATGGTGGCAATAGTTGAGAGAGCCTGCTCCTGGACAAAGCGCTTGTCATTCTGGAGTAACTGGAAAAGATGAGCGAGCAGCTCATCCAGGTATGGCTCGAGGATGCTCTTCTCGGCTTCCTCGCAGAAGTTGACCAGAGCGGCTGCAGCGTGCGCCTTCACGCGGCCTTCCTCCGAATCGAGGACTGGGATGATGGCCTTGAGAATGACGTCGTAGTACTCCTTTTGCATGGTTGGGGCGAAATCGGTGCTCATTTGACCAAGCGCCTGGCAGCCCGCCCAGCGTACTCGTGGGTGAGGGTCTTTGAGGGCTGGTACGACAAGGTCAAGCACCTGTCTCAACTCTCTGACCATCAGTTCACGACACCCTTCCGAGATGGCCGAGATGGCCATCAAAGCGGCATGACGATCGCGCCAGGCCATGGATGTCATCATTCTGGGAAGCCAGTTGAACGTTGGCGCCAATATCGTCTCGCCTCCAAGTTTGTTGGCCAATCGGTCCATGCACTGCTCACCGGCGACGTGGTTCAGATCACTCTCCTCGGATTCAAACTACATGCCTTGTCAGTACGCTCTTGTCCGCGAAAGTTTGTGGCCACGACTCACATCTTCAGCAGATAGCCATTCAGCCGCGTCTTCGTCGTCTTCGCCCAAGTCCGTCATCAAGCTCAGACATTGGGTTATCATGTCGTTGGTATACGATTGGTCCTTCCGGCACATGGACGGGGCGTAGTCAGCAAAAGTTGCCATCAATTCAAGAGCGTTTTGTCGGCAGATGTCAGTGAGCTCCTTATCTTGGATAACACCAACGCTGAACATAACCAAGTTGTGGAAGAGCGGCTTGAACATCTTGGGGCACGTCTCGGCGAGGTCAATTAGTGCCAGCAGAGCCTTGCTTAGATCGTCTGAGTCGTGTGAATCTTTGATGGGCGGGAGGATATTGAGCACATCGGGGAGCAGTCCGAAGTACTTGGGCTGTTGTTTCTTGCCCAACCCACGGAAGAACGCAGCGAAAGCCTCCATCGCAGCTAGTCGTACCTAGAAGTGTCCCGTGGTTAGTTCACGGTTTGAGTGGTGTTGCGTTGCGGACCAACATACCCCAACGGCGTCATCCTTGAATCCGCGTTGGAAGGCCTCAAGAACGGCACCCTCATGCTGCTTCTCGATGATGCCGGGGGTAGTCGCAAAAACGCGGTAGGCGGTTTCGCGCTTGCCGGCGTCAGGCGCCATACTTAAGTTGAACAAAACGCCCAACAGTTCTGGCCAAGTATCATCTGCGAATCTGTCAGATAGTGTTGCGATCGTATCTGGGATACCGTCTCTCGACGGTTATTTTGGGTTGAACCGACTGTTTTCTGAGTATTGTCTCCCTACATCGGCGACCGCATCGCTGATCTTATTCCTGACGGGCTGGCTTGACTCATTTGCCAAAGCCTCTAACAGTTTTTGTCGGATAGCGGAGGCTTGATCTGGGCTCAAAGAGATGAATATCTCGACTGTGTCGTTCTTGTCGTTCTTGCATGTCTTGGAGGCTATCCGCCTGAAAATAACGGCGGCGAATGAACGTATCTGTACAGAGGACATTAGTCTACGCGATGCAACAGGCACGAAGATGACTGCTTAAGAGATCGTAAAAAATGCAGTTCGCATACAGAAGCTTCTTCCGAGCCATTCATCTGCTCAGCCAGGCCCATCAACAGCACCTCAGGCTGTGTTGCGGTCCAGCTGGTCTGCAGATGGTCCTCGGCCTGGGATCGAACGCTGTTGTCGGGCGACTGTAGAGCTTGCAGCAGCTGCGTCAGCTTCGCGTGGACTTCGGCGGGTAGGACCGACATGTTGGCAAATATCAGTCGTGCGATGAAGAATTTAGGAGGAAATTCAGGCGTTGACCGCGATGGCGTCGGCCTGCCAGAATAATTTCGTCTGGCGCGTTCAGAAAAAAAGGTTGCTGGAATTGCGGGGTGGTTTTTTGAGTTTGGTTACGAAAAGCACACAGAGCCTCTCAAGTCAAGCGCTTGCAGAATCCCAATGCTCCTGGGAAAGGAGAAGTTTGACAATCACCACAACACAAAGGCTATAGGAGGAGCTGCAGGATGAAGCGCTTGTTGTGTTGTGATTGTGTGTCCATGGGAGTGAAAGAACTGATGTATTTGATCGGGCGGTATTACTGATTGGCTGAGTGCTAATTCTTCGCTACAAGGTTTCAAGTGCTTATATGAATATGGAGGGGTCGAAACATGCAAATCATCTGCTTAAGTACTTGCTTAAGTAAATACCTAATTGGGCCATCGGTTGGCGATATGTAAATGATGTCGGGTAGCTGCTGCCTCTTCCCATGACTCTTGAAAACAGTCTACAGTTCCCCCAATCCATGGATAAAAGCATCGCCCATCTTCCTGGTAACGACTCAATTTTTGTAAAGTTTAAGCGTTTCGCTCGCTGTTCTGTCTCTTAATACACTTCCTTCATCTGTCGGATCATCGCTAACTTGCCCTAACTTGCATAGATTACAGTCGTCTCAGTCGTTGATGCCTAACGCCGATATAAACAATTGGCATGAGTAAGAATAATATGACATAAGTCTAAAATGCACCCTTGGATTCAAATATGCATAGTTGCGGCTCCAAGTAGCCAACCACGAAAGCGTGCAGTTTAAGTTGGACTTGCATGTATGTAGACAAGCATCTGCAAGTTGAGTAGATCGTCGTCAGGGTGCAGTGCAATGTCTTCGACGATCCCAGCGGTTATCTTCTTACTTCTACTCTATTTCAATGCTACTATTTTGCAGAGATTTATTATATAGCCATCAAAGATTTCTAACATTGACTATACAGAGGCAGACAATGCATTACTCTAGGAATCAGACGCCCACTTTAGCTGTGGCTGTGCAAGACCCCGGTGATGACGGCACGATCAAGCGACGTCAATGCGGCGATTGTAAGGGTGGGTTGTGAGGGGAAATACAGCTAGAGAGGGCCACACCTCGTCACCACCAGAGCACCTGTTTGCGACTCATCTGCGACTCCATATCGGGCACTTTTCGTATCTCCTGATGCAACATAGTCTCATTAATTGCAAGCTCGGCTCAGTTCCTAAATTCACTCACGTAGTAATATTATGCTCGTCTTGTCGATTTGATCCCCAACCACCATACATCACTAGGCGAGAACAGCTTCCGAAGCTCAAAACCGCCGCTTGGACTGCGCCTGGAGAAGACACAGACGATCGCAAGTGAGCGCAATCGAGCCGGCGAGCAAGCGGCTTGTTCAAACCCGGAGTAGGACCAATTTTGACTTTTATAACGCATATGGGAAGCGCCTTTGTTGGATAATAGTATCCATCTGGGAAATCCAATCAATAATCGAAAGCTAGTTCAAGCACAAGTCGAAACTCCAGAAGCTCCACGTTGTGGAAGCCTGCACGCCACGATCCAACTTCCTCGCACAACACTTTGAAATTACCTCTCTTCTTCACGTCAGCTTCACCAATCTTTCTGCCTTTCGTTCGATCAACCACAGTCCGTGATTATATCCTGGCGCGCGCCAACGACTCCATAGTCGTGACGTCCCGTCATCACTAGCCATGGATTCTTCAAACGCGCCCCCCACAATCGATTCAGTCAAAGAAACGAGTATATCCCCGCCCACGCCCGCTCACCCAACCCCTCACCGATCAAGCTCCTCCTCGAGCATCCACAAGATTGGCAGTCATGGCCACATCTCAACCCATCGCCAGAGCTTTGCCGAAAATCTGCGAGGCGTACCACCTTCTCCACGGGCACGCCACCCCTCCTTGACCCAAGCTGCGATTCAGGATCTGCTGAACCATCCGCCATCGTCGAGATCTCAGAACCCTCGCTTCGCTGGCCGGGACTGGCGCGATGTTTCTATGGGCGAGCTCGTGTCCAAGGACGATGTAAAATGGGTGGACAGGGATACCAGCGTGGAGGAGGCTACTATGGTTCGTGGCTATCCTTGCAGCTGTTCGCCCTAGGACTTGATGCTAACGAAGAGCGCAGGTGCTACTCAAAAATACCCTCAGTAATGTGGTTCTCATTCGTGAGAATGCGACGTCAACCACCGCCATTTCCACATTCGACCATAACGATTTGAATGCGTATTTATTGGTTGTGGTTGGCCTAGCTCATCCGAGCGACGAGCTGGTCGCACTGTACGACGAGCTGTCGAATAAGGCACAGACCGGGGAGAAGATACCAGTTCGAGATATACAACCACTCTGTCGAAAGGAGTCACTAGTGTGTTTACCCATAAGCGAGGAGTTGCCCAAGGCAATCGAGGTTTTTGGCAGTGGGATTCATCGCGTGCTTATTACCAACTCCGCTGGGGAGGTTATTGGCATTCTAAGCCAACTGAAACTCGTTGAATTCTTCTGGAACGAGGGTATCAACTTTCGTGTCATCGACGAACTCTACCCCCGGCTTCTGCGCGATCTGGGTGTAGGATCTCGCCAAATTGTTGCTGTCAGGTAAGTACTATCGATTATGGTCACTTCATCATTGCCAAGCTGACTCCACCACAGCGCGGATAGCCCGCTCGCCGACGCTTTGAGCCTGATGAGCAATGAGGGTCTCACCAGCGTGGCCGTACTCGACAACAACTCCAACGTAGTTGGCAACATCTCGACGGTAGATGTCAGACTTCTCACAAATGCAACGAGCTTGCCACTGCTGCAGAACACGTGTATGCACTTCGTGTCGGTCATCTTGAACGAACGCGGCATAGACAAGGGCAAGGATTCCTTCCCCGTATTCTACGTGAACCCGTACTCGACTCTCGCCCACACCGTTGCCAAACTGGTCGCTACCAAGTCACACCGGATGTGGGTCGTTGAGTCGGCCTCTCCCTCTCCCTCTGCGCCGGCCACCCCTCTCTTAGGACCGCAAGTGTTTATTGGCAACTCAACTTCGAGTTCACAATCGTCACTCACTACGCAAACTCACTTTCCTTCAGTTCCGGCATCATCATTTTCAGGAGCACAACTTTCGGGTCGGTTGACCGGTGTGGTGACATTGACGGACATTCTCAACCTGTTTGCGAAGACTTCGGGCCTCCACCCTACGGATCCCAGTGAACAGCGCGCCCGCAGACGAAGAAGCTCTAGTAGTTCCATTCGCCCGTCTTTGGACGCTTCTCGCTCTAGTTTCGACCTGCGCCGATCATGAAGTTGGAGTTATGGTAATGGCACGTATAAGTTAAAGAAGACGAGTTCGGTGTCAAATTCGAGGTTCGCTGCCTGCAGACTCAACAAATAAAACAGTGGAGACTTTTTACCAGGACGCAGGTGGGCCACCCCAAGGCAAGAGGAAACTTGGGACTTTGACGACCTCCTCACGATGGATGTGAGGCAATGATGATATGAGAAAGACTTCGGCGTACTTTTTTTGGTGGGAATGGCGTAGAATAGTAATACGATTTCCATGAACATTTACGATGGCCAAACTTAGAGCCTTCGATAATTGTTCGTCTTGTTAAGTAATCATAGAGATTACGAGGGTAGGCCAAAGGTGTAGCATATCAAAGACCTAGATTCCCCTGTCTACTGCTGGAAATACTCAATGCCGGACATAACGTCAGGTTTTTCAGCAACGGCAACTTCATTTCCTGCCATGTCTCAGCATCTCTTGTTTCGCCCCGTCTTTGAAAATTGCGACATCTTCGAGACTTCAGGACAGGGCATGTGGCATGGGGCCAGGGATTGACGGAATAAACAGCGTGCCAAGGGTGGAATATTATGGGATGCCCCGATGTACCAGTGTAGTAGACCGACATAACCTGTTTGTTTCGCTCACTGTGAGCTGTTTGTTTTGTCAATCGCCTGTGGGGGGGAAGGGAGATAAAGATTATTCTTTTCGGATTTTATCCTATTCGCCTACAGTTCTGTTTCCTCCTGTCTTGTCTCCTGGGCGGAATTATAGATAAAACAGATAAAGGCGAATGTGGCAAAAGGAGCACACCACTCCGGGTGCGATCAACTACTTTTCTCGGGGATAATGGATGGATCCATTTCAAGATGTGTTTCATGGCAGGACGTCGTAATGCAAGTGAGGATTTCCCTACATTCTGGACGAGATAAATGCACTTCCCATTGGAATCAAGTGTCCACAAAGGCTTGAAGTTTACCAAAGCATGCCCATCACGATGAAAAGATAGGTTCTGCCAGTTCCTTCCATGGAAGCCCCCTTTGTCACTCCGAGATGACAACGTGTCATTTTTCTTCGTCTGCATTGTGGCAGATACTTCTCATGGATTCCAAGGCAAGTCAAAAGTTGGAATACGGTATAGTAGCTCTTGATCCCAGGAGGTATGGGCTCATCACAGTCAAACGCGTCTTGCCTTGTCCATGACACGTCCGCCATCGCACATGATAGCATCCCATAGCTCAACACAATGGTAATGATACATCAAGAAATACATAACAGAAGAACACTTCTTTCCTAGGGCCCGGCTTCAAGTCAAGCACCATATAAAAATAATTGTGTAATGTCAGGGGACATGAAGGGTTTCGCAAATTGCACGATCCAAGGGCAAAGACAAATCGCGACTAGGATCGCTACTAGAACTCTCTAGTCGCCCTCTCAGAGCAATAAACAAAAAAAAGCGCATAGGAAGAAAAGGAGATCAACAACTGAAGACGGCGAGAGCACGCACCTTCAAGCCGACACCAAGGCGGTCGGGCTGATTTCCCAAGGCGAGGCGGTGATATACATTGACAGGCAGGACTGGTGCTGCCTCAGGAATGAGGAGTAGTTATATCTGGACAACGGGTATACGTACTGAAGATCACATGACTCGTGCGCTTGCTATGGGTGAGTAGTATTGGAAATAGGAGGGGAGTATACAATTCAGCAGTTAGTACGTGCACCGTGGCAGGTAGTGTGTAGTTGGGGATGCAATACGGAGGCTAAAGAGTGTCAAACCGACAGATAATAGAAGGGACCCAGGCAGGTGGATTCACATGTGTTTGCAAGACTCGAAGTCCTAAGAATAAATTCATCTTCGATCAGTGTCGCCAAAAGAGAGGCAAAAATGGACAAGAGAAAGCCCTGGGAGCTCATGAAAGATCCAGAGGGCATATTGCTTCACTGAAAGTCCAAATGCGGCTCAATATCTCCAAAAGAGCTGGTATGGGGATTCATGCCGCTGTTTCTGAGCCGGCCCCCGTCGTAGGCTCATCTTAGCATGATACGTCTCAAATGGGAAACGATGACATCGTCCAAGCAAACAGCCATGAAAGCATGATTCGGTTTTTCTCAAAGTATGGCCTTGGCCAGTTGAAAATATCTTCTCGAGTAGGAAGTGGCATCTAGGTGCCAACAGTAGTGTAGAAGAAAATGCTGATGCCAGGTACAGAACGGAAGTCTTCTCGCCATCTTACCACTTTGTTGCCATTTCCTCAAGGGTAGATCATGGAGGGATATCCTGGCCACCTGCTAGCTGTAGTGTAGATGATCATCATCATGGTCCTGGAGGTAGCGCGAAAGGGAAGCCAACAAGAGCAACAGTGCCCGATTGTACAAGGGGGTGGATAATATATCTGGGGTACCAGATGATACACATGCAGAATTATAGCCGTGTATCGAAGTTACAGAGGTAGATACGTCGAATACCAAAAAGGATAACATCATCAGACTGTAGCAATCGACGAAAAGGGGTTTAACAGCTTCAGCGTCTTACCATCAGCCCATCACTGCAATCAAACGTTCCTTCCTAATGATCATACCCTATCAGGACCCCAGAAGCGCCAGAAAGCCCAAATCCAAGCCCCGTTCATTTTTGAGTCCAGTAATAAGGTCCAGTACTAGATGAAAAGCATTCAAGTTGCGCCTTAAGGGCGAGGGAAAGGTTTCAAAATTTATACGAAGCTGTTGCCGGAAGCGCTCGAAGATATTGCTAAAGTATAATCCAAAAACCCATCCCGAGAATCATCGCGGCCATTGCGAGTTCCGAATGAAGAAAGGAAAGGGAAGAGAGAAAGGGTGGGGGCTGCTACAGTAAACGGTAAGTCGGTCAGGCTGGTGGTCAAGAAGGTATCAGAGCTCATGTAGTTGCCACGGTGAGTTTCTGGGGTAGGCCTGGGTAGTCCGTGGGCCAGGATTATTCTTCTTGATTTTCTATCGGTATGATCTGATGTTTTTACTGGGAAAGGAGGCACCACTTGGTCACTTGACGTTGTACTTGATTGCAGCGACTATTTTGTAGGTTTCTATGAAACAGGATGGACTGTTTTTAACTACCTTAAGTGCCTTTGAAGCCAGTAATAAACTATACGTGTCTCTCGAGCAAGCTTAGTAGCATCGGATAGCCTTCTAGCTTGTCATCCCCAACATGCAACAGCTCATTTGATCTAAGTTCCATCACCTGCTTCGAATATGGTAGCTTCGAAGGAATTATCGCTCATCGGCGTTCTGACATATCCTAACTGTGTGTAGCGAAACCATGAATATTGAAACCTTGCGCTAATGTTGCTAATCATGCAGTAATTATTCCTTCTAATTGAAGCGCTCCATGGTTCTCTCTCGAAGATATTCTCTCCTCGAACCTCAACGGTGAGATGAACCCAGGGCTTGTGGTTCTGGGACTGGTCCTCCACTTTTCTCCCATTGCAGAACTCTAGCATAGAATCCTCCGAGCTTCTCCATGTGCTCGAAACACCGGGTACGCGTCTGATGGTGTATGGGCGATCCAGCAATTTTCGTAACTACTTCCTTCTTCCACACATGGTGATCTGACTGCGCCCAACGCTCCTTCCGGTCTCTATTTTCCAACAACACCAGCGCCCTTCTGAAATTCCTCGTTTCTGAAGACATTGGCCTTCCACAACCATTGTCCCGATGTGGCTTCTTGCCTCTTGGTTCTCGGCCTGCTTTGTGCCCCAGAGAGATATTTGTCGTCTGCTCCTCTGCTGCCAGTGCCCTATCCAGCTGTTTCAAGCATAAACTCTTCTCGTGATCGAGCAAATGATCTGCAGCCCATGCGGGCCACGTGTTTACCCCCGACTTGGCCCAACCCTTACGCATAGCATCCCAACGGCATTTAGCTCGAGCCTGAAGAAGCTGTCTAAGTGTGCAAGAAGTGGCTTTTTCGTCCGAGTGGACCCAACGAGTAGCTCTCCAAAGTGCCGTCACTTTCTTGATGAACTGCTGATTCATCTCCGGGGTTGTCCACATCGCCTTGCAGGTCAGCGCGCAGGTCAGCAAGGAAGTGATATTGGTCTTGATCACGAGTTCAAGACTGCAGTCAAGATTATTCGAGGCGCTTTCAACGAACGGGTCCACGACGCCACGTTCCATCAATGATTTTACCCAGTATGCCGCGTCTACATTTTGTAAACCCGGCACTGCGAAGTCGAATCCATCCTGTAATGTTTCGCTGGTATGGAGGCCCATTGTGATGGTAGCTTATGACACGCACATACCCTCGGAATCCTTAAAAATGTTGATTAATGTAGGAGTTGGGAATTTTTCTGGATAATCGACCTCTGGGAAGATTATAAGTTAGTCAACGCGGATCGTCTCCAAATAGGGGTAGGCAGCCCCTGGATACCATGGTTGCGAGGTCTGAAGGTACTCACCTATCATTGGATATCGTTAAAGAGACGCTGAAAACAATTGAATTTGTGCTTAAGGATTTTGAATCCCAAAAATGATTGAATAATATGCTGATGATGCGGAGCTTGACTTCCCTGAAGTATACCAGTCGGAACCACAGCAGCGATGAAGCTTGTTGCACAACCCCCCTGCAAAAAGTAGCTATAAGAAGAGCATGTTTCTCTTGATATATTGAAGGTTAGAGTCTGTCATGAGACAGAAGTTGGATGTATTGGATATGGGCAAACTTAAAGGAACCTTTTCACAGATTCGAAGTACGAGGTGCCAGTAATGGGGTGCCAGAGTGCACCTTCCTAACTGACTGTGACGACCAAGGTGTGCCTACCTTCACCTTATTTGGAACCCTCCTCAGGAGGATCGACTGATTGAAGTCCCAAGTCTCCGCCTTGAGCTAAAATTTATTTTACCGAGAATGGGTTGGGTGGCGCGGCCATATCGTGATTTTAACACTCAGAACCCAGATTGCATATTTTGTTCGAAGCAGCCATCTCGAGAGTCGCCACACGTGGATGACAGTGCTTTTTTACACAACTCCAGGGTTTATTTCCAACTATGGTACATCACGAATTGAAGGATACTGAAAACGGGTGCTTGTTTAACCCTTAGACACTGTTCACCGAAGTTGGTCCAGCAGCCGTGAGACTGCTAGTAGCCGTAGGTACCAGCGGCTTTCCAGCTGGATTCCCTCTCGGGTAGCAGGCAAAAGACTTGACATACGGTCGAAGTCCGTAGCTTCCAAGATTCCAACCGATGGGGTTCGACATCGTCAACATGATGGATCCACTACAATCTGGAGTGTCTTCACACTTCTCTCCACTGGTATCTTCGCTAACGGCACTACAAGGCGCCCTGGTTTAAGTGACACAACAGTTAGAGTCTTCAAGTTGCGTGGCTGACCTAATAGTTATGTGCGGACTTACATTTGAGCGTAGCATACAGCATCCGCCGTCGCCGGTGTCAATGTCCCATTTCCCTCGGTCCATTCCGATGGCAGGTCGTAGCATGTTGCGTAGTCGTAAAGCCATGTGGACTTTTGTCCGATGCATGTAGAAGGGTGCACGACGCCTCCGTACTCGAGAGAACAGACAGTAGCCTATTGATATTGTGTTCATCAGCACCATGCACCGGAGTTGATTGGGAACTTGATATTGGAGAGAGCTTACGTTGGCTTGGGAACAGGAGGAAGATACGCTCACGCAACTTGTAACCAAGGCGGCGGCAACCAAAACGATGAACTTCATATTTCACAGAGGGAACTTGATCAGAGAGTAGTCGCTCGAGGAACTGACAATTCTGGTTTTGGTCCTGATGTGATATACTTGAGGTGGCTGCGCTAGATCTTTATCTACTTAATTACTTATTGGTGTTGGTACCAAGCGTCTGGCTCAATGTTGGTTGGCATGCAAGGCACAGGGATGGTTTGCCGTTGTTGGTTCCTGGGAAATTTGAAAATGGTGATCTTCTGTACCTTGCATAGCGAATTGCCAACCTCTTGGCGGCGAATCACCAACTACCAACAAGCTGAAGGATTGTTCCACTGAAAGATCCGGTCCTGTATTTTTCTGCTAGGGAGTCCAAGCTACTATTGGTGCAGAGATGAAAGGGAGGTGGCGCAACCAAACGAAACCAACGCCATACAGGGATGTATAGTCTCTGAGAAGTTACCAGATCGTCACACACCTGCGATATGTCGAAGCTGAGTGTAAGTCCTCGTTATGATTAGTATAGGACCACCATCTCTAGAGTACCTTGGAGTTCAGTGAATAGAACAACTGGAGCTTGGGTTGGGTTGGCATTGGCATGCTCATTGAAACTCGTGGCAATAGTGTCGAAGGTGATCCGGTTTTCTAATAAACTTACAAGGTATAATACTTGTGCTCATCTCAGGAATTGCAGAGGTCCCGTGAAACTGTACTCATAGTCTACAGCATGGATTTCCGATACGTATAATTGCCATAGGAGTACAAGCACATACAAGTTGGCCTTTCAATCTGCTCCACGGCATAGAATTGATTGTTGCCATCTTAATTCCGACCAAACATCTTGTATCTAAAAGAAGTATGCCTAGAAATAATCCAGAGGATATAGGGGCCTAATTTTTTGGTTGCATTTTAACGGTTGAAAGTGAGGACATATTTCCGACACCTAGCTTGTCTCTGGGTAAGGGTTCCAGAATGACGGGATTGTGGGGTGGTCGAAATTTTAGTTCACGACTCAACTCCGCTCGACAATGATCCATCTTCTGGTTTATCAGAGGATGCTTCATTCATAAAGTGTGCCCTCAAGAATAGAATCCTTGCACATTGTAACGGAACAGCATATCTGAGACGGCACATTTGCACCAATCTTTGTTCTCATCCAACAAGTGAACGACTTGCATCATCAACTCGGCGAAAGTGTCAGGCGCTCAAACTACAGCACAACCCTAATATCTTAAATCCCCGGCCGTAAGGATGCCTGGAAAGGAAACCGCGTCTGCAGACTTCACGTCCTTTTACCTGCAGCAGGCGACTAAGGAGTTTGCCGAGGACCTCGACAAGGTTCGAAACGCAGACGACTTCAAGGGTGACGCACTGCCGATGCTTATCAAGGGCCTGCAGCAGGGCACTGCGCTTTTCTCCAAAGCCGACCAGCAGAGGATCTTGGACGCCCAAAAAGCGGCAGCGTCAAAGGCAGGGGCATTGGAAGAAACCAGCAGTAGCGGCAGCAGCAGTGATGAGAAGTGAAATGGTAACCACAACTGTTACTAGCACGAGGAGATGCGATTCGAGTTGACGAACGAATGGCAAGGGGCAGACTATTGGAGGACTTTATGGATGGCATTATGCACCAGGAAAGCTTGGATTGCTGATGATTCTTCGTTATCTGTCAAGAATCGGACGCAACGCAGGAATGTCAACAATTTCATGAAGATCAAGGCGAAAGAATCCCTAGTCACAGGCCGGTCGGGATTTTGTCAGATCTAGCCCGCAACTTCGAAAAGTATAGCATCAGCCGTGGCTCGATACACCTACACCTACGTGCCGCCTATACACGTGGTGGATGAGGAGGGGAAGGAATAATGATGGCGGTTTCGAAGCGGTCTCAAGTCGAGTTCTTTGACAGCTCGTATCACCGATGGCTGGGCTGAGCAATGAACGGCGTTGCTGGGAAGATAGGTGGAAGCCGAAGACAAGACACAACTACACTATTCAGAAGCCTCCCAAATCGATGATGGAGCATCAACTTGCAACTGCCGTATTTGACCGATGAAGCCACATATGGCACATGCTGTTCCCTCGATTATCCTAGCATCACCAGCTTTCCTTTCCAGTAGACGAAAATCCTCTGGAAGTAGACGTAGGCAGTGATGTCTCTTGGCATACACCGCAAGCCAGGGGTCCTTCAATATGTTATCTCATGAAATATCCACACGCGATGTGAGAATACAAAAGTCAAATACCCCCTATGTCGCGGGCACCTTTGGGGCAGGCAAATGACCAGTAAACCTTCGCACTTTTACATCTCGACCATGGTACTGAATTCCAGAGGAATCGATAAAAAGTGAGCCTAGAGTTATTTCTTGTGTACAGTGGGGCAGGCTCACGGCATCCCGCCCGCATGGCAGTGAGCATGAATCTCAAATCTTCTGAGATACGATGATGGAAACCAATTTTACGAAGTACGCCGGTAGCCTCCAGCGCAGCCCAATGGAGCCTGTCGAATTCCTATCCCTCAGTATGTGTTGCGTGCCCCACGGTTCTGTGCTGGGTGGGTGTACTAGCTGCAAACTTTTGTGGGTTAGTCACGTCATCATTATCACCACCACCTAGACATCCTGTATTGCCCGCAGTATACAATACCTACGCTTCAATATCAAGTTTTTACCAAATACGTCTTGACTTATCCTATGTCACCGTCAAATTCTCATATAGACGCCACCATTCATTAGTCAAGGCCGAGAGGGAAAGGAATTTTGGTAGCGGATTGTTGCTAGGAGCATCGTGACTCCTTGCTTCTCTAACTTGAAATATCTAATACATCTCCATCCCAACAACGCCGCTGTCAGTGTAGGTTATTCAGATCGTGAAATACGCAGGGTTTTCGCCTTGAAAATTCCCTTGGATTCCTCTAGCCCGAGCGAGTTGCTTACAACAAGACTCTCCGACAAAAAAAACCGGGAGACATAAGTGAAAACAGGTTCTGTCTGGATTGCTCGATGCTTCACACCCACCGTTTACTTTTGCTCCTTGAATTTCCCGGTTTGTTTAAGGCTGTGAGTAAATATGAGATTAGATCTAAGCAGTTCCCTGATAAACTATTGAATGTATATGGTACATCTACTAGACACCAAGCCAAGCCCCAATGCAATCGATTGTGCCAGCTCGTTGTACTTTACAAACCATTTTCTCCACACTAAGAGCGGACACCTTCGGCTAGCATGTAATCAGGAGCGGATGTTCGCCTGGAATACCTCGGACTTTCGTACTTGTCAGCCTTCTTGACCGGCCACCAAGCCCGCATTTGCATCGGCCTCCTTACACATATTCCTTACTGACTGTCTGGCTCTGGTGCGATAGCCATGCTGCTAGATGCCTCTGGGTGTGATCTCCTGCTGTGTTACGAATCGGACGGACAGAAGTAGACTATCCGGAAACTACAACCGAGGTACTGTGTAATCGGGCCAGTGGCAACGTAGCGAAAGCCTGAGATTCATTCATTCATTCATACTCGTCATATTCAATCCAAAAAGAACGCCACGTAAATATGTCTCACGAACCAGCTTCCTCTCTTTGCGCGAGAAACGAGCATAACCGTGAAAGCACGAAATGATGCTGTCAACCCCTGTAACCCAGACCATTCACCTAGAATAGCACCGGCAAGGCCATGCATTGACTTCCCACCGCGGTTCCTGGGGGTAGCGCGAAGGACCGTAATGTCTCATGCTCTTCCGCCCTTCTACACCTCCACGAACAGGCCCCAATCTTTGACCTTAAAGGTCTCCCAGATCTTGGCCGCATAATCTACCGCGTCCCCAATCAATTTACCCTGTCTTCCCAACTCCAAATCGACTTCCTCCTCGTTGTACTCGCCCTTGATATGCGGTACGTTGATGGTGATGAGCATATCAGTGCTTTCGCGCTCGAGCCGCACCAGCGTCATGATGATGGCCGTGAAGTCGGGCACCGTCCGCTCTTTTTCCGCACTCGGTTTCGGCGCTTGCGTTGCGATGAGTGTGTATGCGGGTATTTCCTCACTGTTTCCATGGGATCGTATTAGCCAACATATAGTCCAGCACATCGACATAGCGAGGCGCAACGTACTCTAAGCGTGAGAACTGCGTCGGCGTCGTGTTCCAGACCTTGACGCGGTCGGCATCGTCTCCCACCATCTCCTCCAGGTGTGTCGTCATGGCGCGACCATCGAGCTCGGGGCTGCTGCCCTTGCCGCCGACGCGCTCGGTAATGTCGAAGATGATGCTTGTGAAGCCATCCTTGTCGATCCAAACTTCTTGGTTATCGGGTACTTGGCGCAAGGTGCTGAAGACCGCGAATAAAAAAAGTCAGCATTTCTGCGACTGGAGAAAGAATGGGATGGATGGGTAGGCAAATAAAGTTAGGTAGTTTACCTGACGTCTGCGAAGTTGGCTGGAAGATCGCAGATGAGAGCCCCGCCAAATAGAGGGGTGCTTTTGTACGAGGTCATTCTGCGGAAAAGTTTGGGGTATCTCGAGACAAAATTTCGGGTCAAAGACGTGTAGCAGGCAATAAAGTAATTGAAGTCAAATTATTTCCAAATGCTGGAGAGGTTTTGGGTAGGTTGGTGTCGCAAGTGTTAGTCCTGGTGCCTTGTTAGGTTCCCTCATAGCTACGAGGCGTGGTGGGGTACACCATGACGAAAGGGTCGACCAACACCCCCGGGGGCAGGGTTCCAACTACCATGTCACCCTTCAGCAACGAACTGAAAACTCCTGCATCCAACCTCACAAAACATGCAAAAATATATGGAAATAAATAAACCATTAGCGCATATTCGAGAATTTATGTAGCAAGCATGCAATTTCTAAAAATTGCAAAATGAAAACGTGCCCATATAATCGATTTTGCATCGTTGTAAATCCAAGAAGCAAAAGCTATAAGTTCTGCAAGCGGCAGACAATATGGTCCAAAGATTATGGGAAGGGATTTGTTTGGGTCACGCCACAGTCATTTCTGGTAAAAGGCAAGAGATGAGTTTGTTAACGGATCCCAATCCCGAACATTCCAGCTCCAAATGGGGTACATATACCGTACCAGAATGATCTAGGAGCCAAGACAGTTATGAACCAATAAGAAGCCGAATTCTGGAGATCCTGGTCAAGGGTCCACCATCGAGGGCGACTGTAGGGCAGCCAACATCCATCGGAAGGTAATTGCCGGTGCTTGAGATATGGTACGCTAAAGTGGGAGCTCTCTAATCAAGCTCTTGAAGTGCAAAATAAAGTCTGCTCTCTTACAATTCTGGCGCAATATATGTCCAGGCAGGTCTCTGTAATTGCGAGATGAGATGCCATTGGAGAGGGAAAGTTCGAGGTCAGTAACGAAAACAAAACATGATAAACAGCGCATCGAGCATTCACGTTTTGTCATCACACTGTAGTATCGAGTTATCCCATGTTGTTATAAAATATTCCACCCTGTAAAGTTATAGCGTTTAGGCTTCGTCTCGGGGAGAAAAACCTGATCTAACCACCTATTTGCGATAACTTTATTACTCCAGCCCTTACTCGTCGCGGTGTATTCCCACTCAGCGATATTTTGGTCTGGGAACCACTGTGCTTGGACTCTCTCGCCGGAAAATACGCAGACAGGTGTACCCCGTTGGGTATGCGAAATGTACTCTAACCAGGAGCACCACGACGAAGCGTCCGACTTTGATACGCGTACCCGGCGTGAATTAGACGTCCCAATAACCGTACCATGCCCAGATCCCCCCTCTTGGACACCTGTCTCATCCATATTATACTCGTTGTCGGGTTTGATACGATACTTCGTACGTAAGCGTTCGAGGAGGGTGTAGAAGTCTCGGATCTTGTTCGAATCGGACGCTCTAACTCGGCTAGCATCTGCGACGCGCCCAATTTTGGTACGTATCTGTGGATGGCGGCTAACGAAGTGATCCACCCAGTGTTGGCCGAGTGTATTGTTATCCCCTTGAGCAAGGAGGATTTCGGCAGCGAAGTCGGCCACATAACGCTTGCTAGGAGCCCGTCCACACACTTCTTCGTGTAGGATCTAGTTCACGATAACCTCCTCTTGCTCTGGAGTCAACTTTTGTTGCCTGGAGGCGGCGTCGCGATGCGAATTACCGTGACGAATACGGTAGGACAGTGTAGTCCCCTTGATAACGTACCGATGAGCTGCTACGGTCTGGGAAGAGCCCTGACGAACAAGCTCTTTAGCGCGTTCGATTCGCTGCTCAAAATAGTCCAGACTATTCTCCACTGGATTAGCCATTTTGTACGTAGATAGGGAGCAATTGCGAGGTAAATTGAGAGATGTCGTGTTGTTGAGGCGTAGAAATTCCCTGCAAAATGGGGGTGCATGCAAAAAGGTGGTCAATGCGGTTAGGTGCTCCGAGCATCCGATGCCCCTGTCTGACGTACCAATTTCTGAAGCCCTCAATCAACTCATGCCGAACTTCAAGCGACAGGACCTGGTTCAAAAGAGATAAACAGCATAATTTCAACTCTGAAGACCTCACATATAATCAAGACAACCCAATACGTTCTTCGCTTCTGAAATCTAGCGAAAATGGCCAGCACCGCCACCTGCATCTTCTGCAAGATCATCAAGGGTAAGTCCCGCCCCGCAGTCTCAAGGAAGGTTGGACCTCAAGGTCCTCCGTACCTAGCAACAAGCCGGGATCCTTCCTCCTTATGAGTCAAAGTCCATCAAACTCACATAATTCATCATCAACAGGCGAGATTCCCTGCTTCAAGCTCTTTGAAAGCGACAAGACCCTCGCGTTCCTGGATATCCAGCCCTTGAGCAGAGGTCATGCCGTGAGCTCCAGTTCCTTCCACACCTCGTAGTTACAGCTCAAAGCTGCTAATCATCCGTCGCCAGCTCGTGATTCCCAAGTTCCACGGCGCGAAGCTGGGGGATATCCCTGATGACCACCTGGGCGAGATCCTGCCTGTCGTCAAGAAGCTGGTCAATGCCACGGGGGCCGAGGACTATAATGTTCTGCAGAACAATGGCCGGATTGCGCATCAGGTAGTTGATCATGTAAGTCGTGCTTTGCTACTGAAACCCTCTCTGCCCTACCAGCCGTAGGGAGTCAACCTACTCTATGTCTCCATGCATTATGAATAATGTTATTGACGTGCTATTTCAGGTTCACTTCCATATGGTAAGTTTAGAAGGGGATATAACCCTTACAGCTCATGAACGTGGATGAGCCGTCACTAATACATGTCTAGATCCCTAAGCCCAATGAGAAGGAGGGTCTAGGTGTGGGATGGCCCCAGCAGAATTCTGATATGGAAGGATTGAAGAAGCTTTTCGAAGAGATCAAGGTGAAGATGCCGGCCCAGCTGTGAGTCCCGCAGAGTTACCATATATCTACTGTATAAGTGGTATAGCGATACCGAACCGAATACGTAGATACGTGGTTCGACTCTAAACTCAACGTCGCAAAAGAACGAAAGAAACATTGAATCTAAAGCAGCTCCTAAATTCTAGGAAACTGGCATACGAGCGTAGTTCTATTTAGGCGTGGCCTCACCTGGCACATGTGTGACCTGTGCCGGGATTTCTTTACTGTCATTCACTCAAATACTACCAAGCATGGGTCTCGTAACCCAACAGCCCCCAGTCCCAGGGTCTGCTTGCGCCGTTTTAGTCATCTAACAGGTGCCTCTTCTCCATATCTCCCGAAATCCTCTGATGTTGAGCTTCTAGTCAACATCATCAGCAGTTGTGGTAGTTGTAGCATTCGGCTCCGCAACCGCCGGAGTAGATGATGCTGCTGCGGCAGTACCGTTCACGGACGGCTTCTCCGAAGCGTAGTGGTTGACCGCTCCACCCGGTTTCAAGACGCCAACGCGGTCATAGTACGACCTCGCCCGGACGTAGGGGTCGAGCACCCAGTAGCCCTCGCGCAGTTTCTGCGCGATGGAGTTGCGCTCGGACTTGATCGCTGCACGCTTCGCCGTGTCCTTCTCTTGAATCCACTCTAATGTCTTTTGCTCGTACTCCTCGTAGAGAGCGTCGCGTGCCTCGAGAAGTTTGTCCCTTGTTGTGGTGTCCTTCATTTTTTCGTTCTCGCCGATGATGGGCTCGACGTACTCGTAAGTCCATTCGTCCTCGCCCTCCAAGTCCTTAGACACCTTGGCCGCGGGGACGAATTCGGCCATTTCTTTGAAGTTGTTTGTGAAGTTGACTTTGCTTGCTACTACGGGATCGAGCCACCCGCGGATGACCTTCCAGATACCTAATTGGTTAGTATACGCGAGTCAATCGGCAGTGTTGGAGAATATTTACTTACCTTGGAAAATCCACGGTGCCTTATGGACCAGTACCACGCCCAGGCTTTCAGGATAGTTTGCCTCGAAGCATTGAATCATGAACTTCAAGGGCGTGTAATCCATGTTGGCCATGGAAAACCCCGTCATGTCGAATATGACACAGGCCGTGTCGACTGGTTGGACGAGCATCATACGAGCAGTCTCGATGAGATATATCGTGTACCTCTCGAGACTCTCATTGGACTGTTCACCTTGCTTGTGTAAGCGCACCCTGATTACGCTGATAGGTCTGCCCGCCTTGTCAACACCACGGCAGAAACTTTTGCCCAGACGCATCTGTGCCAGGAAATCCCGCGCAAACTTCTTGCTGTTTTCATCGGTGGCATTGCGCTCTTCCAGTAGCGCCCACTCCTCGCCTCTGGCCATGATATCCTCATCGACCTTGACATCTTGCCTCCACTTCATGGTTGAAATAAGCATGACGAGCGCCTTTTGCACATCCCACTTTCTGGCCCGCAAGAACCGCAACACCAATTGGTCTGGGTGATCCATTTTCACCATAGTCCATATTGACTCTCTGATACTCTCGGGAGAGCGGTTTGCTAGCGTATCGCGGAATTGCTTGTTCTGTCCATACTTGTCGTCCGGATCGTCATCTTTAACGCCATCCAGTGCGGCGGTTTTCTCACTCGCGGCAGGCTGAGGGTTGTCCTTCTTATCTTTCTTGTCCTTTTTCTTAAAAATTCCAAGGCGCTTTTTCTTGGGTTTGCCAGATTCCGTCGTCGAACTCGTTCCGCGAGCCTCGAGGGGTACAGGCGCATCGCTGGCCTCGGCCGTGCTCTCGTCGTCCATCACCCCGCTCACTTGTAGTAAGAGCTTCCAGAGCTGAAACATCTTCTCTTCCTGCTCTGGGGTCAAATTCCCCAATCTTCCTGGTAAGTCCATCATCTCGAAGTCGAAGTCGTCGGAGACGGTCTCACTGACGTTGTCCTTGCTTTCGGATGTATCGGATGTTGCAGGGAGTATGGTAGCGTATATGAGGTATGCGCCTGCGGCAAAAAGAGGCAGGAAATAAAACGCGGGGCTGATCTGACTTTCGATGGACTTGCGTCTCTGTTGGCTTTCCCTTGGGTACGATGACTGCGCCAACTGGTTATATGTATGCACGCGCTGCAGGGGTGATGATGCGCGGCTCCGGATTATGTGCCTGGCGGGTTGGAGCGGCTGAGATGATAAGTCGCTAGGAGTTATGCGACGCGAAGCAAAAGAGGGGATCGAAGATGCGGCAAAAAATTGTCTACGAATAGCGGTCTGACAATTATAAATATTTTCTGGAGAGAATAGTCTCAGAGATGTAGCCCGTAGGTTGAGACAGAATCTCGCTTTCATGGGTTCGTCGGAGAGACGTTGTACACGTCGAGGCGCAACCGATCCTAGGAGTATCTGGCGCTTTGTAATGACAGATGATGGCCTAAGACGAGCGCGACGAGTGTACGTTCCGAATTTCCCAGGTCGGGCTGGTTCGAGAGTCGAATGGCTTTGGTGCGAGTTGATCGAGTCCGCTCATCTGTTCGTGTCCAAGTTAAAAGTAGACGACTTCTTGTTGTACTTCATTCAGCCCGGTGACAATTTTTAGCGTGCTGACAATGTCGCAAAGAGCGTCTATTTCTATACAAGAATCAAAAAGTAAAGTCGCAAGGTCTTGGGACGTTCTGAAAAGCATGTGACGCGTATGCTGAACAGGGTCGAGCAACCGCCCTTGATTACTTCAGAAAGACCGGCTGTGTTTAATGAAATATCTGCCGAGGCGGGCGAAGCAAAGTGCAGCCCAGCGATATCGTCATGAAAAGCGTGGGCTAATCAAGCTGAAGTGTAGCTGCCCTTGCGCCATACCCCTCGTCCCAAGGCGGGGTGTCCGAATTGAGCAACCCATCAGACCAAATTCGGGTCGTACATTGAAGCCAAAGCGTCGAGTTCTTCGGAACCGCCTTGTCAACCACGCGACATCAATATCACCCAAGTGTCTCCAAGTGTCATAAGCCCTAGGGCTTGAGCTACAGATTGTGGCATCGGCATAATTTGATCTCACAATGTCGGCGCAAGATAGACAGGAGAGCGTGAAGCGGCCTGCATCGCGTTCGCGATCGCGCCCCAAAACACCAACAACACCCTTGAGACCGTCGTCGAGGTCGTCTTTCCGCGAAAGCGCTCAGCGTTCCGTTTATGGCGGCGAGCCGTTTCCGCTCGACACTTTCGAACCTGCTTTTGCCGAGCTATCTGATGCTGTGGCCGACCTTGAAGCGAACATGATGCACTTCCAGTTGATGCATGAGAGTTTGGCGCGCTTCAGCGAGAGCTTCGCTAGTTTTCTGTATGGTCTCAACATGAACGCTTTTTGTGTGGACTTCCCCGAGGTAGGGTACAACTTGTATAATTGAAGGTTGGGCGCTTAACTAACGCGAATCTAGGGTCCAATCGCAGAGTCACATCGTAGAGCGAAGAACCAAGAATACCAAGCGGAGCCCATAGGTTAGTTGGAAGAGTCGATCCAACTTTCTGGGCAGTGTGATTACCAGTTGCTGATACGTGCTCCTTGATTCAGTCAGATCACGCAGTGCGGAACGCGGCGAACCGGATAACGAGACGACTTTCATGTAAGCCCTACTTCCTGAAGTCTCCTGTCTCAACTAACTCTCCTTGCCTCAGGACTACAGATGTATCGTTCGTAGAAAACCCTCCAGCATCATCTAAGGCCACTCCCAAGAAGTTTGAAAACCCCGAGCCGCGGCCGTCTCGTATCGCTGGTCCCTCAAGAGGTGGTACACAACGAGGTAGACCGGGCACAGGCAGAAGCCGAGGCAGTACTCTGGCAAGACCAAGAGCTCGTGGCATCAGATGAACACCACGACATTGTTGTCGGAGCTATCTATTAGGCGACGGTGTGATCTTGGAGCCAAAGCGCCCTGACGAGCAGCTTGTTTAACCTCCACCGGCAGGCATGCCATACAAAGCTCATGGGATGTTTTGAGTGAGTGCTTGCAGTATGTCACATATAACTGGTACGATTATGGGACCCAGTGACGATATAATGGATCTCAAGTTGTCATGATAACTTCGTTATCGACAAGAATGTTGTTGCCAGTGACGGACGGACCTTCGTTGTCAGTTCGCAGGCCAATGGCTGCTTCGGCTTCCTTCTGCGTGTATGGCTGCTCCTTCAGCTGCTTCACTCTGCATCAGAAGATCTATTAGTCCGCATACTCAATAAAGCTGGGTTCGGGCCATTTATTATCTTCACTCGCCTTCTCTTGTGAGGTTTGCATCTTCGATGCAAGACCAAGCTTGTCTCGGTGTCAAACCACTTGGCGCATTCTGTGCAGTACCATTTTCCCAGTCCGGGCAGATCTTCAGTAGCTTTCGACTTCTTATGCTGGGCAAGGTGTTTCGGCGAAAGCAGATCGGCCTTGACCTGGTCGAGGTCGCGAATCTTGTTGCGGGTCTTGGTCTTGGTGCGCTTGGGGACTCCCATTGTGTCTCGAGATGAAGATTATCAGGATAATGGATCTATGGAACGGGAAAACGAACGTGTGTCACTCGAGTTGAACCTAGGACTTGGGTTTCAGTGACCGTTCGTTAGATATCCCAATCCTGCTTTTGCATCGTATCGGAGTGCTCGAGCGGTGGACAATCTGAAAATTTAGGTGGGCATTTGGCGGGGCAAAGCTTATCGATACCGGCAGCTGCATTTGGAGCTGTGGCAGCTGTAAGTCAAGAACCGATTTCTAACTCAAGAAGTCCACAGTTGCAAAACGTATATTCTATCGAGCGTCGGTCAAGTCGATAGCATAGAGACCATATTGTAGGTTATACTATTGTACATGATTGCATACAACAACTTGGAAAGCATCGGTAGGCAGGATCCCCCATCCAGCAAATGCCACAGCTTCAACGGGGCCTCGGACCGCTCGCTTCGTCAGTGACGCGGAGGCTGACTACATTCTTACCAGCAAAGGCACTTCCTAGCCGGTGTTGGTGTGATTGAATGGCTATGATTGGATGTTACGAGATCCACAACCTGATCTCCAGGTCAGCAAGAATTTCCCGCTCATCCATTTGGGCAGGGTTCACGTGGAGGCGGGTACTAAACTTTAGCAGCTACTGCGTAACTTACGGGGCAACACATCGTGGTGAAATGGAAGCCTTGACATCGGGAGTTTTTCTCTCCTGCAGTATATTCTACTCGGTAAGGCCAGTTGCTCATTATGTATGAATCAAAATTCTATCACCATGATTAAAGTAAAATTTCTAGTTGTGCGTATCCACCGCAATGTTGCTAGACACAGAATACTTTGTGAGCTGGAGACTTGGACTACGGTGGAGCTTTCTAGACCCTTGCATGTGCATGTACATTATATACCGAGGTATTCGCAGGCCGAAACACAAGACACTTGTATCAATCTAGACCAATAAGCGGAGGACAGAACAAAGGGCGCGCACCAAGGGGGGTATAATGTGGGAATAGCACGGTATTCCAATGTAGTAGATAAGAGACAGCTTTGTTATTCCACTTGCGTCACTTGCGTGCCCTGTTTATACAATTTTCCGCTTGACCAGTTCGATAGTGTGAAAACGGTTCAGAGGGAGCAAGCACGTGCAACAGCAGTATGCATCACCTGCAACATGTAATTGGTTGCTGAGTAGTATACTGTTGCTAAAAAGACCATGTAACACAATTGCCTCCAGTGTCTTTAGTTGACTTCCCTAAGAGAGTCTATCAAACAACCTGCAAGGATAGGGCTGGCATACACAGGGAGTCGTTCGCGAACACGAACACTGTGTCCAGTCAGTCTCACGATATGTCACAACTTTAGCTTCAATTTGACCTGCATACAAATTCCTTATCCGAGCCGAAATGTTCGGAGCTTAGCCAAGTTGACAACCAGTCTAACCTATTATGGTACTATAGCTGGTTTATTCATCCAATGCACCGTCAAAGGTAGAAATCGGGCAATATTCAGATGGGAGATGGGATGCTCTGGAATAGCTATTGGAAAGTCGCATCGTAAAAATGATGAAATGCTTACTGTAGAGTAAACGAGTCGATTGTCCTGCGTTGATCTCACGCAGGATGACGACTTTGGGCCTGGGGATGTCTGAAATACAATGGCTGTGATTCGCCGCTGGCCCGAGTCGCGGTGCCGAAAAGGACCTAATCAAGTGCTGGGATGGCAGCTTCCCATCGCTAGCGCCGTTTTCCGACCTGCCTGCCACAGCCGTATTCTTTTCTGTTCGCATGCGGCAAATCGAAACTTCTGTTCTTTTCTCCTGCTTGATCTCAACATTTTCTCTTCGGGGAACCATCTTCTTCTTCCTGCCTCTTCTTCAGAGACAGTTCGTCTTCTCTCAAACTCTCCACTCCCCAAGGCAGCTGCCATATAGCCAACTCAATTACATTGATTTGACGTTGCGGCCGGTTGACCCCTCACAGTCTTCGGGACCAACATCGTCACCATGCTGGCAACGCGACAGGTCCAGAGGCAGGTCCTCACTCGCTCGCGGGTGATGGCTAACATGCCCCTTCGACGCACCATGGCGACCGTGACCGATTTGCCCTTGGATAGAAAGGTGAGCTGGAATTAGCAATGGCAACGTGGCTCACAAGAGCTCAGGGATGGATGCTAATATTTCCCTCATCTGCCAGGTCAAACAAAACAATCTGGAAGAAGGCAACTTCATCAACTACAAGAAGATGTCCGAGAACCTGGCCATCGTCCGAAGCCGACTCAATCGCCCACTCACCTATGCTGAGAAGATCGTCTACTCTCATCTCGACGACCCCCATGGCCAGGAGATTGAGCGTGGCAAGTCTTATCTCAGACTGCGACCGGATCGTGTTGCTTGCCAGGATGCCACTGCTCAGATGGCCATCCTGCAGTTCATGTCTGCCGGTATGCCTTCCGTGGCCAACCCTGCGACTGTTCACTGCGATCACTTGATTGAGGCACAAATCGGTGGTGTTAAGGATCTTGAGCGGGCTGTTAGCATCAATAAGGAAGTATACGACTTTTTGTCTTCTGCCTGCGCCAAATATAACATTGGTTTCTGGAAGCCTGGCTCTGGAATCATCCACCAGATCCTCCTCGAGAACTACGCTTTTCCCGGTGGCTTGCTGATCGGAACTGACTCGCACACTCCCAACGCCGGCGGTTTGGGCATGTGTGCCATCGGTGTCGGTGGTGCTGATGCTGTCGACGTTATGGCCAACCTTCCATGGGAACTGAAGGCACCCAAGGTGATTGGTGTCAAGCTCACTGGTGAAATGTCTGGCTGGACTTCACCTAAGGGTACGTGGTTCGAAATTCCCTGGCGGTGCCAGTAAACATCGCAAATGGAGCTGACTTGGTGCAACAGACATCATTCTCAAAGTTGCCGGTATTCTCACTGTCAAGGGTGGAACTGGTGCCATCGTTGAGTATCACGGCCCTGGTGTGAATGGTATCTCAGCCACTGGCATGGGGACCATCTGTAACATGGGAGTACGTTTTCCAGATTTATGCGCGGCGAGTGTTAAGCTAATCAAGTACAAACAGGCTGAGATTGGTGCCACCACCTCTGTCTTCCCCTTCAACGACCGAATGTACGACTACCTCGTAGCCACCAAGCGCAAGGATATCGGTGACTTCTCCCGAGTTTACGCCAAGGAGCTTCGTGAGGACGAGGGCGCCGAGTACGACCAGCTCATCGAGATCAACCTGTCCGAACTTGAGCCTCACATCAACGGCCCCTTCACCCCCGATTTGGCCACCCCGATCTCCAAGTTCAGCGAAGCTGTCAAGGCCAACAACTGGCCGGAAGAGCTTAAGGTTGGCTTGATCGGATCGTGCACAAACTCGTCGTACGAGGACATGTCCCGTGCTGCCTCCATCGCTCGTGACGCCCTTAACCACGGAATCAAGTCCAAGGCCGCCTTCACCGTGACGCCTGGTTCTGAGCAAATTCGTGCCACCATTGCCCGTGATGGTCAGATGCAGACCTTGGAGGAGTTTGGTGGTATGGTTCTCGCTAACGCTTGCGGTCCTTGCATTGGTCAGTGGGATCGTAGGGATATGAAGAAGGGCGAGGCCAACTCAATCATTTCGTCCTACAACCGTAATTTCGTTGGACGCAATGACGGCAACCCTGCTACCCACTCTTTTGTTACTTCACCTGATTTGGTCGTTGCCCTCAGTATTGCCGGCTCCCTGCACTTCAACCCCTTGACCGACAAGCTGAAGGACAAGGATGGCAACGAATTCATGCTCCAGCCGCCTAGTGGTGATGGTCTTCCCTCTCGAGGATACGACCCCGGCCAGGACACCTACCAAGCTCCCCCCGCAGATCGCACCACCGTTCAGGTCCAGGTTTCCCCCACCTCAGACCGTTTGCAGACCCTCTCTCCCTTCAAGGCTTGGGATGGCAAAGATGCCATGGACATGCCCATTCTCATCAAGACCCAGGGCAAGACCACGACTGATCACATCTCAATGGCTGGGCCTTGGCTAAAGTATCGTGGTCACCTGGACAACATCTCGAACAATATGCTGATCGGTGCCGTCAACGACACCAACGGCGAAGTAAACAAGGTCAGGAACTTTACCAATGGGGAGTGGGACGCTGTGCCGGCTACCGCTCGTGACTACAAGTCCAAGGGCATCAAGTGGGTTGTTATTGGCGATTGGAACTACGGCGAGGGTTCTTCCCGAGAACACGCTGCCCTCGAGCCCCGTCACTTGGGCGGCATTGCCATCATCACCCGATCCTTCGCTCGTATCCATGAGACCAACTTGAAGAAGCAGGGTATGCTGCCTCTCACGTTCGCCGACCCTGCCGACTACGACAAGATCACAGGTGATGACAAGGTGAGCACTTCTGAGCAGCTGGTTTCTAATGAAGAAACTTGACTAACTGTACTTTTAGGTCGACATTCTCTGCACTGAGCTGGCTGTTGGCAAGCCCATTACAATGGTTGTGCACCCTGCCGATGGAAGTGAACCTTTTAACGTGAAGTTGAATCAAACATTCAATGAGCCGCAAATCGAGTGGTTCAAGAACGGAAGCGCATTGAATACCATGGCCAAGGCGCACGCCAAGTCGTCATAAGGGATGGATGTGGATAGTGCTACAATGGGTTTGTGGAGTATCAAAGGGAGTAATAGGAGATTCCTTCATGCATTGTTGGGGAGGTTTCCTAGACTTCTTTCGGTTTTATACATGGGCTTCGGTACGGGTGTTCTGCTTTCTGGATGGCATTGATAACCCGCGCATGAAGTTTCTTACCTTTTCTAGTTATGTACAAAATGAAATATTGTAAAATAGTTCGGCTGTTGCTGTGATGGAGTAGCCTATGATTACTGCTCTGCAACCAAATCTATGGGACAACTTAAGTCGTGAGAGATTTTGTATGTGTTGCGCCAACTGCGCGACGTTTTTCAAGGCGTGATGTGTACGAAGCTGTAATAGTATCTCTTGCTTAATGAAGATTTGTGTTTTGAAGACTCCTGGCTGCGCAATTTCTGGATTTAAAGAAGCCAAGTGAGGATAGGAAGCATTCAACAAACAGTATGCCTTGACTCACCGATCTGCCCTTGTTATGCTATCTGGGTGACCACCTGAGATTCTTCCTCACTTGTATGATATTTAACAGCACACTACTCCTGTACTATCTAAAGGGAATTGGAGAAAGTGCATGGCGAGACAACTTATAAAACGTACGACCAAAAGTCGAAATTTTTATGGGAAAAAAAACTTACGAATAATAATAATAATATTAAATACGCCGTAGGTGTTAACCCTCGGTACCTCTACAAGTACTCCCTTAAGGGGCTATAGATGATATAGCGGGCCCTTAAGCCGCGTCGGGCGGTTATACAGGTAAACTTGTAGCCAAACGACTACTAAACCTCCTGTCCCTCCCTAAGTCTGTGCTACAACCCCTGCCTGAACTACCGATAAGTGTGGTAATGTGGCACTTAAATTCGTCCTCAGGGGTGGGATGCTGCTGATGTGCAGAAGATGCTCGACTATTTTTTTTGTCGCGACAAGTCGTAGTATCTGCTAATTGGGGTTCTCGTCGAGCGTATACATCTCAACCATACGCTCAAGTGGATAGACCGTAACGTGGTCTAGACGCTCGCAAGAATCGCGGCGAGAGGGCGTGCTGCGCGCCTTCTATCGTGAGGGGACGGGTTCGCCGACGAGCGTTATCGGATAGGCGAGGTCCGATAAGGGGCCGGATTAACGATTCGAATTCTGGACCGGCTGTCGAGTTATATTCCGCCGACGTAGTGCTTGACGGTCGACTGGCTAGGATGCTCGTAATCCTAAACTGCACCAATCTCCCTATTATCGCTAGGTAGGCGAAGTCAACAAGGTGGGCAGCGCGCCATAAGGGTTGACTAAACCCCCTTGTGTGTCAGCTGCGGGATTCGAACCCGCGACTCGTCACCGACCCAAGTGGGTGAGGCTCAAATCGGGACTTATCTACCAGCGAAGTGACCAACTACACCAGCCGACATGAAGTTGATATGTATGTACGAATAATAACATCAGTATCAATGGTGTGTAGCTTCGAGGTAATAGAAAGATCAAAAGAAGTAGTTAATCGAGACGCAAAAAGACTTACGCCTCATCAAGATATGGGGGAAGGATGAGGCAAAAGAAATATAATGCGGTGAATGTGGATTGAACACATGACCTTCAGATTTCAGATTCCTGAAGTGGACTTCAGTCTGACGCTCTCCCAACTGAGCTATCCCCGCTTGTTGAAAACTAAGGGTTATATTTTCACCTATATTGTAATACTGCCACTTCCAGGTTTGCGCTGATCCACTACCCACTTCTTTTAACCTACAACTTTGGAATATTTTCCCTATCCGTACTATATATGACTAAGTAGCAATTAAGGCTTTAAGACCATATGTAAGTGGTAGAGGACGGCGCATTCTATACATTCTACTATGCTGTCGTCGAGGTATTCCTTGTTGCGTTTCTTCTAGTTGACAGCCAAATAGAACATTCGCCTTCTATTACTGTAATTACCCTCATAACTCCGAAAGCTCAGTGGGTCAAGCCGCCATTTACGCTTGATAAGTGGATATATACCGACAGGTAAATCGAATTGGGCATGTTCAGTCATAGTACTGTATGATTTCCAGAGTCTGGCAACAGTTATTCTGGCTAATGGCTTTCTTGTTTTAATTGCGCCGTATCTCTGTCGTTTTGCACTCCCGATGGAACAAACAGATCATATCATATTATTCCATAGAAATACCAGTAGGGTCAACCAAATGAGAGACTCTGTTAGTTATCACCTGCCCGTTGGGAGCTCACGAAGCCCGTACTGCTATCTGGCAATTCCTACCTAGCCTTACCTTATTGCCATTCAGCGACAAACCGAAGCTCGAGAAGTCGGGTTCCGGTTGCACTTGCTCGAGCTCTGGACCCCGCAAAACCGCAGTAATTACATATGCAGGCGGGGAGGTCAAATAAGCTTGGCTAGCTCCAGTCCAACTGAACGCGATCAGCAAAAGTGTCATCTTCAGTCAACAGGGGGTTGGCATCGAAACTTCAGAATAAACGACACGAAGACATTCTTGCCCGGCGCCCAAATAGTATTTACACAACGTAGTGCTGATAGTTTGCTTCCTTGGTCGATGGCGATTCTTCCGTAGCACATAATTGCTTCTGTTGGTGAAAGCTGACTCGAGCAAGGAAGTTGCTACTATTCGTACTACGCATTATTTACTTCCAAAGTAGACCCGACATTCTCGGCCGCTCCGTCCGAATCTCGCTCAACGAAGAACGACCCAAACCACCGTGCATTTCATCAACCCAAAGTCAAGCAACGAGCCATTGAGCCGTCAAAAGGGCTCTGGTTTATTAGAACGAACCAAAGACATGATGCCCAACGTACATTCCTTCAGCGCACTGCGGGCGCGCTCTTACGTGTTCCGGCTGCCGCTGTTCACGCGCGCAATCGTCGTCGTGATCACGCTGCTATGGCTCGCCAGTATACAGTCGGTGTGGGATGTGCGGCAATGGGGTGCCTTGATACCGGATCAGGTCAGCTTGTTTAGTGGTGAGTTCGTTTTGCGCCTACCCGCGGACTTTGGGAAGCGCGGTCCTGGAAGAAAGACAGGGAGAATCAGACATAGGAAGGCTAATAGAATGGCTCATGACAGCATACCGGATGAACACGTTCCCGCTCATACATATCAACTTCATACATGCACTTATGAACGTGCTGGCGTTGACACCCCTTATGGAGAGGTTTGAGAGCGAATACGGCACATTGACGAGCCTGGCCATGTTTATTGGACGTGAGTTTCCCTGGGATTGCAAGAGAGGAGAGGGTTCGAAGTAGGGGGCTAACGGCGCACAGCGCTGAGTACGATACCGGCGCTCTTGTACATATTCGTAGAGAGGGCAGTGCTGAGAGGGAACACGGCGGTCATGGGGGCTAGGTACGTCACCTCGCTTGTCTGATCATCACCACGAGGAAATATTGACATGGAACTGCAGCATGTGGGTGTTCCTGCTACTGGGCATGGAGGCGATCCGAACCTACAAGAGCAACCCGCACCTGGTTATTGGAACGCATCATGTGCCAACGTGGACTACACCTCTGGTTCTGACTCTTGTCGTCGCGGCCTTGGTCCCTAGCACCAGCTTCCTCGGCCATTTGTGTGGCGTCGCGGTTGGGTATATATGTAAGCGACCAACTCTCCGTCCAACAGGCACGAATGGCCAGGCAGCTAATAGGTACAATACAGTCGGACTGGGCTATCTCAAGTTCCTTTCCCCTCCCGAGAAAGCCCTCCGTTGGGTTGAAGCGAAGCTCAACCTACTGGGTCGGCTGCCTCACTACGTCAGCGTAGATCAGAAGACGTACGGAAGGTTCGGGGTTCTGCCCACGAGTAGCGCTAGCGCAAGTCTTCCGGGCCTGGTGGGCAGTACGCAGAGATTGGGACCCTAGAGAGGAAACCGTCGGTCTCGCGGCATCTCCTTGTTGATGTATTGATTGTCTTCGAACTTCGTTGTGTATATCATATAAAACATGTCTGGACGCTTTGGACCGGTGGCAGGCACTCTAACTGGAGTTTTTGGTCTTCGGTAGGTCTCATTACCACTGGTTGGCGTTTATGGGCATACATCGTGGTTTTTCACGGAAAGGGTTGAGGTAGGGCTATGATTATGGCTGGCTCGACTTCAGCTCAACTTGCTTCTTTGATTGAGCGAAGTCAATATAGCGAAGCTTTGCATGAAGCGTTAGAACGTATATAATTCAAGTTTATTTTACGTTCAATTGTTCAACCTAGGCAAACATGTTGGATTTCATGAACTTGATAAAATCTACATGTCATGCGGGTGTTATGAAGTTGGACCTAAGATTATTACTAGCTGAAATCGCACTTATGATAGCGTGCCCTGAGTTGAGCGCATAACATAGACCTGAATCGAGTGAGATTTAATGTGAAGTTTCCCATATGTGAATATGCAACTAACGGTTAATTAGCTAGAGCTCCCCTAGCTCTCCTGTCGGACCCCTGAACGCTTAGCGGGCCACAGCGCCAATGGCCACAATCATCGTTCTCGATGCCGAGTTCGAAGTTGTCGAGGTAGCCATTGTCAAAGTGCGTGCTGCGTAAACATGGCGCCTCTCCTCTGTAAGTTGTGCAAGGCAGGAAAGCAGCCGTTACTCTAGCTAATTTGTGTCTTGCAGCTTCGGTGCTCTTCGCCAGGCGCGATGCGCGACTCCTCAAGCTCCCGCCGTACATCTCGCTCCTCTGCATCCTTATCGGCCTGGGCTGGCTCTTGATGCTGCCCGCCGATGGCTACTCGCGCCGAACCTACATCTCGGAGAACGCACTGCTCCCGGGCCAGGTGCACACGTACTTTGGCGGCAGTGACCAGAACGTATTCCGGGCATACCGACACGAAGTCACGGCCCTGGCCAACCGCTCCAACACCGAGATTAACGACAAGCTCGAGGACATGTTCGGGGGCATGGGCCTGAAAGTCGGCCGCCAGAACTACACGTACCACTCGTCTGGCAACACGCTCTCGGGCGAGAACATCTACGCCATACTGCAGGCGCCCCGCGGCGATGCCACCGAGGCCATTGTGCTGGTCGCCGCCTGGAAGAACGTCAAGGGGGAATTCAACCGCAGTGCGCTCGCCCTTGCCTTGGCCTTGACCCGCTACTTCAAGCGCTGGTCCCTTTGGTCCAAGGATATAATCCTCGTCGTCCCTCCCGACAGCCGCGCCGGTACCCAGGCCTGGGTCGACGCCTACCACGACGCCCACGACGCAGCCACCGTGAGCTCCTTGCCGCTGAAATCGGGCGCGCTGCAGGGCGCTGTCGCTATCGACTATCCCTTCGAGGGCCGTTTTGGTGATGTCCATATTGTCTATGATGGCGTCAATGGCCAGCTGCCCAACCTTGACCTAATTAACTCCGTTGTCAACATCGCGAGCGGACAGATGGGCATGGGGGCCACTATCCAGGAGATGTGGCGTCATTCGGACAAGTACAATGACCGGCTCAAGACAATGCTCAGGGGTATGATGAACCAGGGGCTGGGCCATGCTGCTGGGCCGCATAGCTCTTTCATCCCGTACCATGTCGATGCGATTACGATTCAACCCATCGGGCAAGGGTGGCACGATGAGATGGGGCTGGGGAGGTTGATCGAGGGCACCTTCCGGAGTCTGAATAATCTGTTGGAACACCTGCATCAGAGTTTCTTCTTTTACTTGCTCATGCACAAGGAACGCTTTGTCAGCATCGGCACCTATCTGCCTAGCGCTATGTTAATCGCGGCCAATTTTACGATTATGGCTATTAGTCTGTGGGTGAAGAGCGGGTATGCGACGGAGACTGAGCCCAAGACTGAGCCCAAGACTGAGAACAGCCCGACGGAGAAGGACGCAGAAGGCAAGGAACATCCAGACCCGGCGGTATCAACAGTAGAGCGCGATCTCTTCCTACCGCTCGGCCTCGTGACAGCGTGCCAGTTCCTAGGCTTCCTCCCGCTGTTCGTGTTCAACTACGCGCCATCCGGTGTAAGTTATATTGCTGCCCTCTCTCCTATACCATACAACGAAGAAAACTGACAAAGATTCAAAAGCTCCTCACCCCCCTCTTCTCCCTCTTCGCCGCTCTCACCCTCCTCCTGCCCCACGGCCTCGCCTCCTTCCTCTCCTCCTTATCCTCACCCCCCACCCCGCAACACTACCAGCTCTTCTCCTCCTTCTCCCTCCTGCTCCTAGGCATGTTCCTCTCCTCCCTCGCCACACTCAACTTCTCCCTTGCCCTACTTGTCGGCCTGCTCGCTTCTCCGCTTACCTTTGTCCGCCCCTTGCGCCATCCGATACTGAAATACGGTTGTGCGGCTTTGTTGTCTTTGTTTAGTCCACCCATTGTCGTGGTAGCGGGGGCGGTGGCCGGTGAAGTTGGATTGAGGGCAGTGCTCGAGGAGGCTGCGTTTGGGTGGGGGGTTTGGGGAATGTATACACCGTTGGTCGTGTGGTGTGTGTGGTGGCCGGCTTGGGTCGTTGGGATGGTGGTTTTGCTGGGTAGGACGGGGGTGTCTGGGAAGGCGAAATCGGCGTAAGGTTGAGTTCAGGTGACATTGCAAAACAGTATATTTGCATTTGAGCGGAAAGAGAAAAGGTTGATTTATAAGATAGGTTTAGATACCACTTGTTGCAGTGCACTATCTAAGGTGCCCTACTTCAAATATTCACAGCCAGTCTTGCTCAGATACGCCGTGTATGCTGAATACCAATACAAAAGCGTGACAAGTATCAAATCACAACCGTTCTGTTTTGCGTCCCAAGAAATGCAACTTAATTGACGCATGCTTATAAACTAATACCCTGGTTTCAGTATCTGATCTGATGAGGATGAAGTAGGAAACTCAAGCTACCTTACTCAGGAGTGTTTAAAGAGTCTATCTCGGTCGGTTTGCATCATGCATTGTTTCTTCTACTTCCGCTCTACTGAGTCATAGTCCAGTCCAGTTTGACGCAGTCCCCTGGATCAGATTGGCAATCTGTATGAATCCAAGATCAATTAATATAGTCTTTAAGAAGAACAAGGAGGGGAGTTAAGTTGCTATGATCTTCAATAGCTGGGCCGAGTCCCGTTTCTCCCGCAATGACATAACGTCGTCCTAGTGACCACGACAAACTTTGTGCTGTAGCAGTCATAATCATAGTCGTAAGTAAGTCAACGACGAGGGGATCGATAATATTAAGCAAACTCTCCACTCCATTTGGACCACACTATAGTGCCCCTTTCTTTGCACCTTCGGGATCTCGTTAGCTTGACTCGACGTTCTGGTCTTAATTTTGTTCATCCCATTGCTGCAGGACGTACGTCTATGGTATCTATCATACAGACCCAGCAAGCCCAGCCAGATCAGATCCGTTTTGCGCTTCCAGATCTAGCCTGAGTCCGGCTATCCTTGATCCTCGAATTATTACTCGAGGCAAGGCAAGTCATATCCTTAGCCACATACACACACCTACGTACACCACAACCATCGCTTACGGCGCCCAAATATCCTGCCCTGTGGCCTCAATCCAGTTGCCCAACTTATTCACGTTCTCGCCCCACTCTCCCAGCCGTGCTCCCATGCTTGCAATCTGGGTCATGTCCAGAACACGCGGCTGCACCCACGTGAAATTCACGAGCTCACCCACCTCATCAATGGTACCGCGGACCAATCCCAAGCTGAGTGCCTTCATGACCAGGTGCTCGATCTCGTCCGTCTTCACCTTAGTGTCAGCACTGATTTGACCGAAGCTCATGGCGCGCTGGTGCGGTGGCCGGCGGAAAACGGCCTCGGTCAGCGCGGCCAGATAGGTCTTCTGCCGAATTTCGGTGCTGTGCTCCTTAAGTAGGGCGTTTGACGCAATGTGGCCTGACAGGACGTCGTAGGCGCCCAGGTCGCCGCGGTTGAAAGCCAGAAGTAGCTCGCGCAACCAGGCCACCTCGCCAGTCAATGCGGCTAGAATTGGATGTTGCAGCAGCTCGCCGAAGTTGTAGATGCTGTCGCTAACCAGTGCCGCCATGCCTAGTTCGTAGGCTCGTGCCTTTTGTTCGTCGAGGGTCAAGACCCGGATGTCTATGCAAGCTAGGTATAGGAGCGCATTGCGGTAATAAGAAGCGAATTCCTGCTTGACTTGGAAGTAGCCGGCATTGGTTTGGTAGAAGGCGGCGTGGACCTTGGTCTCGACGCTGTCAAACCCTTCGAGAATCTTCTCGGCGTTGTCGAGATCTTTGCGCGCTCCATCCAGGTCTTGGCATTCGATATTTATCGAGGCGACGGCGACAGTGGCGTAGACAAAGGCGTCTTGCGAGTTCTCGTTGTCAACCTTCTTAGCGAGGTCTTGCAGGAATGTCAGGCGCTCTTCACTGTCTATGTACAAGAGGTCAGCTAGTTTTCAGGCGATGCGGGACCAGTGAATGGTGAATCGTTCAGTCCGTACCTCGACATGCTACGGCAGCCTTAAGACCCAAGTCGACGAGCTTGAGCTGGTTGATCTTGTCGGCAAACTTGAGGATGAAAATCTTGTAGAACTGTAGACGTTGAGGTTCGCTCGCTGGGTGCTCAAAGAATTGGACCAGTGCATCAGTGAGTTGGTGCCATAACTTCCGCTCCCAAAGGTTCTCGAACTGGATGACGATAGACTGAAGCTCTTCCGGAGTTGCGTCCTGCTGCTCGGCCAGGAAGTCGGCGATTGTGTCGACGTTCATGGTCTATCTGGAGAGATGACTGATGAGACTGGGATTCTATTAATGTATGGATACGTCAGGATGGAATGTGCGGGAGGTATTCGTCGAATCGTTGGTGTGTAGAGGCCGTTGTGTCGTCTCGGATGATTATGGTACTCTTGGAGAGCTCCAAACGCCCTTGCGAGGTTGCAGCTGAGAGCCAGTAGCACGCGGCTCGCTGCCAGCCTGATTCAGGTGGAGCCCAGCTAATTGTGGCTCAAATCACTATAGTGCCTGGGCGAAGGCGTTCACCCCCTGCAAGCGCTGTGGCTAGAGCTTCCTTTGAAGTTTAGAAATCACCTGACGGCGATTGGAACAGCTGCTTGCCAGTCCTGAGAAAGTGGCAACCGGGACGCAGTTGCAAGTGAGCTCATCCGCTACGACCAGGCTTAAACATCGCCAGCTCAATTGGGAATTGGAAAGGCTGCCGTCGTCTTTGCAACACCCCAATTCCGCAAGAATGGCCTCCTTCCCAACCGCTGTGCGGTCCAGCCGACGGATTGCGCTCAACTTTGTTCAACGACGTCCCATCTCCGACATCACCATCACTCGCACCGGGAAGCCAATTCTACGAACTCAGGGTGGACGGTATGGCTTTCAAGGGACTTGGTGTCGCCAATCGGCTCAGTGCTAACTACTTCTCTTTTACAGATCATCACTTGGAGGTACGTGTCGATGATGCGCATTTGAATGCTGCTCTAATCCGCTTCACTTGCAGGCCACACTGCTACGGTATTTGGCGCAACGGGGCAGCTTGGACGATACATTGTCAACCGATTAGGTACGAGTGATTATCACCCAGGGGACGAAGAATGGAACTGACTATATTGGTGCAGCTCGTCAAGGATGTCAGGTTGTAATCCCATACCGAGAGGAGATGGCCAAGCGCCATCTCAAAGTTACGGGTGACCTGGGCCGTGTACACTTTCTCGAATACGACCTATACAACACCGAATCCATCGAAGCCAGCGTTCGACATTCCGATGTGGTCTACAATTTGGTCGGCCGTGAATACCCAACCAAGAACTACAGCCTCGAGGATGTGCATGTCGAGGGAACGGAGCGAATATGCGAAGCTGTTGCGAAGTACGATGTCGATCGCTACATCCACGTCTCGTCGTATAATGCCGACCCCAACTCGTCCGTTGAGTTCTTCCGCACAAAGGGTCTTGGAGAACAGGTTGCCCGCAGCATCTTCCCGGAGACCACCATAGTCAGACCAGCACCTCTGTTCGGATTCGAGGACAGGCTTCTCCTGAGACTGGCTGGTGTTACCAACCTGTTCACATCCAACAACATGCAAGAGCGATATTGGCCAGTGCATGTGAGTCTACAGTGGGAATGCTGGTAAATAGGGGACGAGACACTGACGTACATAGTCTATCGACGTTGGTCGGGCTCTTGAAATCATGCTGTACGACGACACTACGGCTGGACAGACATACGAGCTCTATGGCCCTAAGAATTACTCGACAGAAGAGATCGCTGAGATGGTAGACCGCGAAATCTTCAAGAAGCGCAGGCACATCAACCTGCCGAAGGCTGTGTTGAAGCCCATTGCGGCAATCCTGAACCGCGTTCTTTGGTGGCCAATCATGTCCGCAGAGGAAATCGACAAGGAATTCGTCGACCAGCAGATTGATGAGACGGCAAAGACGTTCAAGGACCTGGGAATGGAAAACCTTGGAGAGATTAGCGATTATACATACCACTACTTGGTAAGCATACACCGTGCAATTTCATGGGGTGTCGAAACTAATACTATCACAGCAAGGATTCCGTAGCTCGTCATTCTATGATTTACCGCCCGCAACAGAAAAGGAGAAGCTGGAAGACAAGAAGTATATCCATGTGCTGGATGAACTATGAAGAAGCACCTTTCGCAAGCGCGTCTACTACGGGTAAATGAGAAAAACTCGATTGCACTGTACATATACACTAGACTCAGAGTTTCCTTGCCTCCTTGCCTCAATTTCCAGTTCGAAAAGTGTACATGATTGATTCCGGGGCCGTTGTATTGGTTGGGAAGTTTTCGACCTTTCGGCGGCATCTCAAGAGTTTCTGCCGATGAACTTTGTGGCCGAACTTGTGACTCCAAAAAATTGTTTTCAAGCTGGCAACGTAAAAAATCAAATTCACCCGACATCATCGACTCTCAAAATGTCAGACAGTGACGACGAACCCATGTAAGGCCAACCTGTGTTGTCCCCAGTATTTTTCTAATATGCCCAAACCAGAACTCTTTCGGGCCATGCTCTCGATGCGCTGAAGCAATTCTACGCTGAACGCGACGCCCACACGGCCAAGTTTGAGAAGCTTAACGCCGAGGCAGAGGAGAATGCAAAGTCAGGCAAGCCGCTCACAATTGAGTCCTTCTCGGAAGACTGGCAGGAGAGTCAGTTTTGGGTATGAGTCCCCATTTGGCCGTGCCTTCGGTTGCGCTGCATTACATCACCTTGACGACGTATGGAGTGAGCGAAGTTTGCTAATTGTAAATGTTTCGAATGCAGTACTCGGAAGAGACCGCATCTCTCCTTGCGAAGCAGCTGCTTAATGGCGCGACGCCGGACATGACGCTTGTGGTTGTGTCGGCGCCGAGTGTGTTTGTTCAGTTGAGGAATTTGGTAGTGAGTTACGTTCCAAGTTATTCTGCTTCCTGCTTCTTCTGCCTTCTGCCTACTATACTTTCATCTCAACGTTTAACTGAGAAAAGCATGACTTGTATCTGTTCAATGAGAATACTATCAGGAAACCTACTGGCTGAACTCTTTTTCTCAGAACCAAGCAGGACCCGATGCCCCCAAGCCAAAACTGTATCTCCTGGAGCACGATAACCGCTTCAACGTCTTTGGGTCTGAGTTCATCTTTTATGATCTGAACGAGCCGTTCAAGCTACCTCGTGAGTCTTCCCCTATCTATATATCTAGGCCATGCATCGTAGTGACATAACATGACTGACTCACATCCTCCCTAGCTGAACTGAAAGGCTGCGCAGACCGCATGATCTGCGACCCACCGTTCCTGAATGAGGACACACAGACCAAAGGTATATATACCTATGCACCTCTTTTCACATCTACCATCATACCTATACCCAACTCACCAAACGAACTAACAACTCCAACAGCAGCCCTGACCATCCGCTGGCTCGCCAAACCCCACACCACCCCCGAGCCCTCCCCGCGACTCATCGTTTGCACAGGCGAGCGTATGGAGCCCATTGTGACCAAGGTGTATAAGTCGTTCGGGCTGCAGACGACGACGTACGAGCCAACACACGCGCGGGGGTTGAGCAACGAGTTTTACTGCTATGCTAATTTTGAGGGCGAGGCGTGGAAGTGGGGGAAGCCTGTTCTGTCGGGGGAGAGGAAGGATGCGCAGGGCGTGGGTATGGAAAGTAAATGAGTGAGCGAACGAAAGGGGGCAAAGGGATGACGTCACCCCTTATGAGGAAATGGGTGCTGGAATTACTCCCTGTAGATGGTCATATCTGATGAGTTGGATCGATGACAGATGTGAGCCTGCTTGACTGTTTAAGCGTACAGTGAATACATAGTTGGTGTCAAAGTGCAAGGGCCCAAGTATACCCGAGGTAAACTCTTTGCCAGCATATACCACCTAACGTAGAGCCATGAAGTACTTCAAAGCTGCTGCGAAAGGCTTGTCTGTTGCCATCGACTGGATACGACGGAAGTGGCCAAGGTTGGAAAGGAAGCAGCAAATGACAAAACTCTTTGCTACTTCTTCACCCTTTGACAAGTGTTTGTTTTAAGCATAGAAACGGCATCTACAATGTCATACTGTCGTCTATTTCGGTATATCCGCTCCTGTTGCTTCAATCATGATCCCAAGCATTTTCATTGGGAGTTTTGTAGAAAACCGGGGAGTTATACCCTCCTGCATAATGGGTGGCCTCATTATACCCGGTCAAGCATGGAACACCCTGGGAAACTGTGGAATAGCTCCCATCAATCTGCATTCATCCTACTTCGACCACCAAGGAAATGAATGAACTTGCGAGCATGCTGATTATTCCATCAAAGTGCTAGGTTGAGCATGGGAAAGACTCAGTATGGTACTCTGTAGTCATTGTCCATCGTCATATATCTGTTTCCTTTCATTCTGCGTTACCATACGCTCTTATAAAAGCCGGAGTCCCGGGTCGTTGTGCATGTGTCACATTGATCCTGATGTGGGCAACTGAAAAGAACCATGTGGCCAAAGACATTTTTGGCTCTGGCTCAGAAAATCGGGCATCTCAGTTGAAGTTTTCCCGGACTGACATAGCCCTTCACAGGAGTAACCACAATCCTCATATCACAAACTATACAGGTTCAAACTTCTCATGATTAGATGCAAGGCATACGGTGATGTCACATATAACACTTTGGGTTCGACTCTTTTGGCGTTGCCACAGATACTACTATTCTCTATCCTAAGCCGACGGAAGCAATGCACCTTACAGAGATATACTTCCCATGCAGTCAATCAATGCGAGTTCTGTGGCCCTCGCATCCTTTTCACCAGCAACCTAACTCTTCGTTCAGGTTAGGGAGCGGATGATGTAGAAGAGGAGATAGGCGTTTGCGCTCAGAACTACCGATTTGTTGGCTAGCTCAACTTTGTGGTCATTAAATACAAACCATTGCTCGCCTACTCGGCAGTAGGAAAGGTAATGGCCTGAGAAATGTCAATATCAACTTGCCAGCTTCCGAAGGATGGGTGGCAGGGCATACCTGTGTCGATCTCGCCAACGTGGACCACGACACTCAAGAGGTCATATGTGCACGACCGGTTTAGCTCCTGGTTCTCACGGGCGTCTGGCGATCTTCCACGTGTTGTGTAGGGCAGCATGTTAAGCTGCAAGGGAAAGCGGACTGGGGTTTCGATCTTGGATGAACCCGAGTTTTTGCTGCTTTGCTTGAACTCAAATCTCTATAGGTTAACGGTCAGTATTCACTCTTCAACATTGGGCAGTAAAAGGTATCACTAGTATTACCTTGAGTTGTATGGACAACACGTTTGGCAACAGCTTTATACTGTGATCTCTACGCGCCTGCTGTGTTGTCTCGCAGTTCCGACAGCGGTACTCGCACTTGTCTGACTTGATGTACTCTTCGTCGAGACATTCTTGAAGAGTCAAGGTGCTTCTCAACGCCTTCTTTCCCCTCTTTTGAGTCAAGTTCTCTAGCCCTAAGCTCAGATCAAGGAAGGATTCAACTGCGTTCGTAACGCCACCACAATTTTGGCATGTCGTCTGACGCTGGAGCTTTCCGTAGAATGTTTGGTGGATGATACAGTTGCAAGTGTGCTCGCTTCCCGTTTCTGGTCTCCTGCCATCACCATTTCTCTCGTGCAATTCCTCAGCCAGGAACTGAAAGAATTCATGGGCGTCTTGCTCCTTGGTAGTAACAAGGTTCTCGAACGCCTTCTTTTCGCTGATCCAGAAGCCAGAGAGGATATTTGCCGCCGTGTAACCATTTGTCGATTCCTGGGCGTAGAAGTCTTGGAACATGTCGTCCATGGCGCAACTCAGACAATGCGATATTTGGCAATCCCCGCTCTGGTGACCATCGCTGAGGTAGAAGTTTCTGAGTAGAGGGTTGTGGAGGAAACTTTGAAGCACCACATTTTGGTAGCACGTGGCACCAGCATTGTAAATACCCCGGAGCCCATCTGCTCTGCAGGATGCCACATTCGTGTTCGTAGAAATGTAGCGCGGATCCTCCTTGACGGGATCCGAGAACATTTCTTCATGCTTTCGTTTGCGGCCTGTTCCCGTCACTAAATGTCCACTTGCATGTAAAGTTGCGCGAATAATCCCAGCTTCCAATGCACTAGCTGCTCCAGTATATGTGAAAGAAAATCAACTTACTGGTGAAGGATCCTGTGCCTATTTTTCTTACTCTCAATTCCTCGAGAGTTGGATCCCATACGAAGTCCTCGCAGAACTGACAGAAGAGAGCACCGCTCCTGGAATCCACGTAGAATCGGTGGCTTTTCTTTTGCCCGTGTTTTGTGCGGTCTTCCTCGGGAACAATCGTAGAGCATTGTAAACAGAGGTAGTTGGACGTAAGTGACGTGGTCACCACATTCTCCGGGCTCTTCGACGTTTGAGGCACGAGGGGCGAATTGTCGAAGATGACTCTCAGTAGCATCTTATAGTATGAGATGGAACTATTCATTACTTCTGGACTATTCGAAAGCAGAAGCTGTACATGTTCTATTGCACACGTTAGCTCGGCCGGCAGGGCACGGAATGATTTACTGACCACAGCCAAACAGAGGCGTCCCAGGCTGGGGAGGCTTTATTCGCACATTCTTGGGCGATGCTGGTGTTGCCGGTCTAGCAGCCATGTTGTCAAAGTGGCATGCAGGTATAAGTGTGCAGGGGAAGGTTTGAAATCGGAATAGCTGCCTCGCAATAGCTCGTTGGCGCGGGAAGTGGCCGATTGTTCAGGATCTTGATAAGGTACAATCGGTAGGGCTAGCACAGTTGTGGAGGACAATGCAACTTGGCGGAACTGCGAATGGCAGCGCAGCAATCTCTTATTGAAGCGATGGTTTAGAAACAATTTCGCAATGAGGCAAGAAACTGTTTCAATCGCAAGGGGAAGGGGCTGGTCATCAACGCCGGTCGAGGGGAAGCCGCGTTGGAGAGCAAGGCGCGGCTACGTTTGGGGGGGGGGGGGGGTGTCTCGTGAGATTGGGGTGCGATCGAAGCTCTGAGGGCAGGGTATCGTCAGCAATCGTGCCCAGGATATACATAATGACTTGAAAATTTAGATGTTCTGTCAATCACTTACAGTAAATACTCTATTTCCAATGCCGTTGTAAGTTGGGTGAAGATGGCTCTTCCAATCCAACAGCAACTCGGCTCAGTCGACCTGTTCGTTCATCACTGCTGCAAGGCGCTGGAAATTCTGTTATCAGCACCTGATTAACGTGATTAACGCCTTATCCGGACACTAGCGGCTGAGCTTCAGGGGTTCATCCTAGCTTTGACAAGGAGCTTAAACTGACCGACCACCGACCAACCCCAATCTCTGGCAATCTGCAAATGCGTTTGATTTGTGATACAAATGCTCTATGACGACCGATTTACAACCTCGGTATCGTCACAGCCGTGTCTTTTTTCTCGAGTACTTTATTGGGGTAAGCACCAAACGTTATCCGGCGTTCCGCTGCTCAGTCTGCAGCTTACTGCCTGCCTATAATGCATATTGAACCAACGCTTTATTACTTGTGACTCCGATCTTCATTACTTCCTGCCAATACTTGATATCGGTCTCAGCATCCACTCCTCGACTAACACCTGAGTTGTGTATTTGTTACAATTATCGCTGACTCTATTGACTTACTGTAAGAACCCCGTGGGGCATACGCATTCGGTACCCCCGATTCTCAGTGACCAGCGGCTCAAGTGGGCATGAAAGCTCTTCGAGCTACATCTGTGACCATCAAGAAAATGGCAGCGCAACTCATTTCCCTACCGGAGGTCGAACGCCTCAGCCCAACTTGCATTCGCATCCTTGGTGGAAACTCGGGCAAGTTCACACTTCAAGGGACGAATACCTATCTCCTAGGCACTGGATCGACGAGACTCCTCATTGACACTGGCGAAGGCAAGCCTTCATGGATTGCGGCATTGAAAAAGACTCTAGCAGACGAGCAGGCCACGATCAAGAGCGCACTGCTGACACATTGGCATCACGACCACATTCAGGGAGCTGGTGATTTATTGGAGCATTCCCCGGATACGGCGATCTACAAGTGTGATCCCCACGAGGGCTGGTTGGACATCAAAGATGGACAGACGTTCGAGGTTGAGGGGGCGACTTTGACAGCCGTTTACACACCAGGCCATACGACGGACCACATGGCATTTGTCCTACGCGACGAGAACGCTTTGTTCACGGGTGACAACGTCTTGGGTTACGGCACGGCAGTGTTCGAAGATTTGGGAACATATCTGCGAAGTCTCGAGAAGATGGAGAAGTTGGATGATGTTAAGGGCCGGGCATATCCGGGCCATGGTCCCGTTATCCGCAATGCGAAGACAACGATCCGGGAGTATATATCACACCGAAGGGAGAGGGAGGACCAGGTCTTGCAGACTCTGACATCTTGGAAGGCTGCTGAAGGTTCGCGACAAGTCAAGGGATGGACTGCTATGGATTTGGTCAAATTCATTTACAAGGACTATCCCGAAAGTCTATTCATTCCTGCTATGGGCGGGGTGGTGCAAATTCTACGCAAGTTACAAGCTGAGAAAAAGGTTGTTCTACTCCCAGGGAAAGACGACCGCTGGAGCCTGGAGGATCGGTCAAGTTTGTGAGGCTCGGGCTGAACGAGAGGACATGAAGAGACGATTATACACTATGGTTTCCGCGAAGATATGCTTACTTATCTTTGTAGGCAGCTGCCTGGTCCGAGTGGCATATGTGACCTGTATGATGACGAAGGAGCTTTAAACATGTCAGCACGGCAGCATTTGTTTGTTCTGTACACAACGTTTCGGGCTATACTATGTACATTGACTCCGTTCGGGTCAGCCGGACTTAATATGCCCACGCAACACAACAACCGCTTTCTCCGAACCTGATCTTTGGATGAGGATGGATCCAGTGGGCTGGTTGTTCTTTTTCCTTCACATGAACACGGCTACGAGGCTTGGATATCAATAGGCACCAGGTGAAACCTAGGTTTGGCGGGGTATTCTGTCAACTTGGAATTGTACGATTCGGGGGAATAACTGCAGGATGTGACGGCATTAGAGACATGTAATTGCTCAGCAGTTCGCATAGGTCTTACCATAAGTAGTGCTACGTACTGTACGCTGTGTTACGCGTCGACACTGCCTTGACTTGGCTTGCAGCGTACAAGACGATTGGGCTGTCAGAAGGATTCCGATGTTGCAGCTCGATACAACCTCATACTATACCCAGCAATTCGATTTCGTCGGACCAACTTGTAGCTTGCCCCCCGAACTGCCATTGGTACGTGCCCGCAGCATACTGACGCATGGGATGGACACTACGGAAGAGCACAATATGTTGTCAAAATCTGACTTGTGGGCGGCCTTGTACTCAACGCCTGCAACTTCATCCTCCAGCAGGCGAATAGAGTTGACATGAAGTCAGCCCAACGCCCCGGATCGCGCACACAAGGACCTTTCGCCACGAAGTGGCGAATCTTTTTTTTAAAGTGACCGGGCGTTGCTCGGCTTCTGCGAAACGGGAATGACGAGCCTAGGCGCTAAGATTTCGCGCCAGCGTTGTTCATGATGCTGATGCTGATGCTGGGAATAAGAATGCGACAGTGGGGGCACTGTGTGCTTAGATTGCGTGTGCTTACGGTTTAAGTCGCAGATCGCGATGCATGCTGTGATTGTGGCCTAAGACTGTTATTTAAGTGGTGCATGCTGCAGTAGGGTGGAACGTCGGGGTCCGATTTGGCACCGGAGCCGCTCGTTGGGATCCAACTTCGTCCTCCGAGTTTTATCGCGGGCAGTTCGGGAGCGAACAAATAGTTCAGTCCAATAGACGTTACAGAAGATCGGGTTGGTCGCTGGTTTATTCGAGTGTTGGTCATGTCTTTTACTTATAATTCGGGGGTTTCGGACAATAGCCATGGCAACGGCAAAGGTAACAAATCATATCATGAATTATGAGCTCCGTGAATGGTGGTGGTGTTGGTCAGCTCGTTTACCACTACAACTCCAAATATGGTGACATGTGAGGCTCCTCCAAATCCCGTTCTACTATCATATATAGTACGGGGAGCCGGGCTTTCCTCTATGTATAGCTAAGTTTGCGACCAGTCGATCGACGAGTTGGGTAGAAAATCTGACAACCATTTTAGCGACCACCTTGCTTCGGTATGATGGTGGGGAAGATGGTACGAGTAGAGTCATCTGGAGAAGTGGTGGCGTAAGGTTGTGAATCAGCATCGTGTGGAAACATGAATATGCAACCAGACCCCTCCAAAGACCCCTCCCCCATGTCCACTTCGCAACGTATGATATTTCCTTGGTACTGGAAATGTTTCTAGACCTTCACGATCGTCTAATATGTACTGAAAAAGAAGAAGAAGAAGAAGAAAAAGAAGAAGCTCCACCGTAGCCCCCCTGAAGGAAACGTCTGCGACAAAGAGAAGCCACGTTTTCTCGAATGTGCCGATTTCCGCGGTGTTGTTGATGTACAATTGTAGAGGTTTTGCTGGTCCTACGGCATGCTCGGCAATCACACCACGCTACCGCCCGCGGCCTGCATGAGGTGTACAGTAATCAACCCATGCTGCCGCGCGATCCATACTACACTGTCCGATATTACCGGAGGATGGGTTTCTTCCAGATTGGTAATTCGAATTCGCTGTTACCTGAGGCTCGGGAGGGCTTTGCAACTGCGCCAAGATGAGCCTGAGCCTTGGTCTGGAGTTCTGTGACCAACACGGATCCGAGGTCTCAGACTAACATAGTGCAGCTGGGTTGAGTAAGAACTGGAATCGAAACGCATGGTTTGGCTATTTAGGAATTCGAAGCATGAAATGGATGCCAGTCGTGTGAGGTTTGGAGTGGAGTGTAAGTCGCAGTTCCACAACTGACTGACCTTGGCAACAATCGGAGATATCTGACAGAAAAATGCACTTGTATAAAGCTCTTGCTCTGTTACAGGCGCGAGGTGGGGGAGCACGGATCTTTCGGTACTCGCACCACACTTGCACATGTGTACATAAGTGTATGCATCGCCATTGGCCAGTAGCGTAAGCCGAAGTTGCAGGCGATTGGCGTCCTCGCATGCAGGGCTGGGTGGTGGTATGCGGGTCAAGTCAGAAATGATGCGGTTTCCAAACGACATGGGAATAGCCAGCTTGCACCTGGGGACAGCTCTCCACCATCATACACACTTACCGCCGGTTTAGATTTTCGACGATTTCTGTGTCATAGTGGATGTCGGAAGCTTCGGATCCATTCTGCGTGGGTATTGTTTGTAACGAGTACCATCGAACGTCAGCGAACTGATTTGCGATCGATCAGTAGATGGAAATGCGCACGGGCAGTCTGACTTACTACACCCCTTCGGCCTTTCCAACCTCGCCGGCGCCGCGGCCGCTCCCAAGGCTCCATTTTCCTAACTTATATCCTGCCAAGTACCTTAAGTACCTTCCCTTCCCACCCAAGATGCATCGTGAGTTGCTTCCCCTCCGCTTGGCTTCTCGGCGACTAGACGAGCTTCGTCCTGTCTCTACCTTTATATCACTCTCTCCCTGAAGATCTCTGTCTCTTGTTCCTACAAACTCGTCGAACTGTTTGCTTATCCTGCAAGCGCAACTTTCAATTTCATTTCGATCTGGAAAAGTTCGTAGCATCGGCGCAAAACGGCCAGAGATCTCTTCACTTGGTATTCGGTTCGACAAGATATGACTTGTTGAATACCCGGCTGCGCAAACGTCCAAACTTCAACGTAGACACTTCGACCTCGCTGAACCATGAGGTCGACAACGAGAACAGTGCTGACGGCGCTCGCTGCCGTCGCAGTTGTAGGCACGCTTCCCACGGTCTTGGCGCATGGCGACGATGGAGGCATGGATATGGACATGGACATAAGTGCTGGCGACGAAGCAAAACCAGATCCGGATTCGTATCCGCAGACGTATTTCTCATACGCGGCGCATGCGGGTGTAATGTATGCGCATATTATACTCATGGTGATTTCCTGGGTCCTCGTGTTACCAATAGGTGAGAGGCGCAACTTCACGACGACCGACACCTATTTAGGAGACTGACCCTTTTCCCCTACCTAGGCCTTATGTTCTCGATTGCCCGATCACGATATACACTTCCGACCCAATTCCTGTTCCTCGCCACCAATGCTGTGGGCGTCTTGCTGGGCATCAATTACAACGCAAACACGCCCGATTTATACCCCAACAACGCACATCACAAAATTGGCTGGATAGCAACATGGATGGTCTCGACGCAAGTTCTCATCAGTCTTATCGGCCGCGTGGCAGGAGTCATGGGTCGTGATGCGCCGCAGCTACACGGCAAGGAAGAGTCGCAGGCTTTCATACCCGTTTCGACGGAGAACATGGCGGAGCACGATACGATGTACACGCAAACCTATCGACATTCCAACGATAGCGGCCAAGGCACCGAGCCCAATACTGATTCTTTGCGTAGCAGCCATTCGCATTCGACTTCCGGTCAGGACTCGCCGATGGAGTTGCGAGACCGGAGAATGGACTACGATGTAGATGAAGATCTCGAGTTCAAAGCGGTCGAGTTGAACCCGCCCAAGGCAGACTCGCTACTTGCTAAGGTGGCTGGCAAGATTTCCATGCGAGCCTGGAAGCTTCTGCTTTTTGGGTACAATTTCATGGATAGAACAATGCTCGTGCTTGGTTACATTGCATTGGTGACTGGTATCGTTACGTACGGGCGCTTCTTCGTAAGTGAAACCGAGGACAATCGCACGTAAACCGTCTCTAACACAATATGATAGGAGGGGCATGGCATATTCAGCGGTCTCGCTCATTGGATAAAAGGCAGCATCTTCTTTTGGTACGGTATCTTGACTTTGGGTAGATGGTCTGGCAGCTTTGGAGAGCTCGGCTGGGCGTGGAACGTCAGACCGAAGCCTAGCTCCCAGAAATGGAGACCGACTGCTGAATTCGTCGAAGGTGCTCTCATCTTCACCTACGGATCGACCAATATTTTCCTGGAGCATCTCGGCAACTCGAGCAAGGAGTACAGCCCTCAGGATCTGGAGCACATCTCGATTACAGTACTGTTCATCGGAGGCGGTCTGCTAGCGATGCTCATAGAGTCCACCAATATCCGCGATCTCCTCAACACCACCGTTACGGAAGCGATATTGTCGCAGGCGGATCATGCGTACAGTGACGAAGAGCGCGCGGCCCTACAAGCTCCGAGACAGTACGAATTTTCCATCAATCCGATCCCAGCTGTGGTGATTCTGCTGCTGGGCATCATGATGAGCTCCCACACGCAACAGTCCATGATCTCAAGCATGGTGCACAAGCAATGGGGCAACTTGCTCACGGGTGCTTCTTTCGCCCGCGGCTTAACTTACGTGCTGTTGTATGTGAAGCCGCCTCGTTCCGTGATGCCTTCTCGGCCGCCGACTGAACTGCTTACGGCGTTTGGTCTCATTGCGGGCGGCATGATCTTCATGGCCAGCGTAAGCTTTCAAACCACTCCAAATTAAGAGATATAAGTATCTAACTCAGCTACAGAGCAGTGATACTATCAATGGCATGATTCACTATAACCTGGACGCCATGTTCTTCTACACCGTCACCATGGGCTTCGTAGGCCTACTCATGGCCTGGATTGTTCTGGTGCTAGCCCTCAAGGGCTGGGCGGTGCGCAAGGAGATGGGTCACCCATTGCAGGGTTCGTGGAATGGAGCCACGAGTGTTTGAATTGAGCGACGGTGCATCTTGGTTTTTGAGTCTATCAAACGAAGCATGGACACAGGCGGACAACGTCCACAATAGCTTTCATGATGGATTCCCCGGCGCATTTGGGTTCACGATACCCCTCCCTTACTTTTTCTGCGTTCTGGACTATCGTTATTATTTGCGGCTATGATACCCTTAAAACTTGATTGGATTGGTTGAGTACGCGTTGCGAGTAGGACGATATGGCGAAGTCGAGGGCAGTAGGGGCTAATGAACTGAACATAGGTGTGGTACCGAGCGAAGGTGGATGGAAACTGTAATGAGACACGAACAATTTCTACTCAGGACGTAATGCAAAGAAAGTTCGAATAAGAAATTCAACTTACTGTGCATTGATGAAGGATTGCATATAACTTGACTCTCCGGGAGTTGTTGGTTCGATATAAGTAGAAGGGTTCAATACCTCCAACATACGTTACAATTGTTGATTTGAAATGTGCCGCTGGTCGTTTTCACTTGTCGCTTTCAATGCGAATTTCCCCAGCGGAACGAGTATAGTATATTACAAAATATGTACAGAAAACGAGTAACATTCCATCGAACCAACCCTTCATCATCTAAGATCATAGCTCTTCCCCGAATATCTCGCAAAGACTACATACGGTATGGGATATATCTATCAAATATATATTTCTGCGTTAGTCGCAAATAGTTGATAAATCAGGTAACTACAGACTTTTGAAGTTCGTTCCCACAGTGTAAAAGATTCTAAGTAGGCGGGGCAGATGTGCGAAACAATTCCATCATTGAACAGTAGTACTATGATAAAAGCAGCAACAATTCACTTCACTCAGAGCATCCGCGTCTGTATAGATTCAGATGATCAGTCTTGACAAAGATTGAAAATTTCAACAGCATATAGTGAGGCACCGTTGTAGTCCGTAGACCGTAAGTAAGTATGTACCTACTACGGGTGAAACGTAGCGCATGTGGCGCTGAAGTACTGCTTTCTTGGAAAAAGCAACCCCTAATATAGGGAGCTTTATGGACAATAAATCTCAACACAGTATAAGAACACGACTGGTTTCTTCAAACATGTCGCGGTGCCAGAGTGGTTAATGGGTAAGACTTGAATAAATCAAAGATTATTCAGCCATCTTATGGCTTCGGCCTCGCAAGTTCGAATCTTGTCCGCGACGAATTTTTAATGTTCATTATTTTTGAATCGTGCGTTTTGTCTTTTGGCGTTTTTATTAGATTTTGTAGAATTTCGGGTTGGAAGTGAGGTTCAATTCTCTACATGCTGCTTGTCTGGACAATCTGAAGAACTACTATGGTATCATGGGTAAGTTTTCTATTGCGTGTTTGTACTGTGCCCCACCTAGGCACGCGCCAACTCTTCGCTACCTGGCTTGAAGGGACCTTCATAGCTGTCTGAATATGATTAAGAGAAAACGTTGTAGTAGTGTGAATTTCGGCTTTCAATTTACCACCGTCGAAATATAGGGTTCGAATTCGTTGGCGATCCGCTTCTGTAAGGTGTTTAGTCCCCATTGTAGTTGCTGAATACGCGATAATTAGGACGCGTTAACAGCAAGTTGGAATCAGAGGTGGAAGTACCTTTTCGTTACCATGAGTAGGCTAGGCAAGAATCAGTATAGCGTTACCTTGACAGTGGTCCACTAGTACTTGTCAAGGGGGTGAAAACTTTGGCCTGATACCGTAGTATATACATAGGTAGAGTTTACCCCGCCTCCAGCGCTGTTTCAGGTACATTTCGGACACCTGTATATCTCCAAGCGAGTGCAGTACTAGATACTAAATATTGCTGACAGATTTTAATCGCTTACCCTTTTCTACATACTGGCTACTTACTCCACACATATTACTTACTTATTTGCGGATTCTTTTTTTTTTAAAATCTCTCCCTGTTCCCTTGCAATTCCCCAGGTGTGTTTGTTTACTTCCTTCCCCTAGTGATATAATATTCTCGTCTGGTTTTTGTTTCATGGAACAGTATTAAATGAATGTCTGTCTCCCGGGAACAGATGTAGGCCGATACGTCTTCAACATATGGTAAGCTATATCGAGGAAGATGGGACCATGTAAAAGTGACGAAAAATTGTTGTTGATTCGGCTATAGGGCATTACTACCTACCATGCATGTACAGGCTACAAGTCTAATGCTGTAAAATGCAAGAACCAAAACTCCACCCCAGATAATCCCATCTGGGACATGCATGCTGTACGTAAGCAAGGACGACGAGAAATACTCCAAAGTTCCCAAAGACCTACTAGTCAGACACGATATCCACCACCGTGAGCTTCTCAAACTTCTTTTCAACCTCCTTGGTCTCCAACTCCGGGCTTGGCCCCTTTCCTTCCTGCTGCCGCGTTTTCCATCGACTCGCGACCGTAGTCATCATATCCTTAAAGCTCAACTTCTGCCCCTCCGCCTTCAGCACCTTCATCTCCTTCGACACAAACTCCTGATACGCGCTCTTCTTCCCCTGGCCCCCTCCTCTCGGCACAGGCTTAACCTGCTCCAACGAGCCCCGACACCTTCCACAACGCTGCTTGACGGGATCAACACTTTTGGAGTGTCGATGCACCTCGGTCGTGCACTCGACGCACCGCCAGATGTACTTATAGTCGATCTCGTAGCTGTGTTTAGTCGTGACAACGACCCCCCTGTCTCCAAACACATCCATGCACTTCTTGCCCCAGGCCTTGAACTCGGCGCCGTGGGCGAATTTTGGCTTGCCGTCGAGCATGAATGTCGCGAGGTGGCAGAACTCGTGCGCCACCGTGTTGAGGAGGTTGTCCTCGGTGGTCAGGACCTTAGAGGCGAGCTCGATGAAGGCGTGGTGCTGGCGTTCCTGGACGGAACTGACGGAGCCGTCGGGGAGCTGCGTCATGGTCACCACTTCTTTGCACTTCCAGTGTGCGCGGCCGGCTGTGGATTGAAGACTCGTCGACCATTGCGTGCGTATGCCGCCGGTGGAGGCCGTGAGTTTCGTGAGCTTGCCCGCGGTGATGCGCTCGTCGAGTTCGTGGAGGAAGCGTTGTGCGAGCGCGTCCTTGGTCTGATCAAAGGTCTTCTTCGCGTCGCGCTTCTTGGGACTCGTGCCGTACTTTTCCTTCAGGTTGACCTTGATGTCCTTAGTTCCTGCCACTGGCTTGGTCCTGCTCGGCTTAGCTGGCGAGTGTTGGTCGATCCACTTGTTCTGAACCTCTGGGTCCCAAAATTCCTTATGTTCGGGTTTCCAGGGCGACATGGGAATCCTAGGCGCCTTTTCAGGTGAGAGGACCAAGGTCTTCTTTGGGGTTATTGGACACAGATCCGGCTTGGTGTCGGGCTTCTCATCATCGCTCTCGTCCATCTCTCTGGCGTAGATCCGAAGTTTGTCAAACGCGTCCTCGAGATTGGCCCCTTTGCAGTTCTTGCTCTCATTCTTAGTAGTCTTACGAGGCGGGGTCTGGGGTGTGACTAGCCCCTTGTCTGGATTGCCCGGTTTGCCAGTTCGATGAATTGGTTCGTTTGTCGGCGTCGTAGAGCATGCCTCCTTCTTTGTTGGCTGTTTGGCTGGTGGTAGTAGCCTCACCGTTTTGAGTCGCGGTGCACTAGTACTCCTCAGACGTTCCGCCGGGGGTGTCGCATCTAGGTCGGAGAAAGAACTATCTGAATCTGTAGCCAGAGACAAAGCCGTGACGAATTCGGATTCGGATTCGGACGATTCCTCACTGCTCGACTCTGGCTTATCGGCAATGATGGGGGCCACTTCCACAATCCTCTTCGGGTCTGCTGCCTCGTCTTTTGCCTTCATAGATGTCGACCTTTTTATTGCCTTTTCCAGGGGTTTGCTTTGGGCACTCCTCGACTCCTGTGCCGTGGCTTGGGACTGGTGCCTCCTCCCAGGTACAATGCCATCTTCGAAAGAGTTATTCATTGAATCTGCCGCCAAGGAAACTTGGGCAATATCCGAGGACTTCTCTCTCGTCTCTCGGATGCGCATACGAGATACCCTCGTCTTGGAGGCTCCTTCAATCGCCGTCTCCTTCGATACCTTTCTCGATCCGTCGTCGGCCCATTTTTGAAAAAGAGAGCCGTCCAAAGCCTGTGGGTTCCCTAATTTCCGTCGCCGTAGCGGTGTGCCCTTTGAACGCGAAGCTGGAGTAGTTGCATTCCCGATGTCTCCCTGCGATGTTTTATCCTGTTTCGACGCATTCTCGTTGTCTGCCCCGCGTGGTGGTTCCTTCGACGCTGTTGCTGTTCTTCTTTCCTTTGCACGCCTGGCAATCACCTCGAGAGCCGGTAGCTCTTCGTCTTCGCAGTTAGAGTCGTACGTGAGTCTTGCCATGATTGCGGTGGCGACATGTGATGCCTTGGTTGGTGGCGGTTGGTGGCGTCAATTCGAGATTCGCAATGTTGAGTTGCGCATGCGGTTGCTATGGACAACGCATCGGCGCAAAGTGCAGGGACCAGGGGAGGTAGGATGGTCCGGTACCTGCATCAAACGATTATGCAACTATTCAGGTAGACTTCTGCGTCCTCCAATAAATCTCACTTTTTTCGTCTTCAAGGACTATCCATGGCTCTTCATGAATCGGCTTTCAACATGCATGCCACAGTGTACCATTACGGTGGCAAGCAGATAAACTTGCATTCTCTAGGTTGCATACAACGTGGTCATTGACACCCATCTTCGGAGTCATGCCCGTTAGCCAAGAGACTCGGCAGTCACACACTGTTAGCATCCAAGGCTCGGCTGGCGGAGAGAGCAACTGGACAGTTTCCGGGGTTCGTTTTACCATGTGTGTCCTATTCATTCGATCTTAATGCGAACATCATGTGGCTGCGCTGTTTGGTCTGGGAAGCCTGCTACTGAATCGATGTCGCCAGGCCTGCGTCGCAGAACTGCATCATCAGGCCGAATGCTGTCAAACATGAGTTGATGAGCCTGCCAAAGTATAAAATGGCTCGATATTTCCCTTTTGCATCATGCCTTCAGGCTGTCCGTAGTACTTGAGGGTCATGCTTCGTATCGTTGGAGGCAGCTGCTAAAGTGCAGATGGTAGATCTGCTAATATCAGCTGTCCTCATTCTTCTCGGGTAAGTGCTGTGCCAATTAAAGGCAGCATGTCTGCAAAATAGTACTACTTCAAGTGATATGAGAGCATTAAGTACGATGGGTGAATTGTATATTAGCTCTTGTCAGCATGTGCACTCTCACAGGGAGGTGAAAGACCACAGTTCGAAGGGTAGACACCAGGCGAGACTCGAATAGGCACAAGCAAGTATAAATGAATGCCCCAAAGTCTGAGACTCTCTTTCTCTGTCTCCCTCTCGGTGAGCACTTCCAAGCATCTTCTAAAGTCTGTAATAGTCCTCATCCGCGGGGTATAGCACTAGCCCATTCACTACCGCAACCTTATTGACCCCCTTAGAGTCTATGGCTACACAGTACTCGCACCTCCTAATGCTACGGCCCGTTTAAACGACTTTATTACCGGTAAGTCCTACCGCGATGACGTGAAACCCACCGACGGGGTGCTTGTCCCACGATTTGACACTGGGACGGAAGCCGTGATGGTCGCTCATAGCTACGCAGGCATCCCCGCAACAACAAATTTGAAAGGACAGGTGGTAGACGAGCGCGCCGCCAAGGCCTTAAGGGAGGTGTGAAGTCGATACTGTACTTTGCTGCTGCGGCTGCTCCGCAGCGGGGGATGAGTTTGCATATGCTGGAGGGCTATCGATGGTCTGATTGGCACAGACAGGAGGTAACAGGATTCTGGAATCATGTTTTGGAGATTGTACTTCCACGTGTCGGGTGAGATGCGGATGTTGAATCCGCATTTCGATATGATCTTCTACGACGACCTTGATGGAGGAGGAAAGAAAGAAGCATGTCGCTGGTTTATTGAACCAGAGCCAAGCTAGCCTGGTCACGGGGGAAAATCATGCGGTCACTGATGAGAAGATTTCGAAGACATATATAGTCTGTACTGAGTATAAGCGTATTCCTCCATACGGGAGGCAGGTCATGGCTTGTGCTGCTGAGGCTAGGGTTGTTGAGTTGCTTGTGGGCATAGTCTGCATTCGAAGAAGACGGAATCAAAGAATAAAAGGAGCTGTTTGAACTCCTTGGGGAGATATCTGCATAACGCTGTCCAGCGGAGGTATGCGCCGGGAAACAAATAAAACTATCAATTGGTTGTTATGCATAGTAGAGTGTCTAGCTCTCTTTACACAATGCGCTTTTATAAACTAAACCTACAATACATGCTTGTCTATATGGCTGGATCAATTACCTTCTATCCATTGTGGCCCAATATGCAATGTCCTACCATGTGGTTTAACAAGACACCGCAATGATAAGTTCAATGTTGGAAATACCGCCATCTCTTGAGACATCGATGTAGGTGTGTTCTAACTTTCATAGGCCGAGTGAGATGGACCAGACGCACTCGAACACATCCCCTTTGCTCGAAACTTCCGCTGGGCGACGCCGATTGCAATCAATTTTCCATATTTGACCTCACGTCGTGTCGCATGCGATACGTCCGCCAGGGGATGAACTTCTTCCAGCAGGCCGCCGCCTTGTAGTTTATAGAGGCTCTTCAATAAACCTTCCGACACACCCCATCCTTCTCCCAACACGGGTCTGGCCGGTGTACATCCCGTATAGGCCAATAAGAAGAATACATACTCACTGATAGCGTGTTCTATCATAACACCACTACTCAGCGCCCCCCTGATATTGCTTTCTCTCAAATATACGAGGACGAATAAAGGGGCCCTGGAGGTGCCAACTTGAGCCGCCGTGTGGGCATTGAAGCTTAGCCAGGCAGATTTCTTCCTGTCACTATGGTGCTCATTGCTGCCCCTTTTCCTAAAAAATATGGAAGTTGCCATGCTCTCACCTACACTATTTAGAGGGACGATTCTCAGCTACACGGCTTGTCATATGTCCTTAAAACTATAATCTACTTCGTGGAGATTCCCTTGGGAACTTTGGAATTTCGGATGCTGTGTCTGCCCCCGCCGGTCTGCTCAATGCATTCTGAGGTTCGATATTCTCCGTACAGGTGCATACTACGGTCCTCAACAGTCTCTTCAATTTCTAGGAAACAGTCTCCGGTCTAAGGCCTGTTGGCACGATGAGGCACCATCTGCTTTCTGACACGCCGGTCAGTCTGTTGTAGTTTGTGATTGATGGTGGCGTCCCCACGCTGCCACACGTGATATATGCAATTGTGTACTAGGAAAGAAAAGAATCAGCTGGCCAACTCTACGGGTATTACGTATTGAGAGAAGTGCCGAGTTCTGAGCTATGGCAGGTGACCAGGAAAGTAATCGACCGATGTTTAGGCCTTGAAGCTTAGCTCTCGTTCCAAGGTTTATTGGAATTCTCATGTAGTGGACTATTGAATCATGAGCTGCTCGATTATCATCCTCCTGTCCAAGGGCCCTGTCCTAGGTGAGAACGGGCTCGCCGTCGTCTGTTGCAGAGTGTTGTTCGTCCTCGAAGCCTGCTAGTCCCTGTCGCTGCTACCGCTGCTATCAGGCTCTCCTCGATCACGTTTTGGGCCGACTTGTGAGCAGTCAGAAGTAGCAACCAGGGACATCGGTTTGGCGCCTTGGCGAGGCTTTTCGACATGGTGTAGTGAACCTGACGCTTGTGGGACTTTTGTGAGTCCTTCTTGGACACCGGTCGCGGAAATGGTCCACCTAGCCCTAACGGTCGACTCGTAATGCTGTACTTAGAAATACGGAAAAATCTCTCAGCTGTATGATGGCTACGGATGTTATGACTAGCCATGATTTTGTAGGTTTAGTATAACTAGGGGATCGAACAGGCATGGGAAAGAGCCGTTCTCAGAGAAGGCTGCAGAGAAAAGCCGCCAATGAAGATTGATCGCTTGCATTGACATCACCTACATCTCCGCGTGTATTATCTCCAGCTACACCTTGATCCGCTTAGAGTTTGACAATGTCAACATTATATGAGATGAGACTAAATTAAAGCATCACGTGCATCCTTTTCTCGTCGGAGATCGGGATCCGCAAAAAAACAAGCAGCTATGTACTAGAATTCGGGCGAGAAATACTACTTGTGGTAGCAAGTTGTTCCGTCTGATCTTCATCATTGACAGGACCTAATAAGGAACGGCCAGTTGAGAAGGATAACAAGCAGACCGGCAATTGGCATGATATGAAATATTGCGACTAAGCAAGATGACGATGGTGTAGCAATACCATTCGTTGCATTTGTTCCCATGTCTACGAAGTACCGGGCGTTGTTACAAACCCCTAGTAAGAATGCATTAGACACTGTCCCATGACTCCACCGCAAAACTCCCCGGCGCCTCAAAAGCCTGCAAACGATGTCTGAGGCGCAGCCCACTTGGAAACGTTGACAGTTTGGCTTGACCCTGGAATCATTTCGAGATCAGCCAACTGTGTGACAAAGAGTGAGCGGTGTAAAGTTTTGACGCTCGCGTTTCTCTTTTGCCAACTGGCGTGATGTTGTCCATGACCGCGATTTTCTCCAGAAGCCGATGTATCGCTCGCGTGTCGGCGCGCCCCTGAACAGCCCTGAACTCATTCGGGAACGGGAAGCTTGTCCGAAGATTGGATGGAGACAGATGGACACACAGACTGTCAGCTGCGGGGTCCACGCACCCACGAGCAGGACTCGAACTCTCAGCTCTGCAAATCATCCAGTTCGAAATCAGGCAATACTACAGTTACTTCCGGTAACTTCAGATCGTCGGCACGAGTTTCGCTAGTGGTAGCAGGGGGTGTATTCCCGGCAGTAACAGTGAATAGTAGATCTGCCAAGCTGACGATGTCAGCTATGAATCGCAGCTAGCCAAGTCCCAAGTGAGTACAGTATCTTGTAGGTATTCGACGTGACCTTATGTGAAAGTTTCCAAGATCATAAACCCGCATGATTCAGGCATATTGACATGCGGCTTGTCGAGGAGAGCCGATAGGTAGAAGCCAACAAGTAGGTAGAACACTGCTCCGTTTTTCCTATGCAAGAAGCAAGATATATTGATCCAAAATTAGCAGCTTCGTCATTGGAGTTATGAAAGGAGGTGGAACCATGAATGCGTGCTCTCTGGTGGTCCATGTAAGAACAAAAAGACCACTCGCTCGGCCGGTACCTGCATACAACGGTCCGGTTTTCTAACATTTGCCGGCCTTTGACTGGTCAAAGTGTGTCTCCTCACTGCGTTCGGTGCTACTAAACATATACGGTATCTATCTTCGCGACCCGTCTGGTCTAGACGTTTTTTTTTAGTCCTGCAGATGTACGAAAAGTGACCAGGGTGTAGTCGCACAGAAATTCTCTAGACTCCACTGACGAAGAAGTGTACAAGCTTGGTTGTGAGAGATACGGACAGTGGACTTTCCTGCTTGCCAGTTGGCAGATGGCGGGAGGATTCCTCGACAATGAAAGGATGCGGGCGGCCGGTGACCAACCCACCCCGGGAACTTCCACCAGTGATCCATCGATTGGGAACGAACGTCAGGCTGGAGTGGCAAATTAGAACTGTGCAATTGGCGGTTGGGTATCGAAGTTGTCGATCATCTCTCCTCGGGGCGTCGATAGATGCATGTACTTTGAGGCGTGGTTTCGTAGCAGGCGTTGTGTACAGTTCGCGTGTAGCGCGTCCATCTCATGCTGCTTTCCCACTGTGGCCTTTTTTGCCTTCCATATCGTTTTCTTAGAAGCCATCGCTGCATTGGGGTAGACTTCTGACCAGTACATACATAGTGGGGTGGCACAAGACGATACGGTACGAACTACAGGAAGATCCGCTTTCCTGCATAGAATACTAACGACGACTTTTACTCCTTGCTCGTTGGTTACAGAGAATTGACGGCGATCCTGTTGTCTTTATTAATATGGAAAAGGCGAATGTCGAGGCACTGCTAAACTGCATCGATGATGATTTGACAATGCATCCCCATAAGTGGCTAGTAGCTGACGAAGGCTGGAGGGGTTCGATTCACTGGTTGATGAAGCAGGCTGCGGTCGTTGAAGGCGAAAACCTGATTTTTACAGCGAATGGCCGTGGGCACCGACTCCGTTAGGAGGCCGCGAAAACCAGCTTTTGAGATTTCATTGGCAGTATTGCAGGTACTGATGCAGCTGCGGTACTGATGCAGCTGCGGTACTTGAGCGGTACTTAAGTGCGTACAAACCGACGCTAGTCATGTTAACCGAGTACATGATAACGAGTCCATGGTGGCGAAGCAATGCACAAACTCGTAATCCAAATTGCCTCTTTCACTGGCTTGTTTGGTCTGTTTAGGCACTGTTGATTTCGCAGGCTAAGGTAATCAAATTGTTGATAGACCACAAAACTCCATTCTGAATGAACATACAATGGTGGCTTGATGAGAACAAATATTCCATATCAGTTAAGCATTTAGCTCGGAGCTTGCTAGCAGCTCTTCCTGGAGTATCAAGTATTATCCTTAATGCTCGAGGTGACAGCTGCTTCAAGCTCCAGAAATTTCTCCATCAGTGGTGCCGCGGGTACATGCGCAATACTCAGCTACGGACACTTGGGATGACAAAGTACCCTTCTTGTCACCATGGAGATTTGCAGTTAAGCAGTACTTTCGGCCTCCTGAAATCCGGATGGCAGAAGCGAACATCCAACCACCTTGTAACCCCTGCGAATCCTGCGCCTGAACGAACCCAATTTGACCCTTTTCGGCAGCTCCACCACCCCTTTCCTTAGTTCTCTCAGGCACGGGTGAGCGACGCAGCTTTCCAGGGCAGGGAACTTGAATGTTGAACAATTACAGGGACTATCGCCTCTCACATTCGTAGCCACTTATCCATCTCGATCTGCCAGTGTCATTCTCTTCCTGATTCATTCCCTTTTTCCCCCCTTCATCCCCCTCGTAAACAGTTTCACACTCGCTTCCCTTGAATTCTTTTGGTCTGCTCGATATTTGGCGGCAAGGCTGTTAAGGAAAGCAGTTCGACGAGCGAAGGAATTGAGGGGCAAGCTCCGACTTCCAGTCTTTCGTTACCCCTTTTTGTTCCCAAACCCGATTTTGTGATTGCCTGCGCCGCAACGCACTCTCGTTTTCTGCGTCCACGCAACACAAAAGAATATCTAGGAAGAGACACCTTGAACCAACTCGCCTTGTTCATCAATCCGGGCTTGACGACGATTCCAGTCAATCGCTCATACACACCCAAGCCTGCTCGAATTGGAAGGAAAAAAGGATTGGCACAGGAACTGAACGCCAACGCGCTAGTGACTGAGACGCCGACCGACCCGTTGCAGCGCTGCTAGGTCAACGAAAAGCATCTAAAACACGCCGCGTACCAATCTACTCACGCCAGCCAACCGCCTCCTTTTCCATCCAATCCACCCCCAATCAGTCACGACAGCGATTTCCTCAGAATCACGTCAACGTCACAACAATCGCTCTTGCTGTGGCCGGCCACAACTCACATTGTTTCTCGTCGTTTTACGGGAACGGTCCGTTAATAATCTTAATCACTGCAAACTCACTTGCTGCTTCTTTTTTGCGACACGTTTGAGCAATTGCATTTGAACTCAATTCCCATGAGTCTGAAATGTAAGTGACAAACCTCCCGCGTTGGTACAGCCAACTACTGCACGTAGCAAGGCACCAAAACACTGCACACGAAACACCTGGCCCAACCTCTCCTGATCCTCCTTCTTCATTGCACCTGCCACAATTGCCCTCATACAATATCGCGGAGCAGCGACACGATTCCTGATGCATTTTTCTGACTCTATCTCTCCAGAACCACGCCGCACCCGAGACCTAGCCCCATTCATCCCCCAAGATGTCGGGCTACCCAGCAGGCGGTGGCCACGACTACGGTGATGGTTACGGCCATCCCCAGGGTCAAAACACTGATTCGTACTACGAGGATGAGCACAACCAACAGTATTACGACAACAACGGTTACGATGCGCATGGCCAGCAGCCAGGTAACGCCAATGACGGTTTCTACGATGAATCGTGAGTGCCTGGTCTCAACCACCCCTCTGTAGCAACTAATCTAATTTTGTCTTCACAGTGGCTACTACAACGCGGATCCCCAGAACCCGTACCACCAAGATGGTGGCTACTACGACAACAACGCAAACGAGCAGTACCAGGACGAATACTACAATGACGGCCACCCCGAGGGTCATGCCGACGGTCAGTACTACGATCAAGCTGGCTACCAGCAGGGCGCAGGGTACGGACCCAATGGTCGTTCCGAGGACGACTCCGAGACCTTCAGCGACTTCACCATGAGGTCCGACATGGCCCGCGCTGCCGATATGGATTACTACGGCCGCGGCGACGAGAGATACAACAGCTACGCTGAGGGCCAGGCCCGAGGGTTCCGTCCGCCCTCCTCCCAAATTTCGTACGGCGGCAACCGTTCGTCTGGCGCTTCGACTCCGAACTATGGTATGGACTACGGCAATGTTCTACCTGCCGGTCAACGTTCGCGTGAACCCTACCCTGCCTGGACCAGCGATGCCCAGATTCCGCTTTCGAAGGAAGAGGTCGAGGACATTTTTGTTGACCTCGTGGCCAAGTTTGGATTCCAGCGTGACAGCATGCGCAACATGTACGACCATCTGATGATCTTGCTCGACTCGCGAGCCTCGCGAATGACCCCGAACCAAGCCCTACTCTCGCTGCACGCTGACTACATCGGTGGAGACAATGCCAACTATCGCAAGTGGTACTTCGCTGCCCATCTCGACCTGGACGATGCTGTTGGGTTTGCCAACATGAAAGGCAAGGGCCGCCGCAAGGCCAAGAAGAAGGCCAAGAAGGATAAGAACGCCGATGAGAACGAAGTTCTGGAGGATCTCGAGGGCGACGACAGTCTCGAGGCGGCCGAGTACCGATGGAAGACGCGCATGAACCGCATGTCCCAACACGACCGGGTCCGCCAGATCGCCCTGTTTCTGCTCTGTTGGGGCGAGGCGAATCAGGTCCGTTTCCTGCCTGAGTGCTTGTGCTTCATCTTCAAGTGTGCCGACGATTACCTCAACTCGCCTGCATGCCAGAGCAGAGTTGAGCCTGTTGAGGAGGGCAACTTCCTGAATACCGTCATCACCCCCATCTACCAGTATTGTCGCGACCAGGGATACGAGATTTCCGAAGGCGTCTACGTCCGACGCGAAAGGGACCACAACCAGATCATCGGCTACGATGATTGCAACCAGCTTTTCTGGTACCCGGAGGGTATTGAGCGTATCGTCTTGGAAGATAAGAGCAAGCTAGTCGACGTCCCACCCGCGGAGCGCTACCTCAAGCTGAAGGAGGTCAACTGGAAGAAATGTTTCTTCAAGACCTACAAGGAGACACGGTCGTGGTTCCATATGATTGTTAACTTCAATCGTATTTGGGTAATTCACTTGACTATGTTCTGGTTCTACACGTCTCACAACGTTCCTTCCCTCTTGCTTGGGTCGAAGTACGAGCAGGAAGTCGACAATCAGCCTCCAGCCTCTGCCCAATGGGCCATTGCTGGTTTCGGAGGAGGTATCGCATCTCTGATCCAAATCATCGCGACTCTGTCAGAATGGGCGTACGTACCCCGTCGATGGGCAGGAGCTCAGCATCTCACTAAGCGTCTGATCTTCCTCCTGGTCATCTTCATCATCAACGTGGGACCGGGCGTTTACGTCTTCCTCTTTCCTGAACAGCAGGAATCCAAGATCTCGTTGATTCTGGGTATTGTCCAATTTTTCATCGCCTTGGTTACCTTCCTGTTCTTCTCCATCATGCCCTTGGGTGGCCTCTTCGGCAGCTATCTTACCAAGAAGAATTCTCGCCGCTACGTGGCCAGTCAAACCTTCACGGCTAGTTGGCCTCGCCTTCACGGAAATGACATGGCCATGTCATTTGGCTTGTGGGCTGTTGTCTTTGGTGCCAAGTTTGGAGAGTCTTACGTGTACCTGACACTGTCATTCCGAGATCCTATCAGGTATCTCTCCATCATGGATGTCTCTTCATGTCTCGGTGATGCTATGTTCGGTAACATCCTTTGCAAGTATCACCCGACGATCCTGCTCATTCTGATGACGTTCACCGATTTGATCTTCTTCTTCCTCGACACTTATCTGTGGTACGTTGTGCTCAACACGATCTGCTCCGTGGCTAGATCTTTCTACCTCGGTTCCTCGATCTGGACGCCATGGAGAAACATCTTCTCTCGTCTGCCCAAGCGAATCTACTCCAAGGTCCTGGCTACTACGGACATGGAGATCAAGTACAAGCCGAAGGTTTTGATCTCGCAAATCTGGAACGCTATTGTCATCTCCATGTACCGCGAGCATCTGTTGGCCATCGACCACGTCCAGAAGCTCTTGTACCACCAGGTTCCTTCCGAGCAGGAGGGCAAGCGAACTCTGCGCGCTCCGACCTTCTTTGTCTCCCAGGAGGATCACTCATTCAAGACGGAATTTTTCCCCACTCACAGCGAGGCCGAGCGTCGCATTTCCTTCTTCGCCCAGTCGCTGTCTACACCCATTCCTGAGCCTCTGCCGGTTGACAACATGCCTACTTTCACCGTCATGATCCCCCACTACAGCGAGAAGATCCTGCTGTCTCTTCGAGAAATTATTCGCGAGGACGAGCCCTACTCCCGTGTTACTATGCTCGAGTATCTCAAGCAGCTTCATCCTCACGAGTGGGATTGCTTCGTCAAAGACACCAAGATTCTGGCCGACGAGACTTCTCAATTCAACGGGGAAGATGAGAAGAACGAGAAGGACACCGCCAAGAGCAAGATCGACGATCTGCCTTTTTACTGTATCGGTTTCAAGTCTTCGGCCCCTGAATACACCTTGAGAACCCGTATCTGGGCTTCTCTGCGCTCCCAGACCCTGTACCGCACTATTTCTGGATTCATGAACTACAGCCGCGCCATCAAGCTGCTCTACCGCGTCGAGAACCCCGAGGTTGTCCAGATGTTTGGTGGAAACTCGGACAAACTTGAGCGCGAACTTGAGAGGATGGCCCGTCGCAAGTTCAAGCTCTGTGTGTCTATGCAGCGATTTGCCAAGTTCAAGAAGGAGGAAATGGAGAACGCCGAATTCCTCCTGAGAGCTTACCCTGACTTGCAGATTGCGTACTTGGACGAGGAGCCTCCTGTGACCGAAGGCGAGGAGCCCCGTTTGTACTCTGCTTTGATCGATGGCCACTGTGAGCTCATGGAAAATGGCATGCGCCGCCCCAAGTTCCGCATTCAACTGTCTGGAAATCCCGTTCTCGGAGACGGCAAGTCGGACAACCAGAATCACGCCATCATCTTCTACCGGGGAGAGTACATCCAGCTCATCGACGCCAACCAGGACAACTACCTTGAGGAATGCTTGAAGATCCGCTCTGTTCTCGCCGAGTTCGAGGAGATGAAGACCGACAATGTCTCACCGTACACTCCTGGGGTCAAGAGCAACACACCTGCGCCTGTCGCCATTCTCGGTGCCCGTGAATACATTTTCTCCGAGAACATTGGTATGCTCGGTGACGTTGCTGCCGGCAAGGAACAGACATTTGGTACTCTGTTTGCCAGAACTCTAGCCCAGATCGGAGGCAAGCTGCATTATGGTCATCCTGATTTCCTCAACGGTATCTTCATGTGTACTCGTGGAGGTGTTTCCAAGGCGCAGAAGGGTCTTCACTTAAACGAAGATATTTACGCCGGTATGAACGCTCTCCTCCGTGGTGGACGTATCAAGCATTGCGAGTACTACCAGTGCGGAAAGGGTCGTGATTTGGGTTTCGGTTCCGTTCTCAACTTCACCACCAAGATCGGAACTGGTATGGGTGAGCAGATGCTGTCTCGCGAATACTACTATCTTGGAACCCAATTGCCCCTCGATCGCTTCCTGTCCTTCTACTACGCCCATCCTGGTTTCCACATCAACAACATGTTTATTATGCTGTCGATTCAGCTCTTCATGGTTGTCATGATCAACTTGGGTGTTCTGCGCAACCAGACTATCGCCTGCGACTATAACCGAAACGTGCCCATCACCGATCCTCTGGTCCCTACCGGGTGCCAGAACACCGATGCTCTAATGGACTGGGTGTACCGCAGCGTTCTGTCCATTTTCTTCGTTACATTCATCTCCTTCGTGCCCCTCGTCGTCCAGGAGCTCATGGAGCGTGGAGTCCTTCGTTCAGCCACCCGTCTGGGCAAGCAGATGTGCTCCTTCTCGCCCTTCTTCGAAGTATTCATGTGTCAGATTTATGCCAACTCGGTTGAACAGGATCTCTCCTTCGGTGGTGCCCGCTACATTGGTACCGGTCGAGGTTTCGCCACAGCCCGCATTCCATTCGGTGTCTTGTACTCTCGTTTCGCCGGCCCCTCCATCTACTTTGGCGCGCGATGCTTCATGATGTTGATATTCGCCACTCTAACCATTTGGCAAGCCGCGCTGGCGTATTTCTACATCACTCTGCTTGCGCTGATCATCTCGCCATTCTTGTTCAACCCCCACCAGTTCGCATGGAACGACTTTTTCATCGATTACCGCGACTTCCTCCGTTGGTTGTCGCGCGGCAACTCCCGTTCCCATTCGTCCTCGTGGATCTCCTTCTGTCGTCTCTCTCGTACCCGTATCACTGGCTACAAGAGGAAGGCTCTCGGAGACCCGTCCAGCAAAATGTCGGCCGACGTTCCCCGAGCTGCGATCACCAACTTGTTCTTCGCTGAGATGATATCACCACTCATTTTCGTCGCCGTTACCGTCATCCCTTACCTGTTCATCAACGCTCAGACGGGTGTGAAGGATAACGACGATGATGCGGTTGCAACAGGCTCATTGATCCGTCTCGGTATCGTGGCACTTGCCCCCGTCGCTATTAACGCTGGTGTGCTTGCTGCCATGTTTAGTATGGCATGCTGCATGGGCCCAGTTCTTAGCATGTGCTGCAAGAAATTTGGTAGTGTGCTGGCCGCGATTGCCCATGGTACTGCAGTGGTCATGCTCCTCGTTTTCTTTGAGGTCATGTTCTTCCTCGAGGGTTTCGATTTCACCAAGACCATGATCGGTATGATTGCGGTTGTGGCAGTGCAAAGATGGGTCTTCAAGATCATCATCTCTCTGGCATTGACACGTGAATTCAAGACGGACCAGTCCAACATCGCGTTCTGGACCGGCAAGTGGTACTCTATGGGTTGGCACTCTGTCTCCCAGCCTGCGCGTGAATTGCTCTGCAAGATCACAGAGTTGAGCATGTTCGCGGCTGATTTTGTCCTCGGTCACATCATCTTGTTCATGATGCTGCCCATCATCCTTATACCACAAGTCGACAAACTGCATTCGATGATGCTCTTCTGGCTTCGTCCCAGGTATGTTTCACCCCCTAATGGATATGTATATGCGCTTGACTAACATTTCGCAGTCGCCAAATCCGCCCGCCTATCTACTCTATGAAGCAATCCAAGCTGCGAAGAAGAAGAGTCTTCCGCTACGCGGTGCTCTACTTTGTAATGCTCGTCGTCTTCGTCGGCCTGATCGTGGGCCCGATTGTTGCTGGTAGCAAGGTCCCGAGCAGCCTGACAAGTTCGATCCCGATGAATTTGCTCCAACCGACCGGACAGGACAACGACAACACTCGGAACGACACGTCGACGGGTACCGGTGCTGCAGATTACTCGGGCGTTGGCACTAAGGCCACTGCGACGGCGACAACAGACTCGAAGTTCCGATTTGTGTAAATTAGAGTGGACTGTATTTATAACGAGTTCTCAAAGTAGGTGGTGGCCACAGTCAGTTTGAGCGAAAAAGGCCTGGCGATGTGATGATGGTCCACCTGGGCGAGATTGCTCTGTATCGCAGGTGTTGGCATGGTATACGGTTTTTTCTTCGTTTTAGAGTCAGGCATCCATTTTTCTCGAGGGTTTTCATTGTCACATGGTAACGAATGGTGTTCTATAATCGCACGCATAATTGCATCCCCCCCGTCCCAGCGATGGGTGATATTGCATTTTGGCCCTGACAAGGGGAATGCGTTCTAGTGAAGGAAATCAATAGAAAACATATTGATAAAGTCATAAGGATGTTCTAAGTATGCCCTGTTTGTGGACGTTTTAACGGCCCACCAACACGCATGTTGTCGGTTAGCGGTCTCTCGCTACGAGGGATTACCAACCCCGAAAACTGAACTGACTGTTGTGCTTTGGATGACTCGATCGATACATTGCATGGCCAGTTGCGCAGACCAGTTTTGATGTGTAACGGCTTTGGATTTTCGTTCCGAGTCTCGCGCGCATGGCTTCCGGCTATGCTTCTCTAGTGACGGGGGGCGTCATTGCTTGCATAGGGGGCTGAAGATGGCATATATCCAACTGGTCGTTTTCCACCGGGTGTAACACAAGACAATATCTCTATTTTCTTGAACTAGAAGCGGTGGCATCTAATCAGGATGACTTGATTGGCTCTATCATCAGATATTATGTTCTGTTTCCGTCTTGTCCTCCATTTGACAGGAGTAGTAGTAAGCTAAGTCAGGTAGTGTTGATGTTGGCGCACTACATGACGGCCTGCTTCCGAATCGCAGCATCAAGCTCATGATCTGGCCTGAATAGCCCGACCTTGCCTTTTACGGAGGGAGTAGGACATGTATATTGTAAAGGAATGTTAGGGGAAGAAGTACGGGTTGGCTGAGTCTTTGTTAATACAGGCCACTTCGCTGTCGAAATAGGCTTCTGTACATACGGCGTCACGGTAAACCAGTCTTCCCATAAGGCACGGCAAACGTGGGTTGTCACTTTTTCATGCCTCGATCCAGTATTAAAGGGGATAGGCCTCACGGTATATTCGCTTATTCGTAATTTATCTGAGTATTTTGAACTGCTTTACTTAAAAAGTACCAATGCCCCGATAGCTGTGGGGACAGCGCTCCTGACAACATCTCTTAGTAATAAACACACATCATGTTGTTTGCCAAAATTTTCGCTTTATCTTCTGCTTCTCTACCCGAGGTGATGGGATTATCGTCCCTACTGAACCTTAGAAAGCATAGTTCGGACGATATCATCAGTCGGGATGTGGCAGTCATAGGCGGAGGAGCAAGCGGTGTCTACACGGCTTTTCGACTGCGCGATAACGATCAAAGTGTTATCGTCATCGAAAAGAAGGACAGGCTTGGAGGACATGCTGAAGTCTACAGTGACCCGAACACTGGATCTAAGTTCAATATGGGTGTCCAGGTGTTCGAAGATTCACCTATTGTGAGGGACTACTTTCGCCGGTTCAACGTTCCCTTGGTGGCGCAGAACATCTCTCAAAGATCGGCCAGGGTTGTAGATTTCTCGACTGGAGAGGCGGTGCAGAACTACACTCGTCCCAACAGCACTGAGATCAGCTCAGCCTTTGTAAGGTATGCGCGTCATTTGTCCGATTTTCCGGGCTTGCGAGACGGGTTCAACGTGACCTACCCGGTACCCCCAGACCTACTCCTCCCCTTTGGGCAATTCATCGATAAGTACGAACTAGGCAGCTTCGTGGAGACCGTTATGATCCTACTCCCAGGATTCACTCCGCTCCTGGAACTGCCTACTCTCTACGTGTTTAAAGCCCTGAGCCCACAGCTCGTTCAAGCCTTCCAGACTGGATTCGTTATGACGCCCGACGACAACACGGCAAGGCTCTACGATGCTGCCGCTCAACAACTGGGATGTGACGTACTCTACAATACCACCATCCTGGCCATGGACCGCTCCTCCTCCTACTCTTCCTCCGATTCTAACAATGCCATCAAGATCGCTGTTCAAACGCCCAAGGGAGTCAAGTTGATACTCGCCAAGCAACTCGTCTCCGCCATCCCCCCGACACCGCAGACAATGCAGGGCTACGACCTCAGCGCCGAAGAACTCCTTCTGTTCAACCAGTTTTCCGGCAGTGGGTACTACACCGCCGTCCTGAACAACACGGGCCTGACGCAGCGCTACCAAAACTTCAACCCCATGCAGCCGTACGGTGTGCCTCTCGATCCGTTAGCGTACAGCTTCGAACCCGCCCCCCTCCCAGGATATACCAAAGTGTTCTACGCCTCGGCACAGCCCATGTCCGAGGAAGAAGTGAAGGCGAATATTATCGATCATATTGCACGGATTAAAAGTAGGAATCCATCCCTACCTCTGACGGAGGCGGAGTTTGTGGCTTTCTCGGATCACTCGCCGTTTAATCTGATGGTTGGGAACGAGGCGGTCAGGGACGGGTTTTATGAGAGAATGTATGGGTTACAAGAGCAGAGGGGGACGTGGTTTGCCGGGGCGGCGTGGATGACGCAGGATAGTGCGGTCATTTGGGAGTGGGTGGAGGAGTGGTTGTTGCCGAGGATTTTGGAGGCTGCGGCAGGTGGGAAGTCTGGTGGTTGAAGGGGAAATACTGCTTTGTGGAGATGTAGTTCAGGGAGCTTATGGTTTTTTTGTTCTCAGTGTGCTGGGAACAGTGAGACACATCGTAGAACGAGAAAGGAAGGAGACTTTAGCCGAGGTTACAAAGGAAGTGCTTTTGCGACACGTCGGGACTCTGCTTGCTCGAGGGGGTTGGTTCATGGTTCATTCTGGCATGCTATTGCCGATGAAGTCGACCCGTGAGACAGATGCACCCCGCCTCGTCCCAAAGAGGACTGGTCCTCGAGAGTAATCAGTGACGAAGCATTGTGCTACATCGTGGGAGTCTTGATGGTGTCAAGAAGTTGAACTCCGTGTGCTTCGTGTTCCTTGGATTTACATGCATACTAGACACGATCATTCATTTCATACATGCGAGGACTTGTATCAACCCCTGGCTGGCCGTAGCCCACCATCTACACATTTGTATGACGCAAGACCCTCGTCTCACAATGCACTAGCAACAACACCTACCAGGGCTCCAACAAAAACTCCATTCCATGAGAAAACCACCCTACCAGCTGCACTCTCCCGCGTAGTCCTCGCCGAAGCGCTACCAGTCTCATTCGGCCCACCGTCTGTTGCGCCCTCAGAAGTCACTGTCGACGTCGTCCCATCAGAACCAGAACCTGAACTCGTCCCGCTGATCCCCGCGGGCGTCGGACTGCTCGTTTGCGCCGCGGTAGAATTAGGAAAGAAAGTACTGGTCTCCGAGCCGCTAAGAACCGTAGTACTAGGCGGGGCAGCCAACGTCAACTTGCCCCAGTACAGCTCCGTCCCCGTGAAGGTGCGTACCGCGGAGGTGGATTGGGGGCCGATGAAGGACCCCACGGTAACGTTTGGGGCAATGGACGAGGAGAAGGAGCAGGTTGCTTCTGTGGTGCCTGTGAGGGTGCAATGGTTTGTGAATTCGCTGGTTCGGTCGGTCAGCCTTGATCTCAGCAGGATACCTGCATTGAGATGATGGTGGTAGAAGAGAGATAGACGCACAATGAAGAGGTGACAGAGGCATCCTGTCGCAACGTGCTGGGCCCTTCAACGAATGTCAAGGGGGCAGCGTCCCCGATATAACATCCAAAGTCGGTTGCCGTCTCGGGCGCACAGAAGAGAGTGTACGTCGTCTCGGAGGCATCCTACAAGTTTGAGTCAAGACTATTGGAGTTTGCCATCGGCTACATACTTACACTCGAGATTACGCTACCATACAGATTACCCCAATCCCTTGCTGAGTATGGAGGAAGCCAGGCCGTGATTGTTGAGCTTTGTGCTTGCACCTGTGGGACAGCATGAAGCAGCAAGCTGATTGATGTGAACATATGTGCTATTGAGGCCATCATAGTAGTTTCTGTACGCTGGCTCGTGAAGGAGAGAATCACTATCGTCTATCAATAATTCTTTGCAAAGGAAAACGGAGAATAGTAAGAAGCTAGCTTCAGTTCAAACTTGGCCCTGAAGTTGACGCCCTTCCCGTCATAAGGTAGATATTGAGATAGCATGTTTACAGTCGGCCTGGAGAACCCGGCCTTCCATTCGCTTGAATGATGCCAACAAGAGGCACAGAACGATCCAACCATCCATTGTCAGATTAATGATCGCAGGGGTGCTGGCCAAAGCTAGGGTAATTATCTGCACCAATGATGCCAGCCTAAAATCGCCCGCAGGTAGTCCATAACGCCGCTACAGAACACCGCCGGCGTCGAAGTAACATCTACTATAAAGTGATGCAACTTCAGAGTGGCTGAGCGGGATGAAAACAGTAGTTGCGATCCGACCTTGAAGGGCTGAGCCGCATCATGCATAAGAACACAAGGGATGCGGAGGCTGTGAAGATGATCAAGGGCACGAGGTGGTTGAGGTGTGTACGGGTGATGTAGGCACATTCTTTCAATAATAGCCTGGCTTGATAGGAAAGCTAGAGTAGGCCTAGACTGCTGATGCAAATTGGATTGAGTTACAGCTTGCAAGTCAGTCTCGCGATCCAGGCTTGACGGGGATGATAATGAGCAATTCATATGAGCGGGTGTTTCCATCTTTTTTTCGTGCTTACAGGATCAAGAGCATGACCGGGACAGGCCTCATAGGAAGGCACTATCAAGCTCACCTACGATGGACAGACTGCATACTTGCAGTGATACTTTCCGTACTGTTAGTCCTGAGGATGTGGTTGCGCTCCGAAGTTCGCGAATTGGATGCAGAACCATACTTGCAGTGGCTATTTACTGCCCCAGGTAAAGTAGAAATTCGATTAGGAATTTAATCCGCGGGTGTGTGATGCCTTTTCTTCAACCTGAAGTAGCGGATTGGAAATTGATAATTACACAAAGGATGGACGTGATTGAGGCCGCCTCTCCAAGTCCCGAAGTTGCACCGGGGAACTTCGGCCACCTGGAGAAGGCAATGTATTTAATCCAAGCTCCACTTTAACAACTGAGCCAAGGTACCCCTGACAGGAGCGCGCTTGCCAAATTGATGACCACCAAGCGAACTGACCGTGCCGCAGGGGCTTGTTGAGGAAAAGCTGGCAGTATTGCGCCAAAGTACTAAAAGACGGCTTCAAATGCTGACGCCAAACCAAAATCCGCCCTTCACATAAGACGAACGCCCTGGCAATGGATTTCCAAGAAGCGCAAGGCCGACTACTGGCGTCCTTTGACGAAGTCTCCCATGTCTTCCATAAAGTGCCCGGCAGTGCAATCCTAAGCCGATACATCCAGACCAGCTACCAGAACGACCCTGTACGATCCATTCTCGAGGTCTTTTTGGTGATATTTTTCATCCGGTATCTACTTTCGCCCTCGTATCCCACCCACGGCCCCAACTACGTTAAACTCAGAGAAGAGGAGATCGATGAGCTGGTCCAGGACTGGGAACCCGAGCCATTGGTGCCCCGCCAGACCCCCTTCGAAGAGGCAGAGGCGGATAAGCTGCCAGTGATTGTTGGGTAAGGACCGCTGCATCTCTCAACAATCCTGGTAACGGGGGAACTGACAATGGCTTGCAGACCGACGGGCCCGAAATCGAAACTCTCCAATGGCAAAACGGTCACGAATCTCGCCTCGTACAACTTCTACAATTTCAACGCGAATGAACAGATCAAGGAGAAGGCCATTCAGACGTTGCGCACCTACGGTGTTGGACCTTGTGGTCCTCCGCAATTCTACGGTACCCAAGATGTCCACATGAAGACCGAGGCAGACATCGCTGCATACCTGGGCACCCAAGGATGCATCGTCTACGCGCAGGCCTTCTCCACGATTTCCAGTGTCATCCCGGCTTTCTGCAAGCGTGGAGACATCATCATTGCTGATAAGATGGTCAACTACTCCATTCGCAAGGGACTGGAAATCTCCCGAAGCAACATCAAATGGTTCAATCACAATGATATGGAAGATCTCGAGCGTGTCATGCAGAAGGTCGTCAAAGAGCAGGCAAAGAAGAAGCTGACGCGAAGGTTCATTGTCACGGAAGGACTCTTCGAGATGGTTGGTGACAGCGTCGATCTCCCCAAGCTTGTAAGCAATGCCTGTAAAGCACTATGTGACGTGACACGAGCCTAACGAGCCCTCCTAGGTCGAACTAAAGGAGAAATACAAGTTCCGCATCGTTTTGGATGAGACGTGGTCGTTTGGCGTGCTTGGCCGTACAGGACGAGGACTCACCGAGGCCCAGAATGTTGATTCGTCACAAATAGACATGATCGTCGGCTCTCTTGCAGGACCACTCTGCGCAGGAGGAGGCTTTTGCTGCGGTACACGAGATGTTGTAGAGCACCAGCGCATTTCCGCAGCTTCCTACACGTTCTCAGCAGCCTTACCAGCTATGCTGGCAGTTACCGCAAGCGAAACCTTGAATGTCCTTCAGTCGAACCCCGAGATCTTGACGCAATGCCGCGAGAACATCAAGACAATGCGGGCACAACTGGATCCCCGCAGTGACTGGGTCGTCTGCACCAGCTCACCTGAGAACCCAGTCATGCTTTTGGTTCTCAAGCCCGATGTTGTACGAGTGAGGGAGCTGACCTATGAAGACCAGGAACGTATCCTACAAGAATGTGTCGAAGAGGTAAGCCCATATATCCTATTTTCTCCCAATTTGGTCAGTAATTGATGAAAGTGTAGACACTTAACAACGGTGTCCTTGTCACTCGATTAAAGAGTCTCCCGACAATCCAGAGCATTGGTGCTCCTCGTGATGAAACGTCGAATATCCAGCCAGCGTTGAAGGTCTGTATTACCTCAGGTCTGTCCAAAAAGGAGATTGAAAAGGCTGGAGTTGTCATTCGACATGCCATCACCAAGGTCATGACAAGAAAGCCAAACAGGCAAGCATCGGTTGCTTAGACAATGCCCGAGTGTACCCCTGTTAAGAGCCACCGACCAATAGCTGTCTATGCGGTCTCAAGCTCTAAGATGACATGAGTAGATATGGGTTATTCATGAGGATTTAGGAACGGGACACAAGACGGGTCCATACCATGATAATAATTAATCAATAGATAGCATTGAATGCAAGACGATTCGGACTACTGGTTGTGATCAAGAGGGTGGACTAAATATGGGGATTTACTCCCTTGAAATGTTTCGGCAGCCACGCTGGATCGCACCTTCCGAACGAGGACTATGGATTTCCGAGGCCAGCAACGGAGGGAGACCATGGAGCTGAGCCACGAACATATTTGCCCCGTCGACCACATCCTCCATTACTCGTAACCGACTAATTGTGAAGATAACTGAAGCTCTCAACAACGAAGCAGACCGGGTGGCCTAGTTCGTCCATCCCAACTCGACATTTCACCACAATTGAACCACAGCTTCCAAAAACAATTCTACGCTGATTCCCGCTTCGACCTTCTGTGCATCACCATCCTTCTCATCACCCAGATCAACATCTCTTCTAAACCGATTCACGCAATTTCACGTAGTCTACTCCTTTTCGGGCAATTTTGCACAGCAGTCGTCGGGTACACCTGTCATCACAATCATTCAGCATCACCAACGAAGCACCTTTGGGTAACTCTCCCATTTGGATCTCCAGAGAGGACAGAAAGGTAAGTGCCATTTTAATCATCGTGCCTTCCAAGTCTTGATGTGCGTAGCCACAATTGCGCCACCCATGTCTCACTTCCATGATGTTTTCTCCCTTGACAGCCATCATTCCTTGACTTCAGCACCCTGAGATGGATTTGAGACTGTCAGAGGAACGCGCATTCCACGTGAGGCGTGGCCTCTGCTGCTGAGGCAACTGCCACCAAGAATGGGCCCTTTGTACTCAACTTCTCGTTCTTCGTGCTGTTGACGTGCCACTGACCGTTGTTCTCATCCTCTACGTTTAATATCCTCATCTGCACCAGCATCCGAACTTCTTCGTCTCCTTTATTACCTCTCCTGTCGCTTCTGCGCCTCTAGCTGATGGACATTGTCTGACGGACCGTCCTTGGTTGCGTTTGCCGCATCCATACACACGTTTTTGTTTTGCTTCCAGTCACTCGCTTTACTAGACTTTGTGTCGCTGACCCTGCTGACCCCTTGTCCTGCAGCTGGGGCCCGAATCTTTCATTCAAAAATAGTATTGATACGGAAATATACCCGTGACTTGTCACGCGCACACAAAGTTCTGATCCTGGTCAAAGATTAAAGGCTGTATTGAATATCCACGAACCATGAGCCTCTTCACAGTTTCTCTTGCGATCGCATCCCTGTTGCAGCTATCGACTGCCCAGCCTCGTAAGTCAAAGCAAAGCTACAATGGTGAATCTGCACTAGAAGGACTTGTCTCTAACCGAAACACAGGGCGACGTCATCAAGTCCACCAACACCCTCATCGCCGAGCTTTCCTCCCGAAGCGAGCCAAGCTGACTGTGACGGACACGACCTTCACCAAGCCAACCGAGGTCCCTGAGGTCGTCGTCTACGTCGACCAATATGGCAACCTGGTTAGCACTGAGACCGAGACTATTGTGATTGTTCCGGCCTCCACGGCTCCAGCAGAGGTGTCGTCTGAGGCCCCTAACCCTCCCTCCCCGGTCGCGACCTTGGCCAGCCCGGTTCCTCCTACAGTGGAGTCCGGTGCCGAGCAGCCGACCACTGCAATTGCTCCGGCTCCCGCCCCATCGGCCGGGTCTGTTCCAGAGAAGCCGACTTCTATATCTGCTCCTGCGTCGGCTGTCTCTAATACCACGCCGACCCAGTCTGCTGAACCTGACCCGGCCGTTTCTCAGAACAGCAAGTTGTATGGCGTGACGTACTCTCCGTACAAAGGCATCGGTGGCTGCAAGACGGCAACTGAAGTGGAGGCTGACTTCGCGCTCTTCGCTAAGGACTACGGCCTGGTTCGGATTTACGGTGTGGACTGCGACCAGGTTGCCACTGCTTATGCTGCGGCCAAGAAATATGGCAACAAGCTCATGCTGGGCATCTTCGACATTAGCTCTATAGACCAGGCCGTTTCGACCATGGCTAAGGGCATCCAGGGTGACTGGAGCATGGTTGAAATGGTCAGCGTGGGCAATGAACTGGTCAACAACGGTGCTGCCACTGTTTCACAAATACTCGCAGCCGTTGGCCATGCTCGCTCTGGCCTGAGAGCCGCTGGATACCAAGGCCCTGTCGCAACTGTCGACACATTCGTCGCAGCAATTGCCAACCCCGAGCTATGCAATAACTCGGACGTCTGCACCGTCAACGTCCATCCGTTCTTCGACCCTCATACGAGCCCGGACCAGGCAGGCGCATTTATCACTTCAACCATCAGCCGTCTCCGCAACAACTTGTCGGACTCCAACAAGCGCATCATGGTGACCGAGACGGGTTGGCCGTGGCATGGAAAATCGAACGGTCTTGCGGTGCCTGGGATGGACCACCAGGCTACGGCTCTCTCGTCGATCAAGAGCGCCTTCTCGGACAAGCCAGCGGACTTGATCCTCTTCACGGCGTTCAACGACCTGTGGAAGAAGCCTGAGATGGCTACGTTCAACGCCGAGCAGTTCTGGGGTATGGGAGGTCTCTATTCGCCTGCTGATAAGTAAGGGGGGCGATGGAAAGGACCTTCATGCCAGCTAGCTGTAAATGGTTGCAGCCAACATCATGAGTTCAGGTTTTGCGAGATTGAAAGGGAAGACTTCTATTTTTTGTGAAAATGTTCATAGTGTATTCTTGTTCGCGAAAGTTTCCGGACGTTGATCAATGAATCATTCAGAACCGACTTTGCTTTGTCCGTGTCCAAAAGCTCCTGTATTATCACGTCCGTGGTATGATCCATCGAATTGACTGGACTGCACTTTTTATCATGGTTATACTAATGTAAGACTAGAGATTTATCACACGCTCCCGGTAATACAAATTGATTTAGTAGTGTCTAGTGAGACAAGAGCAGCTAGGCGTTACGTGTACCTTATATAGGGTCACCACTACAGATTATACAGTCAGGAACGAAATTATTCTTAGCAATAGCCTTTGTTTTACTCTATTTAAGTTAACCAAGTATTTGATCAAATAGTCAAATTCGCCGTGTATTTCATGTCAAACAGAGAAACCCCACCGCTATATTTGATTTGATTGATCGGTATGCTGTGCTGGCCCTGTGGTCCTTGTCCTCAAGTCCGATGATGACATTCAGAGTTGATAAAGCTATTCATTTGAAGTTGCACCGTAAACGAGATAACCGCCTGGCTTACCAAGGCAATGCCAATGTTTGGAGTCATAATTGGTCTACCGGTGTGTACTTGTGCTTTGTTGTAACGGTGAATTGATACATGAATCGATTAGAATATCGCTGAAGAGTGACATCACACAATATTGCAACGCGAAAAAGTTCATGGTATATTATCTAACACCCCGTGGAGCACGTCCTGTTGTAATTATATAAATTGCAGATTTTCTTCAAATTTCCTTTGTAAACAAAGATCTAGTTTGAGGCTGATCTTGCTTTGAATACCGTTGAGACAAGGTCTCTGCCCAAAGATTTTCGCACATGTAAGGTAGTAGTAACATGAACGCTTGCAACGAACATGTTACCCTGTAAGTGAATAGTACATGGAGCTAGCTCGCCCCTTGCCATACGAACATTTCTATTTGTATTCGAGATTGGATCATGAAAGTTGAGATTAAATCTACCATATTTGATAACACATTGACTACTTCGGTCATCAGACCATTGCAGATCTTGTACTCAGAACCGCACTTGATACAACTCACATTCTGTACCCTGCCTGACAAGTCCTTTCTGGCAATTTTGCCAAATTATCCCTCCTTGTCGTTTGATCTCAGCTGGCTCCCAGGGGCTGGCTCAGAACATGCTCCTGGTTGACGGTTGGAATCGTCTGGGGTCATGCAATCCTGTCAGCAAGAGTTTGGACATGTCACTCCCTCAATTAGAAGGTTCCTGCGTTAGCGTGATGGCATTGTACTTGGCCACTACCATTGCAAATATCGTCACCGATGTGATAATGTTTATCTTTGCCGACCACTTTGATAATGAAGCCCAATATGTTCAGAACCTAGAAAATTGGTATTCTGGTTGTTTTCACTTTCGAAGTATCATCGAAGCAAACTTGGTTATCACCTACGCCTCCATAAACTTTTCCGTCATGCCGCACCTAGCATCAGAGACCCCGCAGCTCTGCCATCATGAATATCTGAGTGTCTCAGCATCACAATTCCTATGCTCTGTTCAATGGTGACAGTGAGATTGGCTCAATGGGAAATGATACCAAGGTTGGGGCCAGAATGTGGGATTTCATGGTGGATTAACACGAGAGAACATTGTGGCGCCTGGATGACTAACTTATGCTTCTCATTCAGCAGGGAAATCAAATAATTCACATGAACTCTGCATCTACTATGCATATTATTCTCAGGCAATCTCCCGGATGAATGTCGTGCGCTTCCAGTCGTCAAGATTGGAGTAATATGAAGCACAAGCATCTTCTCTCAGAGCACAAAATGGGTTCCTCGCCTCCGTGAAAGTCCCGCATCGAGAAAACTCTCGCAATCTATCCTCATCGTCATCTTCAATAAGATTATTCAGACACTGATCGTCACCTCTACTCAACCCATTCACGACATTTCGTAGATCAAATCTAGGCGATAGCCACGAATCTTCCTCGTGTACTCGACGATAGGTCAACAGCTCGGCTTGAATCGCTGCCCAAATCATGCCCAAACTTTTGCTGTCGCAATAAATGATCTTGGGCCATAAGGTTGCTCATCGTAGTGAATAACACTATCACAGCCCTGCATGCGGTCATTCTCGTGGTCCGAATCTTCATGGTCGGTGTTCGAAATTCTAGCATCCGCTGTGCGGTCGTTGTCAACCTTGCCCAACGAACGCTGGGTTATGTTGGATTGCAAGACGGCCATGAATGCTTTCCAGCCCAATTGTGCCCCAGGCGTCCATGAATTGATTATTTCAATTGGAATGCTTGATCCGAGCTCGGCCGCGTCCATGGGCGAGTGTTGGCACTGATCAGGTTGGTTATGCCCCAGAAATTCTTGAATAGAAACCTCCACCTTAGTGCAGGGATCGGCACGGAACGTCAGGAGACAGACTAGGCATGCGACCATGCCAAAAAGGGTTTCTCCCAGTATTCCAGAATTGGCCAAATGGTAAGTCGCCAGAACCAAAGCATGGACGGCCATCCCACCTAAAACATCGCCGATATGCAATGGCAAACCACTTGCACAGATGTATGGCAGAATGGATGCTTCCATGCGGGTGGAATTTTCGGATTCCCAGAGGCATACAGGAAGCGGACACATGGCGAGTCCGCGTCCTACCTTCCACATGGGTCGACCTCTTCTCCAGGGATTCGGCCTTGCTCAGTGAAGGCGTCACTCAAGATCCTCGCTTTGTATCGAAGAAAACGTAGTACTCTGAAGGCCTTGGGCGAGTGTGGTCGCGAGACCAGGAGCAGCTTCTTGGGCAGGCCATTCATTCCAGGTGGAGTCGTCTTCTATGTTGAATTGTTCCTCAGCTTCATCCTGCGATTTTGGTGGAGGTGAATCTATTCTTTCATAGCTTATCGTCTCTTCACAGTGAATTGCCCATCTACACAGCTGTGTAGGGCTATTGAGCGTTGAATTTAACTGAACGGGGGTCTGTGCTGCCCCCTGCTGTTCTTCGTCAATTTGCAGGTTGGGAGTTGTTGAAATAGATTGTCCCGCAAAGGACTTGAAGTTGATCAAAGACGCAGTCTAGATCTTGGCCCCTTTCCCCAGTACTTGGTGGTCATGAATGAGTACGTCCAAAAGTCATGCAACCAGGTTGCTACAGTCCTAACCGGGTTTCATTTGTCAGAACCGAGTCATGATGATAGCTGGAAAGAGAGCAATACTTCCTCTCCATATTTCCCATCTGTGCCATCAGGTCCTTCTCCTTGCCCTCCAGGAAGAGCTTTGCCCTATCTGCCAACACCTTCCGTTGTACCAACAGTATCGTTGGCGATAATCCCTGTTGAGTTGGCGATGACGAATAGGTAGCTTCGGGACTATTCACGGTGAGGTAGGCTGGAGTTGTAGGGCTAGCAGCAGAAAAGCCACCCATGTTGCGAACCAAAGCCTCGTAGGGGAGATCCCGTTGAAGAAACCTGCGTTGCAGTTCAGGGAGGGACCATTTCAACATGATGCCAGGGCATTGGTGGTGACTCACAGTCCTGTTTTCCATGTCAAAGATAGGAGATCATGTCGAATACTATCGTTGTTGTGCCGTTTGAGCTGTTTCTTGTCCACTGCCTTTTCAAAGCCGCCTTGATTAATGACAACATTAGATGTGCTGACACACTCTGCCTTGCGACGTTTCCAAGGACTGTGGTGATGGCCTTTTTCTCCTCGGTGGTCGTTCTCTTCTTGATACCCCACTTATGGAAGTGGTACCGATATTGACGGGCTCTACAGGTCAAAGTTATTGTCAACTCTTGAATTGAACGAGATATTTGAAAACAGTGCAACTGACTGAGCTTCGAAGCTGTACTCGTTTTTCATCCGCTGTACAAGATGGGCAATCTTGTCTTTCTCCTCCATATAGATCCCTATTATAGCTGGTTTGAGGGAATCCCATCGTTTTTCATATGGGATATGCAGGAACTTTTGCACTGAGCCTTCAGCTTGCGAAGATGCCACTGAGCCCGGCTCCATTGTCCTTGGTAGTATCAAGTTCGCAGCCAAAATGAGAGCATGCCGTTTCGAGTTATGAAATTTGAGAAGAGTGACGTGAAAATCTGGACCCAGAGATAAAACAGCGTGCGGACACGTTTAAATATTGCTTTTTGGGGTTTTCTGAGCTTGAAAATTTAGGCAAAAGCCAGGCGACCAAATGGTAAGCACAGGAACGCCTGGTCTTGGCACTTCCATATCTTTTCTGCCTTGTAGATAGATCTGCAACTGGTCTATCCTGTTGGGGCTAGGCAGAGCCGAAACAAAAGGCGAGTGGCCAGTCAGGGTCGTTGTCTTATTCAGACACATGGTTAGAACGGTGGCTTGCAGAAACAAATGGAGACTGGTCAATCATGGTGCGAAACGTGACAACACAGTGTTACAAAGGCGCTGCAGGCAGCTGCAGTCTGCTGCACTGTAGCCCTGCACTCGGGCTGTCAAAACTCGTGATGATCAACGAGGTACTACAACCGAAGAACAAAAGAAGAGTGGCTAATAAGGACGGAGCAATTTCGCCATTCGTCGAGTACCTCTTTTCCCTCCAACCGCTCTGCTGTACTTTGCTTACGTATTCCGAGATAATAACCTGATACAAATAGAGACTGTCCAACTATACCTGGGGAAAATAGAAAGCACAAGCCATCCGGCAAGATCTAACCTGATACAGGTGTGATTTCTCTTCTGGCCGTGCCATTACGTGCCATTACACGAAACCGGTCCCAGTTCTGCTTGGGAATCTGCGCTGCTTGGGTTTAAATGTGAGAGATGTCACAAGGGTTGCTCTTCTGATGAGTAATTTCTCAACAATATGACCCAATTAAGTCCACTCTTTCTCATCGCCTAAGGTCACACCGATACATTTTCTCCAGCAGCTTTGTTACTCAGGGGTGATAGTTCTGCTCTTCGACCAACCTCAAATGCTTATTAAAAATTGTTTTTAGAATGACTATCATGAACCTAATGACACGGTTAAACCCCCATATTAGCATCTTTGCCTATGCCTATATGAGGCTTAAGAGAGAGGATGCCTCCTCACCCTTAAGAGACGGTGAAACTCATACCAAAAATGTGTCTCGACTTGTACTTGCCAGAGATGGTCCGTGTGTGGCCACCACTACTACTTGATTCCAACCCACCAGCTCTAGCTTAGCTTTCCTCAATACTGTGGGATTGGTGGCCTACAGTCACGTGGGATACGGGCAAGATACTTAAGTACCTTTGTGCGGCTTGGACCCCCCCATCTGTACTTCCCTTCTTCACCTTCGTATGTAGCTGGAATACTAGTACCAGTGCGATCCCACATGGTAGCATCTCTCGGTCGGGAGTGCTGGCATTCCTGAAGGCTCATCGAGGTCGCCGTCACGATGATTATTCGACCGTTTCCTTCGATTAATTCGGTAATCGCACGGCGGACTGTGTGTCTAATCAAGCCGTTGCAGGAGACAGGCTATGTACCTACCCCAGGTAACGCAACAAGGATTAGAGGACTGTGTGTCCAATCGGCTGTGTGCCAAGGCTGTGTACCAACCTGATCGACTGTGTGTCAACCATTGGACTGTGTCTCCCCGAGAAGGCTGTGTGCCAACTCAATCGACTGTGTGTCAACCATCGGACTATGTGTCCCCGAGGAGGCTGTATGCCAGGGCTGTGTATTAAGACGAAGATAAGCGACCAAAAGCCAGAGGGCGCCGGCGCCGAAGACAAGAAAGCTATCATCAAGAAGATCATCGAGACGTATCTAGACTGGGGCCACTTCACCTTCAAGCTGGCAGATGAGAACAAGCTGGCCGGTGACGACAATTAGGAGTCGTGGAAGACAAGCCTACATGTGTTCCTCTCGGCGATCGGATACGAGGATAGCGATACGGGGTACTTCACGACAATCGACGAAGCGAAAATAGCCGCCGCGGTCATAGCCAACATCAAGGATGATGCGAGTGCATATGGGGTGTGAATTGTTGTATTGGGAAAGGATGGCCAGGTCAGCTATTCTGGCCTGGCAGAGCTCTTTTATAGCTCTTATCTATCTTATCTATAGCTACAGGATAACCCCCCATGGGGTCACGTATCAAAGGAGGAGCCGATAGCCGTCATAGCCGGCTTAACCAAGGGCTCAGCGATACTAGCCATGTTACAAAATGCCTGCCAGAGCTAAGGAACAGATCAGAAGATAGAGCTTTAGAGCCAACTACAGTACCTAACCTGGAGTGGTACGAATAAGTCTTCTGTTCTAGACCATATTGTAGAGTTCAGGCGCCTAGTCAGACGGAACGAAGAAGTCAAGATGCCGACGAATGTGGCACAACGGATCATAATATTCGTTAATAGCGTTAGAGAGAACGCTACCGACTGGGCTAATCGTATGAAGTCAACGTTACGGCAGAATACTCTCTCTATCGACCAGGTCTACGCCGACTTTACTGCTAAATTCTGCGATAGTCAGGATCAGAAGAATAAGAGGCTAATAAGTAGTTAAAGTCGTAGCGACGGCAGAGATATAAGTAAGGTACGCTGCTACACTTGTAGTAAGAGGGGGCATATCGCGAGGGACTGCAAGGACAGGAAGACCGGCTCTAACGACGATGACGACGGCGAAGCTAAGACGTATCGCACGGTAGCACCCCCGGGACTCAGAGAAATACTTGGAGAGAAGTTCTATTGAGGAATAAAAGGGATAGTTAGCTAGAGAGCGATGACGAGGATGGGAATAGCTTCATAAGCAAGGAGGTCTGGCAGTTAACCTAGGCCAAGAGGGCGTGTGGGATTAGTGGCTGATGCGTGCACCTAGGGGGGAGGATGCTATAATGCAGCAGTGCGCAACGTTATAGTATCTAATTGAATGGGATTCATCTAACCAGTGGGTCCCCCTACCTTTTCGTATCAGTGGCCTACAGTCACGTGGGATACGGGCAAGATACTTAAGTGCCTGTCTGCGACTTGGATGTTACACGCAAAGGTGGTCAAAGATTTGTGAGGTTGTAAAAGCATGACATTCTATCTAGTCCTATGGAGCACGAAGGTTGGACTTAGTCCCGAAGGGCTAAGTCACGTGGTAACCTTGATGGTCTTGGCAAAGCCCATCAAGGTTGCCTAACATTGGACCCCCCCACCTGTACTTCCCTTCTTTACCTTCGTATGTAGCTGGAATACTAGTACCAGTGCGATCCCACAAATACATCACAATTCTATATCCCTCTGTGTGCCTCGACAGTACTTGATTTAAGCTTGCGAGATTTCGACAATAGTCGAGTCGGCGCTACAAATAACCTACTTCAGGTCTTGTTTCGTTGGTCTGGTCAGGGCGACAAGGTTCTCGATCTTTCTTTCTGTTACACTCCCGGATAACTGATCTTGCTAATGATCTTGTTATTCGTCTCCATTTTCTTCACCTTAAACCTGCAGGTATACATTGCCCGTCGTCAATATACTTCGCTACAAATACTATATTATTTTAAGGGAAATTAGCTTACAAACGCTAATTCTAACCCCTACGACCCTTAAGGTTAAATAAATTCGGCGTAGGGACTTCTGATAGTGTAGGTTCTATAACTTGAGGCGGCCTTGATAGTATTACGGTATATGAAATAGCCTGCTTCGTCCCGTCTTCAATAGGGATACCTAGCTGATTCTAGGGGTTTATCTTACGATTCTGGTAGTGTATCGAGGCTGCTGTACGGTCAAGACCTTAGCGCGGCCGCCACAGTAGTGGGAGGCGAATAATCCGCACTTAGTGTTAATGTTAACTGCTGAAGAAGATTATTTAAATCGGCCGGCTGCACCCTTAATACTAACACCTCTAGCACGCTAGGCGCCCATAGTAGGGCGAGTAGTTGGAGAATACCTAGATGGGAAGGTACGGCCAAGCGTAGGGCTACAAAACCCCGCTTCAAACCAGAAGTAACCATCATAAAGAAAGAAAAAAAAAACATCTCTTTTTTGGCCTTCATATAAATCTTACCTATGGCCTTTTTCGTGGCTTGCGATTAAAACGCGCTCAAGAGCTTTTCTAGGGGGATCCTTCATATCAAGTTACTGAACTGAAAATTAGGTTAAGTGGGGTCGAGACTAGTTGACCGTGATTTTAGTAGACTTTGAGTCATTTGATTCTCGTCAGACGAACTGAAAAGGTGTAAGCCATAGCGAGTTGAGAAGGAGACTTATCCAGGGCTATCCGATTGAAGAACAGTTGGAAAGGATTTGTATCTCCAGCAGCAGAAGCATGAGAAATTGCAGAATATATAGCCAAGCAATCCGAAAATGTTCATAATGGGTAGCTCGAGTGTCGAATTTGTTACTACTCAACTGCACTACTCGTTATAAGTTCGACACATGCAATATGAGGAGAGTGTGAGAAGAGTGTACTCGATGCATTTATTGAAGAGTTGTTAACTTGTCAAGCTTGAAAACGAATTAATAAACTTGTTAAAGAAGTCCAGAGCGAGGTCCTGGATGAGAATACTCACTGCCGCACACCATTGTAAGCGATTTAACAACGTCTCATCGAACGTTTGAGGTTTATAATTAATGGACAAGTACGCTGTCTACGGACAGAAGCCATTTGAATGAGAACTGACGCGATAGCGGAAAGGCACGACAGAAAGGGTTTCGGGTGACGCATAAATAAATATAGATACTTTTTGAACACAGGGTAGTTTTCGATGGAGGCGTAATATATACTAATTATTTGAAATTTCGAGCGTGAAGGTGAAATATGAAAGGTACACCTGGACTCACTTCGTTAGGAAAACTGAGAGGTTTTTAAATCTGGTTTATTATACTGCCTTATAGAAGCCTGCGGCTTATGAAGGCAGTGAAGTAGCCTAGCTACAGTGTATAAAAGAGTAATAGGGGATTATGCACCTATAAACTCTCCTAGGTTATTAAAGCCCAGGAAGAAGGGTAACTTCCGTCCCGCTTTTATATCCGTAAATACTTGAAAAAATCTTTCCTTCACAGTCTGGCTATCATTGGCATAACTACCAAATCATCGTAGCGATTTTTGTACTAGCTAGGTAGTTAAGTAGCCCTTTTCTACCTAGTATACTATTACAGAGATTGTACAGAGACAGTGATACGCCTTTAAGATCTGTCTGAAGGATGCCTCTTTCTCTACTACATAGTTTACAGTAGAGGGTTAGGTAGGCAATATTTTGGTTGTAGTAACCGCAAATAAACGTACTATCGGGGCTATTACCTAGCCTATACCAGTCGAACCGAGGGTTGCTGTGTAGATACCACATGTTCCTAGGTGATATGTACCTATTTTACATCACGTTATACATAACCTGATAGAAGTTAGAATAAATGAATCATGTTGCATTCTTTCCACCATGCATGTTCCGGGTAAATGACACCATATAGCAGACGAATCCTACACAGGCGGATCTTTAGCAATTTCTAACAAAGTATACGACAAGGTGATTGGTCTGATAAGTGCCGATAAAGACACGCCAGCTCCGAAAATATGATGACTGGCTCGTTTTTGGGTCCATATGCAAGTTAACAGCCGCTTGTAACAGTGCAAGGGCGACGAGCTCTTTCCCGCTGACAAGTAACACCAAGCCACGTGAGCGGCTTAAAAGGCTCCTTGGCCAATGATGCCTGAAAATTAAATTGAAAGGTAGAAACCTTGTGCTTCCGGATATAAGATGTCTCCCTCGTCGCAGCCTTCTTATTCGGTATGACCAAGCCACAGCGTTCGCGAAGATGCCCCCAGACTATGAATCCCAAACAGAAATGGACCACAAAAAGGCCCAGAGCCGCAAAGAAGGAAGGGAAAGCGGTACCATATCTCAGGACATATCGAGAGACGCAGGGTTTCTCACCGAGACGCGCCACCAAGACATAGAGGGATACAGCAGCCGGTCACTAGAAGGAGAAACACCCACCAATAGCGACAATTTAATGTCCTACTCAGGACTGCCAAACTTCAAAGAGACGTATGCAGGTACGCTTCCGCAGCCTGTCCCAGCACTGCAATTTCTTCTACCAACTCCAGCAAGCGGACCGCCAGGGTCATCTATCCCTTCCGTGGGCGGCTTTACGCTTGAAGTGGATGACGGACCTCTTGTACACATAGATGGGCAGCCGACGTTAGTAAACCGTCCCTACACAGCCCACCTGCACCTCCACTCAACCACTTACAGGGGATGCTCCGTCGTAGAGCCAGATGCCGTCTTGAGACCGGATGGGAGATGTATGCTACCCTATTCTACTACATGACGTAATTTCACGAATTGCCATTGGCATCTTTAATTACTAATCTTTCATCGTGCCAGTGTATCACGGATACCAACAAGGCAGTACGTTATGGTCGTCATATGTACCTATAGAGCATGTTTATACTAATCAATGCAAGCATAACTTATGCCCAATGACGGCGTAAGTCCTTATATATTATGCTGAAATGTTGAACCAGCGTGCTTAGCACCCACTAGGTGGAGCAAGATCGTTTAGGTAAACCCTTTTGCCGCCCAACTAATGTACAAACCGGACGTGCATGCTAATCGAGACTGATAGATCTTCAGCATGCCATATGCACCATGCTCCTTGAAGGAAGGCTGGGTCTAGCTCCAGTACAATCGCCAGAATATGTCTTGGACATCGCCACGGGGACAGGCATCTGGGCACTCGAATACGCCGACCAGAACCCAAAGTCAAAGGTTGTTGGCACAGACTTGAGTAGGATACAGCCTAGCCCGTGGGTAACGAATTGTTCGTTCGAGCGGGAAAACTCGGAAATGGCAGAGTGGTTATTCCCATACAAGTTTGACTACATTCACCTCCGAGCCGTCCTTACCTGTTTCGACGACATCACGACGGTCATTAAGAAGTCGTTCGACCACATGAACGCAGGGGGGTACATTGAGTTTATGGACCCCGGCGGTCAATTTGGCTACTCAGATCACACATCAAAGGGCAAGTTGACATACCCTTGGGAATGAGGAAACAGGCATCAAATAAATTCGCTAATCTAATTACCTTTGCCTCAGCTCCCGCCTTTGAGCGCTGGAATGAGCTCTTTGCGAAAGGTGCTGCCGCTATCGGCCGAGACATGCCCAGGACGCGCCTTTACAAGGACTACCTCTTCGAAACGGGCTTCGTGGACGTGGTCGAGCGGCTTGTGCCCATGCCCATCAACCCCTGGCCCCCAGACCCTGGTTTCAAGCAGATGGGCCGGTTTGGTGAGCAGAACATGTTGAAAGTCATCGACTCGCTTCGGAAGCTCACTGGGCTTGCGGGGCTGACCCCCGAAGCAACGGAGGAGCTTATAGCGCAGGCCAAGAGAGAGATTGGTGATAGGCGGAACCATACGTATTTTCCATGGTAAGTATGATATTTCCTTGGGGGCAGAGATGAGGGGGAATTTGCGCTGAGAATACTGCTGATATTTGGGTGGTAGGTATGTCGTATATGCGCGGAAGCCACATCCGTGGGAAACAAGAGACATGGATACTGATGCGTGGGCCCCGGGGCGAAAAATACCTACTGAGGAAATACATGCGGGAAAGGGCAAGCAGGTGGTTCCATAGGAACAACGAAAACCAACCAGGTTGGCATACTGGAATATAGGGGAGAACCAAGTACATACTTTCAACAACATCTTAGTACACGAGTAACGATAAGTTGATCTTTATATGAAGAATTCATTAAGAGTATAATGTAGAACACATAAAAACTATGACAAGTCACAAGAAACCAGCACTTTTCATCAAATTTCATGCCTCTCAAGAGTATCTGAGTGCACCAAAAGCTCACTGTTTCGTCCCGATGCACTTGTTAACGGAAGTCTGCAAAATCTAACGGCAACCTTCTCAGTTGCGGATTCTCAGATAAAACATACCCGAAAAATTCGCTAATGAAAGCCGACTTATACGTATCTCTTGGTGGAATGGTGGAATATGAACGATAATCGTCTGAGTATCACTGGGAATGGGACTAGGGACAGCGTTGCTTATTTTCAGGCCATCCACGAGCGTTCATGTTAGGTACCTCAGTCGGTAAGTCCCCTCTACGTGCACTGGCTGTATACCCACTCGATAAAACATGAAACTTCCGTAGAAACTTTTCGTTCTCGTATCGACTTACAATTGGAGTTCTCTAGAATCCACCGGCGTTGATCATGAAATCACAAGGAGTTACCCCTCACTTCTGACTGCACTTCCCGTCAACCTCTCAGAGGGCAATAAAGTTGCGACACTTTGGCCCGCAATGACAATATCTCTTGGATTACTAATACTTGACCACCTATCCGTACCTTCGGGGTGTTTTGTCAGCTCATCGGGACCAACTAATAACGGCGATACCCCATCATGAAACCTGACAACCAGCTTATACCAGATATTCAGATTATTTCACCTACGCCAGGAAATACCAAAATAAAGATGACTGAATCCAAGCAATTGCACCTCACGGCCTTCATGCGCCCCGTAAGCCTGCACACCGGCGCCTGGCGCTACCCAGGCTCCTACGCCGACGCCAATTTCAACCTCACTCACCTCAAATCCTTCATCCAGAAGCTCGAAGCAGCCAAATTCGACGCCTTCTTCATGGCAGACCACCTCGCGGTGCTGAACATGCCCGTCGAGGCGCTCAAACGCAGCCACACCGTCACCTCCTTCGAGCCGTTCACCCTGCTTTCGGCCCTTTCTGCAGTAACGGACAGGATCGGCCTCGCGGCCACGGCTTCAACTACGTATGATGAACCCTACCACATCGCGCGCCGCTTCGCCTCGCTAGACCATCTCAGTGCCGGCCGCGCGGCGTGGAACATTGTCACCACGGCGAACCCGGACTCCGCGCGGAATTTCGGCCAGGATGAACATGCTGAGCATGGAGAGCGGTACAAGCGGGCCCGGGAGTTCTACGACGTCGTTACAGGGCTGTGGGATAGCTTTGCCGATGATGCGTTTATCCTGGACCAGAAAAGCGGCATTTACTTCGATCCGGAGAAGATGCATGTCCTGGACCACAAGGGACCTGAGCTAAAGGTTAGGGGGCCGTTGAATATTGCGAGGCCCGTACAGGGGTGGCCCGTTATTGTGCAGGCTGGGCAGAGCGAGCCGGGACGCCAGTTGGCGGCAGAGACGGCTGAGGTGGTTTTTTGTTCGCCGAAGGACTTGGAGGCGGGGAGGGCGTTGTATGGGGATATTCAGCGGCGGATGGGGGAGGTGGGAAGGAAGCGGGAACATCTTAAGATATTGCCCGCTGCGTTCTTTGTTATTGGTGATACTGTCGAGGAGGCCAAGGCCAAGCGTACTACGCTCGATAGTTTGGTCCACTATGACAGTGCTATTGCGTCATTGTCGGTTGCGCTGGGGCATGATGCGTCTGGGTTTGACCCCGATGGACCGCTGCCGCAGATTCCAGAGACGAACGCTAGCAAGACTGGCCGGGCGGGCGTCATCAAGCTGGCTGAGCAGGAAGGCCTGACTGTGCGGCAGCTTGCCCAGCGGTATGGTGGATATTCTGGGCTGGCCTTTGTGGGCACGCCTGAGACTATTGCAGATGAGATGACAACTTGGCTGGATCAGGGAGCGGCGGATGGATTTACTGTCGTTTTCCCATTTCTGCCTCAGGGGTTGCATGACGTGACGGAGCGTTTGGTGCCTGAGTTGCAGCGTCGCGGGCTGTTCCGGCAAGAGTATGAAGGGGCGACTTTGCGTGAGCATCTTGGCCTTCCGCGGCCTAAGAATAAATTCTTTCCGTGATTTGCGTGGCGGCGTCGGATGAATCTCTTGAGGTATGTTATACTGCTATACCGTATGACTCAACAAATGGTACATAACAAGCTTGGGTTCGTCACAGGTGGCACTTTGGGAAACAAGAAAGTGACGCAAAAGGGTGTGCATGACGTAGCTGGCTAGAATGCATTTGCTCTTCTAATTGTTAACTTGAATAATAGAATGATTAAATTGGTTAAGCTACTGGGTTTTACCATGGCTGTGGCATAGGATCAGTAATTGGTTTTGACCTTGCAGGGAAATCATACAACTTGCTGGGATTCGAGCGCACCGTGCGTCTGGATTATGATTATCGATATACGCAAGGAGGGAAAGGGACAGGGACTGACATATGGAAGCAGAGGGTACGGACGAAGGAACAAGTACGACAGGAGAATTTCAAAGAGACTGCTTTCGACGAGTCTTGGCAATACGGCAGAAGAGGACGGTGGACGAAGGAAGATGCGGACATATCTATATAAGGCCCTTATGGCCACAGTTCACTCCTTTGGAAGTCTTCAGAGGTCAACACACATTTAATGAAATACAATTTGCACAATTAGTCCAATAGCAGTAACCGGCCGTACTATTTGAAAAATGTGCTCTGTGCCAATTGGTCCAATTCAAGTCTTCGAAGACAATGTCGCTTCCACAGCATCCCTCCGAGAGTCTGGCATGCCTGAAATTTGGCGCAGCACGTTCCTCGGACGGCCCATCGAAGGAACGTGCAGCGAGATGCAACTCGATGGAGGGTGTGCTATAGAAAAAGTGCTGGCCCCCGCCAGGTTCTGTGCGTCATAGACGAAGAGTCGTTACGAGATCGCTGCGCTTGCAAAAGACACTGAAGCGCTGATAAGGAGTTTGAATCGTCTGATAGGCAGATGAGATAGAATTGTCATGAAGCCCTACGTCACTTGTTAAGGCCGCATGGTCGACTCGGAAGAGGATGTGGAGGTAAAACCATCAGCGTGGCAAATATCTACAATTACTGCAGGTAATGAAGGGAATTAAATAAAACGTATTCTATCATGACGGCCAAAAGGACTTTGATTTGTGCATCTTAAAGGGCAAGCATTACTCTTGATAACTGTATCAAATCGAACTTAACCAAATCCAAAATTGAACACTCATCACCTACATAGAAACCAAGGCGGTGAACATAAGAAGACGTAGAAGACGAATGAGTTTCTTCTAGGGGTATGCTCTAGCCGAGTGAGTAGAAACCACAGTACTAGTAGTAACATGACCCACACATCTTGTTTCCTTCAACTTGTCTCTCATCAAAATGAGCTTCTCGACGCAACCCAAATGATCCGCTATCTCTCAGACCAAGGAAATCAAATGTACAAAGAGTAACAACCCCCTCCCACGGTCAGGAGATGGTAATCCCGCATATTATCAGTTCCAGTCATAATGATCTACCATTCCGTTATCAGATTCGATCGCTGATCTTCGATTCGCAGTCCGATGCTCGCGAATACTGTGCAGCGAAACAGGTCATTTGATGTAAGCCGGAGAGATGTCATCCCGATTTCCGGCCCCAATATAGCCAACTCCATTTAGACCGGAGCTCCGAAGGTGTATCGTAGATCGCGCTCTTGCGGTTTTAAGGGTAGGGCCCGGAGCTTATAGTCGGAGCTAATGCAAGATACTTACCGTGTAAGCCATCCGTCGATATTGCGCAATCCCGACCAAACATCTTTATTCGTTGATACTGCAGTAGCTGCCTATTATGGTCCGATTCAAACAACAGTGTCAGAAACTCCTTGACTTTTGTGCCTCCCGGTCGAGGAGCTTTTAAGGTTGCATACATAAATGAACACCAACTGTTACTCTTCTATATATTCAAAGTATGCACCGAATATTCCGCAGTGGCATCGCACATTCCCTACACACCCAGACGACCCTCTGTAAGCCAAATTCCAGACACATTTTCTATACCTACCTAACATTCAAGATGTCTTACTCTTCCACCGACAAACTCAGCCAAGCCTCCACCATCGACTCCCTCGCCCAATCCACCCTTCTCCGCCCTAATCCGCACCTGGCCCATGCCCTTTCCAACTCCCAAAAGCATGGTCTACCTCCAATTGCCATCTCCCCACTCCAAGGACAATACCTATCCGTCCAATGCCGTCTACTGGGCGCAAAGTCCGTGCTCGAAATCGGCACTTTAGGTGGCTACTCCACCCTCTGCTTCGCTGAAACCGGGGCCAAAGTAACGAGCATCGAGATCAACCCTCGTCACCAGGCCGTGGCACTCGAGAACATCTCCGCTGCTGGTCATGACGCCGAGATGATTCTCGGTGCCGCGCTGGATGTGCTCCCCAAATTGGAGCAGGAGGGAAGGAAGTTCGATATGGTGTTTATTGATGCGGATTGGGAGAGGCAGGGGGAGTACTTTGATTGGGCTGTTCGACTGACGCGGGCGAAGGGGGGTATTTATGTGGATAACGTGGTTAGGCAGTTGTTGGAGAGCGAGACGACGGATGCTGGGACGGAGTCGCTAATGACAAAGGTGGGGAGGGATGAGAGGGTGACAGCGACGCTTGTGCCGACGGTTTCTTCGCATAGGGGGATGGCGGGGGCAGCGTTTGATGGGTTTTTGTTGGCGGTGGTGCACTAGGCATTCTATTGAGAGGGATATCATGGAAGGCTAGCCTTCTATCAATCAATGCCATCCTAAATTGGTTCAGAAAATTTTGGCCCCTAACGCCGCACAATTCATCCGACGTACACTATTCGTTCTTTTCCATGGTTAACCCGTTGCCTTCTGATAAGAGAAAAAGAACATTCTGTCCGTCTTCTTTAGTCTGTTCCATACTGGATTTGCATCTCACCCCCATGATCATATTCCCGATAATGTTTCTCGCGCTCCACAGAATGTATTTCCTGAACCTCTTCTTCCTTGTCTTGCCATCCACAACGTTCTGGACATTACTGTGGCCAAAGGTCGACCCTTCGGCCTTGTGATGGTAAAAAACAGGGGACGTGACATTCATCCAGCTTGTCTCCCACCCACAATGGACTACTAGTTCTACTGTAAATAACAGTCACCCTCTTTGTCTCTGCTCTAGTAATTTGGTTTTTTTGTTGCAGCCACTCCACCACAGTTTTACTTTTGTTCCTTTTCCATATCACTTACGCGACTGCATTGCATTGTTATCGTTGCTACACGCCCTAAATGCTCCCATTTTCATATGCAGATAATTAGCAGAGGACGCAGCGCAACTCAAATATATAGACATATCGCACCACACCTCCACCCTTAGAATTAGCAACAGAAAGTGCCGAGTTCTTTATCACCCTGCTGACTTGCTTCTGAGGCGGTTTCGTGGACAATGTATATGGCAGCATAGGGATCAGACAGTACTGTTTTGGGTTTCTGACGGTGACGGTCTCTGTGAATTGCTTCGTGCACGTCTTAATGACTGAAGACGTGAGCATTGGTCTATGGAAGAAGCTTGACTAATTTAAGGAGCCCAATCAAGTGCCGACCATGAGAAAGTGTTGGACTACGAATTAGTGACTTCACAAGTGCTTGGTCGAAGCGGAGTGAATGGTAACGACGCGACTAGCTGAAATCACAAAATGGTACAGTTTATTCTTGTAGTGGGGCCAGGCCGGACATCAGGGAAAATGGGTACAGGGGCAGGGAGAACGCCCTTTTCTTCACTTTAAGAGGAGTAGAGACAGATCTTCTTTCCTCGGGACCAAATCATCTTCCCTTCATCATTTTCATCTTCTTCTCAACCTTAGTTTCCAGTTAGTCAGTCAATCTTGAGTTTGCTCATTTCACATATACATGCATTCAGACGTAGCTTTCAAGAATCCATTATTTTGCCCTCACCTTAGCCTGGACGACTACAGGAGGCTTCGTCTTGTCCTAATCAGACCATTCAGTGCTAGTGACAGCTTCGATTTAACTCCCAGAGGCAGGCGTCCTATTCTGAGAATTGTCCCGTCGCTAATTGCAGAGGCACATCCGACCAACTTGCGTACAAGAACTATAGGAGCTTCGCTTCTACAACCAGCACTGCGGGCTTCGTCTGATCAGACAAAATTTGTCAGTGTTGGAGCCTTTTTATCAGGGTGTTAGGTCGTGGGTATATCCTACTGACCGCCTGACCCCGTTTCACTCCTTGGGAGTATAGGCTTATTTTATTCCACCCCTCATTGGGCTGTATAGTTGACCTTCTTCTTGGGAGCACAGCAAGCGAAGAGAACCTATCAGTGAAAATGAAAAAGTGACGCAAAGTATGTAGTCAATGTTTTGATTATGATAGACTACGCTGCAGTCCACTGTCAAACCTTATGATTCACGGTCTATATCACATATGATCCAAAGGTGCACCATAGTGACTCCCTTCGGAAGTCCCAGCAGACACCAAAAAGTGTAACTACACAAAACAGTAAACACAGCTTACTCCTAGCAATCTTCCAATGTATATTTCCTACGGGTATGTCTGATCTCTCGAAACATATCGTCATCAGCTACTGACGGGTTGTAAACCAGATCTTGTGATCAAAATTGCCTATACTAGCCCTTGTGATCCATCTGATAAAACCTCTCTCAAACGCCTTCTAATGCAAAAGCAAATATCACTCGGGGTATCTTCATTCGTAAGAATCGTCCACCAACACCTTGTACCCTTCCGCCATGAGACATATTGATCAGTGCCAAGGAAAGATGCAAACCATGCATTCGTAATGATGCCCAACCCCCTTTGCCATCTAAGCCTAGCCGCCTCGTGGCTTCGGATGCGTGTTGATACGCCACCGTATCATAATCGTCAGATGCTCGTGTCCACTAAGAGAAAAGTGCAATCGAACAGAATTGTGCCATATGCAGAGTAAAGAAATCGTAAACGTTGCCAATGAGGTTGATGTCAAGTCATGTGACATGACAGCGAAGAGGTGAAGGAATGTTCGTCTCAAGTCGTGCATGCTCTGCATGGTGAAATCGGACGAAGCCGTGTGTGTGGTGGGGTGTCGAGTCGAATGAAAACCAATGAGACTTAGCAGCAACAGCATGAAAGAAGATACCGTCGGCTGACATGTAGATTTATACCAGAAAATGGGGACGGGAAAAATCAAATAGACCTGGCAGCAACATTAAGACGAAGGAAACCGTCAGCTGCCGGCATGCGGTCCATATCCGATGAAGTACATCGAATGCGGGAGAATTCCAATAGGTCATTTTCAATCCCAGTCGGCGTGCAGTTCGTCGAAGAACGGGTCGAGCTCAATGATGCGGAACTGATATGCATAAATATCGGAGAATGGTGTCTTCTTCCATTCAGCCGACATGCTCTGTCTCCAAGACACGAGCTCTACTTGCCAACCTCGTTGCAAAGCCTCAAGAGCGTGAATGGCGAAACCCTCGGAAAACTCGGCCGGTCTAGCATCTCCAGTTGCGAGGACTATTACGCCCGGCGTCTGGTTGCGAAGAACAACCTTTGTCATTCCGAAGTGGAGATGCTCATCGACGCCTTGCTCTGCTAATCGGTAGTTCTCATCGCGTTCATGGCTCTCAGCGGACTCATCATCACTAGTGGTGATCCAATGGTGTTGAGCGACTGGAACATTTGTCTTCCATGTCTTTGTCTTTGACGCCTCGGTTGCTTGAGGCACTCGGACGAAGAGGTTGACGTCGTAATTGAGTACCTGAGCTTCCTGGATGTAGATGGGCGGACTCGACTTGTGCCACGAGTATTTCACAGATCCAGCCAGCTTCCGCGTTACAGAGTGCCGGCCGCGCTCCAAAATGTGAGATAGATGCTCGAAGGAGAGGGGCAAGAACGGAGCACGCGCAGAGGGTCTCATTCCTCGCTTAGCTTTAGCCAGGTTCTGGAAGCTGATGAAGATATTTGACATATCGACAAAGATATGAACATCTTTGGGTCCAGTCGAGGGCAAAGATTTCAGTTTCTTGTTCAATTGGCAGAGCTTCTGTTGTTTCAATACCAAAGGTGGTGTGATCGGCGTGACCAGCGGTATAGAGGACGGCTCTACAAGGAGAGGGTTTTGATAAATATTCGACCATGTACTGGTTGGATGGTCCGACGTCTTCTTGAGCGGGGGAGAAGGGTAAGGGGAGTTCTGGTAGAATTGGGAGGTGGCGCTTTGTAAGCCTCCTTGAATGGCTTGTTTCAAAAGATCATACGCAACTTCCTCGTGTTGGCGACTGCCAGCTCCGTGGTAGGCCGGTACAGTGTTGACCTTAGCTTCTGGATAAGATCTGGGGTTCGTGAACTCAACTTCCTCGCAGACAGGTGTGATCTTGCTGTGGACTTTATTGTACACTGGGAGAACTCCATCATGAGCCGGTACCGTCCTACTCTTGAATTTGCTGAAAGCTGGGAGGGTCATCGCTTGGACTTCATCGGGGGCTGGTACTGTTTTGCTCTCAAGTTTTCCACGGGTTGGGATGGTCATGACATGGTCTTCCCCAAGGAAGGATATAAGCTGGCTCTTGACTTCATCGTAGGCTAGCTGTGTCGTGGCCGGAACATCATCGTAAACTGGAAGGGCCTTGCCAATGTTCCTCAAATTGTCTCCGAGGCTCGGGCCTCTGCAAGGTGTCGGCGGTGAGGATTCCGGTGTGAGGTTACGAGTGCTTCTCGAATCCGCACTGGACAAGGTGAGTGAGGCAATCGGGCTCGAGGAAATGCTGAGGGAATCGTTCGTCGTATCGGGGAACCAAGTATCCGAAGACCTATCACTTAGCTCTTGCTTCTCCGAAGTTTTCTGGTATCCGAACAGCTTGACTTTGACATCGGTGAAATCGCCTAGCCGAGGTGAAGATGGACGCTTCCTCACAACTCGAGAGCCATTAGGCCCCGGACGTTGTGGTAGCGCAAGCTGACAAAGCCTCGAGCCAGCAAGACCTCGGATTTCCATGCTATCCATGTTGTCAAGCATATATCCAACCTGGGTAGATTGTGTAGGGTAGTAGCTGGCAGGTTGGAGCTCCAATCGAGAAATTGACAGTAGATTGGAGGCTTCCAAGGGCATTTTGATCTGTTGTACAGTTGACTTATGGGAAGCCCAAGATTGTGAGAGTTGTGTGATGGCCGAAGAAATTAAAGGATTCCCAAGAAAAAATGCTACGCAAGTAAATGTAAGTCAGTTAAGGATCACCGTTATCCGCGTATGACCCGCTTGAGCGAGTACCGTCGAGGATGGCAGTCGGGGAACCAACCATCACTCTTTTTACAAAGAACTGCCGGCCGTGTTGGACTTGAGTATCATAAGGCACAAGAGTAGAAAAGGGAAGAGCTATTGAATCACAACATACCATAAACCCGCACGTCTAAACCTGGGCTAAGAAAAAGATCGTCATCGATATGCTTCGGGCTCCAAGAGGTGGCGATGAAGGAGGTGCATCATCAAGTGCTGGATGCTGGACGCTGGCGATCAAGACGAGATTAGTTTAGACACGCTGTGATTGATAAAGAAGCTGTACGAAAGTCAAAAAGATTCAACGAAGGTTATGGAAGGTGTAGAGCTCAAGCTGGTCATCTCCAGGTGTGCGTGTATGTGCGAGTATAATAAGATAGCTTGATCAAGATGGGAGACCCTGGTGAATCATAGGGAAATTGAAAGGAACTCGGCGACTTTGACGGTGGCGGGGAAACTGCCACTGCAGGGGGGAATTGCTACTGCAAGCAACGGCCCGCTGTATGCTCCATTAACGCTCTTGGCAGGCGGTGAATTATCGGGTTTTCTCTTATTCCGTTGACGAGCCTTATCGATATCTGCATGCAGGTACTCAAACCAGCCGAGCTCCAGCATGCTCGACGCATCCAATAGACTTTAAAGCATCTACTTTATCATTCATTTTGAGCAACAAAGTGGCTTAGTTCTTCTGGTATTTACACTTTCCTCCATCCTCTCAGAACATATCTTCAACAATCATTTTGAACAAAGCCACCTCAGCACAGGCGAATCTGATACAAGGTGGACTACCAAAGACCGAAGGCTCCAAGATCGGACTGCATTCACTCTAGGGAAACCTTTCTTAGATTTATTTAGTAAGCGTGGTTATATTCTCGTATACCTCAAGATCTCGCCTTCTCATCCCCATCGCCATTAATATGGCTGGAATGCCTGGAGGACCTTTGGAACAGACTTTGGTCACTTTGATTCACCATGGGTCAGATTCGCAACATGTAGATTTTGACCTGAAACTTCGGCAACTAAGAAGGGCAACATATGCAGCCTATTTCAAATCACAATAGAAAAGCTTATTCCATTGACACATCTCTGCCGATTTTGCAAGTATTGTTTCATTGTGTCCATCTGTCGTGGGATGCCCTACCGCGAGTGTGCATCCGCTACCTCTTGACTATTTGGCTGCCTCAGTACCAAGATTTCTGTTGTACATACAGCCAAGGTAACGCGATCTATTATACGTACTGTCAAGCCAAATGCCATTTTCCTGGCCAATAAACCCTACCCGGGCTGAAGACATTGCAATCGCTTGGTATCTTAAATCCTTGACACCCTTGACACCTGGTTTCTTCCCTGAACGCCAAATGCACACTTGGCCTTCTCAAGAACCGTATTTATCAATCTCCTCATCATTGGTACTCCAGCCATCATAAACTTCCATGAGTTTCGCGGTCTCGCAATTCATCATGGCGAGCCATTTGCCGAGTACATCCGCGGCGACGTCGACCATCTGCTCCTTCTCCATCTTCTTCCTCTCTTCATCACTAAGCACCATCTTCTTGCGCTCCGCTTCCTTGCGGAGATCATCTTGCGCCTTTCGCTTGGCGCGGCGGTCTTTAATATCCCTCGCACGGTCGGCCAGATAGCGAGTGCTATGTCCGAGGCCAGCGCTCTCAGTGGAAAGACCAGGGTGGGCACGGTTCAAGGGGGGCTGAGTAAAGAAGAGGACTCGATCCTGCTCATCTCGTTGGAATTGCTGACGAACGTCTAAGGGGATCGTCTCGTTTATGGCGTCATCCAGTCTGTAGACCTGTGAAGGCTTCGGTGGGTTGTAAGTATTGGTTTGCGCATGCAGGCCGGGGCTGGGCGCGGCCGCAACCGACGTGCGGGCTGGGGAAGGCACAAGACGCTGGGTGTTGTCGTAAGGCACTATGGGAGCCTGATGTGGAACATGGTGTGGTGGGTGATGGGGTATAGGGACGGGTGAAGGATTGTACTGAGCCGGGTAGCCGTTATACGCTGGAGGCTGATGCGGCTGGAAGTGTGGGGTGTGGGGCATCGGCGGTGTTGCATGAGTGCCGTGCATGCCTGGGTGGCCGCCAAATTGCTGGGCGACGACGGGAGTGGGACTAGGTCGCGGAACGTAGGGTGGCGCGAACGTAGCATTAGTGGCCGTTGGCGTCGGGGGTGCTGCAACTGGCTGGAAATGAGGAGCGTTGCCCATGGCTATGTCACCTTGGCCGTCCATGGGTCTGGCCTGCATCATGAATGATGGACGACGAGCTGCCTCGGGAGCCGGCGGCGGTGGGGTGGGAGTAAGCTCAGGCGGCGGCGAATCCTAGAAAAGAGGAGAAATTTAAGCATTTGACGAAGCTGACAGAAAAAGATGCAATTGCGACCGTAGGATGGGGCACTGAAACAGGTCGTAATCGATAAGGACAGGTGGTAGATAGCGTTATCGAGCTGCGAGAGGGAAATCGCGAAGACAGGACAGGATGGCAGAAGCAAACCAACAACTGCGATGCAGCACAGGCAGGGAGTAGGAAATGACAACCAACTTACATTTACTTCTCGCTCGCGGCAATGCACAGCTCCGATAAGGGGTGGCGCATTCTTGGCTCCCCAGGTCGGCTTGGGCATAGGATCCGTCGGCTTTGCATCGTCCTGGAGTAGGTGCTTGATCGGACTGGGGAACTTCTTCAGACGGCGCGGTACGTCGAAGAGATCCATTTCATAGTCCTTCTCCCGAACTTCATCAGGCACGCAACTAGCCCATGTCTTGATTTTGTTCAATTTGTGCTTCTCCTCGTTGTAGCGCGCTTCGCAAACGTAGACCTCTTTGTCCTTAGGGAAGTCGCGAGGTCTGCCTTTGTTGTAGCGCGTAATGAACATTACAAAACACCTGTCAACAACCTCATCGATGCGATGGTCTCGGTATTGACCAGTCTTGACCACCTCGTTCTCGAAGAAGTGCTTCTCGAATCGATGGACTGTCTGCTCAGGTCGGTAGTACCAACAGGCATTTACCCACTTGTGACCAGCACGATCCTCCCAGGTCCGGTAAATCTGGGCAACAATCGGCTTTCTCAGGTCATTGGGGTTCGTGATATGCACCCAGTCACCTGAAGGGTCACTGTTTAGCAAGTGCCTCATATGGCTGTGCGCAGCATCAACGACTTACCAATTCTCCAAATTTCTCCCTGATGAATGATCTCGGGCACCGGTCGCCTGCCGTCCTCATCGGCAAACTCGTTATCCGGTTTCGCCTTCTCCTGCTCGGCCAACTGGTGAGCGTGGTGCTGCAGCTCCACGGCATCCTTGTACAATTGGCTGTCTTCCTCGTTATATTGCTTGGCATTCTCAAACATCAAGTCGATATCCTTCATCACCTGGTCGACGCTCGAATACTTCTTCCTCTTCGCCTTTCTCTTGATGAGATCCAGGGCGACAGGGTTCTTGATAGTAGCATAGTAGTCCGATGTAGACTGTTTATCTGGGAGCCGTTCGAATGGCACTATCAGAAGTTCGCCGGTCGTGTGGCGGAACTTGCGAAGACCCTTAAGAAGCGCGTGGATTCGCGCCTCAAGCGGGGTGAAGACTTTGGGAGGGCGTCCTCGAATCTTAGCCTTGTGGTCCTCATCCTTGGCACCCGCCATTTTGCGACCAGTTGTTGATTGTCGTCCACGTCTTCCACGCCGACGACCACCGCCGTCATCGTCGGAATCATCCTCTTCGTCATCCTCATCCTCGTCTTCCTCTTCCTCTTCATCTTCAGGTGGGGAATCCTCGGTCTCTGGGATCTCGCCGAGGTCGGGTAGAACGGCTTCCTCGGCAGTGATGGTACCCTCATCAATTAGCTTCTGAAGTTCTTCCTTGAACACCTCGCGCAATCGAGTAGCGTCTTGGAAGATGCTGGACGATGGTCGATTATAGACCTGCGCGTTATGGCAAATGAGGGCGACATCCTTGACGAACTCGGCAAACGTCGAGTACTGCTTGCGAAGCTTTTTGGTCTACAATTTGAAGTCAGCAACTAAAGATGCCTTGCCATGCGATCACAGCAGCAGAACATACTCGGATGGTGCTGAACGCGACGGCTTCCTGGATAACCTGATAATATTCGGGAATCAATCTTCGGTTAGGAATGCGCTGGAAGTTCTGCGCAATATAGTAACCATCTGGCTCCTTGTAGCTTGATAGATAGTTCGCTGTATTCTCTATCACCACAAGCATGTCACTTGACAAGCTGTTCACCGGCTCTTCATCTGGTTCTCCGTCAGCATCTGCATCGGCGTCAGCGTCGGCGTCGGCGTAGGTCTCGGAGTCGTTATCAGCATCGCCTTTGCCGACCGTTTGTTGGGTGCTATCTTTGGCGTCACTGGAATCGGCTTTGGCTTCGATGGACTCGCGAACTTCGAGCGCGTCGCCTGGTGCCTTCGCGTCTTGTTCTGCCATTGTGCGACAACGCGCGGCAAACGGGATGCGATATTTTGAGAGCTGAAAAACGGGTACCGCAAGGATTTATAACGAATGTTTAAAGGTCACGCAAAGGGGAAACAGCGTCGGCAGACATCGAAGAATTTGAAGACTTGTCGCATTAGGATGCCCATTGTTGGTGTTTCCAGAAATCCAGTTGTCAACGGCACGGAGCCGGTTTTTTGCCGATAGCGCTTGGTCTGTGCCTGACCGGCAGTTGACCGGCCAGGGATGTAAGTACTTACTTACCTTTAGCTTCCGATGTCCGTGCACAGAGAGCTCCTGCCTATACTACACTTTTAGGGGGTTCGTGTCTGCCAACCTGAGGGTCGAGTGATCCATGTGCGCTGCGTATTGAGTACATCCATATGAGAACTTCCGGTGCTATCCGAAACTCTACAAATATTGGACTCTTGCAATCCATCTAGAATTCCATCATACCCCCTTGATCTATGTGACTCAAAGTTACTTGCAGAATCATCTTTGAGGAAGCGATCTGCAACCGAGACAACACTTTGGCCACGCTCTTCGCCCTGCTCGCCTTTTTAGAGTATAGATACGCATGTTTCCTCTACTTTGGATAAAACATAGCATACGTCGCTTATTATAAAAGTTCTCGAAAGCCGGGTGGTCGAATTTGTCAGTTTGAATCGGGTGTTGTGAAATGATCTGGCAGGTGGGCTGTCTCAAGGATATTATCGCTTCAAAAATGACTGAAGCTATATGTTAGCTTTAGCAAAATCTTCTGTAGTCTTCATTGCAAGAGCTTTGACTGTACTACCCATGGCTGTCTTCAGACATACACCAGGCCGTGGAATCTGGACGCCTCTATGTAATAACTCCGACTACCATGAGATGTGTAGTGCAAGGCTTAAGTGTAGTTTCCCAAGTTGCGAAGTGTTCGCGAATCTGCAGACTATAATTTTCTTCATATTTTAATATTACCGTTCCACACAAGTAGTGATCTATCTTACGGACACCATGCAGAAACTTGAACTTGAAACCCTCATATTTGGAAAAAGGCTAGACGCCTTTGAGTTTGGGGTCAGATTGAGGTCAAATATAACGGGAATGGTATTAGTGATGGAGTTGTCCGTGAAGAAGATGATTATGAAGCTGGAAACAATGATGCTTCCGACGAATTTGAAGCCGGTCAATTCACTAGCATTGGCTACTATCACGTCGTCAACTACAACAACGATCGCATCAGCTGCTTTCATGATGTGCCTAGAATGTTCCAGGGCCAACTAAAACCAGATGACATACGGGGAAGATAACCAGTAGAGAGCATACCGACATCGATCTCCGTACGACTTGAGATTATTGTGTTCGGTATTGTTGACAAGTATGTCCGTCGGTGCCAAACTAGCCCGGACTCCATGAATTAATTTAGAGACGGAAGGTTTTTGGAAGACTCAGGACCTATGGCAAAAAGTTGGACTTGTATATTACACCTGAACAGTTTTCATTCGCGTATTCGAGTACCACGATGGCATTCTGATACTGGTCACAAACCACGTCGGCACGTTCGACGAGGCGTTGAAGTCCGCATACATCTCCCGTTCTGCTATCCATACCTCGAGGAGGGGAAAATAGAGATATAGCGGAATTTTATCCACATGCCCACGATCTGAAACGCAACGTCTCCAAGCTGGCGCAGATCGAAATGAATGGGCGGTAGAAACGCAAAGTCATCACGCTGGCGAGATACCTGACCAAGTTCCGCGAGCAGATTTTGTTATCCAAGCATGTACAGGATGTGGTTGCTTCTGTCCTCAAGTTCTGTTAGTACCTGATCACGCTTAGGGGCTTGGATGACCATTGGGCGAATGAGAAAAGCCTTAGATGAGGTAGATTAGACAGGTCTATATCTGCCACAGGAACGTATATTGGAAGTTGCAAACAGCAGGAAGTAATAGGAGGCTTGAAAGGGGGTAAGATCCACGCCGAGACGCAAGCCACGAGAAACTAGCACAGGTTCTCAGCGGACCCACGTTTATCTTGAGGAGTTCGTCTCAAGAGGAAAGGGTCCACCTGTGAAATTTCGAAATTTCGAAATTTAATATGGTCACACAGGCCCTCCAGCGCGTCACTTCAACAAACCCTAATAACTGTTGTGGTTCTCGGGCCCATTGTGCAGGTTTGATACTCCGGGGACGTCTTCGGTTTCACCTTCTCCTTCTTCAACTCCAACTTTTCCTTCAGTCTAGCCTTCAGCATCTGCTCCTCCTCTCTGTACCAAAATTTCTCTCCCGAATCTTTGTACCTCGGAACTTTCTTTCCTGGGGAATAATGCCCACGAACATCTGCTGGACCGGCCCTCGACTAATTCTGCCCAGGTATGCTTTCTTGTCGATGCGGCCTGGGATAAAGGTATGGCCGAATTCCTGGGCTATGTTGCCATCATCAGCACGATTCGGTCCTGCTGCGCGGTCAAGCCATCGAGGAATTTTCCAGGAGGGTAATAAAAGATAAATCAAAAGCCTTGTCGCTTTATCAGATTAGTAAAAGTACCTCAATAGGTACGGATAATCGGGTGAGACTCAACAGGCTTGAACAGAATAGGGCCTTGATAGGTTTTGGAATAGAATCACCTCAGTAGGTGAACAATAGAACAAAGCCTTAATTTAATATGCTTGAATATATTGACTTGGATAACAAAAGTATCTCAACAGGTACGAATAATGGCCTTAGTAGGCACGACGAATAGAATAAATCCTTAAAAGTTTATTGACAGCTGGAACCTCAACGGGCGGAGGGAATGAACATTCGTTTCTACTTGTCCTCTCTGCTCTACTTGCTTCATAAAATAGCTACGTAGACAATCCAGGTCGTTAAATATCCTCGAAAGACTCACTTATTGTACAAGTCATCCGAAAACCGAAAAGCAAGACCTGAAACCCTGTCCCTAAGTCACTATAAGAAAATGTGTTCCACAGGCGCTGTAACCCATTGGAAGCTTGTAGTACCGAACGTACCGGCACTATCAGACTTTAGAGGTTATTCCAGGGCTATACCCTCCATGCGCTCGTAAATGTGTGATCCCGAAGGGAGCTAGTACAAGCGGTTTTTTCCTTTCTACAAGTAGTTTCCCAGTAGTAACAATACTACCAAGCCCACCCCCGCTACTTCCGTCTGATTCACCGAATCACTGTTTTACTTACATACGCCTTACTCTTGCTGTAATTTAGGACGGAGCCTAAATTGGCCGCTATGTTTGCCCGAGGAATATTGTTTTGTCGTTCCGATGCAAAGTTGCTCGTGGCCGATCGGTTCAAGCCAACATGGTCCGTTGGCATGAACTGGACAAGGCCTATAGCGCCAATCAACCAATCAAATAGTGATACGACAGATGCAAGGCATCGGATATGCGGTGACGTTATGTCGTATCTTATTCATACTTTTGTCAGGATGGTCTGTTCATAGCCACCACAAATTGGTTCCAGTCCACCAGCACTAGCCTGGATTTGCTATTCACAACACACTACAACTATCTTTATGTGTGCCCTAACAACTTACTCCTTGTGAGATGATATACTAGTGCAGCGATTATGCATCTTGAGTACGGGCTGGGGCTTAGCTTTGGGAAGGCCGCATCTCAGAGGGTGAAATAAGTAGCATATATAGAAAAGGGGGCTTGGTCTTATTGAACCTAAGTTTTCGAATGAGTTGAGCGAAGTTGATATTACAACCCGAATACCAACATGTCTTTGCTGGATGGATTCCTAACCTGGTCTGTCATTGACGCTCAAGTATTGGTTGCTGTCAGGGCGGTGGCCCGTGTGCCTGCCTGCATGTCTAGGCCAACCACTTCGACTGACTAGGTGGCTGTCTTCGATACACACACACATCACACAACAGTTGCGATATTTTCTATATTCTTTTGGTGCCGATACTTGTCGCCGATTAGTGATATTCCTGGGCCCTTCGCCGCTGCCTTGCCCGCCTCTGGCAGGTATGGGCAATCATTCGTGGCAACCAGATGATACTATTCTAGCACTCCGCAAAGAGCATGGTAAATTTAACTATTATGAAACCGTTGCTGTTTCAAAGACTGAGTACTATCAGGCCACTTCGTTCGCATTTCGCATGATGAAGTGAGCATTGGTCACCGTGCAGTAGTTAAAAGATCTTGATCAATCCTCTGCCCAAGGTGCGGTTCATTGCTCTTCGCCCGTCGATAGGCATCTAAATCCCCTGAAACCATAACCAACCTACTGCAAGCACCTTTGTACAACCTTCTCGCCTTTCCGGACTGGTAATTCCAATCGCCAATGTCCACGCTAGACCCCGAGGTCAAGAACGAACGCTCCAAGTGACTGGCATCGAGGTACCTGGCCAAGAACATCATCCATTCCGAGAAAGCAGTGAAGAAGGAACCGAGATGCTTGCCGATTGGATGTATCGCTACGGCCAAGATGGCAAGCCAATGGATCTTGACCAATTCTTCACATATTCGATCTCGCTGCGAGGTCATGTTCAGCCGGCCCTTCGGCTTCATCAAAGGAGTGCCTCTGGGGATTTCATCTCCAGTATAAGTCTCAACATGCTGGTTGCTTGGGGCGGCTTCTATCGCTGGCTCTTCCACATTTTCTTGACCAACCCTAATGTTACGTGGCTCAACATCTTCCCCGTGGGGCATCTGGTGAATATGGCTTGGAGGACACTCCAGGAGCGTCATGATAGTCCTGAGGTGCGCTACGATGTGGTGGAGCATTAGCTGAATAACTACCTCGAGCATCCAGATGGCATCAGTGTCCGAGACATCCAAGCCGTAACTGCGACGAACTTCAGCGCAGGATCGGATACGGTGTCCTAGGCCATACAGTCTTTCGTTCACCATATGATACAAACTCCGGACAGTTGGCAGCGTGCGCGGGAGAAGTATTGGATCCCGGTACGTTGACATTATCCCCCCGGAATATTCACATGATTTCGTTTCCCAGCAGCTAACATATCCACTTTGCACACAGTGGAGTCTCGGATATAACTCCTGCCTAGGTCAACATATGGCGAGAATCGAGCTCTTGAAGTTGGCGGCAACTATTGAAAGAGATTACGCTGTCCAACTGGCGAATCCGGGCCAGAGGTGGCAGTGGAAGGCGTACTTCGCAATCGTCCGACACAGCAAAGCCTGAGCAGAGGTAACCTTATGAGCTGCAAGTTCTGAGCTACCGCGGGTGTCACGCCGCGCCAGGGGTTGCAATCCTTGCCACTACGCCACCGTATCAGGTGTCTTCACCAAATCAATCTGTTCAGACCAGTGTGGGTCAATCACGTGACAACCGTCACATTACCCCCCGTTCTGACAAGTCTCGTCCGCGAGACTCTGCTCTAGAGACCTTGCCTCCAGCTAGGGGTAATTCTGGATAAGTAGATCCCTGAAAAGCCTCAGTCGACTTTTCCAAGTGCGGGACTCGAACCGTCGTCCTCCGCAGAGGGGTACACGAGTCAGCGCACCCGTATTTGACTTTGGTATTATGTCACGCCGCGCCAGGGGTTGCAATCCTTGCCACTACGCCAATGTGACGGTTGTCACGTGATTGACCCACACTGGTCTGAACAGATTGATTTGGTGAAGACACCTGGTACGGTGGCGTAGTGGCAAGGATTGCAACCCCTGGCGCGGCGTGACAGCGGGCATCTTACGGGAGCCTTCATCTGGAATGCCGCATGGGATGCATAGGTTCTTCTAGGATATGTGTATGTGTGGAGAGAGGGTAGTGCTTTAATCGAGGATTAGTAAGTCCTATGTGATGCTGCAGTTTAGTTTTGCTCAAGGTGTATGCATACTGATCGATGTATGGAAAGGGATGCGGTCTAGGGTAGTGCCGTCAGAAGGGCAGGAAGCTCAAGGTCCTCCCAGCAAGGTCCGCACGTGGCGCACATTGCCCACCACACAGAGTGGGCACTATCGCGTTTTCCAAAACAAACTTGTTCCATTTTTTCTCTGAAGTCGACGACTCGGATGATGTCACAGTAAAAACTGACTTGAAGAATATTTGATGTAGCAATCATCACCTAGCTGGGAGTGTTGCTGCCCGAAAGACGCCGTGGTGGACAATTTCACCCGCTCTCGAGCCTGCAACCTAATATTGGCCCTCGCGCAATCCCTCCACCAATCAGGAAACGAATTCCAATCTCATATCGCCATGTCGCAACCTAATCTCGAGGTAATAACAGCCGACCCTTCAAGTACTTAGGTACAGGTACATTACTGACTTTCTGAGCAACAGCCACCAAGAAGGGCGCTCGAAGATGCTGGCGATCGTTTGAATCGCTCACCGGTGTCTCCGTCCAACCGGCTGAAAGATGTGTCACAAGACAATGACTGCGTTTCGGACGCGGCCTTCGCAATGATCAGAATGGCATTCCCATCAGTAAGCAGAGAGGATTTCGAGGCAGCCACCGTGCTCGCGCAACAGGCGCGTGCACGTCCACCAGTCGAAAGAGAAGATCATGCACTTTTCGACCGACTCGAACACGTGTTGTCCACCAGTGGCAGCAGCCCACAAACGGCCAAGCCGCGCGCTCCTCTACCCAGAGCCCCCACAGGGTCTGCCAGCAGGAAGCGCAAGTCGGAGTCCAGTCTCGAGGATGACATCGCCGCGTACAAGCAGAGCCTGGATGATATCATCGTCGAGGACATGCCCATGGATCTCAGTTGCGACCAAGTCCGCACGCGGATCAATAAAGTTCTCGATAGCAACATTATGAACAAGGGAGAGTTCTGTAAAGCTATCGGATGTGGGAATGCTCCCGTCAACAACTTCCTCAAGAAGCACGGGCGGATGGAAGGCGCCAACAGCGGCGTGTACACCAACGCGTGGGAGTGGTTCAAACAGCGGGAGGTCGCAGGCTTGAAGCTCCCGGATGTCAAGAAGCGACAGAAGACTGAAGCCGCTGCCGCTGCCGCAGAGTCAAGCTCGAACATAACTCCTGGCTTAGCAGCTAAGAAGCTCTCTGCCACGCCGGATATCAGCAATATTCACCTGAAGTGCGAGGAGACAGATTCGGTCCCTGTCTTTGACACCTGCGACGAAATTCGGAGGAAGATCAACGCCCACTTGAAGACGCCCGGTTTGACGCAGGCGCAATTCTGCCGAGATCTTTTCAGCCAACTTAACACACCAAAGGTCAAAAGCATTCAAAGCTCAACGCTGACCTCGTTCCGGGGCAAGAAAGGCCCGAAAGCCGGCTGTACCAGCACTGTTTTCTATGCGGCATATGTCTACTTTGAGAAGCTGAGGATCGCTCAAGGTAAGCCAAAGAACAAGCATCGAGAAGACATGGAGCGTATTTGGGCATGTCAAGGCGGTTTTGATCTGGAAAACGACGGACGAGAGTCGTGAGTCTGGCCTTTCTATCCCTGATCCGATGCCGCTCAGACTTTGGATCCCAAATGCGAGCAATACAAAGCTGACTTTGACTAGGTATATCGTCATGTCTGGCGAAAGACCGTGCATGAACCAGTATGGCCAGGTAGGTCCTTTTTAGTTGGCCATGTGCCCGCGTAGATACGACTTGTACGAATTGTTTTCTTTTGGAGAAAAGTTCGTGGATTTTCTCCAGTTGATTTGCAGTATAGATTTGCTCGACTACGTGTTGGTCGCCCTCGTGGCCTTAATATATATACATTAATGGCCGCAAACAACGCCGAAGCTCGGCGGCAAACCATCCATTCATCCTACTTGTCTTTGACATATGTGTCATATGAGGAGGCCGCAAATCACCCCTTTGTTGGTGAGATGTGGCGCTTGTTCACTCGGCCCTTCAAGAGATCTGTCACTACGTCGGGCACGACAGCAACGAAACTTGCATCCCACGCATGTGCCCTCCAAGCAACAATGCCATCGGGACGAACCATGACAGCCCCCGTGCGTCCCACTCCACATTGTGCCGCCCATCGGCCATCACGATCTTCCCAAGCGTCTTCGCTGGCTCCGATAACTTCAACGTGTATCTTCTCGTTTTCAAGATCGACCCAGCCAGTTGAATCCCTTGCCAGCAAAGTCAGCTTCCTCAGATGAGTTAAATCAACAGTCGAAACGACACTATCGCCTCTCTTCAGCCAAGCATGAGGCAGATTGTGGCCCGGTATGGTCGAGGCATGGTACTTTAGCAAGTCGAAGGTCCCATCCTCATTCAGCTGCCCGTCGTGGCATGTTGCGTCGCCGTCGCCATCTGAGGCGGCGCTCGGATAGAACCATCCGATCTCGAGCCCCGGAGCGTGGAACTCGTAGTCGAGTGTGTCGCACGCCCTCTGCACGGCCTCTCTTTTGGTCCAATATTCGGGATGTTCGGGATCGCGAAACGCAGCGACTGCCTCAAGGTTCTGCTTTGTAGTCGTCTGGTGCGTGATGCCCAGCGCGGCGTCCATGATGTTGCCGTGGCTTTCCATATTCAGGAGACATTGGGTGGCGACTCGCACGGCGATGGGCTTACGTTCCCTTTCGTATGTATCGAGGAGGGCGTCGGCTTCCTGTGCGTTCTTGGACCGCAGGACTTGGTCGAGCTTCCAGATCAGATTGTTGGCATCCTGTATGCCCGTGTTCATGCCGAGCGCGCCCCAGGGGGGTATCCGATGACAAGCGTCGCCAACCAGAAAGACACGATCGCCTTTGGTTCTATATCGCTTAGCGACTTTGGCGTTGACCGTCCACTTACTGACGCTCTGGAGTTCGACGTCCAGATCCGGTAGCTCCAGACTGGCCCTTATCCTCGCAATCATGGCATCCTTCTCCCAATCCAATGGGTCCTCGGAAAGTCGTGGAGTGGCAAAGACCCATTCGTCTGTTTTGGTGTCGCTGCTGGGATAGTATGGTCCAAGATGGTATAGAAACCCCCCACCCCGACTACCCTTCATCTTGGGATTCACCAGAAATACGATCAAGGCCCTCAAGTCAGGGTGCACCGGCGCCAGTTCGGCCTTGAAGTGTGCCGTTACCATGTCCACCAGATCCGACTTTCCTTCCCACTCGATCCCTAGGCTTTCACTCAATCCACGGCCTCCATCCGCTCCAAGCACGTACTTTGCCCGAACCTGCTCCTTGATCTTACTGTCCCGGCTCTGAATGTGAAGTACCACGTGATCCACCTCCTCGACCACTTTCACCACAGTCCTACCATATCTCACCGCATCCGGACTCAGCTCCCCCACCCTTCGACTCAAAATAGGCTCGAGCCGAATCTGCGCTAGGATACTATACTGGCACGGACTAGCCCTGAGGTACTCATCCGTGCGCCCTCCTAAACCCCACGCCGTCCGCGTGCATATCTCAGTTCGCTGCGGACCAAAGTTGGTGTACCATGCCGTGTGGCTGAAGGAATTAGCCGGAGCGCGGTGTTTGATCAGCTCGGCTTCTATGCCGATGTGCCGGAAAATTTCGATAGTGCGCTGGTTCAGGCCCACGGCTTTGGGGTGGATTGATGTGCCCGGGTACTTTTCAAAAACGACATGGTTGATTCCACGAAGGGAGAGGAGCGCCGAGCAGACAAGGCCAACGGGACCGGCGCCGATGATGGCGACCGGGAGGATTGGGTCGGGGGAGGACATGATTGTGTTTGTGGTTGATGGTCGCCGCTAGGGGTAGCAGCTGGTAATAGTGGGCAGAGATTTCAGCCGTTACAACATAGTGTATGCAAAGTCCCGCTAGTCTAATGGGACGATGATAAGTCTACTTGCCATAAAGTGAATGTAGTTCGCAATGCAGAGTTTGTGGCGGTTCGGGATCCCAGAATCCCCGCATCGACTCGGTGACAACATAACCGAGTGCTGGGGAATCCGCTTCTCCGACTTTTCAGTCCGGCATTGGCAATGGACACTGAAGATTTCACATCCCTTGTAAACAAATTGAAGATCGACAAAGCGTGGCATAGTGTGGGGTAGCACAATATTCCAGTAAACACACATAACTTGGCTATTCCATTATTTGCTTCTCAGGAGCTCCAGTTATTCCACTTGCTACATAATCTTTCTCAACATTTATGCAGTGAAACATGAGCCATCGGAATTCCTTGTACGATCATGGACGTGAGACCTTGAAGGCAAACATACCTTACTAACTGCATCGCGGCTGATTAGACTGTGGAGTAGCCCCTACCCCGTACGTTTTGGGCCTTCAAGTGTTAGCATGCTGTTTTTCATGATCAGTATGGATGGAGATTCAGTCTTTCTGGCGAGGATGTGGTCTTGGGGGACGACAAAAGGCTCTCTGCAGATGACATATTGATCTTGCAACATCTGCATGTATGTATGTGCGCGACACTGTTCGGTTCGATGGCGTCCGAGGGATACTCAATGCATTGACATTAATAGACACTGGCTAAGCAAACAGGCGAATCTTGAATCTTCCCATTGTTTGCCGTGCCATCTTTAACATCCTTGATGAAAATGTGAGCCTGGGAGTTGCCAATACCTGTACTAAATTTCGGTTCTGTCCACCAAGTCATGGCTCCTAGCACGTGGCCCACTATCCTCCCATTCCAAAATCGACAGCTTCAATTTTATACACCCAAGTTATGACGGCTTATTAGGTGCGATATTGTTCTCCTACTAATGCTCGACATCTCTGATGATACATATTAATCACTTTATCTTGCTCAATACCGCCTGCTTATAGACCAGGCAAGACGCGTCGTCTAGTAATTCCCGTCTTTGCCACGGATTCATGTAAGAATCCCACAACCACTGCCACCTTGAACTTGTTTAGCGTCGAAAAATGCATCATTAAGGTCGTAAATCTTATGAACGCTACTCTCTACGGTTAGGCCGTGCTCAAGCAACGCCTAGAAATGAATCTTTTAGCTCAGAAGGCCAGGTTGCGCACCGTGTTGCCGCCTAGCCGGGCCGAGAAGATGAGCTGGACTGAATAGCCGTGCCGCTTGACGGGGTTTGGCTTTGTCTTTGAGGCGGCACAAGACCCATAAATGTCGGAATGAATGCCCTGGACCCTCCTGACTGGTTCCCCTAAGAAGCCGCCGATTTTCCTGAAACTTTATGTAGTAGTAGAGGTTTTATGTCTCGCTGTAGATTGGGGACTGCCATCGCGAGATGCACTGGTGGAGATGCGGGAAGGCTGTTGCACGGCAGTGAATGTGCAGCTCCTGGCGACGGTCGGAAGTGGATTCTTGGTGCCAGTAGTGATGTGATTGGATTAGAACTGGAACAATTGCAGTTTGTACTCGTGGCGGGTGATGACGATGACAAAGTGGCGAAGGTCGAACATGTCCCTATTATCACGACCCGAGGTATGGCCTCGTAGCTGGGTGATTGCACAGCATCTTGGCGGCTTTTAACAAGATGAAGTCATCGAGCGTAATAGTCCCTTGGGCATCTTCGTGTTGTACAACGGGAAGTTATGACACCTCTAGATCATCATCAACGGCAAGCACCTAACTAGCCTCTCGAAGAATAAGAGATTAAATAAGTTCTACTAGGTCGACTAGCTAGATAAGACAGTAATAGAGTATAGTCAGGTAATAAATGGGGTCGGGCAGTCAATAGGATGTATCTACCATCTAGCACACTGCCGGACCAGTATAGACGCTTTCCATCTGATCAGACGGTTCTCGTTGCAATGATTTCAGAAGCGAAGCTCCTGTTCGCCTTGTAAATCTAGGTTCGCAGATTAGTCAGATGTGTCTTCTTAACAGCAAGGGGGATGGCTTTCGGGGTAAGGCGTCTTTCCCCGAAAGTTATATGTAATAACCAGGACTCAGCAAATAAAACGAAGTGTCATAGGCACTAGTATTGGATTGTGGGCAAATGATCTTGTATTGAAAGTGTCATGATCTCTGGAGAGTCCAGAGAGAAGCAAAGGGCGGCCATAAGGGCCTTATATAGTCAGAAATGACTGATGCCTGCCCCACAGACAGGACTTGTGTGGTTCAATGGGTAGAGGTCATATTGACCCATACTTCGTACGGTTTGCGGCTTTACTTTTCTCCTTTTGACTTGACAGTCTTGACGGAGTAGCCTTGAAGGTCCAACAACTAGCTTGGTCTGATCAGACCAAGCCAGAATTTTTGTGGACGTCAAAGTCAAGGCAAGGGCGAGAGAAATTGATTTTGAGATCAAAAGTGCTATATGAATATGAAGAATAGACTGAACGAAACGACTGAAAAGACTGAATGGAAGATAAGGTGTCAAGCTGTGTTGCTTCTTGCTCTATGTTCTTCTTGTATGTTGGTGCCAGCAGCTATATGAAAAGAAATTGTGATGAAAAGGAAGACCCTCCACTGTTATTACATTTCACGGATATCCAGCCTTGCCCCGTTACAATATTTTTAAGCGCTTGAAGTAATTAAAAGGTTGGAGGTAAAAGGATAGCGACTAGCAATTCGGTCACTATAAAGATAACCGAACACCGCCAAAGGTTATACCTATATAGTGCGCAAATTAAAGCGTAAGCCTTTTATCATTTACGAAGGGAAGACGTAACGTATCTTCTTAACCTAACCGGGGTAAGAATATATAAAGGAAAGGGTTTTATAATATTTTCATGATTTTCTAGTTTAATATAGTGAAGATTTATACATAATACGTTCGTGTAACAAGAAGTTTCCGTACATACGACCATAGGCTACAGAGAACTCGGGATCCCGTCCGCTCTCCCATAGATAAACTGCAAACCGCCAGATTAGTAGTTGGGTGGGTGACCACCAGCGAATCCCTGGTGTTGTATGTTTTTGATATACTTTTGCCCTTGACCGTATGCTAGATATTATGAATATACGTAGCTATGTTCGGTCTCGCTAGAGGCCTTATCCCTAATTCCAACATTTTTAATATAATTGATTTCAGCCGTGCTTAGATATCTATCGCCTTTGTTCTACGTGATTCTATTCAAGTGTAAGTAAGGTAGGGTCTAGTTCCACTTAAGTTAGACTAACATGAAAAGTTAGTACATACGACCATAGGCTGCAGAGAACTCGGGATCCCGTCCGCTCTCCCATAGATAAACTGCAAACCGCTAGATTAGTAGTTGGGTGGGTGACCACCAGCGAATACCTGGTGTTGTATGTTTTTTGCTATACTTTTTGCCCTTGACCGTATGCTAGATATTATGAATATCCGTAGCTATTTTTGGTCTCGCTAGAGTCCTTATACCTAGTTCTACATAAGCTTCACTAACACCATGTTTTAACACATACGACCATAGGTTGCAAAGAACTCGGGATCCCGTCCGCTCTCCCATAGATAAACTGCAAACCGCTAGATTAGTAGTTGGGTGGGTGACCACCAGCGAATACCTGGTGTTGTATGTTTTTGCTATACTTTTGCCCTTGACCGTATGCTAGATATTATGCATATACGTAGTAGCTATGTTCGGTCTCGCTAGAGGCCTTATCCTTAGTCCTAACGTTATGTTTTGTGGTATAATTGATTTTAGACGTACTGAAACGGGGTCAGGAGGTCAGTAGGATATACCCATTGCCTAACACACTGGCAAAGCGGCTCCAGTACCAACAGATCCTATTTGTTGGTCTGATCAGACGAAGATCATGGCTATGGGCGCTGGAGCGAAACTCCTACTGAAACGGGGTCAGGCGGTCAGTAGGATATACCTGTCAGGGTACGGCTAGGCCGAAGGCAATAGTACAGAGTGATGGGGAGTAACGGGCGTCCCTCCTACGTAATACCGGGTGGTCACTGGCGGTCTCAGGTAGGGGTGCCCACGGTGATGCATTGATCTCTGCCCTCTCTATCTTCCTTCGTCTCGACTCCTTACTTATAGCCAGCCGAGGTTCTCTCTTGGATTCTGGATGTTTGCTTCCGTATGTCTGTGTTCCTCCGACTTCGGCCAATATCTTGGACAGCGGCTCCTTATCTGCAACCAAGCGATTCCCTATCCGCTGCAAACGGCTTCAACGGCTCTCTAGCCGCCACAAACGGCTTCCTACCTGGTGGAAGCCGGCCCGCCTCGGATGACACTTGTGGCTCTGACAACTCCTTCCCTATCCTACTTCGAGATGGTCCTTATATAGATAGAGTCGGCTGGTGTAGTTGGTCACTTCGCTGGTAGATAAGTCCCGATTTCAGCCTCGCCCACTTGGGTCGGTGACGAGTCGCGGGTTCGAATCCTGCAGCTGACACACAAGGGGGTTTAGTCAACCCTTATGGCGCGCTGCCCACCTTGTTGACTTCGCCTACCTAGCGATAATAGGGAGATTGGTGCAGTTTAGGATTACGAGCATCCTAGCCAGTCGACCGTCAAGCACTACGTCGGCGGAATATAACTCGACAGCCGGTCCAGAATTCGAATCGTTAATCCGGCCCCTTATCGGACCTTGCCTATCCGATAACGCTCGTCGGCGAACCCGTCCCCTCACGATAGAAGGCGCGCAGCACGCCCTCTCGCCGCGATTCTTGCGAGCGTCTAGACCACGTTACGGTCTATCCACTTGAGCGTATGGTTGAGATGTATACGCTCGACGAGAACCCCAATTAGCAGATACTACGACTTGTCGCGACAAAAAAAATAGTCGAGCATCTTCTGCACATCAGCAGCATCCCACCCCTGAGGACGAATTTAAGTGCCACATTACCACACTTATCGGTAGTTCAGGCAGGGGTTGTAGCACAGACTTAGGGAGGGACAGGAGGTTTAGTAGTCGTTTGGCTACAAGTTTACCTGTATAACCGCCCGACGCGGCTTAAGGGCCCGCTATATCATCTATAGCCCCTTAAGGGAGTACTTGTAGAGGTACCGAGGGTTAACACCTACGGCGTATTTAATATTATTTTATATAGATAGCTAGGCCGCCGCTTGGACCCGGCATAACAGCAGGGTCGGCGATGCCAAGGATCTTGACTCTCGTCATCTCAAAGCTTCACATAGATTGTAATCATGACTCGGGAGTCTTTTGTCCGAAACACCCCTCCGGCGGCCCACCGGTGTCCTGCGTTCAGTGTCCTGACACCCACGGGTGCCTATGGCATTCTGTTCTCTGACAATACCTACCACCTAACACACTGAACAGACGGCTCCAGTACCAACAGATCCCATCTGTTGGTCTTATCAGACGAAGATCGTGTTACTTGTTATAAGAGAGAAGCTCTTATACGTCTGGTGCGCGAGTTGGTCGGATGTGCCTCTGATACTCGTATCGTGATAATAGGATCTCGAACGTAAAGATAAGCTGAATAACTAAAATAACTAAATAACTAAAATAACTAAATAACTAAAATAACTAAATAACTGACTGAAAAGCGAAGGTGAAGATATAGATAAGAAGGAGATGATGATATGAAGATGAGGATGATGATGCGTGAAGATGGGGGACTCGTGTCCTACTATGCCTCTGTGGCTCTTACAGAAGAGAAAATAAACTTTCTCCTAGCCCCGTAACCTATTTCCCTGATGTCCGGCCTTACCCCGTTACACTACAAGCCTGGGGCGCAAGTTGGGCGGATGTGCCCTCTTGTATTCAGCGAAGGGGTGATTCTCAGGATAGGACTCTTGACTCCAGGAGTTGAAGCGAAGCTGCTACTGGTGTTGAGTTGCTCTGATCAGAGCAATTCACAATTCTTCGTAGTTGTCAGGGCTAAGTGGAAGAGATAGATGAATTCTTGAAAACTATGACTGAATATATAAGTGAATCATGAGCTGAAGCTTTGAATTGCACACACTGGAAAAGAGCACGATAACCGATGACTGTTGGTTGTGTAGAATAGGAGAGACGAAAGAGGTGATTAAAAAGGGGGGATGGTGGGAAAGGAAAACTGCAGCCACAAGTCCCCTGAAGAAAGCAAAAGATCCTCCCCGCTCCGTCACCTATTTTCCCTGGTGTCCGGCCTTACCCCACTATAGTACTTGGATGTCTATCGCCCTTGTTCTAGGTGTTGCTATCCGAGCTCAAGGGAGGCTCTAGTTATACATGTGTTAAGGTACGGGATCCACTCTGATGGTCGCCTAATTAGCTGGGGTGTTGGTCATGTTATCCAATCCCTCGTTCTACATAAGCTTCACTAACACCACGTTCTACCACATACGACCATAGGCTGCAGAGGATTCGGGATCCCGTCCGCTCTCCCATAGACAAGCTGCAAACCGCCAGATTAGTAGTTGGGTGGGTGACCATCAGCGAATCCCTGGTGTTGTATGTTGTTGTTATATATATTTTTTATGACTAATCTGAAGTAGTATCCTAAATCATGTTTGTTCTCGCCTTGTTGGCAGATGTCAATCACGGAAAGGTTGAGTCGACTTGCGAGGTGGCAATGGACTTGTCGCCAAGGTAACGCAAATACATGTGCCATGGCTCTGCGGTGTATATTGTTGCAGGTAGCGGTCTGGACGCATTCCTTGGCGAATACCTTATTTAATATGATTCGGGGGCGAGGTATCTCAATCGCTTGGTCTAGTTGGTAGCATCAGTGTACCTGGGGTGTTTGAAGCGTCCGCTTAGCGCAATTTTTCTTGACCGCGTGAGGCGTCACTGCCATATTTACTTAAATGACCCATAATGTTGGTGTTGTCGTGGGTGAAGGCAAGTAATATGATACATCCGCCGAAGGTTGGAGGCTGGAATTAAAGTCTCTGACCATGCGCAAAGTTGGTTAGAGTCAATGTCGAAGCAAGTATACTCACGCGATAAGCCGCAGCTTTGTTCATCGTCATTTTCCATGGCCATGGCTGTGACCTTGGATATTGCCTAGCTTTGTTCGCGTGAGGTGACGGCTCGTCTTTTACGGGTCTGGGTACCGGTGTTAGAGGGCCAAAAGTTTTCATAGCATTTTTACTTGTTTGAGTTGCGTCAACCACATCTTTGGCTCATAAAGTACGTTAGGCTTGTGTCGTGATACGTTGACATTGGGGATCACGGGTTACGAGACGTCTCGACCATGCTTGCTTTGTAAAAAGCCGTTACAACAAAATGGACATGGTGTTGTTATGGGAAACACATAAGCTCGCGCCTCCAGCTTGAAGTTGCATAATCAACTTTAGAAAAGAAACGTATTACAGTATCAACATCTGAACTGCGGATTTTAGCGTCGAATAATCGCCTGAGGCGAAGTTCTAGTGTGCTCTGTGGAACGTGGAGCAGGAAGCTGAGAGCGCTCCATACCTGCCGAATACCTACACCCTCATCCAGTATCAGGGCGCAGTGGATATGCGAATGCGTCCACTGCGGAGACGGCTGAATGACAGCTCGACGCCACCGTCATAGTCCAGTAAATATGGATCTCTGAGAGACCTTCATCGCCCTTATCATATCCCTCCTGGTGCTCAATTGTCTTACAGCTGGACTCGGGATTTACCTGCGCATCCAGGTCACAAAGTCCCTTGGATACGATGACATTGGAAAGCTTGTAAAATCTTGTCACGTTCGTAAGGGAAGAGTCTAAATACATTGCCTTGGGAATTTTCAAAACAAACTAACGGCCACCAGTTTGGGTTGATCATCTTTGCGGAGCTGGGGATTTCTACTATGTGGTATGGAGACGTGGCGTGCGATGTTCAGCCATAATATGACGCTGTGATGGCAGAAAGGCAAGATGGTTCCTAATCTCTATTGTGATCTCCCGAGTGCAGCTGAAGAGTTCCTGCTGGCAGCACACATTCTCAAGTTCGACTTTGGTTTCTCCTTTGTATGCTTCCTCACATCCGCCGTGGTCAAGATCAGCGTTACCTTGGTACTCTTCCGAATAACGACAATCGCGTAATTAGAGGCTTTATCATTGAATCCATGACCATCTGATCCATTTGATCGTCGCTATTACAATCATATAGGGCTTAGGTGTGGAAGTTTACTGCGTATACACATTTGCGGCCAATGACTACTCACATTAGTCTATGTGTATTATCTTCGACTTCTTCCACGCTTTATTACCTATCGCTATCCTCTGAAACATCCAGATCAGCCGATAGACTGGTTTCTCATTCGTATATTGATTTAGTGTCGGCTTGTTATAAGCTTACCACTGTTTACTAACCACTTGTCATTGAATAAACACTGACTTATTTCATACAGCGCTAACATCGCCACCGTCATGAAACTCACCGTTGTCGTCGAATGGCAGATCGTCACCGTGGATGCCGACGTCAACGCGCTCTGGTTCCGACTAGTCACTTAGTCCATCATGGAGCACGGCCTCGCCCTACTCGCCTGCTCGATCCTGACGCTGAATTCTCTGCTCAAATAACTTGTGCAAGGCCGATCCAATATATATGGTAACCACAGCCGTAAGATCTTGACGGATCGCTGAAATGCCCTCGAGCACGTCACTAGTCCCGGCAGCACTGTCAAGCTTGTTATTTCTGTGACGGCTTACGGTGAGAGCCAGAAGCATGTACCGCAGGAAGAGACCACGAGTCTGTAGACTCATTGTTTGCTTGGTTTATATCATGACAATTGAGAAGCGCTGGTTTCTCTACTAACTTTCTTGTGTTGGAAACGCTCACAACTCTTATAAGTACTACCTGTATCATTTACTTTTAATTCTTGTTCCCGAAAGTACACTTGGACAGCCCTAGAACTACATGCACATCATCAAAAGGTTACCTGAGATTTGACGATTTCCTCGAACTCTGTCATATTCTTCTTACTGCTATCCTAATCCTCGAACGCAGCTAATTATACCCATCCATCCCCACCTGCTATCCACTAGACAACCTATCCGTGAATTAATCTACACACTGTCTCCAAGCTGTCCTCATTAGACTTCGTTTCTTTTTAAAAATGTCCCGGGCAAGCGCTCCAGAAACAAACGAACCGCGACATCATTGCGCAAAGAACCTCGAAGCTGTAAGATTCACCACCGCCCTGAAGAGCGTAGCCGAGCTAGTGGAAGACGATTCCTAGTAATAGAGAAAATATCCTAGTTCAACGGTGCCTTTCCAGTCAAGAGGGGGCGCAGGCTCCTCTCAAGCTTCGGGGTGACATGCTCCCATTTTAAAGGTTCAACGGGTCGTCCTGGTGGTGCTTGGTTCGCCGTTGTGGTTGTTGAGAGTGTTTTGCGTGAGTCTCAGGTTTGGATCATTTATCCTTTGTTTAGTCACGCTCACTTTGACGACGTTATGCCTACAGGGAGTGCATAGGGCATGTTGGTAGGTGGGAATATATGTACAGGAAGGGCGACACGAGTAAGAGGCTTTTCATGAAACAATTCCATTTTGTTGTAAGCAATTCTATGTTCAGCCAATGAAATTCCCGTTGGTGGTGTGGTCTCATTGTTGTATACGTGTGCTGGTTTGTAGCATCCCCTGAAGCATTGTGGGTTGTGACAAGCGTTGGTAATTCTAGGCTTCAAGTCTACTAACAAGTTGATCAGCTTCAACGCGGGCTGACGCGAATCGCCCAATGCCAGATTCTGGTAATATGCTATCATCAGTACAACTTATCCTGAGCGCGTGTGGCATAGGTGAGTTGCAAAACAAAGGAAGAGAAACTTGATTCTAATAGAATCAGATGCCATTGGCACATTTAGTCTTTCGGAGGCTGCGTTATGTTCTATTCCCACAAGTGCATATGGTCTGGCCATAAGTCGAGGTCTAGCCCAGACGTGGTAACCAAGCCTGGCTCCTATATACATATCGCTCCCTGAATGCCTGAACGCCGCGCAAAGCAAAGGCATGATATCATACAGTTGTCAGATACAATTTAACCCAGTCCGAACTTGTCACCTCTAAACCATAGCAACATCTTCTTCACTGCCCTCTTCTTCTACGACGTCCTCACCATTAAGCCTTAAAAATTCATGATCCAGGGCCTCAGCCGCTGAAATGCGTCTACTCGGGTCCAACTCCATACAGCGGCCCAGAAACAGCACCGCCTCTTTCTCCTCCTGCGTCAAGCCCGTCTTCGAATCAGTCCGACATGTGCTCCATAGCATGATCTTCTCAAGAGTGAAGCCCTGAGCGCCAATGCTGGGAATGTTGGTTTCAAAGACGCACCCGTGCAGTTGGCCTGCCTGACGCATGCGTTTCGTTCCAAAGATGGTGGCAATCTCAATCATGGCCTCCACATCATCAGCGCTGTTGAAAAAGGGGAATCGCTTGCAGAGAATTGTGAGTAGGATCACCCCTGCTGACCAGATGTCGATTTTGGTAGTTTGCTCAGTGCACTTGAATAGTACTTCTGGTGCACGGAATCCACGGGTACCGGCTCGGTTCGCTCGCCGTGAAGGCCGAGTGTCGTTTTTTGGATATCCAACCTGTGGGCCAGCGTGTGCGGCATTGAGGGCGTAAGAGGCACGCACGCGTTGTTTCCGTGTTTCCTGGTCGAGATGGCATAAACAAGGCTTATGGTCCGAACCCTCTCTCTCAGCCAGTCCAAAGTCAACAAGGACACCGCGCTGCTTGGGCGGATCGTATAAGAAATTGGTGGGCTTGATGTCGCGATGTAATATACCCCGCTCATGCACAGCCGCCAATGCTGTAAAGAGGCTGCGAAAGTACAGTTTGACATCGGCGATCGTCATGTGCGGGTAGTATTTCCTGAAGTCCTGATGGCGAAAGTAAGGCAGCATAGCCAGGACTTGATCGGACTGGCGGAAGGCGGTGATAAGCGGGCAGACGGAGGGCGAATCGCGGAGATCGTGGAGGAGCTCGAGTTCGTTATGGATGCGAGAGGGCGAGGAGGTGACGTAGATTTTCTTGATGGCCACAAACTTCTTTGTTCGTGGAGGACGTGATCGTGAGTTGGAACGGGAGTGCGAGGCATATTTCAGAGGAGGAGGTGGTGTCCACTGGTTCTCCTTAACATCGATGTCCCAGCTGTTGTTATACCGGTCGTATCGAATGTCTTCGGCTTTGTAGACTGTAGAGAATGTACCTATGAAGCAGTGTCAGCAAACAAGAGCAATAAGCATGCTGTGTTTTGGGCTGAATGCACCCTCTCCAATCCGCTTAATCAGCCGATAATTGTCCTTGAAGGCTGGGAACGTCTGGTTGAGCTTCTCCATATCTTCCTGCACCGTCAGGTCGATGGGCTCAGTCTCGTCTGAAGATTCCGAGTCGCATTCCTGCTCTGCATCCTCATCGTCCTCCTGGTCATCGTCATGGTCGAACTGCTGGCCATTGTCCGCACCAGCATCTGCTCGCACTTGAGTGTGGCTCTCGGTCAATTCGTCCATATCTGACCCATTGGCAGGCTCGTCCTCGTGGATGTGGAACGGCTCTTTCGGCACCCGCCGTCGCGAAGTGGTAGCCATTGTCTGTCAATTTCAGGACCCGACCTGGATTTCCTGCAAGTTCTAACTTCGAGCCGTCAAGATAACCTTTGCATCAACACCAAACGCGAAGTTGCGACTCTACCTCGAGCTTTGGAGCTTTGGAACGCTGGATGCAGGAAAACTGTAAGGGCAGCAAAGTCAATCGAAGCAGCTCCGACGCCAGTAATCCGCTATCGGCAAGGATATTAGGATATTGCCTGAATTTGACTGCGCGGCCCCAAACGACGAATGGGAGGCATTCCTTCTCAGCATTTAGACGTCTTTTGCGCCGGAAAATCCGTGGAGAATTGCCCCGCGACGCGTATGTTTTTTCAGTGGGGGACTCGCGTTTTTGGGCAGGAACCAAACAAAAAACAAACGGTTGCTAGAGCCACATTGGGAAAGAACCGTTCTCGGCCCATCGTATCACAACATCAGCAAGGAAGTCAGTCGCATTCGGCAAAACTATCTTTTCCAACGATTCTTGACGAGATACTCTCTGTCGCGACGACGATATCCCGCTCTTTTCAGGTTGGGAGCCGAAAAGATTGATTTGGCCCTTCCTCTGATTGTTGTTCTACTTGTCTCCGAAGCGCACCTGGCGCAAAAGTTGCGACCATGGAGACTATCAACTTCGACATCAACGATGCGCTCAAGCATTACATGAGCGACCCTTCGAGTATTTCAACACCCGAGGCAGATAACACTCTCCTCGACTGCGAGGCCGACCCGGAGTCGCTGACCATCGCCGTGGTCAACCCGGTCCTCAACTCCATCGTGGACGCAGTAGCGGAGAATCCAGACTTCATAACGCGTAGTGCATACTTTGACTCGCTGCAGTTCTTACTAAAGTGCGCACCTACTTCCCTTGTTCCCCCATAAAGAGACAAGCCCCCCTGCGTATATCCTACACCTGAAAGATCCACTGCTAGTACGTCCCGCATGCAACTTGAATCAATTTCTGAGCTCTTCGTCAAATCCAGATACACCCAGTTCCTGCCAACGCATGCTCTCAGCAAGATCTTCGACTTGATCATGAGTGGTTTGGCAGCCGAGGCGGACGCTATAAACCACGACCTCGAAAACCCAGACGAGCAAGAGATGATTGCGCACCACAAAACCCTCCTTGAGCTTTACGGCTTCCTCTTGCAGTGGACCATCGCCTGTGTCGAGACGAAAGCCGCTGAAAAATCATCAACTGCGGCAGTATCACGCGCCAGGGGTAAGGGCTCCAAGTCGAAAGCCGCAGCAAGTAAGGACAAGGACGGTAGCTGGGACAGCGCGGCACAACTTCAGTCAGCACTGGACATCATGTCCAAGGTGATGAAGGTAAAGTTGGGCAAGATCTTCCTGACGACGAGCGAGCGTGACACTTTCATTGGGCTCTTGACGCGTCCTGTCTACATGATCCTTGAGAGTGAGCAAAGAGTCAAGAATACGGCTATTAGGATGCACGCTTTCAAGGTGCTTTGCATTGCTGTGAAGCACCACGGACATGCGTATGGTAGGCCAACCAACAACCTTGAGCACTCCATACAGTGGCTGAACTGATTAAACTGACATTTTGTAGCTGCGCAAATTTCCATCGTCCAGAACCTAACGTACTTCGAGCATCTATCTGAGCCCATGGCAGAGTTTCTGCACATTCTGGCTGAGCAATACGACTATGCTCAACTCGCAGACGAGAGTCTTCGAGAGTTGAGCAATAAGGAGTTCAGCACCAACGACACCAGGGGGCCAAAGTCTGTTTCCTCATTCATCGTCAAGCTCTCTGAACTGGCGCCTAGACTAGTGATCAAGCAGATGACGATGCTGGCTAAGCAACTCGACAGTGAAGTATTTCATTCCCCTGTTATCCTGCTAATGTCCACAGCTAACGCTCTTCAGTCATACACCCTCCGATGCGCGCTGATTGAAGTATGTGGCAACATGGTCGCACATCTCTCCAACCAAGACGAGCGTGGCGAGAACCACAAATCGCAGCTCAACGCCTTCTTTGATGTGCTCGAGGAGCGATTTTTGGATATCAACCCCTATTGCAGATGTCGAGCCATCCAAGTATATGTCAAACTATGCGACCTCGACCAGAAGTTCCCAAAACGACGTCAAAAGGCTGCTGAGCTTGCCGCTCGTTCACTCGAAGACAAGAGCAGTCACGTTCGAAGAAATGCCATCAAGCTTCTCGGTTGTCTCATCAAAACTCACCCGTTCACCGTTCTTCATGGCGCTCAGCTAGCACGCAAGGATTGGCAAGAGCGTCTCGATAAGGTCGAAGCCGAACTGGATGCGCTCCAACCTCCTGCTGGAGAGCCGGGCCTCGGTGACGGAAAGGCAGATACGACAGTAAATCCCGATCTCATGGACGAACCAACCCAGATCGAATCACCCCAAAAGCCTAGGGAGCCCAAGGAAATGACTGAAGAGGAGAAGCAGACTATCGTGCGCAAGGCGCAAGAAGATGCCGCAACTTCCGAGGCGATCGAGAAGCTCACGTTAACTAGGAGGTATTACACAGATGCTCTCAAGTTCATTGAGGTGCTCCACGAAGGAACGACAACAGTTTTCCAGCTCCTTGGTTCCAAGAACAAGTCCGAGGTCATTGAGGCCATGGACTTCTTGGAGATCGGCAATGCATACAACATCGAGGACAATATGGTTGGAATTCGACGTATGCTCCGTCTCATCTGGACCAAGGGCAACAGCGACGAGGGCAAGGGTGTACAAACGCACCTGATTGACTGCTACAAACGACTCTTCTTCGAGGCACCAGACAGCTTCACTTCGAATGATGCCTCCATCTACATCGCCCGAAACATGATCAGTCTAACATCTGGCACTACTCCCGCTGAGCTGACAAGCTTGGAACAACTGCTAGCGACCATGATGAAAGGCAATATGATTTCCGAACAAGTTGTTGCCAAGCTCTGGGATGTGTATGGCTTCCAGAAGCGGGAGATTTCTAGGTCGCAGCGCCGTGGTGCCATCATCGTGCTTGGCATGCTTGCAACGGCGGCACCCGAGATTGTCGTGGGTGAGATGGAAACAATGCTCCGCGTTGGGCTCGGTTCCCATGGACGATCTGATCTCCAGCTCGCTAAGTACACTTGCATTGCTCTACGGCGGTTAAACCCTACTGGCCGTCAAGGTAAGGACTCGCCGGTCAAGTTCAGCCGGTTACCAAACGAGCACGCCATCCTGGCCAAGCTGGCCGCCATCACCGAGGTCCCGAGCGACAGCAAAGAGTGGTTTGGCGTGGCCGAGCAGGCAATCAACGCCATTTACGCCATTGCGAAGCATCCAGACGCTCTATGTGGAGAAATCATCAAGCATAAGACGAAAGCTGTCTTTACTGCACAGCAGAGGCAACGTTCTGCATCGCGACCAGACTCTCGTGATATGGATGCGACGGTGACAGCTGCCACTCCAGACTCGCAAGGTCTGACCACGGCGCTCAATGAACCCACACAGACAGCGAGCCGCCCAACGCCTGAACCGTCAGCAGAGCCCAAGCAGAAGGCTGCGATCGCCCTATCACAGCTCGTATTTATTGTTGGCCACATAGCCATCAAGCAGATTGTCCACTTGGAATTGTGTGAGCTCGACTTCAAACGTCGGAAGCAAGAAAAAGAGAAGATGGCCTCTTCTTTACCCGCGGAAGAAACTTCAACCTTGTCAGGCAGAGGCCGAAAGTCTAGAAGCAAGACAGCAGCACCCGTGCCAGAAGATGAAGGCGATGAGTTGGATTTGATCGGAGGCACGACCGAAGATGACTTCACTGAAGCTATGGCCCATATCCGTGAGCGCGAACTATTGTTCGGTCCGCAGTCCATGTTGGCAAATTTCGGACCCATGGTTGCTGAAATTTGTGCAAGGAGCGATGTCTACAAAGACAAGGGCCTCCAGGCAGCCGCTACACTTGCACTGGCGAAGCTAATGTGTGTCAGCTCTGAGTACTGTGAGGAGCACCTACCGCTCCTGATCACCATCATGGAACGGTCACCCGACCCGACTGTCCGCTCAAACGTTGTCATTGCACTGGGTGATATGGCCGTGTGCTTCAACCACTTGATCGACGAGAATACCGACTTTTTGTACAGGCGGCTTGCAGACCCTGACTTGTCCGTCAAGAGGACCTGTTTGATGACTCTGACATTCCTCATTTTGGCCGGACAAGTCAAGGTCAAGGGTCAGCTTGGCGAAATGGCCAAGTGCCTCGAAGACAGCGACAAGAGGATCGCGGACATGGCGCGTATGTTCTTTACCGAGCTCAGCACCAAGGACAACGCCGTCTACAATCACTTTGTGGACATGTTCTCTCTGCTATCCGCTGGCAACCTGGAAGAGGAGGCCTTCAAGCGTGTCGTTCGCTTCCTCACGGGCTTTATCGAGAAGGACAAGCATGCCAAGCAATTGGCGGAGAAGCTGGCAGCCAGGTTGCAGAGATGTGAAACGGAGAGGCAATGGAACGATGTCGCATATGCATTGGGCCTGCTGCAACACAAGAACGAGGACATCATCAAGGTCATCGGGGAAGGGTTCAAGGTTGTGCAAGCTTCTGCTTGAATGAGTGAAGTTGGACTGCGTGCAACTGGATTAAACATTTTGCGGTATGCACTTTGCTTATGATGGAACGAAGTTGCATGGATATATGGGTTGGTCAACAACTGAGGAACGGTGTTGGGGCGTTCAGGAACGACTGATTGGGTGATTTAGGTGTACGATTTGCATTGAAGACGAATCATGAGCCCAATATATGTGATGTCACCCCTTTTCGTAATGCATGTGGCCTCATTAAAACATCTATGGCTCTTGTTTGCTACCCTTGTGCATCTCGTTTCTCATGCGACTGTAAGGACTAGTTTAGCCCAGTCATAAGGGAAAGGTAGAACTGACATGACTATTTGAACCGGCCTTTTCTTGGACACTGGATAAGATTTACTTGGGTGGGTCCTTTGCGAAGGCTCCAGACACGGGTGAAAGATCAGGATGCGGCAGTCCAGGTGCGTAATGTTGGGTGTAGCTCAAAAGCCCTGAAAGTAGTGACTTTGGTACACGGTTTGGTCGAAGTTTCCATTAGTGTAAAATACTTTTAAGCCCAAGGTTGGTTTTCTTGGCCCAGTTAGACAGTCAGCATTTCCCGTCGTGTACTTACTTATATTCTTAACCCCTTCCATCGCAAGCTATCAACTTGATGCATTACGTATCCAAAGGCATAGTGCCTGTAGAAAGCGCCAGATTCCGCAACCACTATCGAAACTCAATGAAGGTGGAGCTACATAAAGCCATCTGGTTGCCAATTGAAGGGCCATGGAGCCTCCCGTTGAAGCGCCCACCCTTCCAGAAACCCGTTTCATATTCTGCGAACCTGATGAGGGCAATTTCCGCTTTTCTGAAAAGCCGCTCGGGCAGCACGTAGTGATAGTTATAGTTCTGGCACAGCGAAAGCATACTGAGAGCAGGAGACTGGCAACAGCGCGAAGAGAAGTCGGGGAGGCCGATTATGTGATTTACGATGAAACAACCCACCAGCGGTCCAGTCCAGTTCAAGCCACGCAGAAGACAGATATGGTAACGTAGCCAATACGGGCGAGTTCCAATGGCCTGACTAGAAGTGCGACCCAGTAGACGAGTCCATGGGAATCGAGTGAGGAGATGACCACGTATTCAAGGCAAGCGAGATCGACAAAGCCAAACTGCCACATTATTGACAAGTTTCGATATTTGCCCCACGAAGAATGTGCCCCGTCTTTAGGATTCTCACAAGCAGTTGTAAACAGCTCATTTGATCAACGTACGTCGAAGCTTTCAACTTCGTATTTGTCGGAGACATGGAGAAAACATATTTAGCGCGTTATTTCTTCTTGTTGAGCCAAATAATTTATAAGATTGTATCTTCACGTATGCTGTAAGCGACTCGGTTGATGTTAACGATAAGACATTCTTGACTATATATCCCGCCGCTGAGTAGGGTACGCTTGGGCCTTTGCTACACAATTATCGTGGTTGATTGAACATGGCCATGAGTACTAATCAGAGTTTTGATCTACTAGGCTCAAACCAGCAGAGCTCGGTGATATATTACTTCTTCTCTCTACGTAAATATTGTGTACCCAAGTAACCCCATGTGGTATGTCCATCCCTCGCATATGAAACAACATTTCATGAAAACCCCCGCAGCTAGCAAGAAACCGTTGCATTCCGGTTCCCCCTATTTACAAGTAAACCTCTATCAGCTCGTATCTTTTCATTCAACCCAGACTTCGCGTTGAAGATAATTAAGAATTGTGCCGCGTGCTGGATGGTTGAGTGCCCATGGCACGACGTCCCAGGTGGTCTAACGTGTGTTGCATATCGTTGCATCGTTTGGAGATGAAGGGTGCATCCTGTTTGTAAAGTCTTTCGTTGACCAAGGACTTTGTGTCATGGATATATGGTAGCAGGGTTGAGCTTGAGTGACAGCTCCTGCGACGTATTAGCTCTTAAGAAGGGGAGGGAAAGGGGGGAGAAAAGGGCTTCACTGGATATCAACGTACTTGTGAATGTCCGAAGACCAAGTGTTCGCCGAGTTTGAGTGACTCATATTGATGATATACCAAGTTCAGAATTCGAGTTGGAAATGCCGTTCTCGCTTTCTTGATGGTTGACAGGATTGATATGGGACGGGGGTCTGGACTCGGAAGCAGTGCTTTGGACTTAGGTGGGTTAATTGTGATGATGTTTGGGAAAGGTGCCAGGAGCTGCATTCCCGAAATCTCAGGTTTATTTATACGCATATTCAAAGCTGCGAAATTATTCATTTCAAGTCACGATGTTTTGTATTAGATATTTGTTGTTTTGATTTCAGATTTGTCGAGATATACGTTGGGAAGGCTGGCTTCAGTTTAGAGTAGCTCGGTCATTGGGGTATGAACCAATCAGAGATCTCCAAACTGGGACGCTTCTTCCTAGATTGAGAACGTCCTAGGGTCCAGACCGTAGAGTCCACAATAGCATCTGACGTAGGTAAACTGGAAACGCTCTCTTAGAAACAAGGGAAACATACGTCAACATGATGTCCAACATACAAATTGAACGATTGAACCCGAACGTCTCCTTACCGAAGTATCGCCGGCGGGATTGGCCAATTGAAAGCACATCGCATTTCGAACCATCTTGTCCGTCGTCGCCTCTCACAACTGACTTAACGCACACAACGTCCACTTGCTGAGGACGGACACGACTTTGCTTTATTCTCCAGATGAGCTGACGCGAGTTATGCCTGAAGAGTCCAAATTGCCCAGCTTTGCTCTGCTTATCTCAGCTAAGCTCAGTTTGCCGACCGAGCGGGGTTCCCAGATGATGGAAAGTCGCCTTGTCAACCTAGCCCTCCTTCGGTGTAACATGCGTTCATCGCGTCCGCCGCGTTCCACATCAACCTGCATACATGCAGATGCGAGTTTCTAACAAGCAAAAGCGAACGATGCACCCAGGTGGAATAATCGAGTTTTGCCTGGCCTCCTGCACTGGAATTTCGAGCTATCTCATACTACCCTACATTATTCCACCCATGTTGCGCCGTTTACTCCGGTCATCACTGAATATGCAAGCGACCATGTCAAGAAAAGCAGCAATGCAACGAGGCAACGAGGCAACGAGGCACTGAAGCGGCTGTGCATTTAATTGAGTCTACAAGCTGCGCTTGCAGCTGAACAGCCGCCAATAACTCGCTGCAGCTTCTGCATGCACATTGAGGCATCGTTGCCTACCGAAATTCATCGAGTGGTGACCCTGCTCTGCACTGCCAGCACACACCTCCACTAGGCTTGTTATCATGCCGCTCTGTTTGCATGTACCGCAGGAGAACCTGTACAAAGATAGCCTTTGGGTGTGAGATGCCCACAAGGCTCAGGGCGACTCTTTCCCCTCCATGACATCTCGTCGCAAGGTATCCTCGGATCCCATATTTGAAATTCGCAGTGCTTTCACTTTGACCGTCCAAAATTAGCCCTTGCAATACCTCCAATGGACCGAGAAGATGCGCCTTTCAAGTTCACAGGCTATCCAGCAGCTGGACCCATAGGACCAGGAACACCTATCGACAACGCCTCGCCCATGCTGTATGATTGGCTACGCTTCATACCCGCGCCATCGAGGTCAAGCACAACTGCCAGCTCGAACTCATCCGGTTGGTTCTCTCAAAAGGACTCGCGTCGTGACTCCCAGTAGTCTTGTTCAACCGTCGTCTCTGAGAATCCGACACCAATGTATGAAGGAGGCAAGTCGAATCCCAGCCAAAGCCCCATCGTTCCGGGGTCTAGATGCTCTGAGGACGATGGCGTCGAGTCCCGTACACCACGAGGCTCGCCACAACCATACCTCGATCCTAGCCCGAATAGGCGCGGATTTTGGAGACGGGGGTCTCAACCTCGGTCACAGCAGGCAGGGGCAATTTCAAAACTGGTTAAAACTTCAGTCTGGCCAGTGTCCCGGGAGATCACCGAGGCCGTGAACCCGACCTCTCCCATGGAAAGCCCCAAACCTCTCTCAGCTCTGTCCCGGGTCGAGATGTCGGAAAAGTTGAAGGCACTCCTCATGGCCCAGTTTTCTACAACATATCATAGTGTATCCCTTGAGCAGACGCGGACGAGGCGTCGTAGTTTCGTCAGGGGGCTTTTGGGACCATCTGGATCGCCTACGAAGCCAGAATCCATCTCAGAGCCGTCTCGAGCTCTCCCATCCCTATCTCGAGGCCGGGCCAAGGGCGAAAGCGCTGATCCGGCCGAGAGATGTATCTTGCCGTGAGTTGTCCATTAGGAGGTTGGAGACCTTTCCCTTGCTTATACATATCAGGATTACTTGCACGCCCGAGGCTTCATACGAGACTTCATACGAGACACCTCAAGAGCCACAACATAATCGACATGGGCCACCAGAACCCTTTTTCATTCCAAAGTTCCTGAAGATGGGGATTAAACAGATCACCATTACAGTTGGCACCACCCTCGATGCTCCCCATAGTCAGGTGCAGGCCTATGTTATTCCAGACCTGCCTCATTCACTCATCAGCAGTACTTTGGTCTCCGATCTACGTATCAGTACCGACCATACATCCCAGGATATCCATAAGCAACGGTCTCAAGCCATGATAAGATGTGCGAAAGTCCATATCTTTCTTGATGAAAGGCCCTCCTGTCTGAAGATGGAAGTCCAAGTGTGGGAAGATACTGCGCCACAGGTTGTCCTAAGCACCATATGCTTGGGTGCTTCCAAGTCCAGGGAACCCCTCTGGTTGACACCAGACCACCACCAAATGAACGAGGGTCGAGAAAGGTTGCAACGTCAAACAACACCAAAGTCTCCGTCTTCCGAGGCGGTGGGTGCTCTGCAAGATCTAATATTTGAAGCTGGGACAGATCGCCAGCACGTTAAGGGCTCTACCCCTCGTGAAGTCCATGCAGAGAATGGAAACAGATCGAGGGCTCCGAGAGACCAAAGCTCTGATCGCAGTTCTCACTCTGCGCCATCCAATCATTCCAGAAGCCACCGCCAAGATGCAGACTCCAGACCAGACCCCCCATCTCCGAACACGCCAGACTCGCCAGGCTCGACGTCTGCTGATGAAATTTCGGATCCGGATACCGAGATGGATGGGGATCTAGTGACACAAACCGATGAGGCTTGTGATCTGATCCTTAGGCATCTATATGGAAAGACGCTCAATGATGTTAATCAACGTGCAGAGCTCTGGGAAAGGATGTACCTGTGTGTCACGGAGATCAGCCGTTTGATGAAAAGGGAAAGTTGTTTTGCATACAATTTACTCTCCGGTGCGGTCGTTAACGCCACTCATCACAGTCAAGGAGAGTGTTCTAACACTTCGCACTGCCAGACAGCTTCAGAAACACCGGCAAAAAGTGGTGCTGGGAATCCCAGAAAGAGGAGTTCAGGAGCCAGATCCAGGGAATCAGGCGAAGGTCATATGAATGAGGATGAGGATGAGGATGAGGATGAAGGGTGCCCCAGAAAGAGATGTAACACACGAAAAGGGGGATCTGGAAATCAGAGCCAGCGGTACAGCTGCCCATTCCGCAAGAGAAACCCGTGGAGGTTCAATGTTAGGGACAAGCGTTATCGTACCTGTGCTCTCGATAGTTTTGAGGGCATGACGAGTTTGAAGTGAGTACCTTTCTCTACCCGGCAGACTATTAGCACTAGACCGCGACTGACCAAATCAGGCGTCATATTAGAAATTTCCATGGGAATAGGGTGCTCAACCGGGGTTACCGGTGTTACCGCTGCCACAAAGACTTTGCAACGGGTAACGAACTTGGGACACATCTTAATCTGCCAGCCAACCAAATGTGCGAGCCAAGAGCCCCAGATAATGTTAATACGGACCCGGAAGATGGGATTACAGCAGAAATCGACAACATATTGGCTGCTCGCAACGATAAGAGGGTGCAGGACTGGGATAAGCTCTGGGCCACCTTATTCGGCAACGGAGATGAGGTTAGAAGCTCGGTATTCGAGCCCCCAGTTGAGGCCATTGAGGCTCATGTCGACTTTCAGAACGATTTTCACGTCCTCCGACAAGGGCTTACAACCGTCATGGGGTCGGACCTATCGGAGTTCCACAGTCAAGCTTTCGAACAAGCTAGGAGTTTTATTGACACGTCGTTCGATAAGAGTCGGAAGTCAACCAAAATGCGGAGGCCGTCTTCACCACCAGCACAAATTCGGCTGCTAGCGCCGACCGATAACCTCAATCCCATCTTAGGGTGGCAACGGCAACACCTACCGCCCGGGCCGGTCGCGAGCATACCCTCCTCGTACGGCACAAATGAGTCCGAGGGCTCGTTTATCCACATGTCCGGCTCCGGCCACTCTTCAGAAGTCAGTTCCTCTGCTGAGGCTGTGAACTCGGGTATTGTCGTACCAAGAATGATTATCTCTCAACCTAATTCTGTTGAGTGCATGGACCCGATGCGATTGGACAGCCAGATAGACAATTTTATGCTTGCTGAAGGGTTTCATCCGAATCCACTGGGAACCAGCGGCACCGATGATGAAATGCCTGTCTACGAGGATGATTCCTTGCAATTTTCGATGGTTGGCACTTTTGGAGAAGATCACTCTAACTAGTGAACACAGCATATGGTGGAATTACCAGTTTACACCAGTCCGTATGCTTGTCTATGACACTGGGATGATCACGCTATCCCATACTATTCCACTTGGCACGCCGCTTCTTTTGGCCATCTCTTTGCTGCTCCTGATCGGCGACAGGCCAGGCTTCTTTTCGTGCGGCAAGTCTGCTGACTGAACGGCAGACTTGGGGATGTCTGGGGTCTAAAAGTGATTGATGTCTAGGTTCAAAGGTGTTCATGTGCGGTTGAATGAAAAGTTCAGGTTTAAATTTCTTCTATTATGTAGAGCGGTCATAGTTAGGATACACAGCCAAGCCACCCATCTGACGTTATTTCGAAAATGGAAAGCATCAATATCTATTAAGCCCAAGTTCATCCCTCAATGAAGTGCAATCCCCAATTAAAGCAGAGGCTGTGTTATGTATCAGAGGCAATAATCCTTCGCTGCACCAAGATTTGGAGCAAACCGCTCGGTTTAGAGACGTATCCGAAGGACCTTCTACCGCTCGGTGTATCGTTATCCCAACTTTAACCGTACAATTGTGCAAGATATTTAGGGTCTAGCACGATCTATAATGAAGCCACTCTGGATGGTCACTAAACACACCCAGGTATAGTTCTTCGGCAAAACATCCAAACATCCTTCCCGACTCGATCTGGTTTGGTGTATTTTGGGGTAGTTTTGAGCGACAGAACAGCCTTCGGCTGTAGCACCCGTGCCACTGCCATTTACTTCTCGAGACGGCCAGGAACGTCAATCACCGTTGTATTCGAGACACTACTCGATCAGAGTGCACTTGTGCTTTCCCTGGGTTGTACGCGTACACTCGGCAATTGTCAAGATCGTCGCACAAGGATCGCTTTCAGGCGACACGGTCTCGAACAATTCACTGCAAAGCCTCGCCGAAATGCCATGGTTGTGTACAACAAGCTCTGCCATCTTGGCTGTTGATACCCTTTTTACAGACGTGGGCAGCGCAGCTCCCTCGGCTCATTCAGGGGTCTCATGTTGCTAGCTAGCCATCCACATAAAGCATTGTCCAGCGTCTAGTGGCAAGCTACCAGGCTTACAAAGATGGGGATTAGGAGGATTAAAAGGCACAGATATCGATGAATGGTGTCAAGCAAGGCAAAAATTTCAAGGCCTCCACAGTAGACAATCCCGCAAACATAACAAAGGAGTGCATTCATCCGACTAGACTCGCTCTTTAATCCAGCTTAGGCACGGGCTGCGTGGCCCTGCTATCAACCCTCCCCATCCTGCCCGTCTTCTGCTTGCTCTGGACCAAATGAAAGTCCTCGTCTTTACCCTCGTACAGAATCTCCCGCCTCACCACCGCCCTGATGTGGCTACAGAACACGAAAATCCACGTGGCAACGAGTATGATGGACATGACGGTGCCCGTCCACTTGATCCCCGCACTCTCCAAGCTCTTGCCCACGGACAGGACTGTGATGGTGAAGCCGACGTTGGGAAACACAAAGGCCCACCAGTTGAGGTGAAACGTGAGCTCCTGCCGCACGGCCAGAGTGGCGGCCAGGGCGATGCAGAAGAACCACAGACTCAGCGACCAGATGAAGAGGCTTGTCATCGTGGCCATGACGCGGAGGATCTGGATCGTGAGTTCGTCGGAGCCGAAGTGGTTGTAGTAGTTTGGAAAATCATCCGCCAGCCCAATGAGAGCGACCGAGGTGAAAGACGGCGGGCCGACGGCAATGAACATGCCTGGTCGTGAATTTGGCAATGGGTAGCCGTACTGGATCATCCTCCACACGAAGATGGCATACATGCCCATGGAAACAAGCATGCCGAGCCCTTGCGCGAGGATTCCCGCGACGATCATGGCCATGGCTTGGCCGGGGGGTTGGGCTCCGGCGCCTACGGCGGCGATGGTGCCGCACAGCATGAAGGGGAAGATGGGCAGGTCCCAGGCAGGCGTCATGTCTTCGATGTTCAGGAGGGGGGAGGTGAAGAGCAGGGTATACTGCCCCACCGCGATGAAGAAGGTGACGGCGAAGTAGACCCAGAAGAGGATCCGGTAGACGACTACGAGCCAGGGGCCACATGCTGGTATACCTATATTGTGTGAGTGCTTGGGGCCAAGCTTCGACAGGCGACAGCCTGGGCTGGACTCACCATAGCGTGCAATGCACGAAATGATGGACGCAAGCGAGAGTGCGCTCGTCCCGAGAAACAGTCCTTCCGTCGGATGGGCTATCGACTTTTGAAACGTGCCCTTGAACGCGAAGAAGCGGTACAGGATGCAGAAGGTGACGACGCTGAATACGAAGAGGTCGAAGCAGTAGAATACTTTCCCGATGGTCTGCAGGCCCTCGAACCGGTACGCTTGGGTTTGTTCCGATAACAAGAGCGCGATGCCACCCGTCGCCATCGGAAATGTGAAATTGGCCCAGGTGAAATGTTCCAGCCGATCGAAGAGCCGACCGGACCGGCAATTGGACTCGCCGTCTCGTGTGTCGACTTGTGTCATTTTGTGGTCAATCGATCCGCCCATCGAGTCGTCGCCTGGTTCTAGGTCACTGAGCATTTCTGCCATGAAAACGAGACGCCGTCGGTGGTGTGTGGCTGAATTGGGTGGCTGGCCAATCAATGATGAATTAGGGGAAGGATCGGCTTCTAGCGTGCTTTGGATCATGCACATGTGCGTCAACTATATATATATGTACATATTTTTCTTTTCTGATAAGGTACAGCGCAACAAGCTGCGCAGGGTGTGCGAGGTGCACCAACCGTTGCGCATTGCAATTACGATCGAATGATAGAGCGCCGCTCTCTCCTGATAGTCGGTCAGATCGGTCGGGCCGTCTTGGTCCTATCGGCCGATTTTTCGTGACAAGACCGTGGTCGTGGCTCATTCAGGCCATACGTCGGGTTGCTTGATAAAGCACCAACCAAGACGTTGCGGCCGTCAGCCATTCCGACATAGGCACCTGGCGATAAAATCCTTCCCAGTATGGAGACCAAGTTTAAGGCCCGATCCTAGCGTATCCAGAATTTCCACCCCTTTCGCAGCCGCCCCACTGTCGTATGTTCATACACGACACGAGCGACTGTCAACTCACGCTAACTATGACGATGCACTGCGGTGCCTCCGCGAGTGCCCGGTTTGGTCTTCTCACTACGGGAGTATCTGGCTTTGAGCAGCACAATCGGGCTGGGGTTTCGACTTTTGACACGGGACAGGCATTGTACACTGAAGCTTAGCTTAGTGTTAGTTGGGTTAACGCTACAAGGCACCTAGGCACGAACTAACCTCGTGCATCTAGCGACCCTCTGGAGCCCGATTGGGCAGTTGTTCCCCATGCTCCTTAATACCAATACTAAGTACAGCCCCCGATACTCGGAAGCCAACAAGGGTTAGGTTTTGCTAGTGATTGTAGAGCGCAAGAATTTTGAGAGTATAGGATAATAATAGCCTTGTTAATTCGTTCCGATGTTTCAGATGTTAATCATAAGGCTAGGTAACTCGAATGCAGGACTTTGAAGGTCTATGCTTAGTAGAGGGTCTTGACAAGGAGTTCCATAACGTTCGCATCGCCGAAAGTTGGTCTATGGTTGTGTCCATTCCCAATCCAATGATGCATTCGAACCTGGTTATTGAAGGAATCATACGTTTGTGTTGATTAAGAAGTAGTGGACCTGCACAGTTCTGAGCTGAACAAGTATGCAGGGCCAGCCGATCCATGGCTTTGAGTCACGGATACTTTGGTCCGAAATAATGGTTGACGATTACATGCCGTTCGCCGGTGGCACTCTCGATGCGGAGTATAGCAAGCTCAGAGGACGCTAGTCACTGTAGCTATCAACTGGATCCCCATCTCCACTTATATGTTGTATAACCCTAACCCCGTCCGGATTCCCAGTCCCGACTCCAGTCAGAATACTACTTCAGATCATGTCTTTGTCCATCGAGTAGATCAGTTGACCAAAAGATGGCTCAACTCTCTTCTCTCATCAAAAAGTGTCTGATTCTTGGAAAGGTTCTGCTGTGCTTCTGTTCAAGCTAAAGCCAGGGTCCTATGGCCTAGCGCCACCGTGGCTTCCAGGCAGTGGCTGTGTACACAACTAGCTAGCTCTTGATAGGCTAGCCCATCTATAGAAAGGGTCCCTGTGGATTTCTTTGACTTGAGCACAGTGATATTCCATCATGCTAGACTGAAGTCTAGATCATTCCTACTATCCGTAGTTTCCGTCACTATCCATGAACCTGGATCAATTTTGGTATCCCTTAGTAGCGGTTTCCACATAGTTTGTGATTCGTGAAGAGCTAGTGTTCCATATTGGAACTACGCTTGTCGAGCTTGGGAGGCTAGCCTGTACTACCGTAATCCACTGAGAACTTTCCAAGAGATATGTTTCTCGGAAATATGAGCATTAGCACTCTCGGCAGGATGTCTCACTGTAATGTCATGGGGTATGTCAGCAAGACAGCGAATACGTGGCGGGCAATTGATAAGCATATATAGAGGTTACTATTCTTGCGTCGGCTCATATTACTTTGCATTAGCTGAAGATAAATTGAAACAAGTCAGCTATGGTTCATATTCACTCATGAGATCTCGTTTGATGGGGCTTCTGGTACTTGTTCACGGCGCGGCAGTTGAACTACGAGCACTCTCTTCTTCCCCTCATTGATATTGTCACGGGATTTCAAGTGCAAAGTGAAGGACGAGAGTGCTCAAGCGAAACAAGCTGCCAGTCACCAGGTAGGTACCAATAGCGTAGTATAGGGGACTCAATAACGACAAGTTAATCGCTGCCCTCTCTAAAAGAAGAGGGGTCACAGCAGCCTAGTTATACATCTCCGACCCCTGTCCAGGCCAAGCCACTGTGGCTTATTTGCACCTGACAGATATCACGCCATCTCGGATGCACTTCTGTTCCGATGTCTCTCAGTTTTCACAAGTTGGTCCCAAAATGACCTCTTGGCTATATCTTGGCTTAACCTTGGCTGAGATAACAAGCCTCACAGAAAGCAGTGTTGAGCCAGTTGGGGGTTGCACAATGCGGGGAAGCCAGTCTCAACCAGGAGTGTTGTTCCTATGCCAAGGTGTCATGTCTTATAACATGAGCTGATGGCTGGATTTCGTCGGGTTCTTCCCGTTCGCAATTATCATCTTTTTCTGCTGGATTTTCTACAGTGTAGCGAGGCAGAGACGGTTCTTTCAAGTGCTTTGCAACTCGGCGGTAGGTCCCGTTTGCCGGCAGTCCTATATACCGTATACTAATCATTGCCATTTAGGCTGTTATCACCAAGACGACAACGGAGCACAGCTCGAGACGTTGGAGAAATAGAGCCGAACCCGACCCTCATTCAGGGCCAGATGAAGGTAAACCTACGACCATGATGGACGCGAAACCAGCTGCGATGGAGGCAAATATCGACTACACTGGCGCCACGACCAAGACGGATCCCGTAGAGATCGCGCTGGTTCGCAAGTTGGATTTGCGCATCATGGTCAGTCCCTGTTCCTCCATCTTCAACAGTCCACCCCGCTCTGGCTCAAAAGAACGTGCAACTAACTCAAGTACAGCCGATTCTCTTCACCATGTACTTCCTGAACTACGTCGACCGCAATTCTATTGCCCAGGCACGACTCGATAATCTGGAGGAGGATCTGGGCATGACGGGGTGGGAGTTCAATACGACCGTCAGCATGTAAGCGCTGATAAGGTAGAGTCAAACGCCCCTGAAGCACTTACTGATAATTGGGTTGTAGTCTTTTCGTCGGCTATGTCTTGATGCAAATTCCCAGCAACATGCTCATCACCCGCATCCGACCGGGCGTCTACATGAGCGGCTGGATGCTCATCTGGGCCGTTGTCTCGGCCTGCACTGCTCTGGTCCAGAACTATACCGGCCTGGTTACTGCGAGATTCTTCCTCGGCATTACCGAAGCGCCCTTCTACCCCGGTGCTACTTACATGTTGTCCATATTCTACACACGTAAAGGAAAGTTTTATGCCTGAAAACAAAAGCTTCGATGCCGGTACTAACCCCTGTACAGAAGTAGCTGTCCGCATCGCCGTCCTCTACTGCGCCCAAATCCTCGCCACCGGCTTCACCAGCCTCATTGCGGCGGGTGTCTTCGCCGGAATGAGAGGGCTACGCGGAATAGCCGGCTGGAGGTGGCTCTTCATCATCGAAGGAGCAGCCACAGCGGCAGTAGCTCTTTTTGGATTCTGGCTGCTGCCCGACACGCCCGCGACGACGCGCTGACTCAAGCCAGCGGAGCGGGAGCTCGCTCACGCCCGAATGGAGAGCAATGAGGTTGGAAACTCGGGAGAGCAGAGCAGCACCTGGGTTGGTCTGAAGGAAGCTTGCAAGGATAAGCGGACGTGGTTGTTTTGCTTGATGCAGAGCTTCCATTTAAGTGCTTGCTCGTTCAATTCGTTCTTTCCTACGTGAGGGCCCAAGTTTACATGGCTTTTTATCCCCAATTTCGATCATCTCCAGCACCCACCATTAAGCTTGAAAACTTGGTTAACAACTGACAAATAATCTCTCGACAGCGTCGTCAAAACCCTCGGCTTCAACACAACCATCACCCTCGTTATGACCTGCCCACCCTTCATCTTCGCCGGTGCATCCGGTATCCTCTGCGGCTGGAGCTCAGGCCGCCACCACGAGCGCACATGGCATATCACGGTGGGACTCACAGTGGCCATCGTGGGCTTCGTCGTGGCCGCCAGCACCTTAAACACCGCTGCTCGTTACTTGGCCTGTTTCATTTTCCCCGTGGGGTCATATTCCGTCAACTCGGTCATTATCGGTTGGGCGAGCTCAACACTGGGTCAGACCAAGGAGAAGAAAGCGGTGGGTTTAGATGCAATTTCCCGAAGCTCTGGGCGTTGTGGGAAATCCAGGGTTGTTGCTAATTCGAGTTTGTGTGAAATATTTAGGTTGTTCTAGCTATGACCAACGTCTTTGGTCAGATAGGGTATATTTACGGCGCTTATATGTGGCCTAGTTACGACTCTCCGCGATACGGTATCGGATTCGGTTCTTCGGCTGGCTTCGCTCTGTGCACCATTGTCTGTGCCTGGATTTTGAGAGTAATTCTTGTGCTGGAGAACAGGAAGATCCGAGTTTCGACTTCGGAGCAAGTCAACTTGTATGGATACTAATGGTGTTATATGGAAGAAAGACACGGTCTCGGGTCAAGGAAGAGGATGCGCATCTCCGACACTTCAACAATCCCCCAGAACGATAGCGATATAATTTTGATCAAATCCTCTTATAGCAATTAGGTTTTTACGTTCGTTATTATTCCAAGCCAGGGCCTCGCTGTACTCCCTAGCAGTTGATACACATGAACGATGGAATACCCAGTGGCCAAAACACAATGAGACACTTCACACTATAATACAGAATCGTTCGGATGTTAGTTTCTCATCGCTTAGAAGAGACTGAAACTACGACATACTACGCTGAGCAGAAGTCTCAAATGCTAATCTTTGTCTGGACTCAATATTCCTAGAGTGTCTATTCGTGAGTTTCTCTGGTGGAGTTTCGGCTGACCTGACTGTACAACTTTGAATCTTAGAAAGCCAAGTTAGACAACTGTGTCTTCAACCTGTCCGCCAACTCACAACCATGAAAATCTTCGTTGCCAAGCTAGCCATCGACAGCGGGGTATTACCCTAATTGGGTGCCTGCTGCTGCCAAGATATCCATACCCTACGACAATGACGTCATCCGTTAGCTTCCCTGGTTCACGGTGCAGTATCCATGCTGGGAAAGAAAACTGATCTAAATAGCGTCATTCCATTCTCCTAGGTTGAAATACTTGCTTGTTCTCTACCTGAAAAGTTTGCCCCAACCCCTCTGCTGTAACCATATAAGTACTGGAGTCTGGTAGCCCCAATCGGGTACCAATCATTTTTGAATTAGTAGACCAGCAAGGGTTCTTCCTCTACATCTCGATCTGCATCACCTATAGTTCCCATAACCACTTACACAACTAATGCGCCTTCACAATGAGACGACAACTCCTCTCAACCCGCAAAATATGGCTGACCATCTCCCTCTTCTCCACCTTCGCAGCCTCGCAATCTAAACGCGGCCTCGGCGACACAGGCGGCACCCAAACATCCGATGACAACCTCCTCCTTTCGGCCAACTCGCCCATATCCTGGTACTTCACCTGGTCCCTCTACACCTCGCAATACTTCAACGACTCCATCTCCTTCGTGCCGCTCATCCATGGCCTCGACGACGCCTCCAGCGACGACCTGGCTACGAACCTGGATAGCCTCCCAGTTTCGTCTACTCACCTCCTCACCTTCAATGAACCCGACGGCACTACGGGGTCGGGCGGGAGCTCAATTTCACCTAAGGATGCGGCACAAAGCTATATTGATAATGTCGTGCCTCTGCGCAGTGGAGATGGACGGACTTGGAATATCAGCCACCCTGTCGTGACGGGGTCGAGTCAGGGGCTTGATTGGCTGACTAGCTTCAATGAGAGTTGCTGGGACATTGACAGTGAGAATGGGTGTCCGGCGGACTTTGTCGCTGTGCATTGGTACGGTGACTTCGCGGGGTTGTCGTGGTGGTTAGATCAAATCAGTGACTTTTATAATCCATCTTCGACGACGACGGGGCTGAAGCTGTGGATCACGGAAATGGCGATTCCCAAAAAGGACGAGGATGATACGATTTCCATGTTGAACCAGAGTATTACGTATCTGGATGGCCTGGATGATGTGGAGGGGTATGCGTGGTTCGGAGCTTTTAGGGCGGATAAGGCGAATGATTGGACGGGAGACAACGTTTCCTTGTTTGATGACGATGGCGGGTTGACGGAGTTGGGGGCTTTGTACCTTGGGGGGAAGGATAACGGTTTCGAGAAGGGGATGAAAGGAGAAGGGAACGACAGTGCGGCGGTTAGTAATGCGGTCTCAATGTGGGCTGTGGGTGTGGCGGGTTTGGCTGCTTTGGTGGTGGGCATGTGGTAGGAGTAGTGCTTGTGTGTGATGGGATACCCATTCTGTTTTAGCATAGCGGGTGCATATCTGGGTGTCTTGGTTATGACGACTATATAGCAGCTGGTTCTGCAGCAGGGGGTAGTTAGACGCATGATAGTGACGAATCCATTTTTTAGACGAGTTACGGCTTGTTCTCTCACCCAATATTGACCCAGCGACTTTGTCAGGTGGAAATACGTTCTGTAGATTATGCGCTGGAATGCATGGAAGCTTGAGGGCTATTATATATCATACTCAATCACTCGAACAGGACAACTCGAGATTGGTGGCGCGCGGCGTTGACTACCCCAATAAATCCCCCAAGACCTTCGGACTCGGGGTCAACAGTCGCAAAGATCAGCCTCTCGGCTCCAAGGGTCTTTCATCCCAAAGGAATGCAACATGTATCGCATCATCAATTATGCTTGCGTCGAGTGTTACAGCCAAAAATTCCGTCCAAACCGGTGCCATAACACGCCTCTCGTGGTCATGAATCGCGCATTTTGGAGATTTCAGTGTTTGGTAACTCAAGAAGCCACAGCGCACCGTGAGATGATGCACGTCAAGCCGAGGCTAAGTAAGCGAGTGCGACAATACTTACTCTGGCCCGAGCCATTGTATTCACACCTACATGGACGCAACTCAGATTCGACCGGACAATCTAGACCTTAAACCATCAACATCATTGAGCCTGGAGTATAAATTACATTCGGTTTCTTTCGAGTCGCCCATCTTTTTGTCACTTCCGCATCTTAGAACCACCACACCGGAGCAATGTTTCGCAAAAACCCCCCGCCAAAATCCGAGGTCAAGAACGCCTCGGACCCCGTCCTCATCGTCGGCGGCGGCCTAGCCGGCCTCGTCGCCGCATTTGAACTATCCCGCCGCAATATTCGAACCATTATCCTGGACCAAGAAAATGCAGACAACCTCGGCGGGCAAGCCTTCTGGTCACTAGGCGGCATCTTCTGCGTCAACTCAGCCGACCAGCGCAAGTTCGGCATCATGGACTCGCGCGAGCAAGCTATGTCTGACTGGATGAACTCAGCGCGCTTCGACCGCGACCGCGATGACCATTGGCCGCGGCAGTGGGCTGAGGCGTTTGTCAATTTCGCTACGGATGGGATGGAGAAGTATGTGAAGGATCGGGGCATGTCGTTTTTGCAGGTGGGCTGGGCAGAACGCGGGGATGGCCGAGCTGGGGGACATGGGAACTCAGTGCCCCGCTTTCATTTGACTTGGGGTACCGGGCCCGAGGTGGTGAGAGTTTTTGCTGAGCCGGTGAAGAAGGCGGCTGAGGAGGGAATAGTAGAGTTTAGGTTTCGGCATCGGGTTGATGAGATTATCAAGGATGCGAGTGGTAGGGCGATTGGGGTCAGCGGCAAGGTGTTGGAATCTAGTGATGGAGTGGCGAGGGGAGTCAAGTCATCGAGGACCGAGGTGGAAGCTTTCACCATCTACGGCACGTCCGTTCTGATATCCTCTGGCGGTATCGGCGGAGACGTCGAGAAGGTCAAGAAGGCTTGGCCGCTTGACCGACTGGGGCCCAAAGTGCCTGAGAACTTCGTCGTCGGTGTTCCAGCGCATGTTGACGGCCGCATGATTGAGATTGCGCAGAATTCAGGCGCCAATGTCGTCAATGCCGATCGCATGTGGCACTACACCGAAGGTCTCGCCAATTGGAATGCCATTTGGCCCAACCACGGTATCCGTGTTCTGCCCGGTCCATCATCCCTCTGGCTCGACGCCACTGGCAAGCGACTCCCAGCGCCCTGCTTCCCCGGAGCCGATACCCTCGGAACCCTGAAACACATATGTTCAACCGGCTACGACTACACCTGGTGAGTAGTTTTCGAAGTCTGTGTTTCCCTTGTCGTGTATCAGGAGTCATGCAATCTGTAAAAAGCAGTCTCACCTCACAATCTTACCCTCTTAAGTTACGATCAAGTAACAGTTGCTGACTCTGAGAGTTGGTAGGTTCGTGTTAGACCGTTCTATCATCGCCCGCGAATTTGCCCTCTCGGGTTCGGAGCAGAACCCCGATATCACGGGGAAAAGCTACATTGGTCTGCTGAAGCGCCTATTCAGCCCTAACGGCACCGTCCCCGTGCAGAACTTTATGAAGCACGGCCGCGACTTTGTCGTCCGCGACACCCTCGAGGACCTTGTCGTGGGAATGAATGAGCTGGCTGCCACCGTTCACGGACCAGAGATCAGATACGACGAGATACGGAAGCAGATCGACGATCTGAATTTGCAATTGCGCAATTCGTACGCTAAAGATGCCCAAGTCATGCTCATTCATAATGCGAGGAACTACACGCCTGACAAGTGGGGTCGCGTGGCCAAGAATCATAATTTGATGGATCCGAAGCATGGGCCTATGATTGCTGTGAGGATGAATTTGCTTACGAGGAAGACGCTGGGGGGAATCGAGACGGATCTTGATTCAAGGGTTGTGAAGCCCGATGGCGAGAGGTATGCTGGATTATACGCGGCCGGCGAGGCGGCCGGTTTTGGGGGTGGAGGGGTCCATGGGTACTCGTCTCTAGAGGGCACGTTCTTGGGAGGCTGTATTTTCTCGGGAAGGGCGGCTGGTATTGCCATGGCGAGGGAGGTTCTGGGTGAGAAGGAGGATGAGAGCGCGAGGGCGAGTTTGTAGGTGAGATGTGGACTGATGAACATGCGACTCCTGTGGATGATGAATACGATGTGAATATTCTGGCTATCTTAGACATTTTGGATGTGGATAGCATTGCTACCGAACACTTTCCCTCACTCAAGTACGATGTAGCATGTAAGCCCGGCCTCACGGATTGAATCAAACTTCTGCATACGTATAACTCAGCTCCCTTCGAAATTATGTGGCTACCTTAGATCTTCTTCCACTTGTACCACCTCGCAGTTGTGATGGTTCCCTATCGCGCTGTAAATTGAGATACTCACATTGTGCTGGGCGGCAGTGGTTCATCGTGGTAGGCCCGGCGCAACGCGACACGGCACAACACAAGATCCAGGCTTTACTCGTCGAAATTGTGCAGCATGACTACATTCATTTTTTTCATCAATGAACGAGTCTGAGTAGAGAACATGACGGATACGCAATGGTTAACAGTCCGGAATTGAACTGTTTTGGTCGATGAGTTCCGAACGGGCGGCTGAAGTAAACAGCTTGAAGAGGGGTAACTTGAGTACGTACCCTTTCGTGTAGCTCGGCCTTGACTGCAACACAGGCGCTCAAAGGTGTCCTTGAAGAACACTTAATCAGTTAAAGTTCAGTTTACCATGACTGGAGTGCCACACTCTGCGATGCCATGAAGTCATCCCTAGCCGTGACTCTTCTTATAATTAGCCAATCGACCCGAAGAAGTTAAGGTAGGGATAATAGCTCTTAGTGGTTGCATGGCACCCCTGCAAAGTGGGAACGATTGGCTGCAGTGTCGCGGGGCACCTGGACGCTATTCTGCGATGGGCAGTTTGTAAATAGCAACCCCCGCTATAATAAAGACGGGCCGCTGCACGACGGACACGCTCCGATTTGTTTACACTGGGACGCGACTTGGTGACTTATAGATAGGTACTTATCCGTGTGACTGGGATGCAACTCAAGCTTCGCCAAGTCAATCGTTATTCTGTTTGACGCAGTCTTTCTACGACGGAAAACACAACCATGGAGGACCAAAAAACCCCCCCCATTGCGTTGCGACGGAGCTCCAGACGGAGCAATGGTGGCGCCGCCCTTCTATCAGACTCGCTCGCATGCGAGCAAGAACTTTCAATAACTGTCGCAAAGACACCAAAATCGAGATCGAAAAAGAGAGTGCGCTTCTCCGACCCAGGTCCAGAAGTCGAGCATCATGACCCCCTAACACCATCATCAACCACCGGCTTGACTCCCATGGTCCGCCGATCCTCCGTCAAAGCGACCCCTTCCCCGAAGCGCAGAAGATACTCGACGCCCGTTGAGTCGCAAGCCCACCACTACTCCGAAGACGAACTTGCTGGCAACGGCCAACATAACACCCAAAGGAGCAGCAACGAAGTCCGCATATTCTCCCTACGCCAAATTCTCGACGATCGCGTCAAGCGGCGCATCAGGCGCAATGGCTTGAGTGAGGAGATGAACACCATTGCGCAGGACAAGCGGCGCAGGGCACAAGACCACAAGGCAGAGCTACAGCGCCTGCGGGCCGAGCTAGCTAAGAAGGACGACGAGATCGAGAGGCTGCACGAGTCAACCATGGCGCAGGACACGGAGCGGATCCGGGATTTAGAGAGGCAGGTTGAGAGGCTGCAGAGGGGGCTGAGTAACAGTTCTCCCACTGGTGATGATGCGGCTGTGGCGGCAGCGGACCAAACGCAGTACTTTGACTGGACCATGGCAGCTAGGGATCCCTTCTCGGACAGTTACATGGACGATGATGAAGGCTTTGGGGATGTCACCATGGCCGAGTTCGCCGGTTGCAGCACGCCTTCTCGGCGAGCAAGGCGATCATTTCCCACGCCGCCGTTGACCAGTCCACCGCTCCCTGGGACGCCGAGTTCTCAACATCGCAGTCGCAAGTCGCCACAAACACCAACTTCGGTACCATCATCTTCTTCACATATCGGCGTGCAAGCAAGCCTCACAGACCCAGAGAAGGAGGCATTAGAAGCAGAGCTGGGATCACTCCGATTGGAGCTAACCAAGCTCACCGACACGCTTGAAAACCATGAGAATCTCAAATCCCGCATCGCCGCCAAACTATCCGCCGCCAACACACCAGCAGACTCCGAGGAAACTCCCGACGTAGAAACTCACCTCGACCTCGTGCTCCGCAATCTCTCCGACCGGACCGCCGCCCTCCTGCACCTCAATTCCTCCCTCAGCACCCTCGGCTTCCGGGGAACCGACGCCAGCGAAATCATCTCCTCGCTCTCCTCGTCCTTCCGCTCTGCGAGGCTCGAACTCGAGTATCTCACCCCAGGCGAAATCGCCCTGCCCCTTTCCTCCCACGGTGCTGAGGTGCTGGATCTCGTTTTGACCCGGCTGCGCGATCTCGCGAAGAAGACCAAAGAGGACGAGAGCTCTATCGACGAGTACCACGCCCTGGAGCTGTCGTTGCGGCAGCAGCTCGGGGCGAGGGTCGAGGCTATGGATGGGATGGGCCGGGAGTTGAAGGAAAATGCCGTTCAGCTTAAGGAGAAGGACGCAAAGATTGAGGAATTGGAAGTCGGCATCGAGCGCCTCAAGGGCGCGGTAGAGGGGTATCAACGGGATATCGCCGAACTCGAAGGGTGGGTGCAGCGGGTAGACGACGAGACAGGGCAGACGGTCGCGCAACTAGAAGCCGAGATCGCCGAGGGGAGGCAGCAGGTGAGCACGAGGGATGACTCCATCACCGAGTTAGAAAGCAGACTCTCCTCCGTCCTGACCCAAATGGCAGAACTGCGGATCCAGCTCGCGGATCTGCAGGCGCGGAAGACGGTCGAAGTGACCACGTTGAACAAAGCGCACGGCAACGCGCTGGCGCTGCGCGATGCGAGGGTCTTGGAGTTGAGGGGGGAGATTGATGGGATCAATGCTTCGTTGCGAATGGCGCATGAAACGATTCGGCTGTTAAGGGTTGAGAATGGGAAGTTGGAGGAGGAAAGGGAGAAGGCGAAGAGTGCGGTTGATGCTGTGAAGGCGGAGCTCGAGAGGGTGGTGAGGATGAGTGAGGGGATTTTGGGGGCGTCGCCGACGAAGGGACCGGTAACAAAGCGGCGGAGTGGGAGTGGGAGTGTCGAGGGCACGCCGCAGTCGGGAACCTATATGGCGGGTGCTTTGGCGAGAACAGGAACGGGGAAAAAGAAGCGTAGGTATGATAGTGGTTTGGGGTTCTTGGATGAGGAGGAGGTGGATATCTAGATTTGCTTGATGGGTTGCGAGCAGATATTACTTTCCTTGTCCTATGGGGTTGTATTTGGCACATGTAGCATGTAAGGATAGCGACATATCAATGTTTCCAAGTGAAGGTTTCAATAAGCGCTGGTTATGGCTGAGAGCATGCGCCGTGTTAGTCAACGGGCATCATCAGACGTATGCCATTCAGGTTCTTCGTAAGCCCATTACCCTTGATATTCTGTCCTTGGATCGCCTTATCCCGAAGACGAATGGTGTTATTACAGCGCAGTATGGTTGCTTCATGGACGATTATTCGGGCCAGACCACTCTCCGGTTTGTTTGAACTTCTTGGTATTACGGACAGTCTTGGAATTACTCTCGCGTAGATTCGGCAGCATCACACTGTGACGCGAGAGTGATAGTATTTTTTAATCTTGTTTCTTATACTACCTCATAGACGCCTACGGCTTATGAAGGCAGTGAAGTAGACTAGCTTCTCTATGTGGAAAAGTAGTAGGCGCCTATGCCCTTATAGAATCGCCTAGGCTATTGAGACCTAGACAGAAGGGTAACTTCCGTCTCGCTTTTATATCCGTGATCCCTCCGTGTATACCATATTTGTAGTCGCTATCAGGCGATTTTGGACGACTGTTAACTAGAATTCTCGGGTGTATTGTGGGCTCCAGGGAAATGCTTCCGCGATTTGTAATGAGCTGGCGGCTGTCGGGCGAGAAACCCACCGACTCAACCTCATCGCTATGGCCTCGAGCGTCTGCAGGCACGCATTCCAATCTACTTCTAGATGTGGCTTTACTACAATCCAATCTGGCTCTTCTTGTCTGAAATGTTGCTGAGTTAAGCTATTGACAGGGCTGAAAATGGCTGCTGATACATACGCCTAGAGAGGAGCGTTCTCGATGACCCATCTATTCTAAAGAGTAAATCGGTATGTATCGTAAATTAGGTTAACGAGCGCGGAATCATTTTGTTTTTGCTAAGAAATATTAGGATATCCTAAAAACCTAAAGTGCAGGGTATGATAAAATACCTAACGTTACTCGAACAAAAGCCTCAAGCTTTGTTATCGACACTACACCTTCCGGCAAATTTATCAGTAGACTAAGATCTTCAACCCAGTAGCGAAACTTCTCACGAAGAAACCTAGAGAGCTTAGCATTGCTCTCGCCGTATATTCCCTCTGTGTCCCGGAGATCATCAGCCCAGTAAACGCAAGCATAGCTAATGGATCAGGTGTAGGTGTCTGGATCTGTTCGATATGATACCCGGGATGTCGTAACTCGTATGAATCCCAATGGAGAGTGTACTGGACATGATCTGGGGCGATCCCGAGAAGATAGTGCGGTGGTGTTTTTCCTTTATCCCAGATGGGAGAAATTGATCGACTGGCTTCTTGAGTAACAAGTCCTTTGCAGACTGATGCACAAATTAGAATATGTTATCTCGTGGAGTTAAGATACAGCCACAGCTTGGTATAACTTCTTCTAACTCTGGGGGCCATCTAAATCTTGTAGTGATCCGTCAAGAGAAACTAGTACCTGCAAGGATATTGACGACGGGCAGTGAAACCACCCGCAGGTTCAAGGTGCGATGATGATGGCAACGGACAACAAGATCCTCAACAAGACCTTACTATCCGGGAGGTGGAAAGAAATAACAAGATCAAGAGCTCTTTGCCCTGATCGGAACGACAAGTACCTCAACAGGTACTAACAACTGGGGAAGAAAAGGAACCTCAACAGGCGAAAGATGGGAACAATGGCTCAACAGGCACAATCAGATCTATAGGAGAACAAAAAGTACCTCAACAGGTACGTCAGACATTGAATGCCTGTCCAAGTAAAGAGAAGTTGGTTCAGATTACTGTGGAAAAGGCCGCTTGATTTTCTATCTTTTTCTCAAGAGAGTGACTACGTACATAAGGTCTTAAATACCCTTCAAGAACGCGCTTATATAATTCGTCTGAATATCGAAAAAAACGAAAACGAGCATCCAAAAACCCTAACCCCACGTCAATATAGGTCTATATACGACCGATACGATAGCGAGAATCCGCTCACAGAGAGCCGCATCATCTGATTCCCTGGTCTGTTCTATCAATCGCTCGTAAAGTGGATCGAGTCCGGTTGGGAACGTGCTTAATTTTGCTACGTGAGCAGCATTCCGCCGACGATAACTCTGCGAAAGCCTACAGGGGTGCAGTGTTTGCAGACAGCAACATATGATTGAGATCCCCAGCTCATACCAAAGGATACGAAAGTAGTGTAGTTACTTTTCTCTATTGAAAGACTCAGCACGGCAATTCTATCCGACTGTGCGATTCTATTTCAACCCTAGTCCCTAGTCACTCGTCGAGTAGATCGAGAGCAGCCCCTCAGTGTATCTAGCCACACTGGTAGACAGGCGTTTCGGTGTGCCAATATGCATATAAATTCTTGTTCCCTTTTCGATCGATTTTGCTCTGCTTCCGTCTCTCTTCTTTTTGCACCTTTTGTGCGTGCTTGTGTTGCGTCGCCAGTAACGAGCGCTGCTGAGACGCAGATAGGTGCATCAAGTGGCTTCGGTCGTTCGCGCGCATATTTACCAACTGGTATGTCACCGTCGCCCTTTCTCGCTTCTCCCTCCTCGATAATAACAGTGTGTCGCGTATGTCCGAGTCGAGCTCCTCTTTGCTACACCCTTTCTCCTCGTCGGGTTTTACCAGGGAGTATCCTAGTTGCGATGCCAAGGTCCGAGTTCGACAGCGCAACCGAGGGAGTGACGGTCCCGCTTGTACCGATAACTGCCTCGATATGATTTTGCCCGACGGTAAACGAATCGAGTCCTCGTCAGCCAGCACTGGCTTTCGACTTGAGCTTGTCGCCATCTCCTCCTGGTTCCCCTCATCGCCGTCGCCGTCGCCCTCAATATCACTCTCCGGATCGTCTTCCGGCTCGGAAAAGTCGTAAAACGCGGCAAATTCCGAGTCCTGTTCTGACATATCAAATTTACAGTGACCCTTGCCGGTCATATGCTGTTGTACAGCTTGTACAGTAGCTCTCCCTGTTCCGCATTGTATACATTCTCGGTATCCAAAAATAACGAGATGCAGATATTTGAAAAGAGTCTCGAGGTCGACTACTAGATGTTGCTGATATGGAACGAAGAGGCCGTGTGATTTTCGCATGTGTATGACGCTGTCAGTGAAGCTTGGTGAGGGATTCGGACAGAATAGGCATTGCCCAGGCCTGAATGGTTGCATGGCCGCGTCAGGAGTATCGACTGACTCCTTGAAGGATGTCGGTGTAGAGTTGGTTTCCAGACTTGATGATAGACTCATTGGCAAAGTCGATAGTGCGTCAGTTGTGGTGGAAGTCGTTGCTGTCGTCGTTCCTAGCATACCAATGAAATGGAAGTGGTCGCGGTTCTAGACTAAGTTCAGCTCAAGGCTTGTGATTGTGCCCAGGTGTTGATGTCTCTACTGCCGATTGGGTGATATGGACTGAATTGGATTTCTAGCTGTTTTATATAGTTGACCAGGTCGATACAAGGGCCTACAGTCGAATCACCGGACTAAGCCTTTTAGGGCCAAGGGTAACATGACACTGCAGCCCGCTGCATAGCCACTGGAAATTGACCAATGAGATGCTCGTCAACTCACTGACAAGGTATGATTCATAATGAACATCGAAACCACTTCACCGCAGCGACCTATAACTAGTAAGCTAGCATCATCACGAGGGCAGTGCCATCGAAAACGAATCGAGAGCCACGGGTTTCCACTTAACCCAAATCTGACACATGTGTCAAGCCAACATGGTACCTGAATTATTTCTCTTTTTCTTCGTATCATGAATCTGGCTAGGTCTTGCCCTATTCAGGTATTGGTCATGGCCCGCGCCCTCAGGTAAGCGTCGTTGCGCCTGACATCCCGACAAAACAGAATACGGTGCAGTTTCTTTAGGCATCACTGGGGATGGCGTAGCAAGCGATCATTTCGAGAAAGAACGATTGGTGATGTCGAGAGCACGAACGCAAAATGGCCACAACGTGAACACAGAATGATGGGTCAGTCACTATTCGTCAGACTCTCACTAGAAGTCTATCTACCTCTAGACGCGCACCTCCCAGAAATCCAATTGTTCCTAGACAGAATGCTCATTTTCTATAGCGAATTATGCCTAACTGTCTGTCCATTAGCGGCTTCTATTGCGAAGGAGTAGGATCGGCCGTCTGGGTCGTCTCGGTCGAAGCAATCGAATTGGTGGGCCCCGCGGCAGCAGTCGAAGCGATCATGGTCCACTTGTTAGTGAACTCGGTCTTCTTTCTGCACCAGTCGCAATTCCAAGCGACGCAGTCGTAGTACGCATCACACCAGCACACCATCGCAGCGGTTCTCGAAGCCAGGGAGGAGGATGCCGCCAGCAGTACAGTACGCGAGATCGTCGGTGCACCTTGTGAGGGAGTCAGAGGTTAGTATCACGAATTGTGGACAAATAAGTGTGGTATGTGAGGTGCTTCTTCAAGCATATAAAGTTATGGGACGGGGTAGTGAGGAACTCTAAGAGTTGCTTACCACGCGGTGTGGTTATCGTCGATACAGGTCATGTGCCACAGAAGACGGTCAGAGGGAAGGGCTTGCCCAGCGCATCTCCGAATTCTCCGATCAACCTGATGGTGAGATGTATCCATAAACCGTAAGAGGAAGGAGCAAAGCGAAATGCCCAGGTTGAGGTTGATCCCTGATCATGACATGATACCTGCTGGAGCTACCCATGCCAACAATCATCACTAATCTCCGCTCGGATTGTGAACAGAGGAGGATGTGAGCAATACAGCCGTCAATGCGCGCGATAGCTTTGACCCGTGGATGTGTATAGCGATTGAATGAGCGCTCTCCCATGAGTCATCGAGTCGAGGAGCGAAGAACTTCAAGCTTGGCGCGGTAACAACACGGCGGGTCGTAGTGATTAACCGGCTGGTGATCCCACGTCGTGACTTTATCCATATGAAAGTACCGGAGCCATCGACCGATGGTCATTTAACATCAAACAAACAGAATCAAGAATGGCGATCAATTAATCGTGTGAGGTCTTCCAATACTTTGTTAATGTGACGTGTTATTCGGTCGTCGAAATAGTATAATGAAACATCGTCAAATGCAGACGCGCATCTGATCATCCACTTTCTTGAAATTATTGACAACTACCTATGGTCCTTATCCTCTATTTTTCTTTGATGCAGCTGAATTAGAGGATGAAACTTATGACATAGACTCGCAGATCATGCATTGCCTAGTAGGTCTAGAGAGATATCTGATATAACTATCGAGACACTGAGAGCTGACAGCGCTGATCTAGTTTAGGCCTAAGTACAGAATGGGTATCAAAACCTGCATATTGACCTTCAAAACACTCTATATACTGTTACAGAAGGCATCACTCCATCCAAAAATTCAGTTTGGTGTAAAAATCACTGGAACGGCGAAAGGGTTAGGAGTGAAAGTGCCGTTCGGATCGGCTTTGGCTCTTATCCTACCCAGCCGTTCGTACTTCTCCTTGTCCTCGTAATAGCACCTCCAGACCTTTTCGTTCGCCATGTTCCAATCCCCGTACGAACCCCCGTGCCCGCGTCTGTCCTGCTTGCTGAAGCAGCTCTGAGGCCCGACCATGATGGAGTCGTTCTCGGCCTGCCACCGCTCGGCATACGCCTTGGAGTCCGCGTCCGGCTGGTGGAAACAGTCCATCAGCTGCATGACGGTCGTGTCACGCCAGCTGTATGAAGTCCCACTACCCCTGTTAGTGTAGAAGCGTGATCGATTGCCGCCGAAGCACTGGATCTGCACTGAGAGCTTGCAGCTAAGGTAGCGCTCGTAGTCATTGTCGCCGGAGTCATTCTTCAGGTGTTGCGCGGGATTATAGATTTTGTCGATGCGCTTAACCAAGTTATCGGCCCAGTTATCGCGGACTAGGGTCCTCGAGTTGGTCAGGTACGTCCGTTTAACGTAGGGGAGCTCGAACTCGCGCTCCTTGTGGAACATCCACTGGCCCATCATTTGAGACATGTCCATGTCGAAGACGTTGATCTGGAGTGCACCGTTCGCGAAGAAGCCGCTGAGGTCGCGGAATCTCTGAAACCACTTGTCTACATTCTCGTCATACTCATCGCCCTTCTCGGTTGGGCACCACTGTGCGTAGAGCACAACGGCAGCCGGAAAGCTGTAATTGAGTCTCTTGAGGAACTGATTGGCCAGGAAGTATTTGATATTGTTCTGCACACGTTGCACCGCGCCCGCATCTTTCCCCTCTGGGAAGAGATATGCGTTGGGGAAATCGGTGCTCAGCACATTGATGTTCAGGTCGAAACCGCGTGGAAACTCTGGGTCGTCAGCCATCTCCGCGACGGCCGTCAAGAGCTTTTTGAGTATCTTCGGAGAGTACATCCAAATCCCTTTGAGACCGTACGGTCCCTTGATACCGCGTGGACCCTCCACGGTCCCAACATAGTGAGCAGCCTTATATACTTCGATGATGTAATGAGTTATGATGCCGAAGTTGCCAGGGCTTCCTCCTAGAATGGCGTTGAACAGCTCAGTGTCATTTCGCTTCGTGATATCTCGAATGATACCATCATGACAGACCATGCGAATAGTCCTAACATGATCGCCCAGAAGTCCAAAGCTTCGCCCAACTTGGCCATATCCTCCCGTCTGGACGTGACCACCGATACAGACGTAAGCGCATTGTCCATGGGGAATGAAGAGGCTGTTGTGTATGAGATAGGCGCTAAAATCCTTGAGATGGATGCTAACGCCAACATATATGAGAGTTTTATCCTGGTCAACTGGGTCGACAGGGTCGATGCGCATCAGATGTTTGTATGTATTTGACAGATCGAGCTGGATATTTCTGCCGCTCGTCGACGAGGCACCGCTGTACTGATGGCCACCGCTCTTCACGGAAATGGCAATTTTGTTGGATCTGGCCCAATTGACGGCCTTGACGACGTCCTCATCTCCCTTTGGCTGGATGATAAGGTCTGGATACATATCGTGGTCTTCCCGATAGGTCGAGGTGGCATATTGCCGGTTAAATAAGGCGTAATCGAGCTGCTCGGACTTGCTGCCATCTCGAGGGTACTGCATACCCTCGATGCCTTGTATTCGGACCATTTTGCGGTGCGATTGTACCTAGAAACAGGATGAGTTCGGATTCGTACGCATGAACATGGAAACCGCAGGGGTGATATCGATATTTATATGAATCCATTTTACAATTGCGCAGTAATGTGCTGCCCAAAGACTGGCTTGGGACCGAGTTGTCTTCTAACAAGGTTCCTCACGAACAAAACGGGATTCCTGATCTGCCGCAGCTCTTACATAAAGGGATGGCAAAGGAGCTGAACCCTACCCCCAAATATAAGCTGATGAAACAAGGAAATTTTGGTTATGCATGTCATACTTTAGTGGACTCAACGGTGGAACAATGAAGGAATATTGTTGATAGAGAAAATGGAATGGTCTAATGCTACGTCTAGAAGTCAGGGATGTATACCATACAGCGTATTGGTGGTCATTCAATACCGTCCGCGCTGGATTTTGGGGGCCATCCCAATCAACTGGGCCTAGGAAACTGGGGGTTAATTTGAAATATCATCCTACTCGCATTCACATCGGCCGACACGGTTGATATGCCTTTACGAAATAGCACCCCTTTTACTCAAATAGTAGTCAGCTGAAGCAAACATCGTATATTCTTGATTAAAATAGTCCAATACGCCACACGGGATTGTTGATTGGCTATATTCGAAGCAGCTCTCTATTTTTTTGGTCTCGCTTCGTGGATTGGGGGGGGGGGGCGGAAACCAATGGAGTCGATACAGGTGTCATTGCAGCGCTGATTCAGCCCCCATCGGTCAATTAATGTAACACATGACGATGTTGGTGCATAGTCAGTCGCAACATTGTTCGTGTTGCAATGGCTATATTTGGCCACTGCCAACAAGGCCACTGTGAATTCGACGTCAGCCTGTACCGCATTGTGAGGGTACTTGCCACTACTAGTACGGAGGTTAGATGTTGCAAGTATGCGCCCCGTCGTGTAACTCCAGGTTTCGCCAGCTCTTGATAGACTAGAGCTACCCAGAGGAACGTATTGTTCGCGTTTATGGATAGATAATCTTGAGCAGCAAGTCTCATTACATCGTTGTAATTCTTAGTCTGTGTTAACGTGAATGTACACCGAGCTGGCCATGACACCGAGCTGGCCATGACACCGAGCTGGCCATGACACCGAGCTGGCCACTTTCATGCGCCAACGCGACCGGCCAACTTAATGTTTGATTTTCTCAACAACCAATTATGGCAAAGTCATACAACGAAGCAGACTTAATGCTAGCCCTTCAAGCTCTCAAAAATGACCAAAACATTAGTCTCCGACAAGCGGCAAAAACGTACCAAGTCCCCCGAAGCACCCTCCAAACGCGTAAAAACGGCGGCTCGCCCTCGTACGGGCCGAGTGCGCTGAGCTTCGAGAGGCAAATAAGATGCTAAGCCGGCGCCGGAGGACTAAAAAAATGCAATTACGGGAAGGAGAATCACTTATTTTCCAAGAAGGACAGGACCTACGGGACTCTAGGGAGTTGGCGACGCAGATACAGCAAGAAGAGCGCCGAAATGGCGGTCGCGCAAAGCGTGTTGAAACGCGCCCGAGGCGCTGTGGTATTTGCAACGGGACTGGGCATAATGCGCGAACTTGTAACATCGCATTGCCATCTTCTGGAGAGGAAGATTCAGAGTAGTTTCAATTGATTTACGGCTTTGTGGGTTTACTATCGTAAAATTTCTATGCGAGGTTATGTAAGGGTGGCCAGCTCGGTGTCATGGCCAGCTCGGTGTACATTCACGTTAGTTAAGTTATTGAAGTTAACGTAGTCCACGGTCCAATTGCACACTTTGGCAGACCTTATACGACAATGTATAAGTTAATTCAACCACAACGCCTATCATCAATTGAAACTACTCAGAATCGTTATCTTCAGACGCCTCTACATCATTTCCACAAGTGCGCGCATTATGTCCGGGCTCGCCGCAGATTCTACAGCGCCGTACACGCGCAATTCGCCGCCTCCTACGACCACCAATTTGACGAAATTCGTCATGTAACTGCCCATCAACCTCTCGTTGAGACTGTAGGTCCTGTCCAGCTTGTATACGAAGTGACCCTCCACTCTGTAGCTGTTTTTTCTTCGCACGGCGACGTCGACTTAAGGTCTCATTTGCCTTTCGATGTGATTCGACCTCGCCTTCTAAAAGGGCAAGCCGATGCATAACCTTCGTTGTACCTCACGCAATCTGATCTATTCCAGCAAAAATTGACGTTGGTGAGCTATTTTGATGTCGTACAATCCTATTTTTCACATAATCGGTTTGTGATTGGGCTTCGGTTGGGTTGTTCGGAGTCTTTGATTCCCAAGGGACGGGGAGACCAGCCGAGCTACCCGGAGGTGTTGGCGTATGTAATTTCACATCGAGCTGTGATATGACATAATCTGCATCGTACGGAACTATTCCTACCCCTCGGAGACCTCCTTGGATATTTGAAACCGTGAAAGTTGCGTTGTACGCGTTTAAAAACGCCGGTAAAAAGTCTTCTTTCGAGATATGACTTATATGTGCTCGCATGAGATCTTCGATTTCTTTTCCGTACGCTCTTTTTAACCCGCGAAAACAACCAACATCAAGAGGCTGGAGCTTATGCGACGAATGAGGAGGCATACAAAGCGTGACGATATTGTTAGCTTTGCAATATACCTCGAAATCGGTCGAGTGATGGCTTTCGTGACCGTCGAGGATCAATAGGCGATGAGTACCTTTCGTACGAGACTTGGTGTGATGATCGAAGTGTTTTATCTAATCTTCGCCTCTCTCGTTCGTAGTCCAGCTATTTTTAGTAACTGCGATAACCCAATCAGGCGGTAATGGGCTGTTTTCGTACCATGACGAGAGGTGGGTTTTGCCGGCGAAAATGATGTACGGAGGGAGGGCATAACCGGACGATCCAACGCCTTGAATAACTGTAACCCATTCCCGATTTACTTTCTGGGCTGCTCTAGGCCTTCCGCGCCGATCAGAAGTCGTCACGACCATTTCGGACTTGATTTGGCCCATCACAAAACCGGTCTCGTCGAAGTTGTAGATATCCTCCTCCTGGATCGCGTATTTCGCAATTGTATTCCGTACCAGGTCAAACCACGCGCGATACGCGTCGGGATCTTCGTATAGGACTCTCTGATAGTCGATCCTTCGATTTAAACGCGTCCGGAGGTCTGGTTGTCGTCTTACGAAGCTCGAGGCCCAGTTGACGCCGACGCGTCCCGCGTCGCGACTTCGAAGTAATCGGTTGGCCATATCTTCAACACCACTCAATCGGGGAGGAAATGCTCGCGAATCTAGGTCGGTTATATGTCGTACGATTGCCTCTTCTTCGGAAGGAGTCAACTTTTGCGTTGGCGATCGCGTAATCGCTCGAGTGGTTTTACCGTCGCGTCGATACGCAAGGGTTCTAAAAGGTACGTTATAGATCTGACCAGCGCGACGTACACTTAATTTTGGATCAGATTGAAGCGCATGTAATGCTAGAATCATATCACTTTCATTCCAAGAACCAACCATAGTTGTGTGGTGAAAAACCGCAGGTCAAAGTGGTAGCGTACGAAAATCTGCCGAAGTGTGCAATTGGACCGTGGACTACGTTATTCATACGGTACCAAGAAAAAGTGGCCAACTTGCTTGTGGGGTACGTTATGCCAAGGTATATTACCTTCTGTTGTGTCGAAAGGACCTGATATTTCTGTAATTGGAATGGGATCAAGTGGGTAACAGAATAAACGGCTCTTCCAAATAGATGGAATAGTATGGGTCAGCTCAATATTCCAAGGTAGTAGATTAATTATAGCAAGATTATTCTAACCGAGGGCGCCGTTTACTTTCTGATCATTCATTGGATGGTTATGTAGAACGGTCTGTTGATGATATTTCATCTAATGTCGCATTTACGCGCTGTCGACTGCGTCTATCGTCTACGTTAACTCAGTCCAGCATAATAAGCATTCTGCTGTTGTATTCGGCAGCAATCTCGAATGCAACCAAAATGGAGGTCGACTGCCCCAGGGCTGCATCTGGTCTTGAAAATGCTTCCTTTGAGCCGGCGGTTAAGAACTTCCGATCTACGGAATGGCTCAGGTCCAACTTGTTTCACGACCAAGCGCGGATTCCCATACAATCTAGTATGGTTGAGATTTTAACATCCACCCTCTATCACTCACCAGTATAGATGTTGAGACAGAAGAATACAGTAGCAATTTCAGTTATAGCTGATATGAAGATGATGGAGACCGATAGCAGATTTCATAGGTTCAATGGGGTTATCGGTATGATAACTTCCTTTCAGATTCACCAAATATTTAAGGAAAACCAATTAGGCCTTCGATGGTCTGATACAGCACTTATTAGAATTGACCACTGGTTGATAGTTCGCCTGAACCAATTTGGTCTTTTCGCTCGCTCTATAGATCATGAGAGTAGAGATCCTTCAATATTGAACTACAATTGCGCACCCTTTATATTCATTTCCAACGCATATCGCTTTTCAAATCAGAAGCTTCCATCCCATCCCTCACCTAAAACTGGAGGTTCCGGAATGTTAGGGAGATCGGAGTACATGAGAGGACCCTACAAATTGCAATAACATTAGCCGCGCAACTCACCCTTATCTCAGCTGTTAACCTACCAAGAAATCAAAATCAAATCCCAGACTTCCGAGAGCATCCGACCAGTCAGGAACGCTTTCGTCAGGACTGAACTCGTCAGGACTGAACTCGTCAATCAAGCGTGTCATAGGGTTAATTTCAACTCCACATGCACCAGACTCGCGCAGAATCTTACAGCACTCTTTTGTGGCCTTCATCCCCGCTGCCCAGGCCTCAGATTGTGCTTCAGGGTTTCCTTTTTCCACGGCTTGTATCTGCGTCAGTATTGCCGAAAGCATGATGTAGCGCTTGAGACTCGGGCGTCCTAGCGCTATGGTTTGGCGCAGTTGCTCGAGAATGTGCGTGAGAATGTCGATGAGTGGTCTTCGGCTGGCTTTGGACAGCTCGAGTAGCGGGTCGGACGCCACATCGTTATGATCGGCCGTAGGTATCGATAGCTTCTCATCTTCTATCTGAGAATATATTTCCAAACCCAGTGTCACTATAATATCCTGGCTTAGAGGTCCTTTGAACAGGCCGCTTCCCCACATCGAAAGGCGTGAGAAATCATCAGGGGTCTCAAATTGTAAGTTGAGGGGTTTTGCATACGAGGCAATGATTCGACAGCTTTCGAGACAGGTTTTTCGGGCCAGGAAGAATCGGGGATCTTTTCGCGCGCGTAGTGAAAATGGGCGGTCGATGAAGAGCATGTATCGGCGCAAGTAGGCGTCTAGGAATTTCCGGTGGAATGCGGCGTTCAAAGGAGCATGTGATGATTGTGCTTGAAAGAACGCAGCAACCTCGCGACAGTACGACTTGAAATCATTCCCGATCCGAATCGTATCTTCGTAGGATTGCAGACGTTTGATACCATTCAGCTTTCGCACGACACGTAAACGAGATATCAATGATCTCTGAAGAAGAAGCTGGATGGATGAATCCGTAATTTCTCCTTGGGGCCGCGCAGTGGGTGGGGTTGTAGCATCGACCTCGAGGTCATCATCGTTCAAGTTCGAGGGAAGACCACAGTCAAAATCTTCTTCAGAGATTAGGAGCGGCAATGTTGAATCCAAGCACATCAAGACGGTTATCTCGAGTACAGTAAGCCACAGACGCCGTCATATTTCTCGATGAAAGGGCGACAAAGACGGGAAGTTACTGGGATCAATGTGTAATCCCAACGTAAAAGCCAGCTTCATCAGTGACTCCGTGGCTATTGATGCAGCACCAACCAGAGCGTTTGTTTGGCGAGCTAGGAGGCACAAACAGAAGACCTGCACACCTTCTAGACTCATTGCAGCTTTCTCGGTAGGTCCAAGCAGCCACCACTGCACGGCTAGGACCCAGCTTTTGGCTAGTTTGCGGAGACGATCTGATAGTACCTTGTCTTGATGGAAAATGCCGCCAATAGCCAAGACCATAGCCAACTTTAGCAAGAATGAGTATGTCGCAGAATCTTGCCGACGCCAGAATTTGTTGTACTCCGCCATGAACGAAGGCCGATGGAGGATTCGAAACATGGGCTCAAAGGTGCGGAAGTAGTGGCCCAGTACACTGTCACAAACATCTTTCGCGGGTATGCTACCGGCCATGTTTGGAATCGGATCCTGTACGGTGATTAGGTGCTCTTTCACAATTGAGCTTCGAAGACTACTGGCTTCTTTGATCAAGGCTGCGGTGTCTTCGTGTACTCCGTTCATGTTGAGGTTGGCCTTGGTTTTGATTTTGGAGAGAACGCTGAGCTAAGTCGATTTAGTAAGTTTTCAGAGTTATACTGGGAGCCAGCTTACCTGTTCAAATGCATGTGTCCAGTGGCTTCTGCCAAACAACTTAGTCTTTTCTGATTCAACGCGCAAGTATGCGCGTGGGGTAAGTATGCAGGTGCCACTGGAAGGTGGAACCCCTTTCCCATTTGGCATGCGTGATAATGTCTGCTCAAGAGAAGCAACCCGTTTTGATAAATATGCTAGAGTGGCTGGCGAAGGATTATGTGAATCTAATAGTAGCTCGTTCTGGTCGCCTTCTGGTTCTGTGGCATGTTCTTGGGCCGCTTGATTATCTTCTGTAATTTCCGACTGCAGCAACGAAATGCTATCCATTGACGCACCCCGGAAGTCGTCATGAGCCTCGGAAATAGAGTGAAGATTTGACTGTGGGCTCCGCACCGAAGCTGATGGCAATGGCTGGCTGCCGCCGCTGTACCTGCATTCCAGAGCATTCCGCGACCGTTTGCAGGGCTTACAAGGAAGTTGACGGTCGCACCTCATCTTTCTCTGACGACAGTTTTCGCAGGATTCTGTTTCTACTCGTTAGTGATTGGTGACTTGCAAGCAACCGAAAGCGTTGACGGTAGACACACTGGCCGGCGCCGTCGACGGCGAACGGGTATTCCCCGCGTAGAAAGTTCGGACATTTCAGAAACGTGGTATGCCCGAACGGGCTTTCGATATATTGAGGCGACCTCGAGGAAATAATGCAAAAGGTGACAATAGCCAAGCCGGGATGCGTGATGTTGAAAAGCCGAACATCTAGGAGTAAGCAACATCGGGCCCGAGGTCACGATTCTGTAGGATCTCGCTTATCTCCGGGCTTGCTAAAGTCAGGTTTGTACCCCTGGACTTGCAGAACATGACGACAGGAAAACATCGAATCTTGTGTCCTCGGAATATTCACCAGTCTATTGAATCACATCTCATGGAAGAAGTCGATGTAATTAGATATCGCTAATTTAATTTGCGTAGAACCAATGTATGTCGTTATTTCTATCGAACTCATGTATGTCTGAGCCTTTCGTCTCCGTTGTACTTTGGGGACTTAAGTGTACAGTGATCGCGTGATCTCATGGTGCCAGCCCATAAAGGGAGTCAGTCAATCATTATTATGACGTAGAGTGAGCTTGTATAGCACCATTGTTGAAACTAGATGCAAAAGTCCATTTATGTCCAAGATCAGAGCTTTTCCGAAATTTAAAGGCCAAAGAGGTATAGATATATTGGGCAAGTCCCTCTACGGCCACATCATGAAGCCTGCAGGCAGCCCAAGTAATTCGACAGGCTATAAAGCTCAAGAAGTGAACAAATGAACGGCGCAACAGGCTCACTGGTGATTTAACTTGGTTGCACCGGGTCTAACACGCTGGAATACCGCACTTTCCTGTACATCATTTCTACGCCATTGCATTTCATTGCACTGTTAATTATTAATCCCCTTTTCCCTCAGCCTCGGCCTTAACTCGACATTCGTAATCCTGAATCCAAATCATACCATGCTCAGACCAACAGCTTGTGATCAAAACTACTCATATAAGCTTGAATCCATCCGTTCCAACCGGAGAGTAAAGCAACCAAACCCCCGTTCCGATAACATCTTCAGTTAAACCATCCTGCGCTCAAAACCGGTTATCTTTGTCTTAGAATTCAATGCCCCAGTCCCATTCTTGGGGAAAAGGGACCCCGTTGTATCCCCGGCCTGCGCACTAGACCCCTGCCCACTCCTCCCCAAAGCAAGCAACGCATAATGCCCTCCCACAACCGGCCTAGCTTTGAAACTAATGTGATCCGGCACCTCCGGCGAGCCACCCATATCAATAACCTCATACAGATCCGTGAATGGCAGCCCGCTCGACGTATGGTTTAGCCAGTACGCTACCGCATTCACCATCAACGCCCTCGTGCTTGTGTTGCACGTGGCCGCAGCCCAAATCTGCCAGTCCGACTTTGTGTAATGATGTCGGCTATCAAGGGGCACGCCAAAAACCTGCGAGACGGACGCGTACCAGTCTGATTGCATGGTGTAGATGGACTGGTTGACAATGCCCAGGTTGAGCAGCTTGTCGAAGTAAATGTTGTAGAGCAGACCCCAGCTGGATCGCCACTGGTAGGCGAGGATAGTGTGGCGGCTTGAGGGGTCAACAGCCATAGTTTCCCACTGACTGTAGTAAGATTGTGCAGTACTGGAGAAGTAAGCAGCATCGTCGGCGTTTTCGGCAACGCGGGCAATGGCATTCATGGCTTGTAGTGCCACGATACCTTTTATGGCCAGGTTCGTCTGGTTGGTTAGCCTTCCGGAGAAATCATCCGTACTAAGTTGTGCGGCGGGCACTAGCGAGAATTCGATAAGGTATTGGGCGAATTTCTTCAGCAAGGTGTAGTGGCTCTGCAGCCAGGCGACGTTGTTGCTGAATTTGTAGTACGCATAGCTCATGAGAATGAAATTGCCGCTTTCCTCCACTGGCATGTATTCATCGTCTCCCTGCACAGATAGTCAGTACTTCCGTTTCTGGCTTTCTTCTTTTAATGAGCATCATAATACGTACCGCAATATGTCCAGTTGCATTTGGAAATGCCGAGCCAAGGTCGTGCATCGAGTAACCATGTGGGTAGAATCCTGCCTCTTGGAACTCATACAGGGGCTGCAATGTGTACTTGAGTAGCTCAGGGTTGGCATACAGGAAGAACGGCGTTGTTGGATACTGAACCCAAATTAGTGCTAGTGACAGGCTATGACCGCGACCCTACACATACCAAGACATCCACTGTATTGATATTACCATCACTCGAAATCTCCTTTTGGAACACCAGTGGTTCATCAGGCCCCTGGTATGTGCTCGCGTAACTTACTGGCGGTGGCGGCACCGCAAAGACATGCGAAGCCATAACCTGTCGAGCGCTCAGCGCCAAAATTGCGTAATAAGAGTCCGACTCAGAAACCCCTGGAATGGGGACACCACTGAAATTACTTGGATCCAGAAAGCCATATGCGTTATTGGGGTCAAAGAGGAACGGTCCCTCTGACGAACCTGGTCCAGGGACACCAGTCGCCGGCCCATTGGAATAAAATGAGGATGAATTCAGCCCATGTTGGATGACTGTATTATTCTCGAAGAATCTATATGTATCCTGCCTGAGCTGCGTCTCAAAATCGCACGCTGCTGCTCGGACAGCGTCGTAGTCATCCCAATGATAGGCGATCATGGCAAAGATGTCGCCATAGCACTTTGACCACCAAGGACGTAGATTAGCGGTTCCGCCGCGGTACATATATTTCATGACGGGATCCTGGATTGAGCCTATGGTGTACCGAACTTGGGCCTCTGACACATTGTAAAAGTCATGCGTGAAAGCAAAGATGGCCTCGCGCGTGCCCGAACCCCGATACGCAATGTCATTATTATTCTTAAGGCCTTTTCCGTCCAGAGACTTGTAGTGGAGATCCAGGGAGTAGCCGCTTTCACATGAGAAGTTGCTGGCTCCCATGCTCTTGGTGGTGTAGGTGAAGTTTCCCCACTGGGGAAAGTCCGTTGATTCGCCGAGTTTGACCTGCGTGGAGGGCTCGTAGATCCAGCTGTAGAGAGAAGCGTTGTCTTTTTGGTCAATAATCTCCGTTCTGTTCATTGGCGCCCCGTTTTTTAAAAGATCCCACGTGAACTCGCCATTCCCTCCAGCCCCAAGCCACGCAGCGTTGATGTTAGAGTAGAACTGAACATCGTGGGTCTGGTTGTCGTTCGAGTTGACTGTGGTGGTCAGATAACTCAGGGGCATCGAGCTTCGGCAGGTATCTTGGGGGATGACGGGTGAGAAGAAGCTGGCACAGATGGTTATTGGGCCAGCTATGAAGGTGAAGTTGGAGTATTGCGAGTCGTAGGTGACAGTTTGAGGCAATGCAAGGCGGTACTTTGGCAGCTTGGGGAGAGCCTGGAACCCATTGCCGAGATACTCGTAGGAGGTGCCGTCAACAGTTATGATCCCTTCCCAGCCGATAGGAGTGCTGGTCCAAAATACAGGGCTGGCGCTATTCAGACTGCCTCCAGTCGACGACCATGCGCTCGTGTAGGGGCTCTTGACCGCCAAAGGCACTGCCGGTGGCCGCAATGGTGAAAATATTGGTAGGTTGTTCCCGATCGAATCTGTAACCGCCTGTACAGCCGAGAAGAGGAATGCTATTAAGCCGAAACGCGCTTGAATCTGTTTCCACATTTTATCATGAGGAAAAAGTGGGAGTCGTCAGAATTGGAAATTTCTTTTTCGAGGGTGCAGCGCTGGCCACAAATCATCTTGGACTTTAAAGGGAGATCTAAGGCCGAAGCATCACAGAGACAAGCGGGGGTTGTGAGTCAATCGTCACAGTGATGTTGTCTCGTGGTCGAAACATAAAGGCCACACCGTGAGCAAAGGTCGCTTAAACAAGGCCATACTTGCATGACCGTGCTACAGACACGTCTGATTGCATCGGCATTTGTTTAATTTGTGAATTTCCAGGATAGAAATGTCTATGGTTCAAGATGTGGGAGACTTCATTCAAGTGAGCCACCTTGGATGTTTATCCATACGCCGGCTCGAGCCGCGGATTTCTCGGCGGCATTTGCGTTTCACTCACTAAATGCAGACCTTATTATTGCTCCGAACGCATAAAAGCCTCTGCCCTATCTCAAGTTGAAAATACCAGGCTGAATAGTGGTTTGTTCGGATCAAGCTGACCGAAGGAGCGATATTGTTCGAGTGAGGATGGTGCCACCTTGGTTGCGACTTACGTATGCAAGGTAAAGCATAATCCGTTGCTTTTCTGGCGATGGGATCGTCATGTTGCGAAAAAGTAACACTGGGAACCAAACTTGCATGTTGCACAGTATTCGTGATTTTGATACCAGTATTTTTTAGACCATGATGGTCGCGTGCTTCTTACTGGGAATGACACAGCCTACAAGTGATTGTCGTAGTTTGATGGGTTTCTTCTTTCCCGGATTCGGGCGATAAGGTGAATCAATCTTCATCAATACGGCCAACGCAAATGGTGTCTGCGTGACGTAATATGCTTGAAATTCTGGTACGAGAATCAATGGAAGAGTGGTCAGGAGATAAATTTGAAGATGAATCTCGGCCAAATATACTAGGTATAACCACTGATCATCCGGTGAACTGAACAACAAAATAAGCGACGCACTCAGATGGGGTTATAAATTTACGCCTACACTGGAATATAAAGCTATCCCATATTAGTATGCCTTTGGTGCGTCGTTTATTATGTTATCTACTTTCTGGTGCTCACCAAAGCCCACGTCACTTGAATCTGGATAATTGAATTAAGAGGCTCAGATATGACGGTACTATATAACCAGCATTCTATTATATGTACATCCATGTTTGATGATGCCCGAGACTTGTTGACAAGGGTACGATCATTTCTGTAATGCCACTATTGTGCTCCCATAAAGTCACACTGATCCCAGTGTCGTACTAAGCGCTCAAGCAAACCACGTGCTACTCAATGCGTGAGTCTTCAAGCATGCTGCTGCCACATGGGAGGTCGTTCACCAGAATACAGTCACGGAACTCTACAGGAAGGCAGGTAACATGCATACCCATGTGTTCATCGTATGGGTGACCTTCACTTACTACTAAGCTTGAATCTAGCGCGACTAGTAATCTAATATACTGTTGCTAACCATCCTAATGATTTTCTTGCCTGTGGTAAGGTTGGTACGTTACAGTTATGTTCGTATCTATACATGCATAACAGTATATCTGATACAAAGCTTCACCCTCTGGCACAAGCAGTTTCTCGACACCTCGGATCCACTGCTATCTGACTAAATTCGATCCCTATTATTCACACAATCCATAGCCGAAATCACAATGACATCAAGCGCAAACGTCGGCTAGGGACGATGTTGCTTGACAGTCGTTCTGATCCTATTGGCCAATGTCACGAATGCCCCTCCCCCTAGACACGGCTTTCCCGGTGGGCAAACCCTCACCCAAATGAGGCTACTTTTATCACAATACCCCTGGTTGTCCGTAACATAAAAGCACTAATCACAATTGTATCAGTAGTCATCCAAACTGAAACGACACCCATCATGATAACCCTTTTCATCACGGTACGAGTCACTATGACCCACATCGTAATGGCACCCTCTATAACTGCAATTCTCACCACCACCGCGCATAGACAGTTTCAGGGTAACTTTTTCACACTGACACCAAGACTGAATGAAGCGCAACACCTAAGACAAGACTCTAGGGCATCAAACCAAAGCAAGGCAAGAAAATATATTCAGCCAAAAAGTGAAAATGAATGAGTAAAAACGTGAACACCAGGGATTCGCTGGTGGTTACCCACCCAACTACTAATCTAGCGGTATAAGGACTGGCGTAGATGCCATGGTGTTGACGAAGACGAACAACTTGATCTCCAAAAATGGAGTCATCGCATCAGACATCTGACATAAGCAGATGCGGACCATAGGACAATAATCAATGCTAAGTATATGGCTAAACAGCTTCCAAATCCGACTGCTTCTGAGATGCAAGTCTTGCATCCAATAAACCACCGTCGTCGCGCTGGGGGGGTGCCGCATTGGCGTCTCAGAATCCCATCCGAACTTGACTTTGTCCGACACGGAACCCACTTCCCCGCGTGACTTATACTCCTCCGGGACAGGCATTGTCCGCCAAGCTTATCCGCAGTGGGGATCGTCGTGATCGGTCAATCTCGTACACTTTGGGGAATATCCTAGTCGAGATCGGATACCGATGTCCTCGTGCAAATTTGCGCGTCGGGGGGTGGATCTTTAGGCCTTAAGTCGTCACAGAAAACACTTCTGACTCGTCCAGCGAATCTACGAAACACAGAGCTCCCGTTATGGCCATCCCACAGGAATCAGTCGATGCAGTCCTGGAACACGTCTTCAGACATTTCCAATCCCAGCGCAGCCAGCACCCTTCCACAGATAACAAGCCACAAAAACCCTTCATCCTCGGCCTCTCGGGCATGCAAGGCTCGGGCAAATCAACCTGGGCACAAAGCCTAGCTAACACACTCCGCACATCCCACGACCTCAAGGTCGTCGTCCTCTCGCTAGATGATCTATATCACACCCACGAGAACCTCGTCAAGATCCGCGAAGGCAACGAGGGGAATGAATTATTCAGGAATCGCGACCAGCCGGGGACGCATGACGAGTTGCTTGCGGAGAAGTTCTTTGGGGAGGTGCTAGAAGGGAGAGAGTTCAAGGTGCCGAGGTTCGAGAAGAGTTTGTTCAATGGTGAGGGAGACCGCGCGCCTGAAGCGGAGTGGGAAGTTGTTGTGGGGCAGCCGGCGGTGGATGTGCTTATTTTTGAGGGCTGGTGCGTTGGGTTCCAAGCTCTAGATGACGATAAACTAGAAGAGAAGTGGAAGGCTGCGAGGCAAGTTAAAATGAACAATATTAGCGAGGAAGAGAAGCGGACGAGGATGCTCCGCACGCATGCGCTGGAACACGTGAGGGTTATCAACGAGAATCTGCGGCGTTACAATGAGACGTTCATGGGTCCGGAGTGTTTTGATTATATGGTGCATCTGGACACTGATGCTCTGGGGAATGTGTACAAGTGGCGTATACAGCAGGAAGAGGCGCTGAGTTCGGCGAGGGAGACGGGAATGAGTGATGAGCAGGTTGTGGATTTTGTGAAGGTTTACATGCCGGCTTATGAATTGTATTTAGATAGGTTGAGGAGAGAAGCATTTCCACGCCCGGATTCTCAAAAGGTGAGCAAGACACAGTTGAGAGTGGTGTTAGATGAACGTAGAAGGGTTGTTGGCGCAGAGGAGATATAGGGGCAAAATAAGAGTAGGGGGATGAGTATCGGCATGAGCCAGGTTCATGAATATAATTCGCGTTTTTCATGTAGAATATGGGTATTGCTTTGACGGTGGAGACAGTGAGGTGTTATTTGTACTTCGAAGTACTCAACGTTCTTAACTTATTGGAATCATTTTGTGAAATGGTTAGGCTATGGACCAAGCTTAGTCGCTGATTGAGATAGAAAAGACCCGCAAATAACCCTTCGTGAAGCTACAACCTAGGAATTGATATTATATGCAGCTTTTACGGCTTTCCACACCATCCTACTCTACGACCAAACCTTGGCTTTGCATGAAACTATTAGCTACTCAAATAAGTTCATACTCAAACACACCTTCACCCGTCAGCTGTATATTAGCCCAGTTCCCCTCAACAACCAACTCCTATCCCCAAGCAATACCAATACTAACCCTCTACCTCCTCTCTCTACATAAACGCATAATTCATCTAATGATTAAGACAAGTACACCCGGGCAGCAGCCTCACCTGCCTGGATACCAAGACGCTCTCCATACTATTAAACTGCAGCCGACAGCACTGGTTCTTGGCGTCAGCAATCCAGCGCTCCCTATCTAGCGGCTGCGAACCATAATTGGTCCCCGCCGTTGGCTCGCAGGGTTGTGGTCATGTCAGATAGGTCATTGAAGAATCGCTCGATGGCAAAGATGTACGGGGGCATGTACACGGGCAGACAGAACGCGGTATAGAGCACGGATTATAGTTTGGTGAGCATAATGGCCCGAGTGGCTGTTTTGAACACACGAGGCTGCTAATTGGGAGTATAATTGTTGTTGAAGCGGTCGGAAGACGAATAGGGTTACGAGTTTAGACTGAAAGCGAGGAGAGCGGTGCTGATAACTGATAGGGGTTTTATAATTTTTTACTTGTAATCGACATTCATCAAGGCCTTTTAATTACTTCAATCACGACACACACATGTAGTCTATTCAGAAACCTTCCGCGATTTTTAGTATTTGCTAACGCCATGATTGTGCTTCTAGAGTGCCCACCAGATACTTGGCATTCGATTACTACCCAAGACTCTAGATGCTTGGCAATGGAAACCCATAGACTTTCGAGCTGGATTTTATGGGATTTTCGGGTCATCTCCGAAGTGGTCGGAAGGTATCTAGATCGCAATGGCGCCAGTGGACGATGTACTGCAAGTCGCAGAGCTTAGTATCGGCTAGGCCAGCCTCCCGTTTCAATGGAAACCAGTGTGTGCACAAGTGTGATTCTCACAGGAATCAAACCGTCCAATTTACTACAAAAGCTTGTTTCCCCACGTTAGCTCCAAAATTGAAGTTGAGACAGGCTTGCCAAAGCTGCGAGGGGTGTGAAATGATATCCAAAGAATTACCTCTTCGGCGTCTTTCTACTCCAAGATTATGTTGAACATAATTCGACGAGAACATTTAAGATCAATGATGAAGATAGAACCATATTTCAGTTGTTTCAAATATCATAGCTCAAACAGTATTTTCAATATATTCTTCAGGTACTACGTAGGAAATCCCGGCGCTGCTAACTGGTGTGTAATCATCGCACTGCCCAGGTCCGTTTCCGCACCACCCAACGCCTCCTAGTGGCAATATCATGAGCCTAGTATGAAGTTTCTCTAGCTACCCATGGATCCTCAACTTCTAACCGCTTAGTAAGCATACTGCAGTCCATCCGTAGAAGCCGACTTGTTATTCGTCCTGATGAACCAGAACCTCAAAACCCACGCAGACGCAATGGTCAAGAATGCAAAAGCGCAGTTGCTTGACATGGCGATTAGATAACGTGGCCCATCGTTTTTGGGGTACAAATACGCCGTGTAGATGTAAGATGCATTGGCGACGACATTGACAATCGACAGACTGACGGCCTTTTTGTCACGCGTCTGGCCCAATGTGGCGGATACCCAGCCGAGGATGACCGAGTTGACGGCGGAGGCTCCAGACGCGAACAGGAAACAGGCTAAGTACCTTGCACCGAAGTTGAGCGTCGCGCACGAGATGACGAATCCCACGAGCGCAGCTCCCATAGAGAAGGTGATGTGCCAGTCCGTTCGTTGTAGCGGCCCGATGTCCAACCTACCAAGTATCCGAAGAAGCCAGACAGGAGGTAAGGAGGACAGGTGAGTACCAGCGTGATGGTGGAACTGAACCCCAGACTGCCGACAACGGTGGGGAAAAAGTTGTTGAATGAGCAGGCCGAGAGATGCATGTTCTGCATAAAGCAGAGTAGATACAATCTCGGGTCCTTGATCGCCTGCATGAGCCCGGCTCTGCTTCCCTTGCTCTCCTCGCCGCCGACCGTGTCGCGCTGGATGCGATCATGCGCCAGTTGCCTCTCCTCAGGCGTCAACCAAGAAGTCGTCAAAGGCGTGTCAGGAAGCAAAATTATCCCAATCGCCGCCACTCCAAGCGTCACTACTCCCTCGATGATGAACAGCCACCGCCAGCCCTTGATCCCGTGCGCGCCATTAAGCGTCTCGAAAGTAGCAGCGGCAATGAGCCCCGCGAAGGCCGTGGCAAAGATATTGCCCGAGTAGAGAATGGATATCCGAGTGGCGATCTCCTTGCGCGTGTAGAAGACGGACAGCAGGTAAAGGGCGCCCGCGTAAAAGGGCGCTTCGGCGATGCCGAGGAAGAAGCGGACGACCACTAGGCGCTTGTAATCCTGAACCAAGGCCGTTAAAGCCGATATGATGGCCCAGGCGGCCATGCAGGTGCACATATACCATGAGGGGCGGATCTTACCCGAGGACATGAGCATATTAGAGGGAATTTGCATCAGGAGGTATCTGGGTGGAGCTGGGGGTTAGTTGTTGTTTGTACTCGGGGATTTTGTCCACGGCGGGGATATAAATATTCAGTTACTTACCCGACGAAGAAGATCGAGATGCACGTGTTGTACTGCGTGCCCTCTAGGTGCAGGTCATCTTCTAGGCCGTTGAGACGAGCATTGGCGATCGCATTCCGGTCAAGCTAAAGGATGTGTAAGTACGAGACATTGCGTTTCTTTTTTTCGGGGGCTTCCAGGTCGAGCTTCTGAAGACGCTTACGTAGTTCATAAAGTACATTGCCCACAACATGGGCATGATCCTGTATTCGAGTTTTCTCACAAGCTTGATCTCCAAGGGATCTGTCTTTTTGACAGCACCGGAGTAGTCACCAACAGGCACGGTCTCGACATCATTCTTCTCTCTGATCGACAACGACTCGATCATTTCGGCCTCGTATTTGCCCGCAGGCATTGTTTTCTCAACCGCCATAGTGACTCAAGGTTGCGGATATCGGGTTGATTGACAGAGCTTCGAAGACAAGATCCGAGTGAGGGCAAAGGGCAAGAGTGTCCGAGGCCTACGACGGCTTGAGTACTTTAACTTGCGCCACCGGAAGAGCCATGGCTTTTTATTTCTGTCACTTTTAATGTCTTCCACTTTGCCAAGTAAATGTAGCGCCATCATGGGCTCAGAACCATGGCACTGGATCAAGCCAAGCCCAGCGCACTATCCGTTTCCCCACGGGGAAAACTTTGATAGCGGACTTTACCTACTCCGAGGTGTGCCCTCCCGTTGGAGTCGAAAGAGGAGAAATCCCCAGGTTCCTAGTCGCCATTCGCCGCATTAGATCTACTATGGGGAAATTCTAGTTTACCTTCTAGAAACCCTCGTATATTCTGATGCGACTACAATACAGCTTTCACCGTCATTAGGGTTTTCATACTCGCTAGACTCATCTGTACTATCCTCAATTTCACCAGCCTCGATTTGAGCCTTCCGAATAGCCTTGATATTAGTAAACTTCGAATTAGGGCTCATCTTGACCTTCCTCCGCTTCCTAGCCCTACTAGCCTCAAGCTCTGCCTCTATTGCCTCAATCTTTCGCTGTGCGACAGCTAACTGTTAGTCCTTCTCATCAAAGCCCTTTTGAACTTTCCGAAAGAGTAGCCGCTGGGTATTTGGATCACTATCAAGCTTGCTGAATAAGCTGAGTTGATCTTGGAGCTCATATCTCCTCTTAGGCGTTGACCAGGCTACTGCTGATGTCTCTAACGCCCAGTCCTGACTACTAGAGTGCCCTTTGCAAGTCTGACTAGGCTGTTTGATTGGTGCTGACGTATTCTCAAGGAGCAGGGGGCTCATAAGGGGTCTAGCTATGCTCGAAGGCCAGAGACCAGTAGATTTCCACCCACTGATAATGTTCTTAATGGTCAATGCTGCTAGACGTGCCTTTCTATAGCAGAGGAGAAAGTTTCTCTTCCCTACGACAGTAGTAGTATCCCATTGGTTAAGGTAACCAAGCTCTTTCTTATAGGCTGCCTTGAGGGGCCCAAAGACTGACTGATCGAGAGGCTGGATAACGTGGGATATGTGTGGCGGTAAGAAAAGCAAGTGTATCTTGTTTATGAAGCAGAGGTACATAAACTCTGTCGTTTCGTGGCTACTATGCCCATCTAGGATAAGTAACCTAGTCTCTTCAGGGTCCTCTGGTTAAGTCAAAGGAATAAAGATCTTTTGTAGCCACTCAATAGCTGTAGAGTCTGACGTCCACCCATTCTCTGTTGCTGTAGACCTCCAGGCTTCGTATGGAGTCAAGTCTAGAGGAAACCACTGCTGCTGGACAGACTTCCCCTTGTATATCACAAGTGGGGGTAGTGAAACGGGGTCAGGCGGTCAATAGGATATACCTACCACCTAACACACTGAACAGACGGCTCCAGTACCAACAGATCCCATCTTTTGGTCTTATCAGACGAAGATCGTGGTACTGGTTATAAGAGTGAAGCTCTTACACGTCTGGTGCGCGAGTTGGTCGGATGTGCCTCTGATACTCGTATCGTGATAATAGGATCTCGAACGTAAAGATAAGCTGAATAACTAAAATAACTAAATAACTGACTGAAAAGCGAAGGTGAAGATATAGATAAGAAGGAGATGATGATATGAAGATGAGGATGATGATGCGTGAAGATGGAGGACTCGTGTCCTACTCTGCCTCTGTGCCTCTTAAAGAAGAGAAAATAAACTTTCTCCTAGCCCCGTAACCTATTTCCCTGATTTCCGGCCTTACCCTGTTACATTCGGTGTCTCCGTGGATCTGTAGGATACGCTCGGCGAAGTCTTTGAGCTGTTGATGGGTTGGTGGGAGGCCTAGGGCAGCCTGGATTCGAACCCATTCAGCCAGATGGGATTCCTGGGCTGGAGAGAGCCTCTGGTAGTCAGCGAAGGCTATATCTCTTGACTGGGCTCCCTGAATCCGCCCTGAAAGAGTAGACCTTGGGACACCATGCTCATATGCTGCTTTTCGGAGGCTTTGACCGGTAGCTATTGCTTGAAGAACTCGATAAATATCATCTTCGGTATATTGACTCATATTAGTGTAAAGAAGACGTACGTAAAATTTCGTAATGATTGAATCGATATTAGTAAAGAAAAAAGAGGTTGAAGTTAGAGGCTAGCGGTGTTGATGAGGCATTTTTGGGTGTCCCACATGTGGGTGTGGGACGTTATGGGTTGAACAATTGAGGCCCATCAGTTTGAATGGAACCATGATCGGAGATGTGGGGTTTATGCGTGGCGCCATTTCGCGACTTGATCCAGCATTCAGTGATTTAAAACAACAGTATCTACTCCCGCCTCCCGGCCGGAATGCCAGTCTTCTATGCTTCTGATCAGGCCGAGATTAATGTCTTATGGCCAAGTGCCACAGTGGCTTCAGGCAGTGGCTGTGTACACGCTAACTAGCTCCCCTAACTAATTGCCAATAAAGCCAATGCCTCGCAGTCTCCAATTCCGACCGATTTACAGGATGACGTTGACCTGTTTTTCGATGACAATGTTAGCCTGATTAGATCCTCAAGTATGGCCTTACTACCAATGATTGGCGCGTGATCCGGGCTATTCAGCTCGTATTAAGGGACTTCGCAGTTATCTCAAAAAGCCTGCAATCGCGCGCTGTTGTCAACGATGACGAGGAGGGCAAGGCCGGCGGCATGTGGGATTACTTCCCTTCATTCGAGATCTTGCTTGACCATCTCGAGCGCTCTGCCAATGAGGGCGTTGTCTATATAGAAAAGAGGTCTCACAATGGTCAGCTAAATGGTGAAGATATCCCAATCTTTGAAGGTATGGCGCTTAACTTTTCCCTTAGCTAGTACTAATACGCGATTTCTTTACAGGACTTGACCTTAAAACGCGCCGCACACTCCAGGTTTTTTTGCGTCTTGGTTGGAAAAAGCTCGACGAGTTCTATACCAAGATGACGGGGCTCGCGTACTATGCTGCCGTAATCTTCCATCCTTGCCGAAAGATGAAGCATCTCGACGACGCCTGGTCGTCGATACCTTGTCGGCAGCAAGATACGTGGAGGGCTGACGTAATGGGCAAGCTAAGGATGGAGTGGGTTAATAACTATAGTACCAAGTAAGTTAGCGTGCTCTTGTGCGATAATGACTAATTAGAGATGCGCCATAGGGACGTAATTACCAGCGAGCGTCCAACTGAGCAGAGCGTGGCCTCGATGAGCTTTGCTCAAAGACGTCTATTCTTTAGGCAACGTAGTAACAACTCCACGATACCCGACCCCGGTACGCAAAGCATACAGAATACCCAGGCGACAAGAAGGACGAAGATATACAAGTCTAGGGCGAAGCGTCCGGCCCAAGTTACCCAACCGCTGCCGCCAATCGAAGATGAGCTCGATCTATACCTCGCCGAGCCAGTCTGCGACATCGCAGTATACAAGGATAACCCAATACGATGGTGGAGGGATGTTGGTCAGCGACGTTTTCCTCGGCTTAGCTATATGGCTATAGATTACCTTACTATATCTCCGTCAACCGAGACTGAGCGTCAATTCAACAGCGCAGGGCGTATGTTGAGTCCGTTGCGGAATCGCCTAAGCCGATGGATCGTATCACAGGCCCAGAGCATACGGTCTTGGAGTCTGAATGGCGTGTACACACCACAAATTCCCCTCCATTTGGTGGATAACAATGATTGGCGGCTTGTTGTAAGAGCAGCTGGCCTCTCAGGGCTGGACGACGAGGTTATGTAGTAATACCAAAACATCAAAAACTATCACCATTCTCGCCGAGCGACCCACCTAGCGATACGTCAACGCTCGACGAGCGTCCTTAAGGCCGCTCGCTGGTCAGCGAGCGAGAGTGGGTCAAAATGCCAGCGATACGATCGATGGCTAACCCTAGTTGATTGGACAAATAGTCGCGGACCTCGTTGAGTAGAAGATTAACTGCGGGATCTCCAGGTATATGTGCTATATAATGTGCATCGTTCTCATGTAGATGTGTAGGGGTTGGTATGCTGATATCAGAAGGCTTCAAAAGTTCTTTGTTCGGAGCACATGACTGCGGGAACGGAGCCTGAGAGCCTGTAGAAATAGCCATCGTGTATCAGGCACGATAGCTAGGTTGGCGAACGTAAGGGTGTGAGCAGCAGGTGCCTTGTATTTCGAGCCCATTGGTGTTCGACAAGGCACGAAGCGGCAACACCTCGGACGGGCCGGGTATGTGGCTGCCTTAGGCTACAACAGGTCGGCTGCAGCCGGTACAGCCTCGACATCGAGAACAATGAGTGACAGTACTACACTTTGCTTTAATGTACTGCAACTGCATCGCACGATTATCGACAAACTGTTTCTGTACATTTAATGCGTATCTGCTCCCCTGTTCCCACCTGGTCCTTTACAACAATTGACCGGATCGACCCTCTAGTGAAGTGGGGCCTCCGGATCTAAAGAAGCAACTGCGATTTTCTCCATCCTCTTCCTCTCAATGGCATTATTCTATGACATGATCACGTACCTCGTCGTCTCTCTCCTCGTGATCGCGTTCCTCTATGACCAGTTCACGAAGAAGATTCCGACCCGGGTCGACCCCCGTCAAGCCCCAAAATCGAGATTTGGGCTCGTCCCGGCAGGGCCGCATAGTTCACCTGTCCGTGCCGGAGGGATAGAGTAGGCGTGATTCCTCGCGAGTTAATTGGAGCATTTCTGACACGCCTAGTATCGTTTTCGTCCATGGCCTTGGATCTAACCCCGACACGACGTGGCGAGCGAGGTCTGATGCACCCGAAGAAGCCCTGCCGGATAGTGAGCGGTATGTGACCTGGGTTAGCGACTTCCTTCCCAACGATTTGCATACAGCGACCCGAGATATCCGCATGTTCTTCTATAACTATGATTCATACTGGAAGAGGGATGCAATACACACGCGGCTCTCGCATCTTGCCCATGTTCTCCTTGAGCACATCAAGCAGATCCGGGAGTCTGAGCAGGTGAGTAATGACAATGTATACGACTTTGGATTGCTGCTGACGGCCCGGCCTCCAGGAGCGAAGCCGGGACCTGATTTTCGTGGGATACAGTTATGGGGGTCTAGTGATCAAGCAGGTAAGTGGGCAAATGCTCTTCTCTAGTCGCGAAATCTGACCATGGTAGGCACTTGTTCAAAGCTATGCACGTCGAGGCCCGAGCCACGTTACCGAACATATCAAAGCGATCCTCTTCTTAGGTACGCCGCATCGTGGGTCTAGCTTCAATGTATGGGGACGGCTGGCGGCGCGAGCTCTCCAGCCGCGCGGTTCCAACCCTTCAATCCTAGCCGAAATAGAGTACGATTCGACTTTATTGCTAGACTTGCACAGGACATTTGTCAGTATCGTTCGACATGATTTATGGGTGTTCAACTTTTTTGAGCAACGATCGACGCAACTTCTTCGACTATGGTTCATCCAATGGCAACAATTCGTAAGTAGGTTACTAAGCTGAAGAAAGCATTCTAACAGGAGATCTAGTGTGTTCGTGAGTCATCTGCAACGTATGATGGACCACATGTTGAAAACATCGGCCTGTCCGTGGACCACTCTGGGCTTAACAAGTTTGGTTCGAGAAACGAAAGCTATAAGATGATCCTATCGAAGCTTCGCAACATCACGGCATCTTCAGCTCGGTCGGTAAAGCACCACTACGCCGTCCCGCTCGAGACCGTATCAACGTTTACCCAGCGAGACGAGTTATGGAAACAACTTGAGGAAAAGCTGCAGATACGACATGAGAAAGCAAGTGTTCCGTATGGGGTTACCATTCACGGACTAGGTGGTGCTGGCAAATCCCAGCTGGCGCTAAAGTACGCGGAACATTATCGAGATCGTTATAACCCAATTCTGTGGATTGATGCGACAGATGAGGAGGCGGTCCGATCGAGCTTCAAAAGATGTGCTGCAGAGCTGGGTCTCCCAGAAGAGCAGAATAAGAGGCAAGGCTCTGCTCTCGCTGATGCGGAGGCTGTCCAGGCGGTGCTCCGGTGGCTCCGCGACAGAATGGAGCCGGATGATGAATGGCTGTGTATCGTTGATAATGCCGATGACCTCCGCTGGGGAATTCAGAAGATAATGCCAAAGGGGGGAAGAGGAAAAATTATTATTACTAGTCAGAACACCTTGAGCCAAAAGCTAGTTTCCGGGGGGTGCGAGCAGCTTAAAGTCGATATCATGTCGCCGCTAGAAGGAAGGAGACTTCTTCTCCAACATCTCGAGCTGGATGTAGTCTCAGCACCCGGAGAAATCCAAAACAGCTGCGATAAGATTGCGCAAAAGCTTGGATACCTAGCACTTGCTATTGACCTTGCAGGCGCCTATATTGGCAACGACCCTGATCGTGAGGGTGCTCTGACGCAGTATCTAGCAGACTACGACACGCATTGCGACGAGCTCTTGCAAATGGATAGTTTTCGGGGACTTTTGCCAACGGAGAAGACAGTGTGGACGGTATGGGACACGACACTCCAAAGAATTACGAGAGAGAACCCAAGACTACAGCCTAATTTGCTTTTAACGTTTCTTGCACACTTCAAGGGCACTATTGTTCAGGAGGAGATGTTTCGACTAGCAGCTCTTGGCTGCGCTTTCGTCGATGATGAGCTCATCGACGGAATACCTACAGAGCTTCGAAAACTTTTCTTATCTAAAAGCGGTGAATGGGACAGTTTCCTATACCGGCAGAGCTGCAACGTACTGCTCCGCTATAGCCTGCTGCAGCTTGTGCACGGTGAATGGTGTGGCGTCATCATGCACAGGCTGGTTCAGTGGCGGGCACTACAAAGCGAACAAAGTCGAGGATGGAGTTGGTGGTATATAGTGTTTATACTAGCAGCGTGCCAACAACTTAGCGAGGACGAACGCCAGCCCGAGTTCCGTCGACATTTGATAGTGCATCTCCCACATATTTCCGAAATTCGCGGTAATGATGGTGTAGATTCGGAGAGGCAACATGATTTTATACGGAGCACGTTGAGTAGGGTTTTTTATAGTGAAGGCCGGTGGGAGGAGGCCGAGGAGCTGGAGGTGCAGGTAATGGAGACGAGCAAGACGAAGCTCGGGGCGGACCATCCCTCTACACTTACGAGCATGGCCAACCTAGCGTCGACGTTTTGGAACCAGGGCCGGTGGGAGGAGGCCGAGGAGCTGGGGGTGCAGGTGATGGAGACGAGCAAGACGAAGCTCGGGGCGGACCATCCCTCTACACTTACGAGCATGGCCAACCTAGCGTCGACGTTTTGGAACCAGGGCCGGTGGGAGGAGGCCGAGGAGCTGGGGGTGCAGGTGATGGAGACTCGCAAGACGAAGCTCGGGGCGGACCATCCCTCTACACTTACGAGCATGGCCAACCTAGCGTCGACGTACAGGAACCAGGGCCGGTGGGAGGAGGCCGAGGAGCTGGAGGTGCAGGTGATGGAGACGAGCAAGACGAAGCTCGGGGCGGACCATCCCTCTACACTTACGAGCATGGCCAACCTAGCGTCGACGTTTTGGAACCAGGGCCGGTGGGAGGAGGCCGAGGAGCTGGGGGTGCAGGTGATGGAGACGAGCAAGACGAAGCTCGGGGCGGACCATCCCTCTACACTTACGAGCATGGCCAACCTAGCGTCGACGTTTTGGAACCAGGGCCGGTGGGAGGAGGCCGAGGAGCTGGGGGTGCAGGTGATGGAGACTCGCAAGACGAAGCTCGGGGCGGACCATCCCTCTACACTTACGAGCATGGCCAACCTAGCGTCGACGTTTTGGAACCAGGGCCGGTGGGAGGAGGCCGAGGAGCTGGAGGTGCAGGTGATGGAGACGAGCAAGACGAAGCTCGGGGCGGACCATCTCGATACACTTACGAGCATGGCCAACCTCGCTTTAACTTGGAAAGCTCAAGGTCGACAGGCAGATGCTTTAGTGTTAATACAGGGCTGTGCGCAGGCTCAGCAAGGAGTCCTAGGGCCAGAGCATCCAAATACTCTGTCGACTCAAGCCATCATAGAAGATTGGAGCATCTAGAATGCATGTCCTTTTGCTCTGTAATTATGAGCTGTTGGACTTTCTTTACTTGTGTTCTGGTTAAGCCGTTATTACTCAACTTGTTGGTCTTGAATTTTCCTTATAGCCTACATTTATTGTGCATTTTCTCGGGCGTTGAGATTCAACACCGACTCGGTTTAGATGGTGACCACATCACCTTAATCAGACCATATATTTATTACACGCCACTGGCACATTCATATCCTGTGAGTCGGCACAGTCTCTCCTTAGTGCAGTAGCTATTTGAAGGGCTAAGTCCCCTGATATCTAGAGTGTCTATGTGCTGGTGTTTTTATTAGCTGCTAGCATGATATGCTTGGACCACGTACCATGATACGTAAATCTTAGGGGTAGCGGTGCCTAGGTACCCTTGAGATAGTATCTCGTCCAGGCTTCTTGGTGATCCTGCACTGCAGACTTGCTGCAGCCAAAATTGTGGCAGATAATGACAGTACTTCTAACGTGAATGTACACCGAGCTGGCCACCCTTACATAACGTATTTCATCCCCATTCCGACACCCCTGTAAACCCCAACAATAACCACACCGCTATTTACACTATCCTTTTATTTCTCAACCACTTTTGCTTCAATTGACTTTATTCCAAGTATTCGATCTGATCTGCTATTAATGCCTTCATATACGGAAGAAGACCTCGCTGCCGCCGTTCTAGACGTCGCAAATGGTAAATCTGTGCGACGCGCCGGCCTGGATTGGGGTATACCAAGGACTACACTTATCGACAGACTTCAAGGCGCTGAATCAAGTCGCGGACTGGGTTTTGGTCCCGGAAGCCCTTGGACTAGCCCCAACGCACGCGCAAATCAAGGAGCTCGCGCAGCGCGTCCTAGCCCTCAAAGTTGACCACCAACCACTCGGCAAGAATTGGCTGGAAGCCTTTCTAAAGCGTCACCCAGCACTAAAAACTAAAAATCAACGCCGTATCGACTCTCAGCGTATCAATGGCGCGTCTACCGAGGTAATCCAAGCCTGGTTTGCTTCAAAATTACGTATTCCTGCAATTCAAGCGATTAAGCCGCAATGCAGGTATAATATGGATGAGCATGGCCTTATGGAGGGTCAAGGGGGCTCTGGGCTAGTTGTCGGGAGCGCTACCTTACGCACAATACACCAGAAACAGCCTGGTTCGAGGGCGTGGACGTCAATTTTGGAATGTGTGGATGCCCTCGGCAATACCTTACCCCCCCTGGTTATTTTCAAGGGCAAGGACGTCCAAGAGCAGTGGTTCCCTGATAAAAATCTTCAGGACTTCAAGGACTGGCGCTTCAAGGCATCCCCCAAGGGCTGGACAGACGATACGATAGCTATCAAATGGCTTGAAGACGTTTTTATACCCCTTACGCTTCCGCAGGACCCTTCAGACACTCGTTTACTTATTTTGGATGATCACGGTAGTCACACAACTGATACTTTTATGTCTCTTTGCTATCAAAACAACATATACTTATTATTTTACCCCCACACTCATCTCATGTCCTTCAGCCCCTCGATGTTGGGGTGTTCTCAGCTATGAAAACGGCATATCGCAAGGTCGGGTTTTTAACCCTATTAACTGATTCAGCACTTATTGGCAAGCGGAATTTTATGCGCTGTTATGCCAGAGCACGCCAGAGGACCCTAACGGCTCAAAATATCAAGTCTGGTTGGCGTACAAGTAGTCTATGGCCCCTAAATGTCGCTAGGCCCCTTACTAGCCCTCTTCTGCTTGAAAATAGCAACCGCACACGTCACCAAGGTCCAGACATTCTTATTACAACCCAGCAAGTCCAGAAAACGCTCCAGACTCCTTCAGAGGGCAATGTTGTATGGTCAACGCCAAAGAAGAGCGTAGATATAGAGCGCCGGTTTAGGGAGTTCAATCGACTCCAACAAACTAACATGACTACACAACGGCAGCGATTTAGAAAGATGAAAAAAGGGTTTGATGAGAAGGATTATCTATTATTAAGCGCAGAATTACAAATTGAGGGCTTGAAACAGCGATTGGAGCTTATGAAGCCACGGAAAAAAAAGAAGGTGCAAATAAGTCCAAACGCGAAATTCGCAAGGATTGAGGACGTACGGCGGATGAGGGAGGTATCTAATGAAGCTCTTGTTGATGATTCGGGTTCAGAAATATCTAATGTATCTACTGTCGAAAGCGATTGTATAGTTGTTCAGAATTGAATTTGTGGTGGTTGTTTGAAATTGCAGTGTTATTCGTGGTGTTTTGTTTTATAGGGTGTCGGAATGGGGGTGAAATACGTTAACCTTGCATAGAAATTTTACGATAGTAAAACCACAAAGCCGTAAATCAATTGAAACTACTCTGAATCTTCCTCTCCAGAAGATGGCAATGCGATGTTACAAGTTCGCGCATTATGCCCAGTCCCGTTGCAAATACCACAGCGCCTCGGGCGCGTTTCAACACGCTTTGCGTGACCACCATTTCGGCGCTCTTCTTGCTGTATCTGCGTCGCCAACTCCCTAGAGTCCCGTAGGTCCTGTCCTTCTTGGAAAATAAGTGATTCTCCTTCCCGTAATTGCATTTTTAGTCCTCCGGCGCCGGCTTAGCATCTTATTTGCCTCTCGAAGCTCAGCGCACTCGGCCCGTACGAGGGCGAGCCGCCGTTTTTACGCGTTTGGAGGGTGCTTCGGGGGACTTGGTACGTTTTTGCCGCTTGTCAGAGACTAATGTTTTGGTCATTTTTGAGAGCTTGAAGGGCTAGCATTAAGTCTGCTTCGTTGTATGACTTTGCCATAATTGGTTGTTGAGAAAATCAAACATTAAGTTGGCCGGTCGCGTTGGCGCATGAAAGTGGCCAGCTCGATGTCATGGCCAGCTCGGCGTATACATTCACGTTAACGTACCCCACGGTCCAATTGAACACTTCTTAAGACCTCGTACAATAAGACATAAGTTAATTCAACTATAACGTAAAAAAATAATTAAAACTACTCGGAACTATCTTCTTCAGATATCTCTTTACTATTCTGACAAGTACGCATATTATGACCGGGCTCTCCGCACGTCCTACAGCGTTGCTGAAGTATCTCTGGCCTCCTCGTACGACTACGACTCCAGCGCGATTTATTATCTAACTCTCCGTTAACTAGCTTCTGAGACTGTAAATCTTCTCCAGCTTGTATACGAAGTGATCCTCCATACTGTAAACGTTTTTTCTCGTATAACGCCGCCGGCTAAGTGTCTCATTTGCCTTTTGAAGCGCGGCGTTCTCACCCTCTAAAAGAGCAAGCCGGTGCATAACCTGCGTCGTACCCTTCGCAAACTGGTCAAGTGCAGTAAGTGTAGCTGTCGGAGAACTATTTTGATGCCGTATAACTCGGTTTTTCACGTATTCGGTCTGGGATTGTGCCTCAATTGGGTTATTTGGGGTCTTCGACTCCCAGATAATAGGAAGGCCAGACGAGGTACCCGGAGGTGTTGGAGTATGTAACTTCACATCTAACTGTGAAATCACATATTCCGGATCGTACGGTACGAGTCCTGCCCCTCGGAAATGTGAAGGTCAACCCTCGCAGACCCACTACAACCAGGTGACTTGCAGCTGGAACACCTGCCATGGCAGTGTCAGATGGGAAGCCAACCATAACCCTTGTAGGAGCCCCGCCAAGCGTGGATGACTTAGTCGCGCTCCCTCAAACCTAAGTTGTGATCTTCTTTCCTTCGCTCCTTAGAGTAGAATCTTCGTCGATAGCACCTAATCGAGGTCTCTACCAATGCGATGCAACCCAGGTCGTGACAGGAAACCTCCTTGGGTATTTGATATCGTAAAAGTTGCCTGGAACGCTTTTAAGAACGCGGAGAGGAAGTCCTCCTTCGAGATATGGGTAATATGTGCCCGCATAAGATCCTCAATTTCTTTACCGTACGCTCTTTTCAGTGCACGAAAACAGCCGATATCGAGAGGTTGGAGCTTATGCGACGAATGAGCAGGCATACAGAGTGTGATAATAGAGTTCTCTTTACAGTAGAGCTCGAAAGCGGTCGAGTGGTGGCTCTCGTGGCCGTCGAGAATTAAGAGGCGATAAACACCTTTCGTACGAAGCTTTGTATGTTGATCGAAATGTCGAATCCAGTCCTCGCCTCTTTCATTTGTAGTCCAGCCATTTTTCGTAACCGCGATAACCCAATCCTTTGGTAGTAGGCTATTTTCGTACCACGAAGATAGGTGAGTTTTACCAGCAAAGATGATATACGGAGGGATAGTATAGCCGTCCGATCCGACGCCCTGGATAACTGTAACCCATTCCCTATTCCCTTGCTGTACTGCTCTAGGTCTTCCACGTCGATCAGAGGTCGTTACAACTATCTCGGATGAGGTTTGACCCATAAGTGTAACGAGGATACCACACGTCTCACAATATAATAGTCAGGTAGTGCAAAGGGTAGCTAGAAGTAGGCCAGTGTATGGGTGCGTATATTGCAAGACTGATTCTTGAAGAATCTAAACTAGGTGCGAGCGTCTCGAGTTCTCCTCTTAAGCTGGGCGGTTCCGGGGTTTTACCGGATCGGGGCGAATCCCTCCCGACTCAGCTTGTCAGCTGAGACCGGCCCGCCACAACGGCTCTTTCCTTACAATAAGAAACCCAGTCTCGTCATAATTATAGATATCCTCCTTGTCGGCTGGTGTAGTTGGTCACTTCGCTGGTAGATAAGTCCCGATTTGAGCCTCGCCCACTTGGGTCGGTGACGAGTCGCGGGTTCGAATCCCGCAGCTGACACACAAGGGGGTTTAGTCAACCCTTACGGCGCGCTGCCCACCTTGTTGACTTCGCCTACCTAGCGATAATAGGGAGATTGGTGCAGTTTAGGATTACGAGCATCCTAGCCAGTCGACCGTCAAGCACTACGTCGGCGGAATATAACTCGACAGCCGGTCCAGAATTCGAACCGTTAATCCGACCCCTTATCGGACCTCGCCTATCCGATAACGCTCGTCGGCGAACCCGTCCCCTCACGATAGAAGGCGCGCAGCAAGCCCTCTCGCCGCGATTCTTGCGAGTGTCTAGACCACGTTACGGTCTTGTCCACTTGAGCGTATGGTTGAGATGTATACGCTCGACGAGAAACCCCAATTAGCAGATACTACGACTTATCGCGACAAAAAATAGTCGAGCATCTTCTGCACATCAGCAGCATCCCACCCCTGAGGACGAATTTAAGTGCCATATTACCACACTTATCGGTAGTTCAGGCAGGGGTTGTAGCACAGACTTAGGGAGGGACAGGAGGTTTAGTACTCGTTTGGCTACAAGTTTACCTGTATAACCGCCCGACGCGGCTTAAGGGCTGTTACGAACCGTTGGTTCTAACCTGGCCAAAACCAACCCGACAGGCCCTACAATAGGCCATGACGGAACCCCGCAGGAACAAAGCCCCATAAGGACGGAAAGGAACAACTAGGCTCACCGACTGAAGGAAAAGGTCACGTGATAGGGATCACTCTGCCAACTACTTGGGATCACCAGGAGCGACGTGATCCAAGTGATCCAACGAGATCAGTGAAGGAGAGATGGATATATAAGGGACAGGGCTCTCAGGCATTTCATAGATAGACAGTATCTACTTCAGTGATCAATCTAAGCATCAATCTAACCCATTGGTGAGGCAACTGCCTTAACGACTCTATTCTCGATGACGCTACTTGAATACTTCAGTTACCCAAAGCACTATACTCATACGTCAGACCCCGATATTACTGCTTGAGGACTCCGCAGCAGGACTTACTTACTAGCACAAACCCTTACAGACTCTTTAGTGGTTTACGCAGCTAGACTATTAGAGGTTTCGTTACACTGGCCATCCTTTCCCAATTGTCACGGGATTTCAAGTGCAAAGTGAAGGACGAGAGTGCTCAAGCGAAACAAGCTGCCAGTCACCAGGTAGGTACCAATAGCGTAGTATAGGGGACTCAATAACGACAAGTTAATCGCTGCCCTCTCTAAAAGAAGAGGGGTCACAGCAGCCTAGTTATACATTTCCGACCCCTGTCCAGGCCAAGCCACTGTGGCTTATTTGCACCTGACACCAATACAACAATTCACACCCCATATGCACTCGCATCAAAGTGTTAACCTCTTTGTCGAACGACCCTTACTACGACTAGGGCCTCCCTAGAGTAGTTTATCTTAAGTAGTATAGTAAAAGAGTTAGGGTGAAGAGGCGGCAAAATCTTGAGCATGTAGCCGGAATAATATACGCTATTTCATATCTTAGTTACGAATACTGTAGTGGGGCAAAGCCGGACAGCAGTGAAAATGGAACAAGAGGGGATGGTCTAATCAGACCAAGCCAGTGCCTATCATACCTTAATCTTATTCCTCGGAGTCCTGGTTGTTGTGCTTGATTTCCGAAGACAGGCGTCCTACCCCAAAGGTCATCCCCCTTGGTATTACAAAAGGACACATCCGACCAACCTGTGAACCCAGAGTTACAAAACGAGCAAGAGCTTCGCTGCTACAATCAACGAAACAAGAGCCTCCTGATCAGGTAGAAAACGCCTATTCAAGTGCCGTCCTGACAGTGTGCTGGGTGGTAGGTATATCCTACTTACCGCCCGACCCCGTTTCCATACTGAAATCTATTCCACACCCGAGGTATTCTTAAGCTCTAGTAATAGTATTATAGCGACGATATACTCAGAGTACTCCTTCAATTTACAGGTTAAGGCTTTCCTTAAGAAGATATTAGCAATCCGTACTATATACGACGCTAGAGTAAAGGAACTTACCGGCGGGAATGCCGTCCCTATTAAGGTCCAGGGCTCGTACAGCTATACCGTATATATTAGCTCTGACCTAGAATACGTCCTCGCGTCCCTAACCCTTAAGGCCGAAGTCGCTTCCTTAGCGACTAAAGTGTATAGCTTACTTGCATCCCCAAGCTTCATTAATTATCCTAAACACCAGCTGCTTGCAAATGTCAACTCTGAATATTATTCGTGGGCCAGCTCCATTTTGAGCTCTAGTATATTCCAGAGAGTGTGACCATCTACTTCAGGCAATTCACTGATGTGCAAGAGTAATATTTTTAGATCGCTTTGGGATTTCAAAACCAAGATCTCCCAAGCCGCACCCCAAATGAATCTATAATGCCGGTAAACCCACCGTGAACCTCACCGTGTTCGCAATAATCGGAATAGCCGCAAACAACACTGTGATGGTACCAAATATGCTCAACGACAGACTGGACAACGCAGCAGCGCGAGGATCCGATCGCAGCAGCATAGCGGTAGCAATGGCTGACGAGTTGGCTCCCAGTGTAACGCCTCTCGTGACATAATCATCTGCCACACACAAATCAGTTCATGTTCACCAAGTCGCTGTCAGTAAACCAAAACTCACCTTCTGGAATCCTAAACAGGGCCAATATCTTCTGCCCAAACAACGCCCCAAAAATCCCACTCGTAATCGCCACCGCCGCAACCGTATACGGATCGCCGCCCAGACTATCGGTCGCCGGAATTGCCAACGCCAGCGTCAAACTCCTTGACGCGAAGGCCAGACTCCTTTCGGCGGAAATCCCGATAATGCACGAGATATATGGGTAGGCAAACAGGGAACCAATTGACATGACAATGCTCGGCACCACAATAGCGAAGAAATGTTGGCGCAGCTCGCGACGATATTGGAACATCGGCAAAGCGAGGGCGACGATACTAACATCTAGAACACTGCTGAATATGTCTCCCGCACCCGGGAGGTTGTGGTCCCCCTCCCACAGGGCAAGGTACTTAGCACCAGTTTTGTATTCAGTGAGCGCGGTGGTGAGGGTGCCCCCCTTGATGAGGGCGAGGATCCAGAGGCCGATGGCGGTGAAGAGCGCCGATACGAGCACAGGGTGAAGGTATTGGCGCCAGTTGGAGGGGATCGAGAGGGCGCCGAGGTAGGTTAGTACCGCGAAGGAAAGTTGCATGGGCATAGCGTAGTCGAGGACGTAGTATATGGGGATTCCTACGAAGAGAAATATGGAGAGGTAAATTAGTGCAGGGAGGCGGCTCGTGAGCTCGGCGGCCCAGAGTGCTGATCGTGAGGACGGCTCTGGTGCTTGGGATGACAGGGAGGGCACGTGTTCAAGGACACCGTTTGCTTCAGAGCTTGCTTCCGGGGCCAATTCTTCGCTACGGGCTTGCGAGGAAGCTTGCGAGGGGGCTCGAGATGTCGGTGGCGGCTGAAGAAGCATGTTGGTCGACGACGGGACTGCTGATATTGTGAGGGGGGTAGGAGTTTCGCCGCCTCTTGGTGTGACAGACATAGGGATATCGTCACTTTCTGCGCCCAACTCCTCGGCACGCTCCGTCATGGCTCGTTTGGAAGTCCCTAGGGCGACCTGTAGTCCTCTAACCATGTATGCAGTGACCGCCATCCCGACAAGATACCCGACGACTGGCAATATCAGTATCTCTCACAGGTTTGTTTAGTGATGATACCACTTACCGAATACCGCGATGATTTTGAACACTTCGACCGCTCCTATCGGCGGACTCAGAGGCAGCAAGACGAAAGACGGACTGAAGAAAACATTGATCCACCGCAGAGACCATCCGCACTAATCCCGAGTTAATACACATTGCTCGCTTCATACGTACTCATTGAACCGTACCGGTATCTCGATGAGATTCACAAATTTGCGAGTCCAATGCTCTCCGAGAAATCGCTCAGAAAGCAGCAACGTGAACAAGAGAACCAGCAGGCAGGCCACAGAAGCTGGGAAAGTGATTCTCGCAACCCTCAAAATCTGGTTGACCCCAAAGCAGGCGGCCAGAACCGCCAAGATTCCAACCGGAATCCAGAACCAGGACTGGATGACATGGTGCCGTGAGTTTCGCACCGCCTATCGCGTGCTGTTAGTAGCTGATAACAACAATCGACGCTGTGATAAGCGGGTTTTCTCACAATCTTGACAGCTGAAATCAAGTCGCCAAATAAGTCGTCTTTTCCATTCCCAATTGCCATGTTTCCGATTGATTAACGATCCGCCGTGGGTCGTGTAGGAGTAGTGTTGAATTTAGCTTCGGGAAAGCGTCTTGACTGACTTGATTGACTTGGTCTATAGACCGTCGCAGTCTAACTTTTTGCAGGCATTCTATTTTCCACCATGACTCGAAGTCGCAGATCGCCCCTGCTCAATGGGGTTAGACACTCCGCTAGCGCCCATCACTAAGTATGCCGATTTCGGCCATTAGAAGAGGCTCTGGAATTCTTGGCTCCTAACATGTGATGACGATGATGGTCATATTGCACAACCACCTTGACCCGCATCATCGAAATCACGTCAAGTGTAAGCAGCCATCTCCTGGTGTCTGAATCAATACGGTAAAGCCCGTATTTCCTATGCCCCTTGCCTGCTGAGACGGGAACACAAGCGAGGCTGACTTTCGCGAACCCGGCTTACAAGAACTTCAAGGTTGTCATCCTGCCAGACAAGGAACCCGTTGGTGTAATATCCACGGCTTATGGGGCCTGTCTGTGTGCTTTAGAGGTTCGGCGCATCGCGGTAACGACCCAACTTGCTTGGAAGCCATGCCTATTCACTCGTCAAGGTGAGAAAAAGCTTAGCTCGCTTCGATGTAGAGCCCGCATAAGCCATGTTTAGATGTTTTGCACAGCTCTAGCAATAAGCAGGGATCCGTTGTGCCCATCTGGTGTCCGCCGCGTCTACCATCCACCAGGGGCAAATTCCCAAATCCCCCATTGGAAACCAAACGCGTCTCATCCTCTAACACTAACCTTCTCTTACCCATCGTGGTCAACTTAGACCTAAAGATCTTGCCATCGAACATCGGTAACAAGTTGATATGGCATAAAATTGTGCTGGCCAGAACCGAGTCCTTGACTGAGGGAGAAATTGTGAGGAAGATCCAGAAGCCAGTCCACACTGATGGCCTTACTCTGGGCAGGTGCTTGATGCGGTCGAGGATAGCTGCCTGTTGGACCAAATTGACCGTCAAAAGACGAGGGACCCACTCATTGTAGAATGAGGTATTTTTGGTAGTTATAAGGTCTGACACTGCCTCTGGCGGGACGAACGGCAGGTAAATCACTGACCTGGCTGATGGCGCTGGTGGTTTCCCCGGAAGTGACCACTGACCTGGATGTCGAGACTACCGTCTTGCTAGGAAAGAAGCGAAGACGAGACAGAAATGCGGCGATTTCATAGACCTGAATTAAGGCCCTCACCGTTCTGGCAGGAAATAACTGTTAACAAGACAGATGCTGACCGAACATAACGTAGGTGAGCTGACCAACAGCACTAACAAATTCCTCGGGTAAAAGGAACTGACTTCGCATGATCTTATCGGGCTTATTGCATTGATTAACTAACGGCTTCCACGTCTAGTAGTCAGCGAAGGCTGACGTTATTTTCGTTCAACAGTTCGTTGCCTTGCCTTGAACCAGGTGACAGCTCTACATTCACAGTCATCGCCTCTCAGATTTACTGCACGGAGGCGCGGCAGAGACTAAGAAGTATAAATATTTGCGATGAAGACGCTCGCAAGTTTCTCATCAAAACCACTTCTCAATCCCGGAGGAAGGGATAATAGCAGACCTTGAAGGATCTATCCGACTGGCGCGAGAGGTGCTCGACATTATGCCAGAGGACGACGATGACCGCCCCAAGTATCTGATTGATCTGGCGCTTGGGCTCAGCACCCGATACTCGAAGATCGGGACTGTATCTGACATCGAAGATGCTGTTCATATTGCTTACCAAGGGCTCGGAATGACGCCAAATGACCACCCCGACCGTCCCAAGTACCTCAGTTTTCTTCGAAGCCTTTTTAACAAGAAATATCTAAGACTAGGAGTATTGTCTGATCTTGAGAAGGCAATTCAGCTCGCGCGCGAAGCACTCAACATGTCACCGAATGATGAACCTTCTTCCAGCGCGCTATTTCTAATCAATCTTGGAATTCACTCCATAATAGGTTCTTGAGTTTGGAAACTATACATGACATTAATGAGGCCATCCAGATTGGACGCGAAGTCATCCATGCCGTCCCCGAAGACAGTCGTGATAAGTCCATATTTCTACAGAATCTGGGAGTACGACTTGCCGATCGATATTTAAGGCTGGGAACACTACATGATATCGAAGAGGCCATTTAACTTGGATGTGAATGATTCGCGAACTCTGCTCCTGCCGTGACACCGTGTATCTTTCCAATAGGGAGGGTAGCGGTATCCCCTTGGATCTTGACCCAGATAGGGGAAGTCGAGAAAAGCTCTTTGTTTCGGAAGAACGCCAATCTGTCTTGGCCAAATACCTCGGGTTCCTGTGACGGAGCCTATTTCGCTGTATAATCGCCGATGGTCCTATACGTCGAAATAGGTGCGTGGCGCTGACCCTTGAAGTATGCCGAGTGTGGACGTGAATATGCCAACCACCTAGTCATTTATACTTTTCTCTGCGACGGTCTTGTTGATTGCACAGCCTGCCATCAACGTAAAACCTTTTGGTTGATATCCCATGACATGGGAAGCTCCGATTTCCGCGTCTCTTGGGCCACCTCGTCCTGGTAGTCGTCTTCATCGCCTGGGAGATTAACGGGTGACCAATACTGTGGAGTTCGGACAGCACCATCGTTTCTCCATGAGCCAGCCGAATAGCAGCTGTCCAGGGTAACGATGACCTGAACGTTCTTTTTGTAGAGATCTTTCAGCCATCCGTTCAACTCCCACCCGCGTACAGCACGTTTTCAGCAGCAGTAATCCATGGTCATCAGCGATGGATCCTCATCACGCCCGGCAGGTGATACCCCGACCCCTGGGAGTAGTGCACCGTGACCCGAGAAGTGGGAAAAGAACATATGCCCAGGGCGGTTACGGCTGGTGATGTCTAGGAACTCCCTCTTGATATTCTCAAAGGTAGGTCGGCGGTTCTCATGAAGTTGAAAATGATGGCGCAGAAACTCTTCAAAGAGCCTGACATCATTGACATAGCCTCGAAAGCTTTTCAAAGAGACGCCGTTATGCTTTATTGATTTTCTCGATCCGTTATTCTGATACAGATCGACTCCGACGAGCAGGGCAAACCGCCTCGGCGGGGTTTGTGCGTTCATGATGAAAGGTGTGAAGTTCATGGATATGTCTAGCATGCTGATCTGGCTAATCATATATTCGACAATTTTTCTACCACTCTATAGTAGATAGGCGCCCATCACAAGGTAAGCCCAGAAAAAATCACGTGAAAACGTAAGACGCTGATGACAGCCTGCTTCAGCTTCAGTCGGCTACCTTGGCGGCTAGAACAATGGCCAATAATTCATCCACACCACAACGAAGACACCATTACATTGCAGACTTTTAACAGAACTTCCATTGGCTTGATCATAGGCCATGTGCAAGAGGGTGACAGAGAACGAGGCTCTGAAGTATACCAGGCGACAACGTACATGATACTGTCAGTCCTGTTGGATCCTCAAGGCTACTACATTAAGACTGCCAGTCTTGAAAGGACATATGGCCACGCACCGTACGTTATAGGCCAACATGATCACCACCTATAGAACCACACAAGTCCTGCCTGTGGGACAGGCATCAGTCATTCCTGTCTATATAAGGCCCTTATAGCCGCTGTCCACTTCGTTCAGGACTCTCCAGAGATCATAACACTTTCAATATAAGACTATTTTCCCACAATCCAACAAGCCCACCGCCGCCCGATCGACATTGAGCAAGATGCGCCAGTTAACGTGATTGGTCGAGCAAAAGCTCTACTGACATTGGAGGCAAGTGAGAGGTCGGCTAGATGCATGTAAGCTTAAAAAATAGGGCGATTTCAAGAGGCTGAGCTGACTGACAAGCTGAGTCTTGCGAAATTGTCGGTACATATGCATCAGATCAGCGGAACATTTATTGCCATTCTTTCTGTGTTTACCGATGATTCCTCCGCAATTTCTCTACCAATATTACTGTACTTTATTTGCTCATCTTCTGAGACAGCACATGCCGGTGAGACAGCAGAGCGGCAGTGAGTCCAAATATTGAATTTTAACCCAGATGACCCAGGCTGACCATGGCTGGTATTGACAAGACTAGGGTATAAGGTAGATAATGGCGGGCTCCAACGATTTCATCCAGGAGGCTAAGCTTGCTCTTGCGGCCTTGCCAGAAGACCACACGCAGCGTGTACTATGGCTCAACAATCTTGGAGTCGAGCTAGCTTATAGCTATCAGAGGATGGCGAATACAGTTGTTCTCGATGAGGCTATAGAAGTGGGGCGGCAGACCCTCGCCGCAACCTCTGATTCTGATTCAAAGGCAACATGTCTAAGCAATCTGGGCTATCATTTGAGTGAAAAATATCTTCACGGGAGGATAATTAGTGACATAGAAAAGGCTGTCCAACTCGCACAAGAAGCTCTTCAATTGACCCCCAAAGTCTCTACTGAGAGGCCAGCGCGACTGAACAATCTCGCACTGGCACTAAGCCATACGTATGCCGCAAATCAAATCGTAGAAGACCTTGATCGCAGTATCGAGGACTTCAGAGAATGCGTGGACACAAGCACAGAAAATGACCCAGATGTGGCGAAATATTTGAATAACCACGGAGCTCAACTGCGTGATCGGTATCACTCGGTCGGAGCAATGGGCGATCTGGAGGAGTCCATTCGAACTGGGCGGGAAGCTGTTGCTAAAACTCCCGAAGACCATGAAGAGCGCCCTGCAAGGGTGAGTAACCTCGGGACTGTGCTTCTGGATAGCTTCCGCCGCACAGGGAACGAACGTGGAGCATCTTCAGGAGAGCACTCGACTGGCTCAAGAAGCTACACAAGACACAGCGGGGTCACATTTGAACAATTTCATGTACTTTAATATCCTTGGCAGACCTTGAAGAGGCCATTCGAGTGAGTCTCAATGTCCTCAGTGCTACACCGCACAGCCATTCAGATCCGGTAGGGAGATTGTATTCCTTTAGTTCCAAACTGTAAAATCGCTTCGCCAAGTTAGGAGCCATGGGTGATCTGCAGGAAGCAATTCAACTTGCACAAGAAGCCAAGAGCGTTCTTCCAGATCATCACCGTGATCCAGCTGGATTATTGGGCCATCTTGGCGACCTGCTTGCCTCCCGACACGCACGCACAGGGTTTATGCATGATCTTGAAGAAGCCATACGTATCAGGCGTGAATTAGTTCGTCTCTTCCCTAAAGGCTCTCTGGACCTAGCGTGGCATCATAATAGCCTCGGCGAAAGGCTCGGCGAGAGATACTCAATATCAGGGGACATGGCTGATCTCGACGAAGCTATTCAGAATATCAGGATAGCTGCCGACATGGCTCCACAGGATCGCCCTGACCTGCCTTTATGGCTAGATAATCTTGAAAATCAGCTTTACAGCAAATACTTGAGATCACAGGACATATCCGACCTTGAGCAGTCTATCCAAGCTGCTCAAGAGGTTATTGATACCGTCCCAAAGAATGACCCGAGCTATGCAGTCTTCTTGAACAACTTGGCTAGCGGACTCAGAGAGAAATTTGACTGGTCGGGAGATGTTACAGATCTTGACAACTTAATCCGAACCATACTGTATGGTCCATACAGGAAGCTATCGAGTTGACACCATCAGATCACCCAGACCGCGCTTCGAGCTTGAACTTCCTTGCGATAGCTTTAAGCAATATATACACATTAACCGAAAACATGGACTATATCGAAGAATCTATGAGGATTTCCCGAAAAAGTGGTTCAGATGACCCCAGAAGACCATCCTAATCGGACGATTTTCTTAACTAATTTAGGCCTCCGGCTGGGAGACAAGTGCATGACAACATTGGACGTCGGGGACATGGCAGAAGCTGCCATGTGTTGCAGAAAAGGTGTTAAATCGAAGTAGATTGAAAAAGTAAGTGTTGATCGCGATGCATCTTTCGCAGAAATATAGCTTTAATGCACCCAGGTCACGTGATCATTCAACACGTGATCCTGCAACACCATGCACCGTGACAAAGCTCTGCGTCAACAACCACCCAAGACACAACACCCGGCCTCATTCGCACATATAAAGAGAATCGCGAGATCCTACACTTGGAAGAGTTTCAACGATCAATGGGCCACTACCTGCCCTCAACAGTATCGAGATCTAGGGATCGCTATCCACCCGCGAACCCCCGAACTTGGTCTGCCCCGGCAACACCTAGGCAGATTACTCGCAGCGAGGTCGCACCACGGGGATTTCGTGACCTATCACGAGAGACTCCAGCATCGCGACGCACTGCTCAACTGCGGGTGTGGAAAGACAAAGACACCAGTCCACTTCTACTTTTGCAAGCGCGGCCGCAAGGCCACGCCCGGTCATCTAAAAGCGCATATGGCCAAGAATAGTATAGATTCCCTCCTAGGCACGGCCAAGGGAGCTCGTTTGTTTTGCCAATGGGCGGAGGAGACCAATTTCTTTACTGAGATCTGCCCATCGCACTGAACAGGAATGTTAGATGAAGATAGTCCCCTGTAACATAGATTCGACTAGCATTGACCATGCCGGCACTGCGCCCGGCACGTCTCACGTGATGAGACGTTAAATTTCAATCAATCAATCTATACGTTCCGGTGTGCTAGCTGTTGGTTATAACGCGCTGGCATCAAACTGAAAGGTTTCTTGCGAGGCTGGAAGCATTGTTGTGCCCCTAATCCCCAAACTTACGAAAACATCACAATGGCGCAGAGTCAGACGATTGTGCCACTATGCTCCTCCTGCCGTGGGCTCACTTTTGCTATGCTGCGCGACGGATACACACATCATATGCCATTTAGGCAAACGGTGATATCTGGGAAGACATGCAGAATGTGCAGACTGATTGTCTGCTCAGTTGCAAAACTCCATATTGAAGATCATAGTTACGGTCTGGACGCCAAGTACGAGTCTGAAGCCGAAAAGCTCTCCTACCTACCAGCTGTTCATCGCGAAAAATACGCGTTTGGTTTTCCCATCATGGAAAGAATGCAGACCCTCTCAGATATAGTATGGGACAGGTCGCAGCATGGAGCAGAGTCGGAGCATTGCTACCAAGTCCGAAAGGGGAACTTTAACCAGGGAGAAACAGTACAGGTTACTGCTCCTTCGAGTACGACATTTTCCCAATTTTTCTGCGCCTGATAGCTACTGACTAATAACCTATCGTTAGCTTCTATCTACTATACCAGGAAATTAATTCCTGTTAGGGACATTGAACCGGGAGCCACTCCTGATAATGTCGCCCTTCTGAAGAACTGGCTGAATGCATGCATATCGGGGCATCCCAGATGCCATCGCCTGTTTTCAGAGGGTTTTAACGAAGCCGTCAACGACAAACCAATCCTTCCGACTCGGGTGATAGACGTCGGCTCTCCGACAGCCGCAGGAACACACCCTCGATTGCTAACCACACTGGGGATGAAGAGCAATTACATTACTCTTAGTCATAGATGGGGACTAAAGCCGCGACTCAAGACAATGCGCGCCAACATTGAACGTTTCCAGAGGAGAATTCCACTGGAAGAAGCGCCGGCAACATTTAAGGACGCCATAGAGGTTGTTCGGCAACTCGGGTTTCAGTACCTGTGGATAGATTCGCTATGTATAGTCCAGGATAACCCTCTGGATTGGGATGAAGAATCGCGGAGAATGGGCGACATATTCGAGTCATCTACCTGTACCATTGCTGCAGTGGATTCATTGGATGACGATGATACTGATAACGGCCTCTTTCTCAGCAGAAACCCGGATCCGTTGGCTGTCGAGTTCTGTCTCCCATATCACAAGGAACCTCTCATAGAATTGTCTCGAAGATTATTTCCAAACGAGAGACAAGTGTTTGTTTGGAAGTATTACTGGCTTAAACGGCGAAGTTCCGATCTATGCAAAGAAAATCCCGACTTATATAAGGTTGCCGTCCGCCCACGTATACGATCCCTTTGGAAGTCAATCCCTGAGACTACATGGCACAACCGAGGCTGGGTTCTTCAAGAAAGAACCCTTTCACGGAGAATGATATACTACACAAAAGCCAAGCTCTATTGGAGTTGTTTCGAAACGACGGGTGACGAGCAACAGGTGGAGCCGACCGCCCCTGTACGGATATCTTGGCGTTCGATCAATCCAGAGCGTCTAGGTTCTTTCTGGCAAGATTTGCTCTCAGATTACAGTCGATGTAGCCTCTCAAAGCCTAAGGATCGTTTGGCTGCCATCGAAGGCATTCGCTGCAAGCTTGAGACCCGCCTCTCATCGAACATCCATGCGGGAGTTCTTGACGATGGCGCTGGTCTAAACCTACTTTGGTATACAAATAAAGTTCCGCTGTCAAGATTTGACGATTTCCATGCCCCATCGTGGACCTGGGCATCTCTTCGTGGGAGCGTCGCTTTCTCGCTGAAGCCACCTCGCTATGGGCTCGCTACATGCATAATCCGGGATATCAGCTACGAAATTAGAGAGCAATGTACCTCGAACCGTCCTAAGGCAGAATGTGCCGGTACATGTCTATCTGGCCAAGTCTCGTTCACTTCTCCCTTAGGAGTGCTGCGTCGAACCCGAAAGTTCGTTGAGGTTCGAGATGAAATTAATTGTCACAACTCGACGAATCGGCAATGGCTACCGACTGTGCTTGGCAGTGCCGCTGTACGACCTCCAGCAATCATACAGAGACTGGATCAGAATGGAAATATAATACCAAGAAGTCAAGAATCCTTTGTACCTAATCACACAGAACTTCTTAGCGACGAATACCGACAGGTTCTGGGCTTCATGATCCCAGATGAAGACATCGTAGATGGTCCTGATACGTCTATATACTGTGCAGGGATAAGAGCATGGCTACCGAGTGAACATCAAAACGGTGGATTAGGCACGACGAATCCAACTGGGATGACCGAGATTGACATATTGTGCCTTGAGAAGATAGGATCTGCTACGCCGCTATATCGGCAAGTGGGCCTTGGTAGAATCATCTGCAATGACTGGCTGGACACATGCAAACAAGCGGCAATAAGGATCGTCTAAGCATCGTTTCGTTTGGTATATTTGCCTGTGACCACTCACCGCGATATGAACGAAGCTAATCTTCAGATGGTAGACAAATCGATTACCCTGCTTTACAGACTCGACAAACATAACAAAAGCTACCAAATTCATTATTCGTTGCATAGACATGACTATATGGCTCCTAGAGGCAGGAATCAAGAGACGCAAGGAAAAGGTAGAAAGGACGAGCTAGAAGCTGGTAGGCAGGAGCTGATAGATAGGGTTTGAGAGACAGAGACCGAGGAGTGGTAGGCAAGCGGCAAAAGACGGGACGCAGATAGTACGAGGTCAATACAAAGAGTCTGGAGATGAGTGGTCGATGGGAAGTGGACATTTAACATCTAGAGGTGAAGGGGAGAGGCACGAAGGAAGGCATTTTGTTGAACCTCACATCATAAGGCGAAAAGGTACGGAATGGGTCAGAACACATGTGGGTTCAGAGTGTCCAACCGCAGAACATCCCGTCACCTACACGCGCTTCGACTTTTCTTTCACCCAGGCGAAGATTAGACAAAGTATTGCAATCAATATACTGGAAAACCAATATCTAGCAGCATTATCAATTACTGTACAGAAAGTCACGCCCTTTCCTTCCATACTGCCCGAGTGCTAGCTAGCTTGCCTATATTCATATCAGACCATGTACATGTAACGCCGTGTCAGCCCGAGCCTCCAGCCATGTCATAACCGCATAGCTCGTAAGGTGCCTAACTAATGCACCAAAACAACTGTCCAAGTCAATGCGTCGCCTGTATGCATAGTTAGTTTTGGATCAGAACGCTTCCTGTTTCCTTCGATGGGGTTTCAAAAGTCGTTGTCCCGTGTCGTCCAGCCAAGTTATCCATCTAATCCGGCCCAGCGCCTGTGAGATGTTGTATTCCTCGTCTCGGAAATTCACCCTTCGTGGTTCGTAGACTTGCCCATAAGAGCTTCAACCTCCCTCTTTAAGGCTTCCAGATCTTCTATGCCCTTGAGTAATTCCGTACCACCAGCTTCCCCTGCTGGCACGGAGTGCTCTTCCTCCACCCTCTTAACTTCGGCACTGGGTCTCCTCGCAACTCCGCCGGTTGCGGGACCATCGATGCTGCCTCTGCTACTTCCCCTCGCTCTCGGCGGCGGCGGGGGAGGCGGTGCCATTCCGCCCTCCTTCTCGCGGCTGACCTTCCTGCTGGTTGCTTCCATGCTACGCAGACTGGCTGGCCGCCTCGTGCTCGAATGCCGTGCCGGTGGTGGAGGAGGTGGCGATAGCTTTGCCAGGCCATCGTTGGTCGTCGTAACTGTAGCCATGGTGCTTGAGTTTTGGTGCTCCATGGGAGCGAAATCCATTGGTCCCGGTGACCCCGCTTCGTCGCTCGCATCGGGTTTGGTGATAGGTGTGAAACTGGCTGCTTGGAGGCTAGAGTAGGAACTGCTCTGGCGAGCGTGGCTTGGCCGTCGAGGGGGTGGTGGAGCTGGTGGTGCTGCCAGATATCCAGCGTTGGAAGAGGAATTCACGCGCAGGCTGTCGGAGCGAGAACGATTCGATTCGAGAGAACTACGCGGCGGGTCCTCTTCAGTTGTGTTGCCAGTGATGGATGGCACTCTGCTGTCGGACCGCCCGTGACGACGCGGCGGAGGAGCTGCAGGCTTACGAACACTATTGGTGGTACGTGTGCTGCTGCGCGAATCTGAGCGAGGACGTGTTGAGCCGACGGGGGGCGACAGTGGCCAGGGCTGATTGGTGACGGGAGATAATGCCTCGGGGAGCTTGCCGGCTGCTTCTCGGTCAAAGGGCGAATCAATCTCATCCTGGCTCAGAGTACGGGTTGGCGGAAGCGGAAGAGGCTTATTGACATCAGAGCTTGACGGGGGTGACTGATTCTGGGAGGATTTGCGTGAAAGGCTGGCAGGTAATGTGGTGTCCACTGAAATTGCTGGTGAAGATTTGCTGGTGTTGCTGGCTCCGAGGTCCATCTTGATGAGCTTGCCATGACGCGAGCTGGGAGGCGGAGGCTTTTTTCGACCAGACGCGGATTGCACAGTTGCTAATGGGGAGGAAGGCAGGATTCCCCGCCGCTCTTCGGGCTCTTCCAAATCGGATATCTCGTGGGAAGTCCTCGGCGTGTCTTGCATAGCATCAAATGTGGACTGGCGAGACACGGAGCTCGCATCGGTGTTGCTGGCTCCGTCGTGGGCCGGAATGGAGCCCGCTAATCCTATCGTGGGCGTGAGCGCTGGGACGTTCGAATAGCCTGTCAATAACAGCCTTCTGAATGAGTCCACGTCCAGAGATCCCCTTCCACCTGCACCAACGACGGCATGAACATCCGGACCCTGTGTTTTCTGTTCCATGTCCTGTAGCGTCTTTGAGAAGGGATTCGGCGGGGCTCGAGGCAACGGAGGTTCGTCCGTTGCATCCCCTGCACTAAAAGGGTCCGCCCTGTCGTCGTCGCGCCGTGAATCAACGCTGCTGCTCTCGTCGTTGTCGTCGTCGTCGTCATCGTCCACATAGCTCCTGACCGGAACCACATCATCCGGAGAGGACGGAGGAGGTGATTGCACCCGCACCTTCTTCACAATCTTCTTGGGCGCCAGTTGCGGTGTGTCCTTCTCTCGTCCATCTTCCTCCGACGCAGCAGTCTTGAATGTAGTGAGTGGCGGTCGGAAGGTACTGGGCGGCGCATTGAAGGCCCCATCGGCGTTAGAGTTAGCAGCTATGGAGCTTGTCGATATTGTGGAGGCCGGAGAGGGGTTGCTTGTCTTGCGGCGGAAAGGGTTGTTGGACCCGAAAGACGGGTCGGTCGACGGCATGATGGGAGGGGTTCGAGAGACCGAGCACGCTGTTTGATGGATGCGCAATGCCACTATATGCAGGCCATCATACGATTCGGAATTCAGTGCGAGGTAGTTGGATGGGATGAAACTGCCAGAAGAGGTTGTTGGTGAGGGCCGACAAGCCCCTCGATCGAAAATCCCAATGGTGCCTACACACTCTAATCCAGTCGGAAGAACCGGCGTGGTGTCTGGTGATCTGATCTAGTCCTCTTTGGACCCAGAGCTCTCGACCCAAGTGTGCAGCTTACCTCATAACGGTTGCCGTTTGAGTTTATCGCTTGCATTTGCCAGGCCGCGGTAGACTGCACAATCTGCGTATTCGACCTGAGCCTGCGACCATCCAAAACTGCACTTCTTATCGAGGGACGTCAGCTGCATGGATAGCGCACGGGCCAGCTGCTTATATTCGCCGATGGTTAACAGGGGTCAGCAGCCTTCCAATTAGATGCATTTCGTGGTTGGTTGACGCAAGTGCGTGCATGTGGCGAGTGGAAGATACAGACAAACTGCGTCTAATTAGAAAGCCCACGAAACTAACAGTCATCTTGACTTATCCTGTACACTTCTGGTCCATGTCACTGCTGTATGTTGTCTCTGACGCTATCTACCTTCACGTTGCTTTGCTCAAGATCTGGAGAGTTATTCAAGCAGTTTCAATGGCCAGGGGTTGTATGAGGCACTTGATTCAATCTAGAGAGCAATACTCTATTGCATATGTGATATAGGTGGCAGTGCGCGCGTGTCGGTTCGATCTACCTAGGTTTCGTAGAGCTCACAAGCAGCTATCAAGCCGCTATGAGTAGAACACTGGGGGTTGCTATTATGTAGTCTGTGAGGGTTGAGTTGATACAAGACAGGGAATCCATGTAAGTGATAACGGCCGAGCCGTTTAAGGTCGGCATATTCTCCACTTTTGACATTCTCATAATGCGCTTGAATAAGGTATGGGACACACAGCTTGCTTGACACCATCATGTATCCCTTTAGCAGGCTAGACAATTGCAGCGCTGTACAGAAGAGACAAGGCAGAAGTCATTGTAGTTTGTATCATGGAAAAGTGCAGCTCACCTGGCATGGTGTATATGTCGATAGAATCCACTGTATCAGTCAGGGGTGAGCCGCCAGGGACGGCGTGCAGGACATCGGGGCATCGGGCAGATGGCACGAACACACCGAGACATAGATATTGACAAAGGAAGTAACTTCTCTTCTCTCTCCCTCAATCTAAACACGACAGAACTGGATACATTCAATACTTCATCATACCAGCCAGTCAGTTAGATGTGACCGTAGAGTACAGGTCACGCTTCTCCAACTAGTCAGCAAGGCGGCCCCCCTTCACGTGCTGCCTACATTTGACACCTGCACCGAGCAGGCTGTAACACTGGCGAGTTCAGATATTGCCAATTTCGGATGAATGTAAACAACCCTGGTCACTTCAAAGTAATTGACATGCGTCATTTGCCATAACTGGCAACATCCAATATTTCACTTTCATCGTCCTAGGCAGCTCTCCGCCCCAAAACCACACCATGGCAAATGCAGATGGTATAATTACAATGTATTCTCATCACATCGTCACAATTCCTTGCCACGCCTCTGTAGTAGATACCGTGACTCTGAATATGCAGAATATCCGACCGAATACCCCAGTCCAGTGCACACAATAGTGACCAGACCCAATTGTGCCACGAGACACTTCGACAGTCCCAACACCTAGGGCGCGTTATTGATCCCTCAAACAAATCCCACCAACCCTGCCTTGCCAAAAATCAAATGGTGCCCTGAACCCTCGCGCAGTAAAGTACATACGCGTTCTTTGTATCCTGCCCTTGAACGCCAGTAGACCCGCCAATCCAGATATATCGATAACAAACATCCAAATCAGGAGAACGCTCATGCCTCGGCCTTTGGCGCGGCAGCCTTCTTTGGCGCTGCCTTCTTGGGTGCTGCCTTCTTTGCAGCGGGCGCCTTGGTCGTCTTGGCGACTCGGCCAGACTTGGTCTTGGTCAGGGTGGTGGGCTTGTCAACAACAGCCGGAGCGTCCTTCTTGACAGCAGCCTTCTTTGGTGCAGCAGCTTTCTTGGGGGCAGCAGCAGTCTTCTTTGGTGCGACAGCCTTCTTAGGAGCAGCAGCGGTCTTCTTTGCGGGTGCCTTCTTCTCACCAGCCTCCTTCTTGGGGGCCACGACCTTCTTGGCAGCAGGCTTCTTTTCACTAGTAGCCTCCTTCTTTGCAGCAGGCTTGGCGGCAGGCTTGGACTTTTTGGAGAGCTTGGTACCTCCGGAGGGACCTATGGATCGTCAGTAAACAGAGCACCATTGGAAACCTCGGGGATCGAATGTCATTCCCAGGCTGGATGAGATGCGACGTACCCTTGGGCTGCTCGAATACACCCTTCTCAACACCTGACTTCAAGGCCTTGTTGAACAGAAAGTCGAACATGGCATCTGAGGGGACGTTGATCTTGTTGTTGGCCTTAACGTACTTCTTCAAAGATTGACGGCTGTGAGATGGGTTAGCCACGTGGTCATATGGAAGCCCCAGCATGCGACGACAATGTCCGTGTGGCGGGTGCAGCTTGGTTAGACATACCTAGATCCATTGCGGTCCTTGAGCTGTACATTTGAGTGACGCGTCAGTAAGTGCTCTCAAGTTGATGCGAATGAGAAGAGTGGTTGGGGTTGGGTTGGGTTGGGCGCATGACAATCCAACGGCGTCTGCGCAACCCAAAGAACCAGGGCGCGATGCGCCGGAAACAAAGGAATCGGGGTAATTACAGAAACAATGGCATCAGTGATCATGTCCTACAGCACGTTAGCATGCAATGTCTCTTGAAAAGAGCCGGCCGGCTCTTGGGAATGTACACACCTGGTAGGAAGCATGAGTGGGCTTAGCCTTGGGGGCAGCGGCGCTATCAGCCTTCTTGGGACCCATTGCGACGGTTTGGTTTTGGTGTTAGATAACTGTTGTGGTGGCTGTGAAGGGTATTGAATGATGTGGATCAATTGATCGAGCAATGGCCAAAGATCTTGGAGTGGATGAGTTTGAGTTGTCGAGTGGTGTGGGTGGTTGTGAGGTGAGTTAAAGAAACAAGAAGGGGGAGCATTATCGGTCGGGTCGCGACGGCAGATGGGGAGTCGTGTTTATATACTGGCGGGGGTTCTGGATTACAATCAGTAAACCTGGACGGGCGCGTGCTTGCCCCAGGTACTCTTGCCCATCTGCCCCTCCATCAAAAAAAAAGCTCCAATTCCCCCAGCGCTCCAAAAATCCCATTTTCCGACTTGAAACACCACTTTCTTCCCACATCCGGCCTAGTGCATCACTTGCATTGATCTCGAGCCAGTGAAATGCTCTCGCATGCTGATTCTCCGTGATCCGGGCCTCTCACATCTCTCGAAAAATGCCAGACTTGGTCATGAGCAGCGATTTTTTGATTGGCCAAAGCTCTTGGTTGAGCTCTGCTTCTAGTATTATCGAACTTCCAACTCAAATCATGCGCCCAAGCTTCCGAGCACCGTCTACTCCTCCCTCGAGGTCTCCCTCACCCAACTCTACCATCCGCCCCCGGATCAGCCGCCATCTTCGTCCTCGCTGTCTCGCGTTTCTTCCTCTCTTGCCTCCCACACCCATTGGATTGTGTGATGCGTTGAGTCATTGGATTTTGGACTAGTTTGCCTGATGTTGCCTTTGGGAATGGAGGGGTGCTCCCGTGCGTCGTACTAGTCTAATATCAATCCCGAGGCCGATCTGGAGTCACATTCGTGGTATCGCCAGATTTCGAGCATTTGATCGATCAATACTGTCGGTCGCGTCTGAAATGGTGGCCTCAACCCATGCACTCCATGACGAGACTTAATTGATCTAATTCTTCCATTCTTTCCATTTCTTTTCTTCTTTTCATGTCTTCTCAACTGCCCCCTAAGCCCCGCAAATTAGAACATATCTCGATGGGTCGTTCTTCGTTGTTGCCACTTTCGCTTCCATTCACGACATGAAGCTATCCGCACATTTGGACCACTTCTGTCTTGCACCTTGCCATTTCATTTTCCTGTAAATGCATTCTGCCTAAAAGCTCATCTGGCTTCCGCGGGATCATGCTGATATTTTTTTGCAATTTTTTGCAGCAGCAACTCGGCCCTGGGAGTCCAGATGATCGACTCGCTTTGTTTTGACGATGTGTCGCGTCCGTCGTACTCTGCCCGTCGGATCGAGTTTTGGCTCCACGCGACAATGAGGTTACCAAAATACTCCCAAGATGGCTCGAGTGAGCTATGGGATACCGTCTCGGTGTTTTTGGAATTATCCAAGTTTCTTACCAGCAACTACGACTCAACCGCGTGAAGGGCAAGTGCTACGCCCTGGCGAGGCCGTCGCGTCTCAGGAGGCGCCACTTGTTGCAATCGAGGAATGCGGGAACGACCGGCTTCAAGCATTGTGTCTTCGAGACATACAGCGCAGTACTCGAGAACCTTGTGCTTATTCAGGTCTCGACGGTGTTCGATTCTGGAAAAGTGCATGGCACGTCTTCTGGAATTGTGTCGTAACCGCGACTCCGGGATCTCGCCCAGTGGTGAGGGGTCACGACAATCGGCACCTGACATCACCCACATTTCCTACCAAGGTGGGAACCTTTCGAATCATTGAAGCAGGGACTAGGATGGCCTCAATTGGGAGAGGCACTGCTCGATCGATATTGCACTCATTTGACGGCTTTCAGAGGCATCTGTGAGCTGGGCAGCAGTCGGTTTCAAGCGACAAGCACGCAACGCGACCAGGCAGGGTCTACGGCAAGCAACGCATCCACGATGCCCATGTCCGCAAAATGAAAGCACAACCACTCCCATATGCGAGGTTTCTCTGTTTTCTATTGCTTTCTCTCATGTGACTGGTTTCTCTTGATACTTTGCACTTTATCAGCAACAGTCGACGTTTTGGCATCATACTCAGGGCTTGACCGTGTTTCATTCCCAAAATTGCGCCCAGACTGGCGAGGGCGCTGCAACCACTGATGTGCATGTTGGCCCAGAATTCAGACAAGAACTAGAACGCGAGCTTCGATATCGATGAACAGGCAATTCTCTTGGTGGGCGAAGGTAGTTGTGCCACTTCGACGGTTACTTCTCTCTAAGCAGCGACCACGCAGCCGGCAGACTTGTTCCATAATGGAATTCTAGGTCTCAGACTGGTCGCCTTGCCGCACTCCCATTCATCACTAAGTGACCAGCCAGCCCTGGATGCTCGAATGGGACAATGGCTGATTGCACATCTGCATGATTTTAGGGCATCAAGCACGTACCAAGCGGCGGACAGCATTTTGAGCTTGCGTCTTCTTAGGTTTTCGCTATAAGCCTCTTCCGTTCCCAAGAGATACCCGGCTGGGTCTCAACAATGCTTTCGGGCGCCCGCCTGGTCATTCCACTACCGCCTCTCACGCGAAGCCCATAGTTGAGAGCCTTGTTATCATTTGGTGACGGATGCACAGCAACCACCTCCGACCATGTTCACTGGGCTGACATTCCATGCTGCCCCAAGGTAGCTCGCATCGCGACTTTTAGTCCTTTACGCTAGCAGTTATATGATTAAAAGTGGCCATGGGGGTGGATGCATGCTCTTGAGCGTGTCTAGCGCAACCTCAATGAACTACATGGCCTGATTCAACCTGTGCTTCGGCAGTGACCTGGAGGAAAGTCTCCCAGGTTGCGGCTATCTAGTGGTCTTTGGTTCAGTGTGGAGAAGTTCGTTGGCTTCGGATGCTATTGAATGCTTTCATTGCAAAATAGAATGCGATAATTAGATCCCGAGAGTGGAGTATTTAAGGTCGGCCTTTGGCGTATGCGGAAAAACGCAGAATAGACCTTGGCGATACTAAATAAGAACTAAAAATAGGTCGAGTCAATTGTAGTTAACCGTGTTCAAGATATTGAACTTGAACCGGCACGTTAAGACGCAAATCATTGCTACGGAGGCTGAAGCAGTACTGGAGCCGAGGACATCTGGTTGTTCCATTTGCTCCATACTTGGAAGCAATAACGATGTTAGAGTAACGTACCCCACAAGCAAGTTGGCCACTTTTTCTTGGCACCGTATGAATAACTTCAATAACTTAACTAAACTAAAAAATAATAATTCAAACTAATCGGAATCCTCTTCCTCGTACGTATCTTTATCATTCTCACAAGTACGTTTTATATCTTATACACTCCAGACGAGCTCCCAGGAGGTGTAGGCGTATGTAGCTTAATATCCAGCTGTGAAATCACATATTCCGGGTCGTACGGAATAAGTCCTGTCCCCCTGAAACCTGCCTGGATATTCGACTTAGTTATAGTCGTACGATACGCCCTATAGAATGCCGAAAAGAAATCCTCCTTCGAGATATGGGTTATATGCGCCCGTATTAGGTCTTCAATTTCTTGACTAGATTGTCGAGTATTGTGAAGGTCAACCCTCGCAGACTCACTACAACCAGGTGACTTACAGCTGGAACACCTGCCGTGGCAGTGTCAGATGGGAAGCCAATCATAACCCTTGTAGGAGCCCCGCCAAGCGTGGATGACTTAGTCGCGCTCCCTCAAACCTAAGTTGTCATCTTCTTTCCTTCGCTCCTTAGAGTAGAATCTTCGTCGATAGCACCTAATCGAGGTCTCTACCAATGCGATGCAACCCAGGTCGTGACAAGTATCGCGTCGAGATAGTAGTCCGCGTTTTCGGTTAGCTAGAGTTGTACGAGGGATATTGTAGAGTTGGGCAGCGCGTCGGATGCTTAATTCGGGTTTCGATTGAAGACCCTGACACGCTAGAATCATGTCGCTTTCTTTCCAATTCGATCCCATCTTGGTATGTGTAAAGATGTTAATTAAAAGGTTGTTCGTACGGTGCCAAGAAAAAGTGGCCAACTTGCTTGTGGGGTACGTTATGTTGACTTAACATGTATAGGATGCCAGTAATGTGTTGTGGATTAACTTAATAATAATATTATTATTATTATTATTATTTTATACGCCGTAAGCTCGAGGCCCCCGGTAACTCTACTAGTACTCTCGTATGTCAAACCGTGCCCTAATGGCTGACTAAATACATACGCTGCTTGGTCGGCTCGCCTTATTGGCGACTGCGTTGCGTTCGCTGCCTCAACCTACCAATCAAGTCCCCCTGAGAAGATCAATACTATCTGGGCCCTGAAGCTGTCCGACACGTCCCTAGCAGCCACCTTACAATAGTCCCACTAACTACTGGTTCTCCTGTTGCTGTTGTGAGGTCTGTGCGAGAGTATAGCGGCCGCAGTGCGATAGCGGCCCGTAGCCGTTCCCTCGGTCCTTCCAACAATCCGCGAAAGAGGATTACGTTCTCTGCCCATCTCAGGGCGTTGCCACAGCGGCATAGCGGCAAGTACACGCCAAAAGCCCCTGTCTTGAATGAGAAGGCGGTTAGTCCTATTTTTCCGATCCTGATCTGGCACAGGGTAGACGCCTCCAGTTGGTTCATGTGACGGTCAACCCTCGCAGACTCACTACAACCAGGTGACTTACAGCTGGAACACCTGCCGTGGCAGTGTGAGATGGGAAGCCAATCATAACCCTTGTAGGAGCCCCGCCAAGCGTGGATGACTTAGTCGCGCTCCCTCAAACCTAAGTTGTCATCTTCTTTCCTTCGCTCCTTAGAGTAGAATCTTGGTCGATAGCACCTAATCGAGGTCTATACCCATGCGATGCAACCCAGGTCGTGACAGTTCAGGTCGAAATAGTTGTCCCTTTTCGGTATCCGTATCGAAGGGCCCTCCGGGGCCTCAGCGATAGCGCGGCGCTGGCGATCATGCTGCGCTACTCCGGAGAGCCACCTCTTCCTCCAGTGCCGGGACCTCCTTGTCCTCGCCCATCCACTCCGAGCCTCGGGCCTCCTTCTCCATAGTGTATCCCGCCGGTCGGAGTAGCTGCGACGCCCGCTTCCTCCTCGCCGGCCCATCCTGCCGGAGTATATAAGACGGTTTAGTGCTCACGCTACGAAGCAGATTCCCTTTCCCCGCTACGCCTTAGCCGTTCTTCAAACTTAGCTGCCCGGGCACTGAGATAAAGGTCTAGCGGCGGGAAGATTCAATACTAAAAACTCCTTTTAGTCCAGGTTGCGCTTCGTTCAGTTTGAAAACGTAATTAGATGGTGTCAAATTACAACGGGTGTCACATTTTGCTCGTTTGAGTATCTGTGATGACTTCAGATATACCGGTTTGAGAACGATACAACCATACCGGCGAATCATCACTGTGACTCTAGACATGCTAACATGCTATCGACTCCTTATTTTATTTTTATGTATGCTTTTATCTTTACTTTCTCGATGTCGAGAAAATGTTTTCAAAATCGTCGGCTGTAGACTGTAGGAGACTGGGTCAAGCTCAAGCAGCAGGTCACAACTCTTAGCATACTGAAACTTTCATGACGAAACTCCCAAGTGCGAGAACAGGGACAAACCAGAAGGAATGCAGCTTCTATCAGGTCAAGACCTAATCAACGTCTAATCACTCTAATGGGGAGACCCCTACTTAGAATTAGATATGGCAGCTCTAGCACTAGGAAACGTCGGATTGAGAATAAATGCAATCTCGATCTCACTCTTATATTGGGTTGATGTTTCTGGTTGGCCTGTTTCGCAGGGAGTACTTCGTCTCCTAAACGGCCTGGCAACACTCCCAGAAAATCTAGTAGGATCTAATATTTAGTGAAGGGACCTACTCAGATGTTCGAATTTAGAAGATACATGAATACAGAGTGTCCACGATTTAGCTGTGAGGTTACCGCTGTGAGTCATTAGTGGTCATCGATCCGGACGTCGACTTCTGTTGCATGAGAAGGAAACTACGTAATCTAAAGCTATAAGCTTTCACTGGTCATGGTACCGAAGGTATCGCTACCAACAAGACAGGAAAGTCTATTCTAGGGCTATAATTCTCGCTTACCTATAAATAGGAGCATGTGAGGACTTTCCTTCAACAGAGAATACAAGTCATCTTCAATCTGCACTCTTCTACATGAATTCACACCTTTTCTGCAACAACTTCAAATCCTCAACCGTACGCGCTTTCGAGGCAACTTGCATTCATGGTGTCTGCTGTGAAAAGATGACTCGTTGGAATCTAGGAAGTAGTATCCTGGACTGACATTATGACGTCGTATTGGTATCGTAATCACTCAACCTAGAACCTCTGGAAACCTCTGTAAGTTATCAAACACCCACCTGCCTTATCAAGCGAATATCCTAGGTGTTCTTGTCCTTGCACCGACGGTAAAACAGTATGGAGCAATAACCAACGTTGCCAGGTTGGAGCCCAATCAAAAGGACTTATGATTGTGGTACACATGATTCAAGTGTGTCGCTTATCATAAGTACCAATGTATAATATCCCTGACTCTACCACACACACATATTGATTTAGTATCTTGTCAGTGAGGCACGGGATGGAGTTCGCCCCTGACAAGAGTGAGCTAATGCACTTTACTAGGGCCCGAGAGCCCTTGCCGCAAAGTATTCGCCTTGGGGACGCCACAGTGTCGCCGGTAGTCTCAGCGAGGTTCCTAGGAGTCTGGTTCGACCGCAAACTGACGTGGCACGCCCATGTTGAGCGTGTTAAAACAAAAATGGTAACTCAAAAGCTAGCCCTGAAAAAGCTAGTCAATATGTCGTGGGGCTGCGATCTTATACGGGCGAGGCTGTTATATACGGTGGTTATCCGTAGCGCGATCGCCTTCGGGGCGACTGCGTGGCATACTATAAGTGAGGAACCGGCAGGGCCAGCTAAGAGCCTGATGGGGATACAGAACGAGTGCCTCCGGGTAGTCTGTGGCGCCCACAAAGCGACGCCGGTTCGCCACCTGGAAGCAGAAGCAGCAACCCCGCCACTAGACCTCTATCTTAGTGCCCGGGCTGCTAAGTTTGAAGAACGGCTACGGCTTAGCGGGAAGAGAAATCTGCTTCGCAGCGCGAGCGCTAAAGCGTCACATATACTCCGGCAGAATAGGCCGGCGAAGAGGAAGCAGGCGTCGCAGCTACTCCGACCGGCAGGGTACACTATGGAGAAGGAGGCCCGGAGCTCCGAGTGGATGAGTGAGGAAAAGGAGGTCCCGGCTGCCCTCCTCGGCCACTGGAGGAAGAGATGGCTCACCGGAGCAGAGCATCACGATCGCCAGCGACGCGCTATCGCTGAGGAACCG